TTGAAATATCAAGAGGAAACATTATTTTTTAATTTTAAACATTATGATTGGAGATATACCACTTTTATCATGCTTGATAACACAACTATTATCTTCAGAATGAGTAATATAATCGCATTCTAATAATTAATCTACAATAAGCAAATTATCTACTAATTTTAGAACAAAATAAACATCATGAATCAATGTATTTACACATGATTTTATATGAGCATCAATAATACTAATGACTTCAGTTTTCACATTATTTTCATTATCAATTGTAACATCACATATTATAGATGTATAAATAGTTTAAAATAAATATTTATCTCCTGCCATATAATTGCTACAACCACTATCAACAAACCAAATATTTGATTTACTTATACTTGAAGATGCAAAAGTAAGGAATAAATTATTTTGATCATTTTTTCAACAATATTTACTTGTGTTCGTTTCTTATTCCAATAATTTGCTTCAATATGCTCATACTTTTTGTAAAAAGTACACATTAACTTGTAACCTTATTCTCCAATATTTCATGTTATTTTACCTTGTCCCAAAATATGTTTCAATATGTTTATATTTCTTACAAAATGACATTATGACATTTTATAATCTGGTTTATGATTTTAGTTGTTTCTACCATCATGTCTTTGCTATTTATAGTGAGATATATCATTTCCTCTTCCACAACCTCAGTTGTCATAATTTATTATAATTTTATTTTTATTATCATGTTGTTTGTGTGCCTTCATTATTTTATTTTATTTTTAATTTCATCTTTTGCTTGAAATGCTTGTTTAAGAGATTTTTCTATAAATCTATTCATTCTTTCTTCGTATATTAATAAAGATCTAATCAATTCATTTTGGGTATAAATATATAAATCTTTATACTCTTCTATGATAGCAACAACATGATCAAATTTAAAAGGAATACTTCCAAAAAAAATCAATAATTTTATTTCTAGAATATATTCTCCAAAAAGTTTTATTTTATTTATAATAGCCTAAATACAAAAAAAAATAATGAATAAGTTCACAACATTTCATGTTTGTAGTTTCAAATTCTCTACGAAGTGTTTTGAAGTTTGACATACATAACTCTATTATCCCCATAAAATTTATCTCTCAAAATTTTCCATGCTTTTGAAGAACTTGTGGCGTTAGTAATATATGAAAAAATAGATAACTATAGCAAAGATTTGGTATCTATGTTCTGAAATTCATTGTTATCCTTTGTAGAACTCTCTCCTTCTATATTTTCATTTTCAAATAAACCCCATAAATCTATGAAATAAAAATTATCTTGATCTTAATACTCCACAAATTATATTTTTCCCTACTAAAAAATAGCACAAGAGGTTGAGAGGTTGAGATAGGTTGAGGGGCTTACTAGACACCATTCTTCGAGGTCAATGGCATTACTTATTCACTTACACTTCAAACAAAACCTTTACCTTCCTTGTTATAATAAGGAATCTTCAAAAATATCTAAAAATTTCACCAAGCTTGTTATCCCTCTTGATATTGCTGTAATATCAACAGAGGAAGAAGACGCTCAATAGATGAACCTATCGCTTTCATACAATTAGTAGGAAAAACAATGAAGACTTTTCTAAGAAAGAATATAGATTTTGGGAGATAATGGGATGAGAGGAGAGTAGAAATATAGCACAGAAATAAAACCTAAAATACACTATGAGGAAAGAGCAAGTGCATTTAAACCTTACCTAAATGCCCTATGTGGGCCACCTCATTTGACACACTAAAAGTCAAAATAACGTAACATTTTGGCCCACTAAAGACCAAATAAGAGGCATGATAAAGACAAAATCAATAAATGCATCTCAAATATTTTTGTGTTAACTACTAACACTCCCCCTTAATGCAAAACCATCTAATACCAAGAGCCTCTCTAAATTTGATGAACTTGGTATAGTTTAGCACCGTTGTAAAGCCATTTGCATCTTGATTTAATGATGCACAAAACTTCATTTCAATAGAATTTATAGCAACTAAATCTCAAATGAAATGATGATGAATTTTAATTTTTCTTGTTATTTCTATTTCTCTCTTGTATCTCTTACCTCTCGTTTCCTAATTGTTCCATCTCATCTAATAGATGCATTGTATGCTCAAGTTTTAGAAACTCATGTGAATGCACTACCAACTAGAGTACTATATTCAATATAGAACCCTCTTTAGAACGTAGTAAATTTCAGCCTTCAAGAGAGTACAAAACCAGCTCCTTCTAACAACCTTTGGAATTTCGAAGGTTAGAACCCACATACAATCACTTGACAATGTCTTATGCCTAGTTTGGATCATCATTTCATGAATCAATTTGCCTGAATTCCACTTTTTTCTCGAAGAAAAAAGTTTAAAAGGAGGTTTATATGACAACACTTTTCGTCCACTCAAGCATCAAGTTGCATAGCAGGAGGTGCTGCAAACTCAAAGAGGCTCACTTAACATAAGCTCGACAGCCATGTGGAGGTGCTAGAAAATGGGTAAAATGATTGGAGCCACACAAGAAAATAAATGCGTTAAATTTCACATGCTAAACAAAGAAGGGCCACAGCTCCTTCCCTCACCCATCAGCGCACATGGATACCGGCTACTGAAGGGCGAGAGGGAGTCCCGGATCGGGTTTAAGCCAGATATGGTGGCCCGCTCCGCTGTCTAAGGCCCTCCGAGAATAACCATAAGAATGAATGGAGAGAGACGGGACGTCGGGGATAATGAGATGTAAGAGAGGAAACGGGAGGACGCTGTCGTCTGTGAACATATTACGCAGGCTGTCAGCTTCTCCGAGACTCTCACAACAGGAGGACAAATAACTAGGGAACACGATAACTTAGCGGAACACAGTACAAGGGAGAGAGAGAAACAGAACATGAGTTATCGTTCGAGAGAACAATACCCTGAAGGGAAAGGAAGAAAGCGTAAAAAATCGAGACTCTTCGAGTGGCCTCACACTCGAGACTTCCCGCACCACTCTCTCTGTCTTCGAGTGGCCTTTAAATAACCAGAAGTGGCTTATCAGAAGTCTTCAAACGGTCTTCCCGATCGTTCGGCGAAGTGGCTGCTTGGGAAGGTGGAACAAGAGGAGGACGAGGGCGTCTGTTTGACCGTTTCCGGCAAGGAATGTGGAGAGAAGTTAGTGGCCCATCACCGTCTCCCAATTCCTCTCGCTGCGTAGGAAAGAGGAAGAGGAAGACGGGGACGAAGAACAGGAGACTCCCATCGAGAGCAAGCTCTAGAGTTGTACGCTTTCCCGTGGATTCAGTCTACCTCTCGTGTTCCTATCTGATTCCCACGATCTAAATCTAAAGATCTCCCCAGAGACGTCGTATCACGAAAGAGGGAGGGGAAAATAACTCCAGGGGTGAGAGGGAGAAGAAACCGACGAACGGTAAAACCCTAAGGCGATCGATGAAGGACCTCTCTCCACCATACCCAGACAGCAGCCGAACTGCCGGAGAGATGAGTGACAGTGATTCTTCAGATTCGTCTCTAAACTTTCCAGAGAAGGGGCCGTCTTGCAGGCATCTTGTGATTCATCTCTATTCATGATCAGTAGTAGTTGGCATCTTATTTACATACATGGATCTTCCTTCCCCTTCGTTCCCGAATCTCCTGCCTGTCACTTTCCAGTGATGGCTTCTGTTGCTCTTTCCTGCTTGCCGTCGCACAATCATACGCAAGGGAACAAAGTGATAAAGCGGGAACCCATGCAGGGAAAACTGGCCGACGCTATTCTCGCCTACATCAGAATGCAAGAGCTAGGTTTCTCAGCAGACAGCTTCAAGTTTCCTCCCCTGCTGAAGGCGGCCTCCAATCTTCTGTCCATGGCTACGGGGGCTGCCCTCCACGGGAAGACCACGAAGACTGGCTACTCCAACCATGCCTTCGTGCAGACTGCTCTGATGAACATGTATTCCTCCCTTGGCCAAGCAGACGGCGCCTCCCGCGTGTTCATGGCGATGGTCCACAAGGATCTCATATCGTGGAACCCCATGCTGCAGGCTTACGTCTCCAATGGCCGAATGGATGATGCCGTGGAGCTGTTCGGCGTAATGTCTGTGAAGGATCAGGTCTCCTTCAACACCCTGATGCCTTATAGTTGTCGGGGGGGTATATGCTGGCCGGCGATAGTTGCTACAAGAACGATGAGAAATCCTCAGGCCGTGATGCAGACGTCCTCAAACCCCCCGTCGTCGTCTGAGATTAAAGAAACGGAAACAAGGAGTGAAAAGAAAAGGAGATTTTGATGCAATGCACGCAGGGTGTTTCTATAATGATGAATAAGAAGGTGGCTTGACAGACGAAGCACCTAGAGAAAAGGCTGGGTAAGCAACAGAACGGAGGAAAGACGTCGTGAAGAATCCAACAGAAATGAGACCACGATTGTGAGATGTCAATGATCTCTCTCTGTCTCTGTCTCTCTCTCTCTCACTCACTCTCTGAGAGTTTGGCCGGAAATACTGTCCACAAACATTGAGCAGGCGTTTTTTATTTTATGGGCCTGATTTGAGGATCAGGCCCATAAAGTAACCAGGTCCATTAGTAAGATTCCTAGAGCCCAGGCCGTGTACAGCGGAATCTGAGCCCATGGTACCATTAATGGGCCGGTCCACGAAACGTATCTTCGTACAATACGGAAATAATGGGCCATGGACGGCGGAATCTCGGCAAAATGGGTACGTGTCTCATCCATATTCTCCGGAGTCTTGGACGGACGTCGCTGGGGAGTTTCCTGGGCGTGTGGGGCCCACTGATCTGAATCAATAAAGGAAGCATCAGGAAGCGTTCATCTCTACGACGGCCAGATGAGAGAGAGAGAGAGAGAGAGAGAGAGAGAGAGAATAAGATAGAAGAAGAGAGGGCCCGCAGGAAGGTGTAGAGGGAAGAAGAGGGGCGTCGAGATCCTGCCGGTCGTCTTCCTCCCGCGCTGGTCCGTCGGAGAGGGAAGGAAGGGAGTTCAAATTCGGCGGAATTGTCGTTGCAACCATGCGCACAAGCAGGTGCTGTATCTTTCTTGAGATCCTGATCGCCATTCTGCTTCCCCCTCTCGGGGTTTTCCTCCGCCACGGCTGCTGCACGGTGAGTCCGCTGCTTCACGGCGATCTTCGTTTTCTCCCCTTTCTTGGCCCCAATCTGATGCGTCCCTCTCCGCGAGTTCTTCCCCTTTTATGCAGTTGGAGTTTTGCATCAGCTTGCTGCTGACTTTCCTGGGATACGTTCCGGGAATCATCTATGCGGTGTATGTGATCGTCGCCGTCGATCCGGAGCCGCCCTATTGCCCGGAGCCTGATTACTGGCGGCCCATCAATGCATAGTAGGCGGCCGCCGGTGGTTTAGATATCGGGTGCCCCCACTTTCACCATCCATCGTCCTGTCCCCGGCCTCACCCTTCGCTCCGTTTTGTCAAAATGGTTTAGTCCCTGTTCTCGGTATTTGAAGATCTCTCCGCACAGGGGTAACCTCGTGCTGGCTTAAGATTAGATCTTCCAATAATGGCAAACGACCTCTTACAGTTTGTGTATTTCCGTCTGTGATTGCAATTTTATTATAGCTTGAACGTCATCTTCTTCTTATTAGCGAGTGATGGATCGGGGGATCCAGTGTTATCTCTCCTTCTGGACCACGTAATTCCCTCACCAGATGCCGCTCCCGCATGGCCTCACGGTTCCTAGCTATCTGTCAGTGCCCTTCACCCCCAATAACATTTACACCTAGAGATCTACAGGTTGTGTGCCTAGATTCCCATAAGCTTCTCAGATGTCGGCCCCAATCGAATTATTTTACAAAGTCAACTCAAGGCGTCGATGATGACTCCTCACCGACTATCTAAACCGCGATCTAACCGGCCACAAAACGACTTGTGATCTGCAAGAGGAGAAGAATGCCCGCCTCTCGTGGATACCGCAGCAAAAAACCAGTAAAAAAATCGATGACGTAGAAGAGACAGTCGATTCCCTATTGGAATGGTCAACGGTGAAGGATTGCTGATTCATATGATTTGATCGTGATTCGGGCAGGAATTTACAGGCAACACGTTTGGCTATTTTTATCAACGTTATTTAGAGAAACAGGAGAGTAAAAGATTGCGGAGTGGATTAATTGCCGAATAATCGATGGGGTCCTTCCTCCTATCCGCTTCTGAGATCAAGAGGACACCCTGGGTCGGGCTGCAGAGCTTCTTCACAAGGGTCCGACTCTATAAACCTGCAACTCATTTTTCTTGCTATCTGCTTGTCCTTTTGATTACCCGTGCTACAGCCCTCTCTCTCTCTCTCTCTCTCTCCGCTGTTCATTTTTCATGTTTTCCCTTCAGGTCTGGACTCGATTGATCTGGGTCTCGTAGACAGCATGTGGGTTTTGTGTAGTTTCGGCAAGAACGAAGACCATCCTCGACCCTAAAGTCAACACACCACTCTCTGGGATTATGCGCCGCAGTAATAGTAGCTGCTTCTCCAAGAAAAAAAACCCATAAAAAGCACCCTCATGAACCGCTGCTACCCGCCGGCGAGATAACTCGGATTCAGCATATTATTGTCTTAATCGCAACCGATCGCTTCGGTTGGGGCTTCCTTCACCCTCATGAACAGGAGCAAAATGGTCTCTTTTGTCAAACAGCCTTAAGAACAGGATTACCAGATAAATCAATCACTCTCGAAAGAAATAAACCCAAACCAATATAAACCCTTCCAATCAGATTTCTGGATGTCACTCATTCCATGTTCTTCATTCTTCACTCTTCATTGGCCTCGAGATATCTAATGTTCAAGTTTCAGAAACTCGTGTGGATGCGCTCTCAGCCAGAGTACCAGATTCAGTACAGAAACCCTCTTTAGAATCCAGCGAATTTCAGCCTTCAAGAGAGCACAGAACCAGCTCCCTCTCACGACCTTTGGAATTTCTAAGATCGGAACCCATACAATCACTTGATCATATCTTATGCCGAGTTTGGATCATCGTTTCATGAATTAATTTGCCTGAATTCCGCTTTTTTCTGGGGGGGGGGGGGGTAAAAAGTTGAAAATGGGGATTCTATGAGAACACATTTTGTCCACTCGAGCATCAACTTCCATGGCAGGAGATGCTGCAAACTCGGAGAGACTCACTTCACAGAAGCTCGACGACCATGGGGAGGTGCTACAGAATGGGTAAAATGATTGGAGCCGGATTAGGAGATAAATGTGTTAAATTTCACATCGCTTGCCTCTTTTTGCTAAACATGCAGTAAATTTTCAACCTTGCTCGACAAATGGTAAACAAGAAGGGTCCTGAGAACAATGAGAATTCGGGTAGCTACCCATTTCCATCGAGGTATTCAGCAGATCTTCGAAGGGCCATAGCTCCTTCTCTCACCCATCAGGGCGCATAGTTACCAATCCGGCTACTGGATCATCGTATCTTCAATTATGTGTAGATTAATGCCTAAAAGTATGTAGCCCCTGAAGCAGATGAGCCCTAAAAGTTTGGTCCCTCGTATCCGTAGTAATTGAAGTGTAGAAGACGTTATCTGATCATTGGTGTGAAGATGATCATCTCGCTCGTATGAAAGCGGCGAAAATTCCTCCCCCCCTCGCCCCCCCGTTGATTGATGATATTCGCGACGGTGAACGGCGAATCAGACCATTGAAAGCTCTCGATCGCGATCCACCTTCTCCGGCGACGATGGGGAGAACTTCCTCGAGAGGGAAAGGAAGACCGCCGCGATGAATACACCGAAGACGTCCGCGACGCCGTCCTTGAGCGAGGCTCCGGCGGATTCCCAGAATCCGAGCTCGTCCCCGGCCTCCTTGGCGATCCCCGCGACGAGGGCCGTACCGCAGCCCAGCGGCGTTGACCATCGTCTCAGGAAGCGATACCGTGATCGGCTCAACACGCCCGACACGCAGGCGGTGATGAGAAGGCAAGCAACAACGTGCTGGAGCTTGTCGGGTGCAAGCCACTCGTCCCCGTTCTCCATGACCGGCAGGTCTCCAACCCCACGAAACTGTAGTCCGCCAATCCCTAACGTCTCGAAGGAGCAACCTCGAACTAGGGCGGAACGGGCTGGGCTGCAAGCTCTGGTCTTTGATTAGGTTAATTCAACGGCCCAACAAAGTGAGGTGGGTAACGGTGGATTGTCCGAGGTCCCACCGTGGTGGCGAGGACAGTTGGGTGGGCTTCGTCACCACCCTCCTCCACTACCACCTACCGCAGGAGTGAAAGTGCAGAAAGGACCAGAGCACCCAAGTGGAGAGTAGAAGGAAAAGGGGTCGTGCGAAAGGCATAGTTGCTGGGACGATGATTAGCCTTCCAGGCGGGCGACTAAAAATTTTCTGGCTAGATGAACTGTGGAATTAGACAAAGAATGCAATAGACTGTCGTGCCCACAATAATGGAGAGGACGATCCAATCGGTCTGAAAAAGAAGATCTTGAGACTGTCGATCGATCTGTCTCCGGAAAACATGCTCTCCCCACGAGGGGTCTCTCTCTCTCTCTCTCTCTCTCGCTCGCTCGCTAGCTCTCACTGTGGTGCAGTTAGAAGTCGCGGACGACCTTCCGGAACTTGGTCATGTGGTCCTCCTGGAGGGAGATGGCGAGAGAGAAGCTGCCGTCTCCGGTGGCGCTGGGAATCATGAAGGCCAGCCCCTCGTAGGAGATGCCGCCGGGGCCCATGAACACCGGCCTGCCCCAGCCAAAGTCCGCGTCGTGTATCGGAAGGCGCACCCAGCTAGTGATCCCCAAGTTAGGGCACCGGAATGTATGGGCTCCCCGCACCAGCTTTGACAGATCCGGCTGGAGCTCCAGGTAGTCCAGCGCCGACCGGAGATAGTCGTCGTCCATCCGCGCCAGGGCCTCCTGTATCCTCCCCGCAGCGCAAGTCACCGGACCCTGCAGGATCTCTCCCGCGGCCGCCATCGGCGTCGCCGTGAAGATGACGTTCCCGAAGTATCCCGCCGGAAGGCTGGGCCTCAGGCGGGCTCGCCCGTCGGTGGCTATGTACAACTTCGTCTGCTGGTCGTCCTCCAGGCCCCTCGCCTTGCAGACGCTCCGCCATACGTGCCCTGCTAGGAGCGCGTACGAGCTGTACATCTTCCCGTCTCCCTCCTCCCGAGCCTTGGCCTTGAGTGCATTCACATCCTCTGGAGTGAATTTGAACATGGCGACGGAAGCCGGCGGCGGCGTAGCGGGAGCCTCGGAAGGATTCTCGGGCACCGGCGGCGCCGTCGCGTTCATGGAGGGAGGGGGCTGGTACTCAACGTGGTGGAAGCGCAGCGCGGGGGGGTCACGGGCGCGGAGAATCGTGCGGTCAATGAAGGGCAACGAGGAGATGTCGATCCCGCGAGCGACGTCGGACCAGGAGTTGATGAAATGGAGGCCGGAGAAGCCGTCCGCCACATGGTGTTGCATCCCCACGCCGAGAGAAACGCCGCCGCACTTGAAGTAGGTCACCTGGAGGACAAGGAGGGGGAAGGTGGAGATGTCCTTCGAGTAATCAACGGCGGGGATGAGCCGTTTCAGCTCCATGGTGGGCGCGAAGTCGCCGAAGTCGTCCACCGTGGAGTCGGTTTCTGCCTCGACGAAGAGCACCCCCTCGCCGTTGCAGTTGATCTCGATGCGGCCATCCTCGTCCCTCCGCAGGCGACCAGCCATGGGGTAGAAAGGAACAAGCGCTTTGGCAAGGGCCTCCTTGAGCACACCGGCGTGGAAGAAGTTCTCCGAGCCGTCGGGTCTGTAGAAGTAGACGCTGGGGGTGTGGAAGCGGGGCACCACCAGGTCAACGTTGGAGTTCCAGAGGGCGCGCTGGGGCGTAGGCAGCACAGGCCGCACCATGGTCGACTCCCTCACGTATATCTTCATCTCCACTGCCCGATTAGTGATTGTACGCAATACCACCTCCTCAGCTCGAGATGGCTCTCCTCAAATCTCAAGAAACCAATCCCGCTCTCTGATTTTTAATCGGTATTTCCTGAAAGCACAAAGCCGATTATCAGATCCTAAGTTCTCATTAAACCATCCAACAAACTTGGTAAATGCCCATCTCTCTCTGCGCAGCGTGGTCCAACGGGAGCAATAAGAAAATCGTAGTTATGAGAATAGCCGGTGGAGTTTGAGAAAAAGCGAGAAAACGGGGTTGGTGGAGGTGGATGGACAAGGTGTCTCGTGTTGCGGGTGAGATAGCGACTGAAGGGCATTTTCTGCAGGAAGCAATGACGAAGCCCGAGTGGGGGGGAGACCCGGATCAGGTTTATGGCAAATCTGGCGACCTGCTCCGCTTAAACAAGGCCTTCCAACAAACGGAGGGGAAGATAAAACAGGAGTTAGGTTTTCTTAGCCTGTCCATCCACCAAATTCCTCCCCACGCCTGCAGAGGAAAAGTCTGCGGTCTCTGTTTGTCTCTCTTTCTCGCTGCCCAGGGAAGAGGAAGATCAAGACGAAGAAGAGTCGCCCATGGAGAGCACGCTCTACAATTCTATGCTTTCCCGTGAATTCAATCCACCTCTCGTGTTCCTATCTGATTTCCACGATCTAAATCTAAAGATCTCCCCAGAGAAGTCGTATCACGGAGGGAGGGGAAGATAAACCCAGGGGTGAGAGGGAGAAGAAACCGACGTGCGGGAAAACCTTAAGGCGATCGATGAATGACCTCTCTCCACCATCCCCAGACAGCGGCGCTCTTACCTCCAAAGAGACGGGGCCTCTCGTCGACCTCTTGCAGTCACACCAAAATGACTAATTCTCTCCTTTCTTTACGAAGGAGAGGGAGAGCGTTCAACAGGAACGCGGCGCAGGACGACGCTCTTCGTAGAGAGATGTTGAACACTGGAGCTTCGAGGAGGATTTAAAGACAGGCGGAGACCTAGAAAGTTTCCTTACATCTGCCGCGACGGAAGTGACCCGCCGCCCTGAATGGAGTTGGTGATGGTCTGACCCGGCATCACCCCAGCTCACCGAACGTTATCCGATTTCGCTCTAGCTTCCTCCTCACCGGGAGACACGTAACACCGCTTCTGTTCTCTCTCTCTCTCTTTCTCTCTATCTCTCACCTACCGCGGAACATTCTCCAGAGAGGGTCAAGCGGTCAAACAAGGCCGCCAATTTAGGATACGTTGCAGGCAACGATTTCGTCTCTTGGAAAAAAATGTCACCCGACTAGGTCCGCGAGGGACTAGTGCATCGGAATCGATCAGAAGCAGCCTGTACTCTCTCTCTCCCTCTCTCTCTCTCTCTCTCTCTCTCTCTCTCTCTCTCTCTCCCTCCAAAGAGAGTTGACTAGTGCATCGGAATCGATCAGATTTCCAAGTGCAGCTCGTGACTGACGCACCCGACTAGGTCCGCGAGGGACAGGGAGCCCCATGTCGACCGACATAGGACTCACCTAATCATTGTCAAACATAGGCTGATAACACTTTTATCGTCGTCATTAGGATGCTTAATTTCTGAACCTAATCTAATATTTTTCATAAATTTGAAATACGTAATATTTTAAAATAACGCATTAATTCATTTTAAAAACAGTACAGATAATATATTCTACAAGGAGTGTCTACGTATTGGACTGATTCTGCCGGAAAGAACCAGGGAGAACCAGCGTGAGATCAAAAGAGGTCATGGAAGGAGAGCTGCCGGTGTTTCGTCTCCGATATTTACTACGATATGGGAGAACCCAACCCCGATAGAGGCGGGAAGTGAGGGTGAAGGAGGTTAGCTGGAAGGTAGGACAGCTCTGGGGCATGCGGCCTGATGCTGGCCGGCGGTACGTTCCCGGAAGGGCGGCCGAACTGCCAAAGAGATAGAGTTACAGTGATTCTTCAAATTCGTCTCTAAACTTTCCAGAGAAGGGGCCGTCTTGCAGGCATTTGGCTAAATTCGCAACCTCCCGCTCCTGTGATTCATCTCTTTTCACGATCAGTAGTAGTTGGGATCTTATCTTCATACCTGAGTCGTCCTTCCCCTTCGTTCTCGGATCTCCAATGGCGGGCACTCGCCAGTGATGGCTGCTGCAGCTCTTTCGTGCTTGCCATCGCACAACCCTACGCAAGGAAACAGAGTGATAAAGCGGGAAGTCATGCAGGGAAAGCCGGCCGACGCCATCATCGCCTATATCAGAATGCAGGAGTTAGGGTTCTCAGCAGACAACTTCACGTTTCCTCTCCTGCTGAAGGCGGCCTCCGATCTTCCGTCCATGATTACGGGGGCTGCCCTCCACGGGCAGACCACGAAGACCGGCTACTCCAACCATGCCTTCGTGCAAACTGCTCTGATGAATATGTATTCCACCCTTGGCCAAGTAGACGGCGCCTCCCGCGTGTTCATGGCGATGGTCCACAAGGATCTCGTCTCGTGGAACTCCATGCTGCAGGCTTACGTCTCCAATGGCCGAATGGATGATGCCGTGGAACTGTTCGCCGTAATGTCTGTGAAGGACCAGGTCTCCTTCAACACCCTGATATCTGGTTTCGCCAAGGTGAGGGACACTGCCAGCGCGATGCTGGTCTTCCGCGGATGCCCTGCTCGTGACGTCGTCTCGTGGAACACGGTGATCTCCGCCTACGTGAGGGCAGGGGCAATAGAATCAGCTCGCTCCCTATTCGCGGAGATGCCGGAGAAGAATGCCGCGTCGTGGAACACTCTCATGGCGGGGTACCTGCAGAGCCATCTCTACGCGGAGGCCGTCGAACTGTTCTACGAGATGAAGCTCCGGGGATCCAACCCTAACCACCTGACCTACGCCAGCGTTCTTTCTGCCTGCGCAAGCATGGGTTTGTTAACCGCAGGAAAAAAAATCCACATCCAGGCAGGCCAGGCCGGCCTCGCTTGGAACCCTCACATTGTGGCTTCTCTGATCGACATGTACTCCAAATGCGGCAATCTGGAAGGAGCTCTAGAGGTCTTCTACAAGGCTCCCCACAGAGATATATTCTGCTGGAACGCCATGATATCCGGTCTCGCCTCGCACGGCCACGGCGAGACGTGCATACGTCTCTTCGACGAGATGAGAGCCGGAGGGACGAAACCAGACGACATCACATTCATCGGGCTCCTGAGCGGGTGCGCCCACGCGGGGCTGGTCGGCGAAGGCCGCCGTATCTTCGAGGACATGGAGAGGCGGCATGGGACGATGCCAAAGTCGGAGCACTACGCCTGCCTGGTGGATCTCCTCTCGCGCGCAGGGGATCTCACGGCTGCCTATGAGATCGTGGAGACAATGCCGTTCGAGGCAGAGGCCGCCGCCTTGGGTGCGCTACTTGCCGCCTGCGTGGGCCATGGGAACCTGGAGATCGGAGAGGCGGTGGCCGCCCGCATGGTGGAGAGAGCGGATCGATTGACGGACGGTGAGTACATGATGCTGGCGAATCTGTACGCGGCCTGCGGCAGATGGGAAGAGGCCGGCAGATGGAGGGGGAGGATGAACAATGAAGACGGTCTGAAGAAGACGGCTGGTTGGAGCGAGATAGAGGTGGTAGGCAGGGTGTACAGATTTCAGGCCGGAGAACGGGTTCATTGACAGTTCCACACCTTTCATTTCGATGGAGAGAGAGAGAGAGAGAGAGAGAGAGGAGGTATTTATGTAATTACAGGATCCCATCTCCCATTCTCCCGCCTCGTCTCTGTTTTCAAGAGTTGTGTTGCTCTCGTTTAGGAGATAGAGGAATGGGGTCGGTTTCCGGCTCGAAGCCGATCGCGGAACCTGACGCCCTCAAGATCGCCATCGCAGTCGCCTTCGCCCTTTTCCGATCGAAGCGTCTCGGCCAGCAATCTGCTCCTCCCTCCTCGTCCCTTTCTGATTCGGATGTCCACCGCTGGAAGAGAAAGGTGTTGTTCGCTCATCACCATCTCTTTCTGTCGGCAGCTCGCTCTTTGCCTCCCTTTGAAGAAACAGTTCGAAGGAAATCTGGTCATCCTGAATTCGAATTCTCCAGGCTAAGGAGAGGAAACGAGAGCTCATTAGTCTCAAAGAAGAGCTCAAGCAACTCGAAGAGGGGAGAGAACCGCAGTCCGATGCTGTCCCCCAGATCGTGTCCTGCAGATGCCATTTCTTTGATGGATGTGGACTCTCAGGCGCAAGAAACCTTTCGTCAGGTGTAGAGGGCATTGGTGACGGCGATGCTGGATGTAATGACTGGATTGATGATGTTTTGAGGCGAAGATTTTTGAGGCAGGGTACGTCGTTTAATCTGGTGTTATTCGCTTTATGATATCTGGTATTCATCTCCTAGACAATCAGCAATTTATATCTACGATTCTCAGTTCGTTGGAGAGAGAGAGAGAGGAGGATTGACGGCTCCACCCGAAAGAGGCACTGCGTAGGTAGGTGCTTTCATTTGGTTTTGATTTGGAGTTTAATGCAGTGTGTAATGTCCGTATTAGTGTTGTACCTTGCCTCGGAGGTTTCTAGTACGAGATAGGTGCATTACACTTTTCTTCAGTTGTAAATGCGGAACAGTTGAACATTATCGAATTATGAAATATATTCTTTCCATCAGAGTTAGGCTAGAGACTAAACTGCCACGTGGAGTTTCAGAAATGTAATTTCCCGTTGCGCAATGGGCAATGGTTCGAGAAAGAACAGAATGGCCTTAAAATCGAGCTTTGTTAAAAGTTGACCTGAGAAAGAGCATCTGGCCTTTGGGTTCAAAACGTCGATTTTTTTTTCTAACAGATTAAACTAAATCTAATTTTTGTTAGTTTTTGTTTCATCTAGTGGTGTCTAGTTTTTGATATTCCTGGAATAATCTCAGATTTAGATGATAACAACGAGATGGAGTGGCTATGCACATCTGTTGATTTCCTATTGGAATTGTGTGGCAGCGATTTTTCTGTAAGAGAACATTGCTTGGTTGCATTTATCCCTTCTATCATCACTATTCAGGAGCACATAAAAATGCAATCCTCAGTTTCTCAGTCTATTTCGTTTTTGTGCAGGAAAATGGAAACTGTAATTTTGCCTCATTATCTCACCAAGCCATGGACTCTATATTAGGTAAATAACGGTTCCCATATCTTAACAGACGGATTCCTCCTTTGCAAGATGAACTTGCGAAAGCTTCCTTCTAAGATCAAAAGCATTAGTTGCCTATGTTTTCTCTTTCGTAAGCCCCTCACATCACATCTATTATCTAGAAAGATCCCAATTTGACTATTTTTTTTCCGTCCTTTACTTTGTTTAAATTGGTATTCTACTCGACAAAAAGATGTGCATAGTTCACATGCTCTATTTTGTTGGAACTGACAGACTTTTACCTATTCATTCACATTTCACGTTCCTCTTTTGAAATAAATGCAAACTATTTCATTCTAGAGTCAATACCGTCGTGACACAGAATGGAATCACAGGAAATGAGAATGGCTCCAAGAGTTGGGCCCAAAAGGTCGAAACTGGTGGAATCTTCAGGACCAAAACATTTAAGCCAAAAAAGGTCTAGAAGGGACATGGAACGTCCAGAAGTATCATGTACATAGAGATCTGTTATTTAATTGCGGTAGCTACTATTTTCTTAGAATCCTTTAATTTTGTAATTCTATTACTAGGGTCTATTTTTTAACAGATCTAGAAAAAAAATTGCCTATTGTGAGGTAAGCATTCTATAAGGCCCCTTCTATGATTGTTGCTTTCAATTTCTGTCATTCATTTGGATTCAAGGATTCTATTTTTCATTCCTGGTGAATTCCAAGTTCCTCCTTTTTGCTCCTTGTCAATTCAAGGATCTCTTCTATTTCTTCTAGATTGAAGGTTAAATCTTCCTCCCGGGTTCTACTGCATCATACCTATAGCATGTAAATATTAGCAACTATACGCAAAGGAGAAGCTTGATCTTTTAGTATCAATTCTTTTTCTTTATTTTTCTTGTACTATTTTTTCTCGTTCTCAGCTTTCCTTTGTTCTTCTTACGTAATTTGAACTGGATTGGTATTCTATTGACGCTTACATTCCATAGTAACTGCTACTTTTTTTATGACTCAAGAAATTTGTGTGTGAAAGGCTATTTAATTGTAATATAACTGAGGAAACCGATCCAGTTGTCATTGCTGGATGAGCTGGTTATGTATTTGAAAATAACTTAATTATTTGCCATCAACTTCATATATCCTCCTTTTGTCAATCGTTTCTTTTTATAGTTCGGGATGAAGGCTTATTTTCCTTGTAAGCACATTTTAATGGCTATTGTGGTGATTTATTTGCTATTGAAAGTTAAGAACCCTATATCTTTGAATAATTGCATAACTTTAAAAAATGAATAATGAATTATTTACAGCACCATCATCACCGATTCATACTTTATGCGTTTAATATTTTCCCTCCTTGACTGAATTCTTAGTCAGCGAATTCTCCATGAATAATTCCCGGTTTTTTGTGACAAGTTTCACTGAAGAAGTTAATATTGTCAAAGAAGGATGATGAAATTATTGAAGATGTTGTCAATAGATTGCTGACCTGTCTGTTACAAAGAATGTGCAGCTACTCAGGGAAAAACGGTAATCCTTCACATCTTTATTATGTTATGCGTGCCTTCTCTTATCTTCTGTTGTGTCTCATAAACGTACACGATAATTTTGATATTAATTCTTATTCAAGGCTGATGAAGCATAAGAAAGCATCCAGTTGAACTTCTTATAGTGTGCTTGTATGTTTGCAGCAGGGTGGATTGACACAAACCAAACAAGTATAAATATAGGGGAAAAAATGTCCTAACAATTCATAGAACGATGGCTAGTTGTATACAATTACGCCGGCCACAGAAAAGGATGAAAACCTAGGTTGAATCCCACGGTTTATGGGATACTCAACCAAATTAGGAAAATAACCAACACCCTAACCAACCTCGGAAACTGACCAAAAACCTAACCAACTTGGGATGCTGAGAAACAAAAACCAACTCGCATTTACACTTTTTTTCCCTCATGGATAAATATGGCTATTGTCGAACATTGATGCAAATATCTTATTGCTGATATCTCACAGTATGTTTCGTCTTAAGGTGGTCTGCAATTTTTTTAATTTTTATGATACTTATTTGGCTATCCTCTCTTGTATTCTATGAGAACATGCAAAAGGTCCATGATTTTGAGCATTTTCCTAATTAGAAATCACACAGTTCATGTTGTCTAATATTTTCTCTCCAGCTTTACTTTATTTTACTGGAAGTCCTTAAATTTCCTTTTCTTGGCTATTTTCCTCATCAATTTGACTTTAAATATTTTCTCACATTTTTCTGTATTTTTTCTTAATAATTTCTTGACCCCCCTAAAAGGATAGACAAAAGATCGAGATGGAACAATTTCCTTTGGCTGTAAGTGCGCGAGCCAATGCCTCTGTACCTGTATAGTCCTTGAAAAGGAAGGACTATTCACACTTTAACCTGAAGATTTTAACAAAATGCTTTACCATCTGTGGCGTGAAAGAAGTATGAAAACGTCACCATATGATTGTCTCTGCAGAGGTGGAATTTACATGATAATTTCCGTCTGGGCACCAGAACATTGGTACCAAGGTGTACTAATGCCTGTGGAACATTGTCATTCTTATGTTTCATTTTTTCCTATTTTCACTTTGGTTGGAATCTGTTTGGTCTGATTCTCAGTGGTTACCCCACCATCATATGTTTATGACCTCCAGTTTCCCGAGTTTCATTAGTGTTTCTCTTATGTATTATCTTGAAGTAGACGTGCTTGCAGGGCTGAACCATAAAGTGGAGCCATTTTTATGTTTCCCTCACAGAAATCTTTTCTGTTTCATAAATAAATTTCACGAATCTAGAGATGAAAATAGATATCGCAATTCGCATTGACTACTCATACTCTTGATTAATAGTTGTTTGTTTATAGTCAGAGAGCAGTAGCTTTCGGTTTTTTGCTTAGAGCCAATCACCTCATTTGATTCATATTGCAGGAACATGTGTTTCTAGTAGAAAAACGGATATCTACATACAGCACTTAATCCGCAAGCTTGGAGACGAGCCATACATTGGTCAACGAGCAATGCTTTTAGTTTCACAAAAGATATCATCTCTGGCAGACAGCTTACTCGTTACAGATCCATTTGATAATGCTTTTCCTGATATGCATGACCGCATGTTTATGATGTATGTTGTTGCGAATATACACAATTTTAAGCCACTGTAGATTAATTGTGGATGTGTCTCGTATTTGATAATTCGTTGTGCATTGGTTTCGGTTTATTAAAAAGGAATAATGAGAGAATTAGGACACTTGACCTGTAACATCTGCTTCTGTAGAGGCCATGAAAACATCCCCGAGTGTAAGTGAACTCACTTTCGCGATTTTTCTGCAATGTAGAATAAAGTATCTTCTTTTATACTAGATGTTTATTCGATTCGTTAATTCGCTGCTGAAGGGGTCGCGTACAGAGATATCTGTCAACCTGTCGTTTCTAGAAAAGTTAATAACCTATCGAGTGTCCATACAAGCAGGAGTACATTGTGTGTTTCCAAAGACACATACATATATGATTCTATTTAAGTTTTGAAGTGTGGGGTTTTAGCTGCAAGAAGTGCAGCTTTTTAATTCGGCTGAAACTGAGATTAGATGCTTCTTTCGTCCATGCAGGATGCAGCTCACTGAGTTTATAATATCAGACAATTTGCATATTTGGACAAAAAATGGTGACTTGGATAGCAGCAGTAAGCTTCAGATGTACTGTTTTTGATTGATTATTCATTTCATTTATGATGGCTAGTCATCTCTGCCATGCTAGTCATCTGTGCCATCAAAACCTGAAGAATTATGAACTGTCTCACAGAGTACCATCCTCAATTTCCCATCTTTAAGTTTAAGAAAACTTTCAGTGATGGAAATTTTATTTATTTTTGGACCATAGTTAATGGTCCTGCGTTCCGGCAAGGGATAAAAACTTATCCGCTGACAATGGACCTGCCAAATCTCAGAGCTATTTGAGGAGTGGTTGAGGTCGATCCTTCAAGCACGCAAGGCATTGGGAGCTTTGGAGAACAGAAACGGACTGTACCTAATCTACCTAGAGCGTATCATCGGAGCGACTGCCAAACAGGTGGGGCAACTTTCTTACCGATTGGCGCTTAACTCGGAACTTCTTTCTAGTCTTTTTTGCTGATCTATGCCTTTGGCTAGCAAAACAAAAAAAAAAACTTGCTGAGCTTCTAAATGATTCTTGCCCTCTCGAATTCGCCGAGGTTGGTGATTAAAAGCTACACCGAAAAATAAATTGAATTGGGGGTCTTACGCCGCAGGGTGAAGAGATCAAAATCTTCTCTTTCCACCCAGACCCATCACCAGTAGTCCCCACAAGAGCAAGCTCCATCTCTGAAATGATGGAATCTATTCGCATCCCTGACCACGATCACTCTCCTGGTGATCTTCGATATCAATTTCGTCGCATCATGGCAATCGAAGCACACCCTCAGGTTCTTGATAATCCTTATCTCCGTCCCAGACTCGGAGCTGATGAGCCCGAAACAGATCGCCAGCTTCTCACTATGAACCTTCAGCATATGCACCTTCTCCTCCTCCTCTACATCGTACAGTGCATTATCGGTTGCAGCGGAGTACCCCGCCTCCACCATCTTACCAGTCAGCCTCTCCAACTCCTTGTAGATCTCCCCCGCTTGCTCGTGAGACCTGTCACCAGCAGTAAAGAGATGCACGACCCCCCTAACTTCAATGGTGGTGCATCCGGGAGTCTTCATCAACCTCTTGCTCTTGACCCCTTGCCTGACCATGGCAGCCTTTCCGTAGTTGTGCCCAGCAGAGTGTATATTCGACAGAAGAACGTAGTACCCTGTGCTATCTGGCTCCAGTCTGAACAGCCTCTCTGAAGCCACGGAAGCCAAGTTCTCATCCTTGTGTATCATGCAGGCCCCCAGTAAGGCCCCCCAGACGCCAGGCCCTGGATCGGTCGGCAGAGCTTCGATGAACTCCACAGCCTCTCGGAGCCTCCCAGCTCGCCCCAGAAGGTCCACCATGCAGGCCAAGTGCTCGGGGCCTGGCTTGATCCGGTGCTCGGTCTTCATCGACAGGAACAGCTCCCGCCCGGGCTCGACCAGGCCGGCATGGCTGCAGGCGTAGAGCACTGCGAGGAATGTGACCCCGCTTGGCGCCACAGACGCAGCAAGCATCCCGGAGAAGAGGGCGAGGGCCTCCCGCCCCAGACCGTGGAGGCCGTACCCGGCGATCATGGCGTTCCAGGAGACCACGCTCTTCTCCGCCATGCCGTCGAAGATGCGCCTGGCTTCACCGATGCTGCCGCACTTGGCGTACATGTCGATCAGCGCCGTGGAGACGAATATGTTCACCTCCAGGTGCTTGTCTTTGATCATCTGGTGAGCCCACTTCCCCACGGAGAGCGTCCCCAGCTGGGCGCAGGCGGAGAGGACGCTGGTGACGGTGACCGGGTTCGGCGTGATGGCGACCGTCTGCATGGTTCTGAACAGGGAGATCGCCGCCTCCGTCAGGCCGTTCTGGGCATACCCGGAGATCATGGCGTTCCAGGAAGTCAGGCTCTTGTCTGGGACCGCTTCGAAAAGCTTCCTTGCGCACTCCATCCGCCCTAATCTGCTGTACACGGTGACGAGGGCGGTGGAAACCAGCGGGTCGGAGTCTACCCCGCACTTTATGGCGTAGGCGTGGATGCAAGAGGAGAGAAGCTCGTGGCCGAACGGACTGTACGCAGGGACCAGGCCCCCCACCGTGCTGGAGTTCGCCTTTCTTCTCCCGGATACCAGCATCTCCCTGAACAGCCCCACGGAGCTTCCGACATCGGCATTGAGCGAGTACCCGGAGATCATCGCGTTCCAAGCAATTAAATCCGGGCTGATCATTTCGTCGAACAGCAATCTGGAGGTTGCGACATCCCCACACTTGGAGTACATGGAGATCAACGCGGTGACCACGAAGTCATGAGCAGACAGGCCGGCCTTCGTTCCGAGGCAGTGTGTGGACATCCCCAAGCTCAAGTCCCTGAGTTCTGCGACGGCGGGGAGCACTGCAGCCAGCGTTGTGGAGTCGATCTTCAGCCCTTCGCCGAGGAGCCTTGTGAATGCCCTCACCGCCTTTGACAGGCACCCGTTGCGGGCAAACCCGGAGATAAGCGCGTTCCAGGAGACGGTATCCGGGCTAGAAATTCCTTCGAACACCTTCTCGGCAGAGGGGACGCAGTCGAAATGGAAGTACAGGCTGGTGAACGCCGAGCCAACGAACGGGTCAGCGGCGTACCCGTCGATGATCGACTGCGCGTGTAGCGCGCGACCGGCGCCGTCGGAGTCGAAGGCCGCAGCGGCGCTGGCGGCGAAGGCGTAGGTGAAGTCGTCCGGCCGGAGGCGGGTCTCTCGTCTGAGAAGGCTGTAGAGGGAGACGGAGCAGGAGGGGGAGCCATTGAGGTAGCAGGAACGGATGAGGACGTTGAAGAGGAAAAGGTCGGGGTTCGGGAAGGCCGCGAACAGGCGGCGCGCGTGGGCGACGGCGCCGAGGTCGGAGAGCCTCTGGATGAGCTTGGTGGCGGTGGCGACGTCGCCGGCGTGGTGGCCGGAGATGATGGTTTGGGCGTGGATCTGGTAGAGGTGGGAGAGTGTGGAGGACCTGGAGATCAGATCGAGGTAGAAGGGCCGGAGGCTGCGAGGAGGCATAGACTCTGCTCCAAAACCAGCGGGAAGGCGTTTTCGTATTGATATGATTGCTTCGTCGTCGGGAATAAGAGGAGAGAGGTCGGAGTTGGTTATATGTCGAACTGGAGAGAGGATCAGCTCCCAGGAATTGGAATCAGCGCTGGTTTCTCAACGACAATACTCAGACAGATATATCTCATAACACCTTGAAATCAATCTGAAGTACAAAACGCATGACGTGATCCCTTGCTGAAACCATTCTTCACAGACTTGTGCCACGGTTTTTCACATCTCAAGGTGATCTGTCCGCGATGAAGAGTCTGTTCTAGGACGAGAAACACCTCGATGAGTTATGTCCTTGCGCTGGTCTCGTATGTGGGGTTGGGTTCAGAAGATCGCGCATAGGATTGGCGACACCCATAGTAGCCGGGGGGTTGTATGCTGGCCGGTGATGGTTGCTACGAGAACGATGAGAAATCCTCAGGCCGTGCGATGCAGACGTCCTCAAACTCCCCGTTGTCATCTGAGATTAAAGGAACAGAAACAAGGATTGAAAAGAAAAGGAGATTTCGGTGCAATGCACGCAGGGTGTTTCCCTTAATGACGAATAAGAAGGTGGCTTGACGGACGAAGCACCAAGAGAAAAGACTAAGCAACAGAACGGAGGGAAGACGTCATGCAGAATATTACAGAAATGAGACGACGATTATGAGATGTCAATGATCCGGCGAAGGCCAGACCTCTCTCTCTCTCCCCCTCCCTCCCGCACACAAGAGGTGCACGCAGATTGTTGGGCTGAGTTATCTGACCCGGGCCCGAGGTCCAACCAGTACCCCTTTTTCTAAGGGATTATCTAGGCCAGGATTCAGGAAGTAGTGGTCAATGAACCAGCCGACTATGCAAAAACAGCATGTTCCTTGTAAACTTTCAGAAATAAACCACGGAATATTGAAGATGTATCTAGAAACGAGGCTACATAGGAACCTAGATTTACAACATGCGATGCCGCTCCAGCAGTCAGTACCAGAAACAGAAAGTCAACTATTTCCGTTACTGAAGCATCTCTGCGGTTAATATGTGAAGACTATAATACATTGTGTGGTTCACTCATTTTCTCCTTGACTATAATACCTCGCCAAAATACCAAATACCTCTCAATAACTCTCCAAAACAGCCAACTTTTGCCATAGGCTATTAATCTAACTTTTATACCTCACTCAGATTCAAATTGGTGTTTATTAATATCATCATTCATACCAAATCCACAAGTCTCCAATTCACGTAGATTATTCATAACAGAAACTCCAGACCATGGAATTTAACATAGGTCCAATTTAGTCATCTAGTTTCCTATCTGAAAATGGAAAGGAGAATAGAGGGAGCAAGTGGATCAATATGTGAAGACTCCCAGGTGAAAGATGTAGGGGTGTGTGTGCAGGGTTACACACATAGGAGGCTGAACAGCGGGGATTGGTGACATAGAGGGGGAGTCATGGGTCGGGTGCGAGAAATCCACAGAGATCTTGAGAAGGCCAGAATCTCAGGAATAGGGCAGATATGACAGGTTCTCCATGATGACCAAAAGGTCCATTCGACTAATGGGTTCACTCAATAATTAACCAAGATGACAGGGAGAATTAACCAAGATAATTAATCAAGATATTTCGACTTATCTTTAGATCGTGTGTCTAAGAATCAGATTTTTGAAACCTTACTAATAAAGCAAGCTTTTTAGTTCTAGAAGCCTCTGGAAGTTTACGACCTCCAGAAATCAAAAAACCCCTCTTCTAGTCGTTAGGGTCTATAATTTTCCATTGCAAACAGTAATAAAGAATAGAAAGCCCCAGAGAATGATGCTCATAAGTCGTGTTAAGGGAGTATCTTCACCCTCATGAATGGATATGTGCGGCCGACCAATTTTACACTCCAAAGCCACATACAACATTCGGCCTAAAACATATGTCCGACTCCATCACATTTCTTTTCTCGGTCTTCTTCTTTTCTACCTCCTTCCCTTTCTATATCAAGAAAAACAGCTTTTTCTCACAGCCGGTGACGTTTCCTGTGCAGCACACCAATGCTGGCGTCATCTCCATATCTCATACTCTAATCATTTCACTGTTAGGCTCATTGTTGTTCCGTTCAGCGGGTTTTCTATTGCTAGTCAATGGGTTTCAGCAGCAGGGAATCTTTGGAGATCTGCTTATGCCGACAGGAATCCACTCATAACAACCATTATCAACGGCGTTCCTTATAAATGGGCAGTCTCAATAGCCCTTGACCACTTTTTGCCCAATTAAGAATTTACAAAACCACCCGTCAAATCCCAAACAGATGTGGATATAACACTTTCTCCTCTCTTCATTTTATGCCAAACCCAATTCTACCCCACTACTAACCCAGCCCCTTAAGATATCTGATATCAATTGGTGCTATTTCCTGACCCATATGTGAGCCATTAGCCAAAAAGAAAACCCATTTGAACGTCCTTGCGAGGATTCTCTCGAACCATAATACTTATCTAAGCCATGGTGAGTAAGCCAGCCACCTGCCTGAATCTGACAACCAGAATGAAATTCCCACATCATAATATACGTGACCTAGTTTACCAATATCTTCCAAACTGAAATAAAAGGAGAACGATTACAGTGCCAGGATAAGCTCTACTGCATCAGATCAGTAAGACAGGCAAACTGCCCCATGTACATCTGAACGACACCTACATGGTCTACACCATAGGAACTGTGCATATACGACAAATACCACCACATTGCATTGCTAAAATACAGTTGCTTTGACGAAAACTTGAAAGATCTTTTTTCACGTGTTTGGCATTCCATTAAAAGATTTAACGAAAATCACCAACTCTATGGACCAATAAGAGTAATCTGTATGGATGAAGAAAAAGAAACCAGATATGTCTGTGGAAATCTTTCTGGGTTTCAAAACATTAAAACTTAAGGCAGAGATGAAGAAGAGATGGATTGGGGAGGAAAGCAAACCTGTTTTTAACGTTAATGCAACAATAGCATCATTTTCGACCTGGAAGAAGGTGAAGCGTATCAGACACATACGGTTAGATATACTGAACAAAGGTGAAGTGAAACTAAGAAAATGGATAAAGAGAGTTCTCAAATCACAGCATCAACGTTGACATCTTCAATAATATATATTAAAAAAAAAGCTGAAAATTCGACAAGATACCTTCTGCTCTGCCAGTGTTTTAGAATTTTCCAAAATCTGATCAGTTGATACAAGGGTTAGGCGTTGCCTATTTGCTGGTTCGTCAATAAGGGACTGCAGTTTCTGCTTAATCCGAAGGACAGTGTCCGTTGGATCACAGGTCACAAAGTATGTCGTCTTATGACGCTTGACACGAATATACATGGCCTGCACACCATAAACAAACAACTCTCTATCATATACAAAACACATTTAAGTGAGAGAAGAAAATAAACTTGAACCTCGGATACAAAGCTCAAAGACAAATAGGATTATGTTAAAGACTAATAAAAACCAAAATTCGTCGGCAGATTAAAAAGACACTATTTCCAAGGATGAGTATAGTTATGAATGCACAAGGGGGGTAGGGCAATATGATCAAATGACCCAACAGCCAGTATCAATCAGGCACAGAAATTAACTGAAAAGAAAGCGACACATTTTTCTATCGCATTGAACAGGGATGCGGCCGCATGGAGCAGAACAAGACAAATATATTCTCTTAATTAATTGTTTCATTGTCATCGCCGACAGAAAAAGCAAAGTCAAAATGCAACACGGACAAGAAAGTAGGCGACCCTAGGTTTAGATTTATCCAGCTAAACGCACTCGAACGCCAAAATCAGGGAGTACCAGTTCGTCAATCAGAAATTTCTTGAAATCGGAAGAAGATGTCAATTAAATACAGATTTATCCAGCTAAACGCACTGAAACGCCAAAATCAGGGAGTTCCGGTTCATCAATCACTACAATTTTTTCTTGAAATCGGAAGAGAATGTCTGCTAAATATAGTCCAGGGTGAACATTTTGAATTTTTTTTTTATTTCTTCGTGGACAGGTTTACAGTTATGGATCAGCGACAGAATCATCCGACATATGGTCATCATTGATGTTCCCACTCCCAGTAAATGTTCCCGTTGTATGTTGCACAAAAGTTCGGTGCACCAGATCAGCGACCAAATTTCGAGCAGCACCAAAATTAACTGAGCCTCCATAACATCCCTAACAAAGGTATAAAGAAATCCTAAAAGTACAACTGAAATCAGGTGAAGAGGGCAATCTGATGGAACGAAAATGTATTGGGAATTGTCTCTCGTCGGTGGGATGAAACATGGTGGTGCAACCGACGGTGGCTCCCATCCTGGGGAATGAGCCGGAGGTGAACTGAGGGACGCGCAACCACTTCATGCGGGATGGGCAGACGTTCGATCCCAAGCCTATTTTAAAAAAAACAGAATGGCCTTAAAAGTCAGAGGGCCTACCATCTCAGCCGAGTTCACGGGGAAACCCTAGCGAACGGGGAAGCCGAAGCAACAAACGATCCCCAATCTCGAATAGTCAACGATGCGCGGAGAAAAAGAAACAAGGAAGGTGACTCCGGTTCCCTGGCGATGAGGGAGACGACGCGACTCCTGCCCTACGAAATGGGCGACTCCTTGGGTGAGGTCGTTGGTACTCGGATTCCCGTCGCTAGCTGTGGCCTCTGCACGACTCGAAGTGAAAGAAGGGAAGGGTGAGAGGAAAAGCACCGAAGCTGATTTACCGATTCACTGAAGCTGATTTCCTCTCTCTCTCTCTCTCTCTCTCTCTCTCACATTAGACTCCACATCTTACGTAACCTATATGGGCCGGGCTAAAGTGGGCCTAGTGGGCCTCGTACTGACCGTATGGGCTAAGGTTATACCAAGTGCGCCTTTTTAATTTAAAATTACAGATATCGGAAAAAAATTGGAATAAGAAATTGATCGAGTAGATATTTTGCGCGACTTGGGACAGCTTAGGTTGCTCCGCGGAGTAGGGTAACAGAGCTCGACGGGTCGAGAGGGATAAGAGGCATATTATTGTATGACTCGTGGGGACTCTGGACGGGTCGGACCGTTTTCGGCCGCCCGCAGCATATCAGAAAACTGGCCTTTCCAGGTTGTGGGGTCTCAGCTGGGTTGGAGGGTGATCTCTGGAAGAAGCTGACGAGCTTCTAAAGAGGTAGGTGGTCGTCTCTCTGGCTGCTGTAGCCGCCCTTCCCCCATGTACTTGCAGAAAGCCCTGCATCTGAAAAGGCCTCGCCAATGGCCTCTTCTCTTTGAGAAATCTCTGTGATGGGTCTGGTCGCGGCTTCTTGAGAGTCCTGCCCGGTGGGGGGGGGGGAGGATTTCCTTGGGGAATTGGGGCTTTCTTGCCCGGCCGGAGGGAGGGCAGATGCCATGGCTTCTCTGAAATTGTATTTTGCTTCGGAGATCCGTGAACGGAGGAGGTGCAGTTCTTCCAGTGCCGAGTTCTTTCCGGCGGGGTTTATCGAATGTATCTCTGGAGCGCCGCACGTCTCCGGAGGCAATGCGGTTCGCAGGAAGAGCGTTGTGAAGAGAAGTGGTGCGAGATTTCACGACCTGCTCATTGGCCTTAGAGAAGAGAAATCATCTAATGATCCGTCCTGTAGACTGAATCGTATTGGGGTCGTCGGCCTGCAAGAGATTGGGGGAGCATCCCCAGTACCCGAGCTAGTCGAGGAAAGCAAGCAAGAGGGAGAAGCTGATGAGGCCTGCGAAGGAGATGGCGTCCCTGCGAAGAACTATGCTTCCAATTTAGCGAAACTCAAGAAGATGGTCCTTGGCGAAAACATGGGCACAAGGCATGAGAGAAAGGTGCGGGACCGCCTTGTGGCTTCCGAGGGGGAAATCCGCAGAGATGCTGCTCCCTTACCCATCTCTGCAAAAGGGGGAAGATCAAAGTTTGTGAGGAGGGACGCAGATTTGGAGGTCTCTATGTCTTCTGTGGGGCTCCAGACAAGCCAGGAACGCTGCAACTCCATCCTCAAGCAGTTGGAGCAGGACGGTGATGAGAAGATGTTGAAATTTTTTGAGTTGATGAGAATAAATGGGAAATTGGCACAAAATCCAACCGCTTACACCACAGCCCTTCGAGCATGGGTGAGGAAGGGAGATTGGCTTACAGTGGAAGCATTGCTCCAAGAGATGACTTTGTCAGGTTGTGAGTTGACCTGCGCGGTTTTCAACTCACTCATCCTCGAATGCAGTAAAAGAGGGATTGTGAACATTGGGGCAAAATTGTCTCAGATGATGCTAGATAAAGGGATTCGACCTGACAAAGCGACCTTCGCCATGCTTATGACCCTTTACCAAAAGGGTGGCAATCTCTCTGAAGCCGAGCTGACCTTCAATCAGATGAGAAGCAGTAAGACAAAGTGCGTGACTGGTTATTCAGCGATGATCACTATTTATACGCGGACTGGGCTGTATGATAAGTCAGAGGGCATCATCAACCTCATGGAGGAAGATGGAATCCCACCAAATCTTGAGAATTGGCTGGTCCGGATAAATGCTTACAGTCAGCAAGGAAAGCTAGAAGAAGCCGAATCAGTGCTGAAGTCAATGAGGGACGCAGGGTTTTCGCCAAACATTGTTGCATATAACACCTTGATCACCGGATACGGAAAGGTTTCTGACTCCGATGCTGCCCGGCATCTGTTTCAGGGTCTCCAATCTCTTGGCTTGAAGCCCGATGCGACAACATACAGGTCCATGATCGAAGGATGTGGTAGAGAGGGTAACTACAAGGAGGCTAGACGATTCTATTTGAAGCTAAAAACCGCAGGCTTTCGTCCGAGCTCGTCGAACTTCTACACCATGATCAACTTACAGGCGAGGCATGGGGATGACGACGGTGCTGTTCAGATTCTCAAAGACATGAGGTTATTGGGCTGCCAGTATCCCTCAATTCTTGGCATTCTTCTCCAGGCGTATGAGAGGGTGGGGGGAGTGAGCAGGGTTCCTCGCATGTTGATCCCCTCCTTCTACGAGGACATCCTCGCTGATCAGACATCTTGCTCTATACTGGTCCTGGCATATGTGCAGGCCTCCTTGTTGGATGACGCCTTGGCCATTCTACGGAAGCGGAAGTGGAAGGACTCTGCATACGAAGACAACTTGTACCATCTTCTGATCTGTTCCTGCAAGGAGGCGGGCAGCTACGAGAACGCCGATATCATCTTCAAGCAGATGTTGGAACTGGGGAGAGACCCAAACCTGCACATCACGAGCTCCATGATCGATATCTACGGATCCATGGGTAGGTTTCAGGCCGCAAAGGATCTTCATCTGAGGCTGGAGGCCTCTGGGGTCCCCCTGGACATGGTCGCATACAGCATACTCGTGAGGATGTACGTGAAGGCCGGGTCCCTCGAGGATGCTTGCGCCGTTCTAGAATCTATGGACCGGAGGAAAGATATTATCCCCGACACCTTCCTCTACCGCGACATGCTGCGGATATACCAGCGCTGCGGCATGCGGGAGAAGCTGGCGGACGTCTACTACAGAATGCTGAGGAGCGGGCTGGCGTGGGATGAGGCGATGTACAATTGCGTCATAAATTGCTGTGCCCGGGCACTGCCCGTGGACGAGATTTCCAAGCTCTTCGACGAGATGATCGGACACGGGTATGCGGCAAACACGATAACCTTCAATGTGATGATGGATGTCTATTGCAAGGCGGGTCTCCTGGTGAAGGCCAGGAAGCTGTTCTCCATGGCCAAGAAGCAGGGCTTGGCCGACGTGATCTCCTACAATATCATCATAGCCGCTTATGGGCAAGCCAGGGACTTCCGGAGGATGGAGTATATCGTCCAGCAGATGCGGATTGCCGGGTACCCGGTCTCACTGGAGGCTTACAACTCCATGCTGGATGCGTACGGAAAGGAAGACCAGGTGGAGGAGTTCAAGTGCGTGCTGAAGAAGATGAAGGAGCTGAGGTGCGACTCGGATCATTATACGTATAATACCTTGATTAACATATACGGGAGGAAAGGCTGGATAGAGGAGGTGGCTGATGTTCTTGCCGAATTAAGGGGGAGGGGCCTGGAGCCCGATTTGTACAGCTACAACACGTTGATTAAGGTGTATGGGATTGCTGGGATGGTTGAGGAGGCGGTGGATGTCGTGCGGGAGATGAGAGCACAAGGAGTTCAGCCGGATCGAGTGACTTACAGTACTCTCATTTGCGCTCTTCAGAGAAACGAAGAGTTCCTGGAAGCTGTGAAATGGTCTCTCTGGATGAAGCAGATAGAGCTGGGCAGCTGAGGCTGTCGACTGTCTGCTGCTTCCGAGCATCAGAATCCTTCATATTTATGGCAGATCTTCACATGTTTTTCCACGGTTGCGTTTTTTTCGGCTTATCTTCACATGTTCTTGCCAAAAATTAACACAATTTACGCTGTGGGATCAGAAGCTTTGCCCCCGCTTTAAGGTACCTTGGGTCCATCATTGTACAGGCAAGTACCATGATTTTAGAGAGATAAATAATATGATAATATACTTCTTTGTACTGATGCTATCTTGTTGGTGGGTCGCCGCCCATTTGCCTGCGAGAGAATATCTTATCGGGTCTGGTCAGTTCGATGATAAGTCAACTAGTTCTTCCGTGTCTGGTTCGAACTCTCGATCTTTCCTGCGTTTTCTGGGGGTTCAACGTTTTCTGGCGACGTTTTCCTTGTCTCTTCTCCGTCAACCTGCCAGTATCGGATTCACTGTCCTCTCGAGCCCATCAATCCGACTGATTCCTGCACTTCGTCTGGTTTTGTGGGATTTCCAAGGAGAGAGGAACAACCCGTTTATGATCCCCTCATTTCTCCAAGGACGCGAAGCCATAAGACAAGGCTAGTCAACGGAATGCTTAGTTGACGGAGTGGATGCACGTGTCTGGGATGTCGGCCCTTTCGAACAAGTGGGTGCACGTGGTTGACAGCGCAGCAATGTGGTGAAACTTGATGTTTGACCTGTCTATCTTGGTCAGACCGGGGGGCGAAGGCTTAGTCAGCCTGCCGTCCGCTGACTGCGGCAACTGTCCTCTTGGGTGGATATTGGCTTTTAAATATGTGAAGAAGCAGCGTTTGACATATTGACTCCCGTCAAAACCTCTCGCGGTCTCCGCCTATAAGGAAGAAGAGGTGTACCTACACCCATCCCACTCGTCTCTAATCGGTCGTCGGCGAAGCCCAAGATGAAGCCTCTGCAACCCTTCCTTTTCTTCTTCTTCGTCCTCCTCTTCGCCGCGATCTCTAGCTCCGGCGGCGGAGCCGAAGCGAGGGCAGCTCTCGGTATCTCCCCATTTCTGCTCTTCCCCGACGGCGGTGCTGAAGCGACGGCAGATTCCTGTAATTCCCCATCTTCGCCCGTGAAGAAGAAGACCCTATCTCGTCCTCCTGTGCGGATGTTCTGTGTTCCTCACGCCCTAACGTCTCTTTGTTTCCCTCTTTTGACAGGGACTGCGGGAGAGCGGTTGGCCATGGCGGAAGCGGAGAATCCGGAGAAGTTCCTGGTGGTCTCTCTGCCCTCTCCGAAGTTGAACCCCCCGAAGATACCCCTGGTCGAGACCATAACCGGAGGGTTGGAGAAGCGTCCATCGCGTTCCCCACCCTCTCCTAGCTCCAGCCCGCCGAAGAATCCAGTCATGGACATCCTCGTTATCCGCGGGGCACTGGCCTCCTTCGCCTCCCTCGCCGAATCTGGCGTCGTCCTGACTCGAGCTAGTTCATCTCTCTTGTGCTCGCTCTCTCTCTCTCTTTCCCCTCATTTCAAGCTCCCCCCTCTGTCTGGATGAGTAGTAGATAGTCCTCAGTTATTGATTAAATATACATGAATTATATGCTTCTTCACCTGTCGGGCTTTCGGGCCCCCTCGTTCTTCGTCTCCCCTAAATGGAGGGAGAGAGAGAGAGAAAGAGAGAGAGAGAGAGAGATTGATTTACTAACGGCTATTTACAAGGATAGAGTATTGGAAGAGGAGACACCAGCTACCCACCTAAGAATGGCAACTTACAGTGATGAACATAGCAACCCCAGGGGCGAATCCCTACGGCTCAAAGCAGAAATCCATGAAGACGACGTTAGATCCCAGAGAGAAGAACCGGCCTTGGGCACGGCACGCTTATGTACAGTGGCCAGCGCTAAACCTCGCTCTCCTCCGGGCGGGGTCTTTCAGTGGCATCGTCTTCTTCATCTGGCCGCCTCGTTCTCCGCGTCCTCTGCGATGTTGAACAGAAACTGGGGCAGCGAGGCGATCCGAGGGAGGTAGAGCAGCAGGTCGCCGGCCGATTCCTTCCGAGAGATGGGAGGCGGCTGCTTGCCGCCGGCGGAGTCGGGGCGGCGTTCTTCATCCTCTCCCTGCAGATCGAACAGCGACTTCTTCTCCGGGGCGGAGTCGAGCTCGTATTCCTCGCCGTATCCTCCGCTGGGGTCTCTATTTATGAGCAGATTCTGAGCGCTCGCAGGGTCCTTCTGAAGCAGGCAGTAGAGGGAGTTGACCCTCGACATGAGCGACTTTTCATCCGAAGCCGGTAGGCCCTGGGAATCGCTGAGTAGGCACTGGGTTATCTCCTCCAGTGCGTCTCTGTTGGCCTCGAGGAAGGGGTTGTCCGAAGTCATCTTCTCGGAGATGCAGTGCCCAATGTGGTTGACGAAGTCGCTCACGGACATGGACGGGCGGATCCCTGGGACTTTGAACTGATCAAGCGGGTTCCTTTCCTCGTTCTCTCCTGTGTCGCAGCTCGTGTTCTCCTCGATCACTCGCGATTCGATCTCTGACGAAAATAATTTACAGTCAGCGTACCACAGTAAAGCACGAATTCAAAGAATAACGGGCATATTTTTATTTAATGGCGCAAGAAGTAAGATTTCAAGCCAACATTCAGGGATACAATCAATCACGAGGTGAAAGCGAATTGAAGATAGTAACCTTTATAGGCATTATTTGCACCCTTTCTAGCAAATCTCACACAAAGAGCGTGGCTGTCGATTATGTAAAGCACCCAAGTAACAAAATTCGACTTAAACCTGTTTTTTACTCGTTCAAATGAACAGGATGAAACATGAGCTCAAGTAAATGGCGCTGCCCAGTTATGGTCAGGAACACATCACTTTAAGTTTTGTCTAATGGCTCAATCCAACCCTTCTTTAAAGAAACCATTGGGGAATTTGACTCTTTGCTTGTTCAGTAGCTTCAATGATATTTGATAAGCATAAAACCTGCCTTATGGACAAATGGTAGCACGCAAAACAGGACAAGCTCATGAAATAGTTGAAATCACGCCCACGAGTGGCTCAAGAGTGCTTAATTTGGCGGGTTCATTTCGGATAAAAGAGTGGAAACTATGCTCAAATGTACGTTGCAATTTATGTCGAGAAATATCTATAGAAAATAGGTGGGCTCTAGCTACTAAAGATGGAGAAATTTTGAGCACAAAATAAAATAACTAAAGCCACTATTTACGAGAAAAAGATACCTGAGCTAGTTGAAGGATTGTCCTGTGACAAGAGAACTGGAGTCCTAACCAGATCCCTGGTGTCACTCATAGATGATAGGCCAGCAGAAGGGGAGGCAGCGTCCTGGTGACCTGAGAACGGCGAGCCATATTCACCCTTGATATGATCAAAATTAGGGGATCTATCACCTTGATCCTCGAATAATGGACACCTCGGCTCAAAAAACGGAGAACTTAAGACAGCATCAGGCTGTCTGGAGAGTTCACTAAGACGAGGATCACAGTTGATAAGCTTATCAAAATGTTTGCTTAGCAACCCTTGTGGAACTTGTAGAAAATGCCTCCTGCATATAAAGAAATAAAACAGTTTAAAGGCCTAACCTGTGTATATTTTTTAAATATGGAATAAAACAGTTTGTGTTGAAGGCATGACGTTTGACAACTACCACTAGAGGTCAGCCTCTTTTCTCAGAACTGAAAAAGTACTAATTAGTATCAGTTGATAGAACAATATTCTCAGAGGTGATGGGAGTGGATGCCAAATCTTCGGTGCCAAAATTTGGTCATTACAAGCTAAAAGGCAACGTGGAGGATGATGATAACATGTGCAAAGGTCAAGTTGACAATTTAAAAAAAATCACCGGCAAATTTTACCTACATACAAGATTCTAAGACTCCATAGATTTTTAAAAAAATCTTAAGTGGTAAATACAATAATAAAGAATAATAACAAAGGTGATAGTTTATCACAACTTGAACTTATGAACCCAAGATTTTAAATATAAGGGCAAGAAGAGGCCAATGCTAATTCTTGAGAAGAAAGTGAAGTTCAATTGGTCTTCAGAAGACATAAAATCTGACAAGGAAAATCTAAAATCAGGTTCCGTAGAGGCTGCGTCAGCATCAGTAGGTAACTTGAGAGACCAATGTGGTTCCAATTGAGTCGTTGGGCATTTTCTGTACGTTCTTGCTTTCTCTATTTCCTCACATGCCTGCTGGCCCACGTTGAAACCTATCTAGCATCTCTAAACCTGATTTCACTATGAATATGTCAACTTCGTCTCCATCGAAATCACAACACGAAATGTCCGAAGCTGACCTTCCAAAGCCAAAGTTGCTAGGCCACTGTCAATGCCAGAAAAGTTTCTAATAAAGGGCTATGACAGAAAACGCCTGGGAAAATAGGAATCTCCTAATAACTTGTTGAACAGTTCTAGATCAGTGAAGAATACCAATGCTTAGAGGGGAAATCCTATTCAGTTGGGACTTGAGCCACTAGCACTCACTACTGATCCATTATGAAGAATCTGTGTTAGAAAAGATTCGTTTCTCATGTCGCAGTAGTCAGACAAATAGATGAGAAATTAAGAACGTTTTAAAAAGACAACAAAATGATCCATTACTAGCCAATGTGAACAAAAACGTTTTATGCATCACTTGATCCATTTCAAGAAATGATGTTAAAAATATTTTTTAACCTGTGTCTGCTTGCTTGTCCTCCAGTAAAATCCGAAGTTGCTTGCCACAAGGTATGCTTCCTAGGTTGTGGATTGGTCTCGCGAAAGAAAAGTGGTGGCCTTGACACCTACAGGAAACAAACAGATGCATATCAGCAAATAAGAACTGACTAAGCTTTGTCCAAAAAAATTCATATGCTCGGAGGACGTTACCACTAAATCCAGGCTACCAGGACCATTATCAGGGCATGCTGCTTTTATAGCCGTGATATCAGACCATTGGATTTCAATCTTGCTCTTGAGGCCTCCATTGAGAACTTCCCATACTAATTTGCGTTTAGCAAAATAACATTTAGCCACTAAATCACCTTCATACCTTGACACACACTGTTCAAAGAGAGAAGCTGAGTCAACCTAACTTAGAACTGGAAATCAAATAATTTAACGATGATAGGGTCAACTAAGTTTGACATAGAGATAGGCATCTTTTATTCTTAATATTGAGGAGTAGATGCTGACATAACTTTATTGCATCAGCACAAATACTAATGTGATGCCCAATAAATCCTGGCAAAGCAAAAAAAGGATAATACCTCCCAGGTGCCTATCTTCAATAGGGTGGCTGGAAAGTTTGAAGCCTTCAACTTGTCCGGCACACCAGATGTGGGCTTTGTATTCTTCTTCCCACCCTCAGTGCTGTCGTCATTACCGACGCATGCTTTTGAAGGATTTCCTTGAGAAAGCCTCATTTGAATCAAATCCAGCAAGGATGGACTTTTTCTCAAGCGCAGCCCCAATGGACTAAGATCATTAAGTACATCATATTGAGGTTGTTCACATGATGACGCATTACCATCCATGTTCCACTGTCGAAGAGCACAAGAATATATCAAACACCATATTGATTGATCCTAAAGATAAGAGATGATCCACGAAGAAGGAATCTACATGGTCGCTTATCATTCTATGTTGAACTATGTAGAAGACGAATGTTCTCGGGGCACTATATTATGAGACGCCCTGTTCTGAGATCAATCGTAGAGAAACTTTCTCAAAAAAGTGATGCCCCCAAAAAGGCGAACAGACCAATCGGGCAAAATCTAACGTCCGGAATGCACAAGAGCGAGGGAAGTTTTGTCATTACGAACGCATAACGTCATCTATTGTATCATACCACCGAGACGATAAAGCTCAGACTATGAAACAGACAGGGGGGGTTCGCAAAGAGAAGGCGGAGAGAGAGATAGGGGTGGGAGAGGAAGAGATGCCAGTTACGAAGTTCCTTAAATCGACGAATATAAAAAACCAAGGTGTTCCCATACAAAAATCGGATCGCACGGGAAAGAGCCCCGTGTCCTTTCAATCTGGGGCATACCAACCTGCTGGAGCGGCAAAGAGTACTTGAATCTCTTATTATCCGGGCCATGCTCCTCCTCCAACGAGTCCTCTACTTCCATCTTCACCGCCAACCCTGGGGTCTCCACCGCTTTCCCCTTGTTGCCGAGAGGCACCTCAGACTCCGGCATGAGGTTGCCGGGATCCGCAGCCTGAACCATCAAACCTAACCCACCAAAATGGTAACAGATCCGACCTGATTTCCCTGTCAATCCCAAGACAGCGATCCCCCGATCTGCCAACCTCCACTCAACGTCCCAAATCCGCCACCGACAGACAGAACAACGAAACCAGAAGCCAAACGCGTCCGCCCTAATTCGCCGCGTCGCCGCCGCTATCCAACCGCGAGCTTGTTCTTCGATCCCTCCTAATTCCCGATCGGAAATTCTGGGGCGAAAACGGGGAGAAGGGCTTAAAAAGGAAGGCACCCGAGCCTCTTTTCCTTCTAGGCCATGGTGGGGCACGCTGCAGGGGGGGACCAGACTTGAACCTTCGCGATCCCCCCCCCTCTCTCTCTCTCTCTCTCTCTCTCTCTCTCTCTCTCTAGCCGCGCTCTGCCAACCCGACACGTCCCCGATTTGCCTATGCGTCGCTTTCACAGTGATTGGTTTGCGTTGCTGACTTGGTTTCTCTTCTGCGCTACGTCTATGCTGGCCGAGCTGCTGAGACATGGGCCTGCCGAATTCAACCAGGCCTAGGCCCGTGCCTCCCGAAAAGGCCCATTAATTCCCCGTACGACTACGGATATTTATCGTACGACCCTTTTTTATCTAGAATTTTAGAAAAATCAAGTTTCTGATTGGTGGGTAATTAATATATTTCCAAATTTTCTAAATATAGCAACTTAAATAGGCAACATTTTTATTTTATTTTATTTTTGGTGGTGAATGCATACAGGATTTATTCTAAACAATCTTAGCGGCCCATCGGATCCCGATCTCCCTGCGAGAAAAATATGGCTCGGAGAGCGATCAAGATCGATCAAGAGGCCGCACAAAAGTGGCAGATATAAGGGAACGCTTAACGGCTATGCCGACCAATGCATGAAGGACAGAAATCCACTGTCTGAACTGTAAGGGGCTCCGCCGGATCCTTCTGCATCCCCCGCCGGCGGCGCCGCCGCCGGCTCGGGCTCAGCTCCCCCCGGGATGATTGACGAGCGAGACCAGCTCCACCTGATCGTCACCGCCGCGGCCTTCTGCGGAATCATCTTCCTTGAGGATGTCTGAAGGGAGGAGGGTGGAATTCTGATTGGTGTTGGGGACCAGATATAGGAAAGCCAGAGGCAGGATCCTCATCAAGTTGCGGATGAGGATGGCGGCGCCGAGGTTGCCGAACTCGGTGCGGGTGACTTTGAGCAGGTGCAGGAGCAGGCCGCCGCCCCACGACGAGGAGAGCAGGCCGATGTTGTCGATGGACATGAGGAGGGCGAAGAAGGTGCCCTCTATGCCGGGTGGGCAGAGCTTGGAGCTGAGCACGAGAAGGGGCATCCACTTGATGCGGCCGATCATCTGGGAGACGCTCTCATCGACGACGATGAAGAAAATGTCTGGAACGCCGACTTTCAGGTTCAGGCGCATCACCAGGGCCAGATCGAGGAACCCGGAGAAGCCGTAGAGCAGCTGAGACCAGAAGAGCAGGGACCGGAAGGAGTAATCCTTGAGGACGCTCTGATAGAGGAGCACGCCGAGGAGGGACCCCACCGAGCCGATGGCATGTATGAGCCCAACAGTCTCCTGCTCAGAGAGGGAGACGAGGAAGCTCTTTCTTCAGGGGCTGGCGCAGCAGCAGCTTCTGAAATAGCCGTAAAAAGAGTTGGATCTCGAGGATACCTGAGAGAACTTTGGGCCCTCTTTGGCGTCTGTGTACCAGTAGAACATCCCTTCGTGGATCGCCACGCTCAATGCCAGCGACAAGTACATGTAGATGCAGGGCCTCCAGACGCTGGGGCATCTCAGCGTCTTCACCATTTTCTTACCCGCCTCGAGGAATAGGTAGGAGACCTGATCTCACCGTAAATTAACAAGGCTTTCATTCAATCCAGGTGCAGGGTTTTTTTGATAGGAGGAGCATGAACTCGAGATGGAGCAATGTCCTCACCTCCTTGCAAGCAAGACTAGGCGTCGGGGGCTCCTTCAGCACTGTTCCGACCAAGAACACGAATGCAGCTGGGAGACTGAGCAGGCCGAGCACCCCCTACGATCAGCCACCGGTGAGAAGGACATTAGGCTGCGATTGAAGTCAACGAAGGTGCTCTCAACAAAATCCCCCTTCATTAGAACTTGGGCAGGGTCAGTAATCGGTAGTTTCAAAGGAGGGGGGATTATCCATCGAGAGATCCGGCCAGGAAGCACTTTCATTTATAATAGATTTTTGTTTTATTGCGGGTATTTCTTAAAAGCTCACCTGAGAGCCAATCCAGTGGATGAGCTGACCGCTCACGAAGAACCCAAGAAGCCTTCCGATGGACGAGCTCAAGCCGCAGAGACTTTGCATGTCGGAGGCGAGCGATGGGTGGGTAATGCTGTTCTGGGCGACGACAGCATCAATGGTCACATCGGCAATGGCCACCCCCCCGCTACCGGCAGTCAGCGCCAGCAAGGCTAGGAAAACAGGTAAACCCTTGTGGAGAGACAGAATAAGCATCGGGATTATCCCCAAGAGCCCTGGAATCAGCAACACACCATCCAAAATGAATAGATAACTAACCAAATAAATAAATAAAGTGCAATGGCATTAAGACGAACAACTGGGCCTTGAGAACATGCTGATGAAATAATCAGATCGCCATTTACATATGATTGGCAATTCAAGCATGGATCTCAGAGCTGAAAAATACGTGTCGATCTGGGTTCCTCCCTGGGACCAAGCAAAATTTGTTCACATACAATATGGGTACGCCTGGAAACCCATGATTCTAATTTATTTTAAAAAAATGTCATTGCATGCATGCGAATGAAAGAAGCACTTTTCTTTATAGAAACTGTAATGAAAGATTAAAAAAAATTGTCACTACTGGATCCGAATTTCACCAAAGCGGTGGATTCTTTGGGAAAACGTTTCTCAAGATTCATTTCATTCAGAACAGCCACGAACTCATGAACCTGGAGCGAGATCTGCATATTTAGATTCCCATCCCATTCATAGGGAAGAAGGATGAAATTCGTAGATTCTAATCAAGAATGTTTGATATAAAATAATAAAAAACGAAGAGGGCCAAAGTTGATGCTACATAAGATCAATTAATCATATTACATGTGACATAACAATTTTAAAAAGTCTGACATCACTGGAAGTGCATCTCCTAGAATCGTAGACATCACGAAAATAAATCCTGGCATTACTAACCTGCCAGCATGAAATATGGTCGCCGTCTGTATCCTCCGATAGGAACCAGGTCAGTGAGAAGACCCCACAGAGGTTTCACCATCCAAGGGATGGAGGTGATCCCCTGGTATACCTGTGATTCGGATGGCTGAACCTTCTGAACATCTTTCCAGTAGTAGTCAATCGCAACTCGGCCGAGACCCCCACCGACCCCCTGGCTTATTCCATACACTAAAACTACTCCCATCACGGAGCTCCAGTGCATCTCCTCGGCAAGCATCTTGATCCACTGCAGAGGGGAGGAGAGAGAAACGTGGCTCCTGCTTTCCGGTTTATCAGTCTCTTTCACCGCATCTTCAGCGAGGGGAGTGGTTTCCCCCTCTTCCATGATGTTCTTCTCCGAATAAATCGGAGAGAACGACTGAGTTCCCATAGCAGAGTTCAAGATTCTCCGCGGAGATCTCTGTCCCTCCGAGATATCCCTAAGAGATCGCAGGCTTACGAGCAAACGATGTTGTACGGAATAATCTCCAACACGCTCGAGTCAATCGGCTGCGAGATGCCAAATGTACAAGCAAGCGCCGAGGGCTCCAGCTGAGGACCTCTGTTCTGCAGCTGTCCCTTAGAGCTCATGAGAACTACGTGGAGAAGGAGCCGATGTTGGAGAAGCCTCTGCTGGAAATCAATCGAACTCACGCGCCGAACGCAGACGATCAAGGCTCCTAAACATAGGGCTTCACTCGCCCCCCACAATCTTTCCCTAGAAAAAACGGATCAGCCAGGAGAACAGCGAGGACGGGGATCTGATAGGCTCGCTCCCTCCCAATCTCGCCTCCAATCTCCTTTCGAGCTCTCCAATCCCTGTCGATCGGATTGGATCCGCTACGCCACCGACAGACGACGACCCAAATTGATCCAACCCTCTCGAACTGCGTCACACCATGAGCAGCGCGAGCTGATTCCCCCACACGCGACGGGAAGAAGGACCGGATGAGGAGGGAAGGTGGAGGAGTTCGTACCAGTCGGGAGCTCCGTAGCTGACGAGACCCTTTGGAAACGACGAAAGGGAAGAGAGCAAATCTTGACCGAAAAGGGGGTTTCTCTATCATCATTTGACGTGGCATGATACTATTGGCCTGTACGGACACGCAGGCGTAGTCGAGCGTGCGACTCCCCGACGCCGCCTTCGCGAGAGACGAAAGCCGGCACGTGGCATCCTACGTCATCCGATCAACTTTGAGAAGATTGAATCTGCGTCTTCAGATTCGGCCGCAATCCGAGCTGGTTTTTCCTTCAAAAGGCCCCTCCTGATTGCTTGGAGTAAAACGGGGCCCACAATACCCCAAATGGAAAGCCCGCCCGTTTTTTACGGGATATCTGATGATGGAATTAACATGTATATCCCCCCGCTCCCCTTTATCCATCCAGGTCTCTACAACTATACACACACAGCTGCCTAGTTAGAGAAAGAGAAAGGAAGAGAGAGAAACCCATCGTACGGCGCCGCCATCGACCACTCACCGATCAGCTAGCCATCAGCCAGCCACCCCACAGGGACAATAGCAGGATCAAATGGTCATAAGAAGCATAACCTCTCCCACGCTGAATTTCTCTTAATCAAATTCACAGGACATCTCAGACGAAGAACAAGAACACGCAGAAGAAGAGAAAGTGAAGAGGACGACGGCCGTCAAACTGCTTAGAACGGAGGATGGATGGACCATCCGTCACCAGTGGAAGCCGGACCAGAGAAAAAGAACCACCTGGGCACAATGGCAAATGGATGATGAACACATTAGCAAGAACAGAAGAGGGAGAAAAACCAAACCCAGGCACAGAAAGGGCATGCCCGTTTGTAGTAAGTAACTGGCGGGAGAGGACAAGGCGGTTCCCTCAGGAAAGACAGTAAGCCAAGGTTCCGAAGGAAAGAACTGAACATCTAAGCAGTCGTAAGGGATTGGAATAGCTCTATCTCTCTATTCTGTACTGATCACTATTATTTATTGCGAAGTCTTATTAACCCTGGTTTATAGACTTCGCCAATTCGTCTGAATTTCGCTAAGACTCAGAGTGGTGATCAATGAATTCCGAGCAATAGCTTTGTGGACGAAGATGATCCAGTTGGGGAATAAAGCCTTGCTGAGGGGGACATATCAACTTCGCAGACTTTCTCATATTAGGAAGTTTCCCCAAATTTGGGCGACCTATTAGGATCTAGAGCAGTCTATTTCAAGAGCAGACAAGGTTAAATAATGATAATACTTCCAATACTAGGGTTTCCCTATGTTTTAAGCTCTCCATTAACCCCTGGAAAGCCGTTCAGGTGATTTCTTGGCTATCTGGGAAGAAGATCTTCTGATACTCGTTCATCTCCCAAAACCCTAAAAAAAGTGTGCAATTTGCATCAATCACCCAAAGAAGGTAACGTTCCATCAATCACCAACGGGAAACCCCTAGATCGCCGATTTCATCAATTTTTCTTCCTCTTGTCTTGTCTGCTTAACACCACCTGAGCAAACACAACCTCTAACCACAGGATCTTCCCACAGAATGCATGCACTGTATCCATGATCGTACTAAAAGAAAACGAAAGTCTCGATAAAAATCACAACATGGTATACACAGATAAAGCATAAAATCACGAAAGTCTTCCGATGGCATCATAACCGAACAACAATCTTATAAACACAGACAGCGATCTGAATCAGATGTTTTAGATATCCCGAAATAGGGTCTCTCGCAGAAAACAGGTAACGGAAAATCACCGATTCCCCCATATGTCTACACTTTATTTTCAGTTCCATGATATCGATACAAGCCTTGTTAGATGATCTGGGCGTGCCATACCCGACGATCTGATTACACAAGGCGGCCGACGACGGGGTACTTGGCCTGAAACTTCTTCTCCCAGTCGTCGAGGACACCGAGCTCCTTCTCAGTGAGGCCATCGAGGTTCCCGGAGACTTCCTCCTCACTCTTGCTCATCTTCCCCAGCGCGCGGCTCGCGTCCCTCCCCGCGAACATGCAGTAAGAACCGCCGGGACCGTAGAAGCCCTTCCCGGAGGTGACATCGTACACAGTACCTTTCACCGCAACATAGATGGGCTTTCCCTCCTCGGATCCATCGTACGCTCTCAGCTCTGCCGCCGTTAGCTCCATCGCCGTCCCCCGTCGGCCGATGCTTCCTGCCCAATCCGCCGATCGTCTCTGAAGGGGCAATATCCCCAGGTCTTCACGATCTGAGAGACCAGTGGCGGCAGAGGATGCACATCTGACCGTTCGATGCGGTGACCTGATCACCAACCACAATGTCGGATCTTAGTCGGTTTCCGACAGACCGGTAGCGGATCTCTACGGCGTTCGTGGGAGCAGTCGCTTGGGAAGGCGAAAGGTCGCCACCAAGGCTCTCTCTCTCTCTCTCTCTCTCTCAGAAGCAGACGCTCCAGTATCGTCCGGTCCGGTTGCCTCAGCGCCGCCGTCTTCTCTCACCTCTAGCCGTCATAGCCCTTCCGGTCGCGAAGGGCTCCCCACCGCCATGCTCGAGCTAGAAATTCTCTCTCTCTCTCTCTCTCTCTCTCTCTCTCTCTCTCTCGTGAGAGGTTGGGAGGCGGCGGAAATGGAGGCCTTCTTTGCACGGTGGACAGAGCGGCTGGAGCAGCTCTACCAGGAGCTGATATCTGCTTGCAGCGGGGTGTTTGGGAACGACGACGACCGTCTCCGGCGGCTCGTCGACTGCACGCTCGCCCACTACAGCGAGTATTACCAGGAGCGGCGGCGGCTGGCGGAGCGCGACGTCCTGCTGGTGTACTCTCCCGTATGGCTCACCCCCTTCGAGCGAACCTTCCTGTGGATCGCCGGCTGGAGGCCGTCCCTCACCTTCCGCCTCCTCGGTGCCGTCGGGCCGGCGGCGGCCCCTGGCATAAGGGAGATCGAGGCGCAGGCGGTGGAGGAGGAAGCGAGGTTGTCGAGGGAGATGACGAACCTCCAGGAAGCGATGGCGGCGCCGCTGGTGATGGCGGTGATGAGGCGCTCGGCGGAGGTCAGGAACGGGCAACCTCCGCCGGAGGAGGACGAGGTGGTTGGCCCGTTGCTGCGGTCGCTTCTTCTCCTGCTTGAGCGCGCTGACAACCTGCGCGTTACGGTGGTGAAGCGACTGGCGCAGATTCTGAGTACTAAGAGGATGGTGGACTTGCTGACGGCGGCCACCCATCTCCACCTCCGCGTCCGCGCGTGGGGGATGCGGCTGCAGGGCGCCGCCGCCGAAGCTGCGGCGTGACCAGAAGTTATCCATAAAGAAGGGAAACGAACGGGCGGCCATGTCTGCCGGGGGAAGGTGCGTACGTCTTGAGGTTTTATGAACAGTCCTTGCTGCTTGTTTTCGTTCTGCCGCTGGCCGCCATCGAGCTTTCCCGGCGGCGGCGGTGGCGGAAGCTCGCCATGCAGCACAAAAATGGATAGAGAGATCCAGTGGTCCATCAACGACAGGACAAGAACATGGGAATCTTCCCTTCAAGCGGCGGCTGAAACATTCAGATGTCATAAGATAGATCTTCGAGACCATGAATCTGGTCAGCGATCGAAGCAAAGAGGAATGAAGACGAAGGTTCATCACGGTTCTTTGTTAAAGCAAGGGAGGAACAATGGGAGAAAGGAGTCAACTCCAAACCCTGGATTTTACAGATCTGCGAACCCAACCGGGGGGGAGAAGGGGGATGGGAGACCGCGGAGGGGAAGCCCTCACTTCGCCAGCCGGTTCACCTTCAGGTAAGGCAATGCTCCGATCACGTTGTCGTAGTCACTTCGGTCCACCTGAAGCTGTATTTGAGGAAGAGAAGAGGTTTAATAAAGATCGCCTTCAAACTACATAGAAAATAATCAAACTTACTAAAACTGTAGGAGTTTCTTTTCATCTCGATAAAAATGGCAAGTTTTCTAAGAAACAATGAGAAATGGTAACTAAAAGAAGAACCACGAAGAAAAAAGAAGCATCTAACATAAAACCAAAGAACTATAAAGTAATTGGAGATGCAACGGTATGTATATCCGACAAAAATTATAATCAAGTGGCTGGTAGGTGAAGATGAGGATGATAGTGCAGTGGTCAACGTAAAAAAGGTAAACTAAGTTCCCGTGTGGTCCATCAAAAAAGTCAATATACTTTCTACTCAACTATTTTTCTTTGAGGGGTTGATGGGCATTCCATATTGAGCAGCCACGATACATCCAGGTGAAGATAATACATAAAAAAAGGTCAACTCAATCCCCATATGGTCCCATTAGAAAAGTTCAACTCATTGCCGATTCGAGTACCTTTTTTGCGTTGACTAGGCAGAGTCTAGTGAGAGGAACGAAGATTTCTTTCAGACTGTCATGAGACGCACAGAAGATCCCTTCAGTGTTCATGCCCCAACAGTGGGCAATGAGATGAAAGAAAAATGAAGTGAAAACCAGCTTCTACCTAGAATGTGGGACAAAAACCAGGGATATGCACGATTGAAAGGAAATATTTCGACTAAATAAGTGTTCTTTAAGATGTGAGCACTCGATAAAAATATGGAAAATGATGAAAGATTAACGAATTTTATTAATGTGGCAATAATAAAAAAAAGAAGGGAGGAAAACGGAACAGCATTACACAACCAACACCACAACTAGTACACAGGTTACCCATAACCGATTCAGCAGGATTTTCTGGCCAAAAGACTCCCCAAGAACATGCACAAGCATAAAATTGAAGCTAATATAACCTCTGTGGGGTAATAATAAATGGGAGTTCAGAAGGAAATATCAAGTAATAGGAGTGACCACGAAACTGGAATAATGGTTTTCTCCCCTAGAGGCCATTTTTTTCAACGCTAGATAATTTGAATTAATTGGTTTTATTTTTTTCTTCTCTCAATCTTGCACCAGCTGACCAAATGGGCTGGACAAACCCTAGCTGTTAGTTCGCCCTGTAACTTTGCCTTGCTTCCAGGCCTTTCGGGTTTCGCCTGTGGAAGGAAAAAAAGAACTGCCTATTCCGTCAATCAATCCAGCTTACGACAAGGGGTTTTGGTGGTCAGCTTCGTCGGAATTCAGTGTGGAGATCGTGAATCTGCTAGATGACGGTAAACGAGGTAGTAATTTGACATAATCTGCTGGAATTCAGATGGTGGTTCCAATTAATGCCATTCTCAGAGATAAAGGCAGTGAGACCAACCAGTTTAGACAACCGGAGCTTCCGCTTGGTGTTCTTCTTCGCCAGCAAGTGCTGCTTCCCGGCCCTCCTCCTAACAATCTTCCCCCTACCAGTTACTCGAAATCGCTTCGCCGAAGCCTGCGGAAAATTAGGGTAAAGACTGAGCTCCTATCCCCCAAAAACGCACGGGAAATACAGAATAAGATCGAGGCCGAAGAGGCGCACCTTGTGGGTCTTCATCTTGTACCCTTTCGCGGCGAAAACGGTGAATGAAGACTGCTTGGGAGAAGAAGAGACGAAACCGGAGACTGTCTTGGGGAGAATCACAGGGAACCCACGCAGGGAATTCGAGGAGCTGAGACTGCTCTTTCCGGAAACCACCACCCGAGGGTGAAGAGCAGGACGGACGCCATGCGGCTTGCTGGCAACAGAAGGGAACAAGGGGGAGAATTTGAGCATACACAAAGCCATCCTGGTTCGTTCTTCTGGTTTTCCCCTCCCTCTCGGATAGGGGTGTTCTTCCGCCCTCCGCAGAGCCCTTCTGCCCCAGATGAGACTCTCAGACTGGAGGGGAACCACATCCATAATCCTCTCTCTCTCTCTCTCTCTCTCTCTCTTCGATCCGACGTGGAAATTTAATGACCGTTGGATCAGAAGAGGGAACAATTTTGCAGTTCTCGTCGACGCGATGGATTCTAAGCCGTCCGATACCACACAACGGCGTGAGTGGCTCTGGAGCCACCAGTCCCAAGGCCCGTCGGGCTTGCTGACAGTGGTTGGGAAATAAAAAGAGAGCCCACTGAAGATCTGACTTGGCCCGCCCCGCTACACCCGACGATCATCCCGGGCTCAAATGCACGCTCCGAGCCGGGCCCAAAAGCTTATCCATGAACGGGCCCTTCAAGATCCGGAAAATAAGACCCTTTACGGATCGACCAACTATTTACTCCATAATAAGTAGCTCGGCATACAACGTGCTTGACGAAATGCTACGTACACGAAATTATAGGATGAGGCGAGACAAAATAATTATAAAAAAAACCAAAAAAATGATGCTCTAATATGGAACAGATGATCGGCTGAGAATGGGCCATGAAAGCCAGAGGAGAGAGAGAGAGGCTGCGGCTGCGGCTGCGGCTGCGGCTGCGGCTGCTGCTGCTGCTGCTGCAGCTGGGTTGGGTGGGAGGGTGGTCACGAGTACTGGGGAACCACCAAGCTTCTCTGTCTCACGAGCTCATGGAGGTCATGAACAATCTTGAAGACCGCATCGGGCCTGGCAAGCCTCAGGGCATTCTGCGACATGGCCTTGAGCTCCTCGGCCTTCGGCCCGAACCACTGGGCAACGATGCCGGCGATCTCCTTGGGTGACTTGGAGAACTTGCCGAAGCCGTTCTCCACCACATATGGGACATTCCCAGCTTCCTGTCAGAAAGAAGAAGAAGAAGAAGAAGAATAAAGTGGCGTTAATAGATTATTACTGATTTGGGAATCCCCATATATTATATTAGGATTATTTGGTTTTAGCTCCCCAGAGATTAGCCGAGTTGTTGGTAGAGACATTTACTTTCCAATTATTCTTCTAGGCCTCTGGAAAAGAATCATAATCCTATGTAAAAACTGTTCTCTCCCCTTCAATCCCCATCCCACATCGAACCCACATACATTCTCTCTCTATGGGGTGAACGAGCCCATAGAGAGAGAATATAACATGAGGGTATGTCGAATATAATTTGGCTAATCCAAGAGTATGATAGTGCAATCGATCGATATGGATACTCATCAATAATTCACATGGTTTCCAGGGAGGGGGAGATAAAATAAAAAAGCCCTTCACATTAATGTGGTTTAAGGCCATCATACTACTTCCTAACATGATATTAAAAAAAATAAAAATGGGGGGTGGTGGGGTGTACCTGGCCAGCGATGTAGTCGTTCAGGATTATGGGAAGGCCCTGAATCATGGCTTCTGCGATGGTCCCAGGGCCGGCCTGCAAGCAGAAGAATTATTTCATTACGTTTAAGGCACAGTGAAAAGCATAATTTCCGCGGATAAGAATAATGTCAGGAGCATTACCTTGGTGATGATGCAGTCGCAGGCCCCCATGCATTCCTCCATCTTGTTGATGAATCCCTTCACCTGAACATGTCAAGGAGAAACTATGTAAAAAGAGGATTATGAGCCGTTTCACAGGGAATATGATGATTTCCACTCGATACTAAATAAATTCATCAAAGGAGATGATGTCATGTGAGATGCCCAGGTAACTTTTTTGGGGAAAACTCCACATTGTATCAGTTAATTATAATAAAAGACAAATATGGGCAAGGTGAATTTCTTCATCTGATCCGCGCCATGATCTTCCGGGAGATAGAAATAAATTTAGTCGGAGAATTCCACGAAGCCCACACATTTAACTATGATAATTTCTTCAATATGTAACTTATGTGACGTTTTCAATTCATTTTACTCGAAGAACGTTAGATCAGGATACTGCCATGGCCATTTTGGTTAGATCATGGTGAGAATAGGAGACCCAGTTGACTTTAGGAACCTAGTTGACCAAGAAAGAAGAGAACGGAAATGGGGAAGTTAAGGACGGAAGAGGAACAAAAGCACCAAAAAAGAGGGGGGAAATTTCAATCCATTTCCTGCTAGTTCATCCATAAAAGGGATAAATTTATATAAACAAAAATACAGAGGAAAAAGTGGATATAATTCAATAAGCAATGCATGAGTAGATTAAAAAAAAATCTTTCCAACATAATGTCCTTGGGAAATTCACCAAATTCTGAAGATTTCTAGCAACCAGAGCAGTTCATCGTACCTTCACAGGGATCTTCCATTCAACTGACTCCAATTTGCTGGCGAGCTTTTTATTCCGCCCACATATTATAAGCATCTGTCCAAGAGGCTCCCCTTGGGACTCATCATATAATGAATCCGCGAGCGCCCTAGCAGTGGCCTCAATCGGTCCCATTCCTTCTCCTCCTCCCATCAGCAAAACAGCAGGCAACTCTTCGTCCATCCCTAGATCCCTCCTTAGTTCAACCTAAAAGCAAGGTTTTGAACCCACATCGAGTAAATAATCAGGAACATTAAATGGTTAAATAATAGGGCTTATCTAGTTGATCCAAAATCGTATAAGTAAGAAAGAAGAGATATACTTTTCTAGTTTTGAATGGCATAGAGTGAAAGAGATAACTCACCTTTAACCGGATTGGTTTCACAAATGATGGTCGCACAGGGAGGCCATAAACCTTGATTTGAGAAGGCTTCAACCCAGCTTTCAGAGCCCTCTTCGACACCTCTGCTGATGGGCAGTAGCACCTTGTTACAAGCTTATGGAACCTGAACGGGAGCAGCACGGTCAACTACTCATAAGCTTAGAGGGATTAAGCGAAGAAGAAAGATAAACCCTAAAAGATAAGGGATTTCCACACGCAGAAGTACACTACCATGTAGGATGGCAGGTGCTCAGGTCAGTGATAACAGTGGTGAACACAATCTTCTTAAGAAGGCCTTTGGCTCTCAAAATTCGAAGTGGAACGTGCTGCATCAAAGGATGAACGCTAATGATGATATCTGGCTGGTACTTCATCAACCCTTTTGCAACCTCCCTGCAGGTAAAGAGAAAGCTCGACATGTTGTCAGCCTGGTAAACGGACAAAATCAGGCATTCAAAGAACGGGAATTTTCATAATAACTTGAACAATTGCGACAAAAAAGAAACCATTAGAAAACCCAAGACGATGTACACAACTGGATTTCTATGTACTAATTTTTTTATGTTATCCGCATATGGGCACATCAATGGGTATATTCATAACGTGGGTCTGTACCAGAACCCTGAGAAGCCCAGACTTCTAGGGATTTGGAGAAGAAAACTTACCCTGCCATAGCCCACAGAGGACATGAGGCAGGGTTGGGATAAACCACGGCCAACCCTTCCTGCCTTGATTCCAGGTAATCTTTTTCTCTGCTTGCAATATTTTCTAATTGCCGGAGCTTCTCTTCATGGCAAAGAAACAGGGCTGATGCCGACAGCAGATCTTTTTCTCACAACAATGGCATATGCTTGATTCACAGAAACATGTTCCAGACGACAGACGATTGGCATTGATTCATGAAATATCAAAAAGTGGTAGAAACCAAACTCTGATAAGAAAAACTCTTCTTCTAAAAATCACCACACAAAGGCACAATGAATCCACTTAAATTCTGCCATTAAAATGGGGTGTATTGATCTCAAAACTTGCTTCCATATCAGTGACGACATAGGTAGAGGCTAGAAAACAACATCAGGACAGAAACTAATTCATATTCTGAGGCAAAGAGAGTGCTCTCAGTTGCACAAAAATCATCATCTGATTGTATGGATGGGACTGAATGTGAACTTCCAATAGCTAATTCTCAGAGACTTCGTGGATTAAAGATAAGATGAACACCATATCTGCAAACCCAGTATCGAGGCTCCCACAAGGATGCCAGGCAATTTTTTTGGAATTAGAAGAAAACCATTCTCGACGAAAACGTTTGTGCGCTTGGTAGATAAATAAATCCTAATATAAAGAAAATTCGGAGTGACCTTGGTAACCGATGGATTTCTGGCATGGGAAAATGGAGCGCACCTGGCTATGAAAGTTGAGGTCGCAGCAAAATGGGGCTGATGCACAAGTCGTGGCGCAGTTCCATAGTAGGTCATCTTCCACAGGGCCCCATGTTTTACCAGGAAGTTGTAGCTCCGGGGCAACTGGTTGAAAGGCCATGGAGTGTGGTCTGTCCACAAATCCGTCACAAAAACCTGCATCAACCCTCTGCTAAGAACATTCAGGAAAGCCCTTCCCCCAAGAGGCCCGCAGCGAGATCATGCAGTACAGAAGAACGGCGCGCCCTCCCCCTCCTTTGTGAAGAAAGAAAAAGGAAGGAGGACGGACCTGGTACTCGTCGCCGAACTCCTCATGGAAGGCCGCCTTTATGGCCTCGGCGGACGCCCTGTGTCCCCCTCCCGTGTCGCTCATCAGTATCAGCACCCTCTTGGGACGATCTAATTCCACCGCGTTCGCCCCCAAACCATCGTCCTCCAACACGCTGGGGCCTTCCCCTGCCCCCGCCCCCGCTTCGTCCGAAATACCAATCGAGGCAAATCCAAGAGGCAGGCCCCCACAGTGAAACCTGACGAACTTGTTGAACTCCTCCCACAGACCACGGCCCCTGGAGCCACCGCACGCGATGCTAGCGGAGAAGCCCGGCCGGGCGGCGCCGCGTCGTCGGCGAGCGAGCGGCTGGGCAAACCCCCCGACGTAAAGAGAGTTCAACGGGAAGGAAGAAGATGACGCATTCGCGAGAGAAGGAAGGAGGCCCCTGGCGTCGTACAGTGACCACTGGAGATGGGAAATAAGGGAGTTGCAGAGAACGGCGGGCTCCGGAGCGACGGAGGAAGAAGCCATCTTTTCACGGCCGCCGTCACGAGAAGGGTCATCACCTTAAGGGTGATCCTCGCATCCCGCTTCCTCAGACGGCGGCAGAAGCATGTTAGCTCTGAGAAGGGGAGCCACAAATCCCAGGGCCAGCGCCAGCAGGAGGCGGGTGAAGGAGAAGGAGATGGGTATACCTCAACCACTACCCTCTCGGAATTTGGGATGATGCCACCCGCAGATCCTCTTATATTGCAGCTGGTCCCCGTGGACGGTCGCCTCTCAAAAAGCGGCCACGCTGTCATCTTCTCATTGGCTCCTGCTTCTCGGTGGATCGGGTTGCCCTTCCCCCGTCGGATTGAAAAATGACCCATCTTTAGCGTGGCGGCGGCCGACATCCACCGACCAACAGTTTGCGGCGCCGCTGGAGTGCCTTTAGGAAGGAAATCGTCGCCGTCGTCCTTGCCTCCAGCCAACGAGAACGTGCGGGAGAGGTTGACGCCGCAAAAGCTCCTGCCGGCCGTCGTCCTCCGGAGCTCCAACCGGAAACTCCACGACAGGTGACCAACCCTCCTCGTTCTATGAGCACGATGGTCACGAGCCGCAGCAGGGCTGACTCTTCTGCGTCAAGTTTTCATTTATCATATGTTCGTTCAAGAGTCAAACCTACTCGTTCCACGATTTCCTCGTGGCACTTCCAAGCCCTCTGTTTAGCCGATATATTAGGGTTTCGACGACGATGACCTTGACTTCGGTCGATAGAAGCATGTGAGACATGCGAAAGCGTTTCGCTGATGACTTTTGTACCTTCTGGGCGTCTCGGAGCGATTCCAAACAATGATCAGCCTCTTGTTCGTTCTTACATCAGAAGCGAGTTGACTTTCTCGCGGCCTTCGGCTATGTGAACACGGCTTCTATTTTTTAACGCCCTCCCTCTACCAAGTTCCGCTCCGAGAGAGAGAGAGAGAGAGAGAGACGATCGTTCGAGTCTCTGGGATTTACGCGACGTGAACCCAGCCGAACTAACTTTAATGGGCTCAGACATTTTCCGGGACACAAGCCCATCTCAACTGTTCTACGGAGCCAAAGGGCCGGGGGTCCAAATCAGGATCAAAGCCCATTACGATCATCACCTTTGTCCAGGGATGTCCGCTTGACGATTAGATGACAATCTACTACACCTACTGGAGACATAAATTGAGTAGTTTAAATATATGTAAATAAGAAAATTCAAGATCTTGGGCCTCTTTCAAAGTGATGTTTTCTAGGAAGTTTTAATGAAATGCAGCATAATTTTTGCATTGACTGAAGAAATCTTACAGAATTTCTCAAGATGGTCATGACCTTCTTAATGAGCATTATATTAATTCTAAGTTTTATTTTTATAATAATGAAATAAATTTTAGATTTATGGTCGGACTAAGATTGAGGGGAGGGTTGAATTAGTCATTTAATATGACTTTAGTCAATTATTTTAATTTTCTCAACGTTCCCTTTTGATCAAAAATTCCTTAAGTTTCTGTGAATTCTAATCTCAATGACCTTAAGAATTTTTCAATAGCTTGCCCCCCCATCTACATCAACTCCCTAAGAACCCTTGGTTACTAGGTTCTATAAAAATATCATTTAGTGAACAATTATTGATTACCTTGTCTCAATTATATATACATATATATATAAAGAAAATTTGAAGTCACTACCCTTAACAAGTTAACCAAACACTCTATCAGCCTCAGCAAAGTTATTTCACACAAAATGAATGCATATTCTTCCTTCAAAGGTGATAACACAAGACATGGCTGGTCAATTTGCTCAATTAGGCTGAAGTCTACCCCTTTTATAAGAGGAGCATTGACATATGAAGGGTTACATAACACTTTATCTTTAGATGGTTGCCATTTCATCTATCATTTATTATGTGTATAAATTTGTTGATAGTTCACCCTATACTCATTAACATTTTCACATTGAGATTGTTGATATTTCACACTTGCATCAAATGCACTTCATGTATGCTGTGATATGCCTCCACACACCATTCATACTCATGTCACACCATTGAGGTTCATAACTTCTTGCAATTTTCACTTTGACTTAGTGAAGGTAATTACGAAAATTTTACACATGTGTATACCCTACATCTATATCATTGTGTGCAACTGCACTACAGATGCTTGCTTGAGTTGTCATAGTTTTTTGTAAGTGTGGCCCACACCTATATGCTCCTCCTATGCCACCTGGTGTCTAGGCACACACCCTAAATGTCCACTTGTGATGTCATAAGAGTCCACTTACAGATTTTTCATGTTTATGGTACTACACACTTACAAGTGTGAAACACATGTATATGTTGATATTTCTCTCTACAAAGACTCATGAGACCACTTTGTCTCATTCATGATATTGGTTTAATTTTGACTCTAGAACTAACTTTCTTCATGTTTAGATCATCACACCTAGACATTATTCTCCAACCCATTATATTGGTTCACTAGAATGCAAATCTAATAGGCTCTAAGTGGGCTAAATCTGTTATAAACAAAGAAGGGAGGGGCTAATCAACCCCAACAATTTACTCTTGAAAGACCAAACAATATTATCTCTCATGAGAACTCAACAAAAACTTAATGAGGGACAAGTAAGTATTTTTTCCTTGAAGAAAGGTATTAGGATTTTAGATCAAGTGGTGGAAGTGGGCATTGAATGATTTGGAGAAAGTTGAGAATTGAGGAAAAGAGTGATCATTTCAATCATCCATCTAGATTCTATGACTCATTTGAACCTAATATTTACTATATATTTTAATATTCTAATTTAGTGTCAGTTTCTCATTATTTTTGTATTAAAATAAAAGACAAAACTTTAAAAATATAGCATTAAAATAGTAAAACTAGTTAAATAAATAAATAACACTTTGGCCATCTAAGAAAAAAGTGAGATAAAAGATATCAAAACTCAACTTTTACAATGTGGTAAATATGGGCATCATAAATGAAGAAATCAAAATCAAGAGGTAATATCTCACAAGACATGACCAAATTAAATCACATGAGATAACAATTGATGGAACTACGAACTAAGGGTCACAACTTTATTGATAGGAATAATCACATCCTAAATTAATGAAAGATAACTAAGAAGTACTTAAATTTGACAAAAGTGAAGACTAAGATATAACAAATTATCATATTATATTTTTCATACAATTAAAAATTTACACTACAACATGTGTACAAAAAGGAAGTATAGATACTCTAGATATATGAAGATGATTGAGAGTTAGAGATTGTTGGAAGATGATAACATTCTAGTTAAAGAAGAGGAAATAGACAACATAATTAAGTTTCAACTAATAAAGAGACGATATATCTCTAAATTTAGTAAAGGGGTTGATATATCTAAGTAATATGAATCATCAAAGGTAAATCAATAATATAAAGATAATTATTTTATATTTATTATAATATATATATCAACAGAACTAATAGAGGACTTCAAATTATTTTTGACAAATATGTTTATGTATGAGGTGATAATGGGCATATGTGTAATAGTAAAGGAAAGAAATATATACAAAGAGATGAACTCAAGTTTTAATAACTAACATTGGTTTCTCTTATTAGACTTTTCTAGTGTCAATATCATTTAAGGCATATAGTGGTTAAGAACTTTTGACATTATGAAACTTAATTGTAACCAATGTATAATAATATTTGTAAAGGTCATTGTCATTATACTCCTCAAAGTTAAGTTCAATATATGCATATCTAATTCTAATAAAAATAAGATATTTTAGTAGAGTGTTATCAACTATATAAGATAATGGAGATTAAATTTTTTGTAAAGTTTTTGGAACTAATTTAGTGGCTCAAGATAAAATCATAAGATATTCTAACTCTCTTCTAGGAAACTCAATCAAATTATCATATTATATTTCCATGTCAAATCAATTGACAATTACCCTTACATATATTTTCATTTAAAAAATTATATAATCAAAAGGTTAATCAATAAAATATGTTCAGAAAATATTATTTAGACTTCTAATAGTTTATACTTAAGTTAAAATTCTATAGAATGTACCATGTTATCAATTGGGACATCATTTTCAACAAGCTTTTGACAATAATGGTGGACTAGCTCATAGAAGAGTTGGATGGGATGATAATATTTTAAAAATTGAACTTAAAGTTGAAATTTCATTATATCAGAATGAAATATTATAGTAATGCATATTTTATATATCAGCAAAACTAATAGAGGACTTCAAATTATTTTTCACAAACATGTTTATGTCTGAGGTGATAATAGACATACGTGTAATAGTAAAAGAAAGAAATGTATACAAAGGGATGACACTCAAGTTTTAAGAACTATCATTTAAGGCATATAGTGGTTAAGAATGTTTGACACTATAAAACTTAATTGTAACCAACTTATGGTAATATTTGTGAAGGACATTATCATTATACCTCAAAGTCAGGTTCAATACATACATATCTAATTATAATAAAAATAAGATATTTTAGTAGAGTTCTATCAACTATATAAGATAATGGAGATTAAATTTTCTACAAAGTTTTTAGAACTAATTTAGTGGTCAAGATAAAATTTTATAAGATATTCTAACTCTCTTCTAGAAAACTCAATCAAATTATCACATTATATTTCAATGTCAAATCAATTGATAATTACCCTTACATATATTTTTATTTACAACATTATAAAATCAAAATACTAATTAATAAAATATTATTTGGACTTCTAATAGTCTATACTTAAGTTAAAATTCTATAGAATGTATCATGTTATCAATTGGGACATCATTTTCAACAAGCTTTTGACAATAATGGTGGACGAGTTTATAGAAGAGTTGAATGGGATGATAATATTTTCAGAATTGAACTTAAAGTTGAGATTTTATTATATTAGAATGAAATATGAGGATATTTCTAAGACATTCTTTAAACACATCAAAGGTATTATGATTTCCTTTTAATGTCTCTTGGACTAATAATTATTGTGTCAATCATTGAATATATGATACATAATTTTCTAAGAGTTTTTTTTGTAAATTTATAATAATATTTTTTGTAACATTTTCATATTCACAATAACATGAAAAATGTATGAACACCATTAGAAACATGTTATGTTGATGTCATATGAACACTAACTTTACATCAACTTGATGAAGTACACATTTAAGTAAGAATATGAAGTACTTAATTTTAAATTTTGACATTAGGATCAAGAAGGGGGAGTTGAATTGATACATTCTTATATGCTGGTTAAATCTAATATATTACAATATATTTAACTCCTTATGATTTGCATGACTTCCCTAACTTAACAAAGATAGACTCAAAAGATTTCATAGTGGTTCAGCTCACTATTAACATCCACTTTTTAAGAATAATTTTGTTCTTAGATTTTACTAACTATGATTGTTTGATCATAGACCTTGGATTATAAGACTCAACTTCATCAAAATTTTACTTCAAACTTCTCTTTTAACAAGTACAACCTTACTCATGATAAAAAAAATAATTTAGCATCACATTTATCTTTTGACAAGTTTTAATTTTTTTCATTATTTATATTTTTCTAGAAATAATTTAAAGTTTACATATTTTAAAATTTTTAATAAAAATAATGATGTATATTTTGAATGAAAAATTCATCAAAATTTCTATATTGTCTTCTTTTTGTCAAATTATTAGTTATGAATTAAATACTCTAATAGTTTCAATATTCTAATAGTTTTCATCAAGTTAATGTCTTCATGTAGCTTGACTTACTAACATAAACATCATTGTCTCTACTTTGAATTTATTATGAGAAAGACAATGTAAAGTTGTAGATTGTTCATGAAAACGATAATGATTTTCTTGTGGTTTATCAATAAATTATTTTCTCTAAATTATGATTAATTTAAATAGTTGAGAAACTAATACAACATATCCTATAAAAGTTTTAGATATTCTCACGAGATACCAATTTTTTAAAAGCATGATATAAATATCTTTATCATATCAATTTAATTGAAGATTGGTAAGGATTTGATATCACTAAAATATTGTTGATTTAGCAATTAAATCTTATTTGAATTATCATCAATAAAATATGATTATTAAGTTAACATCTTGAATAATGATCTCAATACTTATAATCATAATCTTAGTGATTCAAGATATCTAAAATAATTCTTTAAAGTATATTTCTCAATATTTAGAAAACCATGTTTTACTAAATAATTCATCTAAATTCTTTAATATGATTTCATTGTGATGATATCATTCTTTATATCATCACAATGAAAGTATTCTAGTTTATATTTAAATCAAGAACCAATTAAAGATAATTTACGAGTGATAATTGATGATTGTCATCTTCATATTGTAGTAGTAAAAATATCATATTGATATAAAGACTCAAACATAATCTTAAGTTTTCATTTGAACATTGATATTTTTCTCTAGAATAAAATAAATAACTATTTAAAATTATGAGTTTTACTTTAAGATAAAATATACGTTTAGCTCTAGAAATAAGTTAGCAAATGTTTTGTCTAGTGTCTAAACAAACAAAAATTAACATCATAACAACTATATGTCATTATATTGTAAACATGTAGGATATCTCGGTGTGTGAAGACATAAAGCTGTCTTGCACTATACATGACATAAATTATAAATTATAAGTATGGTCTCAATATCCTATTTAATAAGGGCCCCTTTTATCAAGGGAAACTAATAACTTCACAAGGATCTACTTCAATGTACAATAAGTGTAGTAATGTACAATTTACCTAATGAATACAATTAAAGTTTTGTAAATAATATGTTTATTATAATCAATGTCATTACTTAATAAAATGTGAGAGTAAGTAATTATAAATTTTATTGATAGATTGACAAGGTCAAAGAACTATAATTTCATTGTGATGATAGTGGATCTACTTAATAAGTATAATAATTTTATTTTAAAAAAACATTTATTAATTAATTGAGATAGAAAATTTATTCCTCCGAGACATCATATGTTTGCATGCTTTACTCCTCATAATGGTAATCAATTGAAATAAAATTTATATAATATTTTTTCCAATGTTCTATACATTGTAGGGTATTACACTCTATTACATTATAACTTATTGCCTTGATGTGTATGACCAAATTGAAGTGAGGAATCATTATGTGAAAAGTAATCTATATTTTTTATCATATGATCAACTTTGGAGGTGAAGCAAGTGGCTGCTATGGGCCAAGTATTAGTTAGTATACTTCTATATTTCTGTCAAATTGTTTGTGCTTCTTTCGACAGGAAGTGTTTCGCCCCACTTTCGCTTAGTATTGTATCTATTCCTAAACTATTGTCAAATCATGTCACCAATTTTAAAATAGTTGATAACTATGACCCACCATGATTACTTTGATTTAAGACCTAGTTGATGCGTGTGAAAGTGACACAATTTAAATAGAGGAGAGATGTAGGAATGAGGTCCTAAATCTACAAAACCTTGGTCTACTTGAGGGAGCTGAGTGATGAGTCCACATAATCAACTACTTCAACACTTGAATCTACTAGGGGTTAGGCTTGACTCCACAAGTCTTTGGTTTATAACCCTTGAATTCATAAGAAGGATTTAATTGAATCCACAAGTATAAATAAAGAATAACTCTCAAGGAGATGAGGATTTAAGAAGTAAAACTCTTTAAAAAGTAAAAGATGTCAATTGAATGACACATGATACACGCTATTGCTTGATATAAACTCAAAGTAAAGACTCTAACAAGACAATACAAAATAGATCTTTGACACATAAGGTATGTCAAAGATTTATATAGACAAGGAAAAATAAGATACATCTTTCAGCAAAAAAAAATAGAAGTTTGATGGCTAATTGAAGATTTTGAGCAACTTCTAGAAGATCTCTAACCCAAAGGTCTTCACCCAGTGTGGTCTAATAGGATCTATGGGCTACTTTTAGGTGCAGTTTTTAAGTGGCCCATTGGGCCTTTTATTGAGGGCTTCTTGTGGGCTACATCACAAAGAGGTAAAGCAAAATTTATACGAAAGAGATGTAACACTTTTATTAATCATAAACAACGATGAAAGGTTTTCTAAACAAAAAATACATGAAATTACAACATGAGGTCAGATAATTAGAACATACATTTATATCAAGAGTAGGCCCCTATTATAATCTCTCACTCATCATTATAATTAGAAAATAGCTTTACAACACTTCAACCTTTATTCGAACCTAGAAAAAATTGACCTAATCACTTAAAAAATTAATGTCCCCCTTCATGTCACACATTCACTCTATTTTTAATGTCTTCCTCTTGAATTAGTATCAAGCTAAATTGAGCTATCTGCGCATAAAAGGCAATAGTAGTACATTAGTTACTAAGGGAAGTGTAAATGTTGATCAAGTGAAATCAAATACCAACATCTAAAGGTTTATGAGCATTGATGATGAATTTGAGAGAACAATTCTGCAATTTCCACTTTGAGGATGAAGTGCTTATTGCAGAGGGAGAGGAATGATGGATCTCCAATGGGCCTAATGTACTCCATATAAAGAATGAGGGACCTAACTGGGCCAACAATCCCCTCTCAAAAAGACCCAATAACCTCCTTTCTCTAATCTTTTACTTCAGTCTCCATTTCATGTTGTTTATGTATTCTTCGCTGTGTGCTTGCTGCTCCAGGTCGGGATCCCATCAAAATCATTCCCCATAGGGTTGGACAGGCCACACCAAACTAATGCCATAGTAATATCCACGTATTCCGAAAAGTATTATCATAACTTTACGACATGGGTACCCGAAGAGACCCACCTCGCTTCTTTCAACAGGCCCACAACTCCTATCCGACGTAGGTCCATTATTACGTCGTAAAAAGAACGTCCTTTTTGGGCCTAACCTGCCTAACATGGATCCTGCGAAGGCGGGCCCGTTTCCCACAGCCGGGGCCGCCTGAATGGGGAATGCAGGTTGAGGCCCGCTCTGGAGTTTCCGACCAAAAGCACTCCCTTCTGTCCATCAGTCAACGGGCAGGGTGCTTTGCCAAAAGTGTCGCGCGAAAGACCCGTTGACCAACAGAGAAAAGCAGATAAAAAAAAGAGACCCCACTCACCTCCCTGTAAGTGGCATCGATGAGACAAACCGGGACGCGATATTGGGCTCGTAACTGATACCGGATTAAGACGTCATTTCAACCCAATAAAGCGAGTGGGCTTGAGACCGTCCCTCTTATTCTGGTTGCTGTCGGTTCAGTCGCGGAAGAACCTCCCCCTTTTAGTGGGCCTAAATAATGGGCTTTGGCCGGTGCCACTCGTCAAATCGGACGGCGATAACGCCCGAGGGTTGGGTCAGGCGACGGCGGCGGAGGCGGCGTTCGCAGAGCGCCGAAAGTCAAGTCTAGGAGGGACCAGCTGGACTGCTCCTCCGCCAGTTTTGACGCGCCTGACACCGGCTCGACAGGTTCGGACAACGAAGCCGGTCGTATTTCACAGAAGTAGAAACCATTGAAGGAGGCAGAGTTAGAGTTCCTTCGAACCGGCCCCGCCCCATTTCAATGCTCCGATTGTGCCAGGCGGTTACAATCCTCCCCGGCGAAAGCATCCACGCCGTCCGATGAAGAACTCTCTCTCTCTCTCTCTCTCTCACTCACTCTTTCTCTACAGAGAGCCGGGGACTGCGACTGGGATAAGACGATCGGATGGTCTCCCCCGAATATGGTGGTGTTGGCTAGTAGGCACAGTTGCTGAAAGTCGTCGCCAATTCCCACTGAAAAGTCTCCTCAGACAGAGCAGAGCCGGCACAGAGAAAATGGACAAGAGCACGCGGCCAAGCTGTCATCGATCTCTCTATGCGTCAGCCCACGGGGTGGCGGAGTCAGGCCGCCCATCTTCCCCCCGCTGCCGCTGGTTCTGGTTCTTGCTCTGGTTCTGCTCGCCGTCGTCCGCCTGCCGGAGGGAGGCGAGAGGGAACAGAGGGAGGAGCTCCGGTGGATCGGACCCGCCGCGGGGAGAGGGGTGGAGATAGAACCCTTTCTCTGCGATGGCCCGATCTTCGTCAGAGGCCGCGGGAGAGAAGAGCGGCGCCGCCCAGAGGGGGGTCACCGGACTGGGGAACGACGCCGCGGGGGCCCCTGCGGCGGCGAGCAGCAGGTACTGCTGCCGGGGAGTCGGCGGCGCCTGGGGGGACCTCGGCGAGGGTTGGGCCTGGTGGAGCGAGGTGAGGCCGAGCTTGATCTCGAGCTTCCTCACGCTGGGCCGCCTCTCCTGGAGCTTGAAGGCGGGGCGACGGGGGCCGACGGCGGAGCGCGCGGGGGGCGCCGCGACGGGGAGCTTGTCGGCCGGCGGAGCTCCGGTGTGCTTCTGCACCAGGTCCCGGAACGTATGCGGCTCCGCTTGCACGAAGATGGTCGGCGGCGGCGGCGCCGCCGCCGCAACCGGGGACGGCCTTGGGGAAGCAGGAATCGGGGTCGTGGGCCTCTCCATTCCCTTCCTTTCTCGGAGCAGAGACCCTAGATGGAGGAGGAGCGTTTCTCGCACCTTGCAGTTTTGGCTCTAAGCTCGTTGCCGATAGAGAGAGAAAGGGGCGGGGGCCGCTATCGGAGGTGACGACAAGACGTTTGGTTATATAGAGGGCGAGAGAAGTAGAGAGAGAGAGAGGAGGGGGGGGTGCTGAGACAGGTCGTCTGATGGGAGTGGTGGCAGGGGCAGAGCAGTTGACCACGGTGGCTGTAGTCTACGCCGGCGCTGTGCAAGAGACAACGCTCGCGCGCACCGCAAACTTAATGGCGGCACGTCTCTAAAGCCGGCAAATTCCTTGGCCGCTTCCGCGGAGGGCCGCCGTGACGCCCAGCGGCTTTTTGACAATGGTCGGCCCCCTCTTCGCCTTCCCGCCGGCGACAGAAGAGCCCGCAGCACCGAGATAAAAATATTGAAGAATTCCCACTGCAGCTTCAACTAAATAGAGGAGCAGCGTATCTCGGTGGCACCTTCCGATTCTTCCCCCTTTCTAGAGTCAAACAAATCAGATGCGAAAGTCAATCAAAGAGTACGTCAGAGATAAAGAGTGTAGTTGATAGTCCCCCCCCCCCCCCCCTCTCTCTCTCTCTTTCTCTCTCTAAAGGTTAAGAGGGTGATCGAGGAAGACGCAGGAGGATGCTGTTCGACGTCCATTGCGTCCGCAGGCTGAGGCGGCATCAAAGGCGGCGGCGTTGTTTTAAGAACGAATCAGATGCCTTCGACCGTATGGAGGACGACGCTTAGAAAACGTGGCCCTTCGCAAGATGTGGAAAAGTCTCCACTCAAGACGAAGAAGACGATGCCCAAGGCCCGCAGTACCCAAGGTCCGTCAGATTCTATGGGCTCGGGCCCGTTAAAGAATGGGCCCAATAGCCCAATGGCCCAATATTTCAAATCTTTATTCCGATTTATTGCCATTTTGAGAACTATCAATTCCACGAATCCCCCGCTCCCCCACTTACAACATAACGGACCCCCCCGGATGTAATTAATGGGTCCGAGTTTCACATAGAGAGGAGGGGAGGGGGAGGGCTATCGGGTCCTTTTCTCCGAACTGGACAAGCCGAAGGATTTGGCGGACTTAGCCGGGCTTTAATGGGTCATCACCGTAGAGAGGGACAGCTTCTCAAAGTAATAATACGGAGGGGGGAATCTGTAAAGTTCCATTTTCTCTCCTAGTCTAGAGATGCTGATATATATAAGTACGGGTGTTTTAACCGTCCGTGGTCGTGAAAGCAAGTCGTGTGTCTTCACGGGCCCACGTCGAAGGCCCAGTATGGGATGGGAGAGAGAGAGAGGGGTGTGGCAGAGAGCGGTGGAACGGGGGAGAGATGATGAGGAAGGGAGAGAAACGAGAGGCCCCAAATAGCTCTCTCCCGCCCCCACTCTCTCTCCATCATCCTCCATCCCCATTCGCTCTAGTCTTCTTCCAGTAAGCCTACGACCGCAGCGAAATACCGAGAACTATCAGAACCTTATCCTATCTCGCCGCTCAATCCGCTCCATTCCTTCATATCTCCCCTGCTCTCCGGCCCCTTCTCTCCCTCCCCCATTCGCCTCTCTCTCTCTCTCTCCATCTCTTTCTTCGATTTATCTCCTCTCGTGCTGGACTGTTCTTCTGCCCTCATGGAATGAGCGGAGGAAATTTGTGACCCGGGGGCGTCTCCTGCATTCAAAATCCACCGCGTACTCTTATCTCCGGCGTTGCTCGGATTCCCCAGAGTGAGAAAGACTGGGGAACGAACGGCGGGGACGCTCCGTCTATAGCTACGGACTGCTTTCGCCCCTCACCGTCGGCCTTCCGACAGTTGGAATTTGTGCGTAATTCCTCAGCGAGAAGGCGAACTGCTGCTCTCTCCGTTTCACCATCGAAGAAGCTGTTCGGGTAGCTCCTTGGTCGGAGAGGAGTTTTGAAATAGCATACCGGATTCGTCGGCATTTCTGAACTCCCTGGGAGCGAGCTCCGGCGTCGCCTCGCATCGAACGTTTTACCTGCCGCTTCAATCCATCCGCGAGGAATCCAGAGAGCACGAGGACAGATAGCAATGGCACCCAAAGCTGGAAAGGCCAAGCCCCACAAGGCCAAGGGAGAGAAGAAGAAGAAGGAGGAGAAAGGTTCATCTATCTTATCCTCCTTCAATCTCCCTTCCGTCTCATTGTTCTCCTCTTCTCTTCCAGAATTCTTCCCTTCAACCGTCCTCACTAACCTGCGCGTGTTCCAATTACAGCCTTGCCGTCGGTGCTGGACATCACAGTGGAGACGCCCGACTTCTCCTATCGGACGCTCAAGGTAGTAACCCTCGGTCCCCTTTGCTCGTTTGCCATATCCTCGTTCTTAAAATACGCCGCATGCAAGACGTGGGCTATTTATTAGGGCCCCATCGTTGCCTCTTCCTCTACAGTTCCTCTTCGTATCCATGTTAGGCTGCGCCGCCATCTGAAGCGCATTTTAGCATGCGAGAGCAGGCCGGTCCTTGTCGGAGTAATCGAACCGGGCCGAGTTCCGCGAGGAGTTCAACCGGCGTTGCGCCCACAATGGATTTCTGACGTTGCTTCGCCATCGTCTGCAGGGAATATCGACGGACAGGATCTTGGATGTGCGGAAGTTGCTGGCCGTCCACGTGGACACCTGCCACCTCACCAACTTCTCTCTCTCTCACGAGGTTATCTCCTGTGGGGCCCTTCTCCGACGTGAAATTAAATATTTTCCCTCCCGGCCCATAATGGTATGGATCCGGATCCTTTATGGGCATCCGATATCTGTGTGTTTCCGCTCGTGCAGGTGCGCGGATCCAGATTGAAGGACTCGGTAGAAGTCGTTGCTCTCAAGCCCTGCCATCTCACCGTGGTCGAAGGTAGGCGCGCGTCTTGATTTGGATGACTTTCTCTTGAGGCTGTGGACGTGCTGGGACTGAAACAATGTTGTCTCGCCTTCCTCTCTCTCGCCTTTCTCTCTCTCGCCTTTCTCTCTTGGGCAGAGGACTACACCGAGGAGCTTGCCGTTGCCCACATCCGCCGCCTCCTGGACATTGTCGCCTGCACCACCGCTTTTGGCTCCCCGTCGTCGGCGAAGAATGGCGGAGCAGGAGTGGCGGCAGGTGCGGTGTCGGGCAAGGCAGACGGGAGGAGGGAGCAGCACCCCCGCCCCGCCGAAGAAGAAGCGGTGGGGTTCTCGCCCCAGGTCGAGGCTCTGGACGACGGTTCGAATCCCCCGGAAATGATCAAGAAAGCCGGCTCCTCGACCTCGGGCGGGACAAAAAGTAGTGGGGATCTCAGCGTCAACAATAAGGAGGAGGCGATGTACCCTCCTCCGAAGCTCGGACAATTCTATGACTTCTTCTCCTTCGCCCACCTGTCATCGCCGCTCCAATGTCAGATTTATTTTTCTCATTGTTCCTTGGTGATTCATTCGTTTGTTCTTATCTGCTTATAAATAATTACGGTATCAAATGTGTTTCAGACATCCGGTTGTCGTCCCGGCCGTTTGTAGAGAACAAAAGAGAAGACGATTTCTTCCAGATTGATGTGAGTTTAATGATTGTCTTCACGCAACTATGCTGCTGTTTTCCGTCGAGTTATTTTCTTTTGTCTGATTGAGACTAATGGTTTCCGGTATATTATTCATGGGCAGGTGAGGATGTGTAATGGGAAACCAGCAACGATAGTGGCTTCTCGGGAAGGCTTCTACCCCGCCGGGAAGAGGGCCCTCCTTAGCCGTTCGTTAGTTGGTTTGTTGCAGCAGATAAGCCGGACATTTGCTGCAGTGAGTAGAAGTTTATAACTTAAATAGCACCTTCTAATTTTCTTACTATGTTTGAGTCTAAATCTCAACTTACTTTCAGGCTTATACAGCTCTTATGAAAGGTTTTATGGAGCATAACAAGGTGAGTTTGTTGAATGTGCCAAGGAGTCAAAAACAATACTCACCACAAAGTCAACAGTACTTTAATTGGCTGTTGGTACAAGCGTAATTTTTTATTATTTGCCACAAATCGAAATGAGTGGACATGTATTTCTCTTCCAATTTTCAGTTTGGTAATCTTCCGTACGGGTTCCGCGCAAACACATGGGTCGTTCCTCCCATTGCTGCAGATTCACCAAATACCTTTCAGCCCCTGTCTACAGAGGATGAGAGTTGGGGCGGAAACGGTGGTGGTCAAGGCAGAGACGGAAAACATGACCACAGGCAATGGGCAAAAGATTTTGCGAGCTTGGCTGCAATGCCTTGTAAAACGTCTGAGGAGAGGCAGACAAGGGATAGGAAGGCTTTCCTTCTTCACAATCTATTCGTCGACGTTTCTGTCTTTAAAGCAGTGGATGCAATCCAGCGTATCATCGGGAATCATTTGCCATGCAATGGAAAGCAAAATGGTTATCCAGACGGCAGAATTTTTGAAGAGCAGATTGGCGATTTGAGGATAAGAGTAACAAAAGATGAACCAGATGGTACCACAAAGTTGGAGACTAAGATTGACGGTAGCCAATCGCCGGAGGCATCATCCGAAGAACTTGCTCAGCGAAATTTGTTCAAAGGAATAACGGCAGATGAGAGCGTGACCGTCCACGTAAGCCTTTTCTTCATTTCTTTCTAAAACGTCGGCAAGCAACAACACTAGGTGTATATCTTTTATGACTGAAAATGATTTATATGCGTTCTCTCAGGATACATCAACTCTAGGTGTAGTGATTATCAGATATTGTGGGTATACAGCTGTCGTGAAAGTTCCTCCGGAAGAAATTTCAGCTGGAAGCTCTCTGCTTCAAGAAGTTAACATTGATGATCAGCCAGATGGCGGTGCCAATGCTCTTAATGTCAATAGGTGAGCATCTGAATAACCATACGAACGTGTTTTCTTATCTATAATCTCTAGGCATTTTGAATCTGACTATGCAGAATATAGTTATGGTCGTGTGGTGATTGGAACTCGACCTTGCAGATTATTTACTCTAAATGGATATTTTTCAATCGTCACTGGTGGTCTATTTGGCACCTTTGAGGACGTGTAGCTTCATGAATTGCTATTCATGTATTTGTATCCTCTTGTTCTGCAGCTTGAGGATGCTATTGCACAAGTCAAGTTCTCCACAGTTGTCTGGTAATCTCCCTCGAGCTCACGGTCCAGATTTTGAAGATTTGAAGCCTTCTAGGTCATTAGCGAAGAAAGTGCTTGGTGATTGTCTGAAAAAGTTGCAAGAAGAACCTGCAAAACAGAGGAGGTCAATTAGATGGGAGCTAGGTGCATGTTGGGTGCAGCATTTGCAAAATGTTGCATCGGGGAAAACTGAAACTAAGAAAAATGAGGAGATAAAAGTTGAGCCAACCGTTAAAGGACTTGGAAAGCAACTTGGCCCTCTAAAAGTAATAAAAAAGAAGGCTGATGGCAAGGGTACCCAAAATGACACAGGAAAGGAAATTTCTAATTGTACTGGCCATGATCCCGAGACTTTACATGTAGATGCTGGTGAACAAAAGGAGTTCAACAAAATCAACTCAGAGGAGGAGATCGTTTTGCAGAAGTTGCTCCCCGAGGCGTCCTTTTTACGCCTAAAAGAATCTGACACTGGCCTCCATCTTAAGGTTTAGTCTATCCTTTCTTTTTACATTATTTCTATCCTTTTTCGATACGATCTGCGTTATCCCCTTAGACATATAGATATAGATATAATTTCTTATGTCATCTGTTGTCTTCCTTTACCGTGTCCTGCGATCTGATAACCGTGTATCGATAATTGTCTCTGCCTTCTGTGAGAGAACCATGGCATTTTTCATTTTGCACTAATCCTGACATGCTGTCTGAGGGATAAATTGATAAAAACTTTTGCTCCTTTTAAGTCTTCGGTTATGATTTAAAAGTTGCATAGAATATAAAGCTATTAATCATATATTAGTATACAGCTTGTGCAATGTCATACAGTTCTCATCGGTTGCATACTGTGATGGATTACGACAAAGATATAATATATGAAAACCTCACTAAAGACTTTATCCTAGTACGTTTTGTGCTTTAATTTGACATTATTTACTGCCTTACTTTCGTGCTTCTTTGTAGTCACCTGATGAGCTGATTGAGATGGCAGACAAATACTATGAGGAAACTGCGTTGCCAAAGCTGGTAAAGCTGCTCCCATTTCTTTGTATGAGAATTACTTTTCAAAGGAGGGATTTTTATCATTTACTTCTCGTTTGAATTTTATCAGGTGGCGGATTTTGGTTCCCTTGAACTTAGTCCAGTTGATGGACGGACGCTGACAGATTTTATGCATACTAGAGGGTTGCAGATGTGTTCTCTGGGGCGTATTGTAAGTAGTAATAGTTATTTAAATACTTTAATTTTTTCACTTGCACATTTTTCTTGATTTGGTTAGTCTGAGTTTTGTTGTATGAACTTCACGCTGCTGATCTATTTATATTCTTTTTCCTATTTTTTTCATGATTCTGAAATTAGGTTGAACTTGCGGACAAGCTCCCACATGTTCAATCACTTTGCATCCATGAGATGATAACTCGGGCTTATAAACACATACTACAAGCAGTTATTGCAGCGGTCGATGACGTAGCTGACTTGGCTGGATCAATAGCAGCATGCCTAAATATCTTGCTGGGATCCTTGCCTACTGATGAAGTCGACGCTGACTTAGCTAATGATGCTGACCTGAAACAGAAGTGGGTAGAAACATTACTATTGAAGAGATTTGGATACAGGTGGAAAGATGCTAGTTGCAGTGAACTGAGAAAATATGCAATCCTTCGTGGGCTTTGCCACAAGGTATTCTTCTTTGACAATTCTGTTGCGGGACCCTAAATGATGCCAAACTAAATATCTCCTTCGTTAATGGCTTAGCATCTAATAATTTATCTTTCCCAGGTCGGACTTGAGCTGGTACCTAGGGATTATGAAATGGATGGACCATCGCCTTTCAGAAGGTCAGATATCATCAGCATAGTCCCCATATACAAAGTAAGATACATGAATCTCATTCAAAGGGGCAATATAAACGATGACATAAAGAAATAGTGTCACTAATGATGTGCATTGCAGCATGTTGCATGCTCCTCTGCCGATGGACGCACACTGTTGGAGTCATCTAAGACTTCGTTGGACAAGGGCAAGCTTGAGGATGCTGTCAATTATGGAACCAAGGCAAGGATCATCACTTGTTCTAATTGTTTTCTCCTTTTATAAAATATTATATTACGAGTAATCTGATCATTGTATCCCTGATCTTGTTTTTATGAAGGCACTTGCAAAACTTGTAGCAGTATGCGGTCCTTACCATAGAATGACAGCAGGGGCATACAGTCTTTTGGCAGTAGTTCTATACCACACTGGCGACTTCAACCAGGTATCCGTCAAGCTTATTCTTGATATCCATTTCAACATTGGGTGCAAATACTATTTTTAATCTGTTTCGGTGGGCGATTCCACGGCGGACACCTATTCCCTTGATTCGGTAGATGAAGCACAGGACTCTGTTAGTCGATTCTTTGGATTCACCCTTGTTAGTTGGTCAGATTGGTCTTGACGAGGATGGAATCTGATTTACCCGTTGCTAACCATATAAAATGTACCGCATAGACATATTACCAATCCAATAGATCCATGATGTTCATATAGGATTTATTCGCATATACTTTGATGTCACGCTAAAAGACCGGACCATTAAAATCAAAATCAATTAAAATTGATGAAGTAAACCCAAATATTTTCTTCTCAGTATTTAATTGTCCAATTAGATGTAAACAATTTCGTACAGATAGTAACTCTTTTTTAATTCCGTGGTTGGAATCATCACACAGCAACTAAATGAAAGTTCAAAACCTATAAAATCAACTCGAAAAATGAGAAGAAAATCAAAATATATCAGACTGAACCTATGTATTGTCCACCAGAAAATTCTTGAATAAAAAGGAACTATGAAGATGTGATGCAATAGTAAGTCAAATAAAGAACGTAGGACTCTTATATTGGGAACACCCTGAGCAGACTGATGCGGGACAATTTGATACTCAGAAGGCCCCTAGACCGTGAAATTTTTTATCAATATGCATGGAGAGCAAACGTATCCCGATGTATTACAGTTTGCCTCGCTCAGTTCTTTCTAAGAAAAAAATTCGAGATAAATGTGAGGGGATATAAACCCTCTTCCTTTTTTATTCACACGTTTGGTTGCGAAACAATGTCGATTTATTGAATCATGTTTGTAAAACACAACTTGAAATATTTTTCCTCCTCCTTGGGCCAGATGATGGGTCATGGCTCGAGTCTGGGGAAGGGGAAGGAGATTTACAATAATTTCCATCAAGATTCAGATATTAAGTTTACATAACTCATTTAAACTAGAATTAAAATTAGAAAAAAATGATGGAAAAATTCTAGTTATAAGTTTCGACAGTTCCTTTGGGTACTTGTGTACTTGTTTATATGTAAATCAAGGAATCCACTTTCTTTTCATGGATTTTGTATAAGCTCATGATCCGCTAAATTTCTTTTGATTGTAGCAGCCGTAATTTTTCTTCGTAGATAATCTTCAAATGACAGCTCTTGCCTATCGAAGAAGCTGAACAGAACTGACACTTGGCGTAAATTCGCAGGCTACGATATATCAACAAAAGGCCTTAGATATAAACGAGAGGGAACTTGGCCTTGACCATCCAGATACAATGAAAAGCTATGGAGATCTTGCCGTCTTCTATTACCGGCTTCAGCACACAGAGTTGGCATTGAAGTAAGATTGAGCTCTGCAATATTTTCTTGGTGATTTTTTCTAAGAGTATAAGATAGAGGATCATGAAATGTGATTGTTTTTATAGAGTTTCCATTTCTCTCTGATGGTAGTAGTTGTGGCCTTCCGAATTAATGCTTCGGATATCAACTATTTCCCATCTCGATATCTGAAATGCTGCTAGAACCATCAAAAAGATATGATCATTAATGTCAACTCATGTTCCTCTGTATATCCCATTGAATCTGATGCTTACATCCCTCTGAAGCTTCTTGTTTGTTCAACTTAAAGATATTTATCTTGTGAAAGACATGATCGCCTATAATTATATTATTTGTTCAGTGCATGCTTTATTAAGGGGATGATGTTTTTATATTCATCTTTGTTCGTACCAGGTATGTCAACCGTGCATTATATCTTCTGCACTTGACCTGTGGCCCTTCACACCCCAACACGGCTGCGACTTACATTAATGTGGCCATGATGGAAGAAGGGCTAGGGAATATTCATGTCGCACTGAGGTACCTGCACGAGGCACTTAAATGTAATCAAAGACTGCTTGGAGCTGATCACATACAGGTCTCATTTTGCAAAAGTAGCTTCAGAGAAACATACTCTTCTCTCCCTTACGAAAGATTGTTGACCTATGTCTTGGTTTATGTCCACAGACTGCAGCCAGTTATCATGCCATTGCAATTGCTCTGTCATTAATGGAAGCGTACTCACTGAGTGTCCAGCACGAGCAAACAACTCTGCAGATACTCAAAGCAAAGCTTGGAACAGAAGACCTCAGAACGCAGGTAACGATCTCAAGAGGTTCAGTCATGCAATTTCACTTCTGCTTCTATTCTGAAGCAGGATGCCCCTCCCGTTCAGGATGCTGCAGCATGGCTTGAATACTTTGAGTCCAAAGCCCTGGAACAACAAGAGGCTGTCCGAAATGGCACACCGAAACCAGATGCTTCTATCGCTAGCAAAGGCCACCTGAGGTAATTGAAATAGAGTTAAACCTCTGATTTCTCCTCGCTAAGGTCAAGTCAGACATTGTGCGAAGTTTGGGCATAAATTTCGACAGTGGGTCATTATTTCCGAACGGAAATAGCTCAATTTAGGCATTCGTGTGCTACACGTGTGCTGGTAGATATTATAACACGATGTGATCGGAAAGTTACTTTCTGGTCCACGCCCCAATTATGATCTTTCTTGAGGGGCATCACGCTTTATTTCACATACACGGTTGAACCCTGGCCAGTTGATTGGAAGATATCCATGGTAGCCATGTACCAAGACCAAGGGCCAACTCGTCTTCCCCCTTTTGCCATGAATACCATGTAACATAGCTTATGCTTGGGCTAATCCTACTCTTCCCGTAATATAAGCCCCACCGTACCCTCGTATTAGAAGATCATTCCGTATATACACCCATTTTGATTAGCTTGTGACCAACGGTGCTTCTCTTTGCTTTTCCTCCAGTGTCTCGGACCTTTTGGACTACATCAACCCAGATGACGATCTCAAGGCAAGAGAAAATCAGAAAAAACTTGCCCGAGCAAAGGTAATGCTCATCTCTGTCTGCTGCCAAAACCCACTGAATTTTCTCACGATTCATTGCATATCAAACTCTTGGGTGTTTCTGTTTCAGATCAAAGGTCGAGCAAACCAAACCCAGTGGGAAGCAGTAACAGGCGGAGACCAGGAGGATTTAGCCTTTATGGCCGAGTACACTGTGAATGAGGCCTCTAACGACAAAGAGAATGATGTCAAAATCGATACTGTGGAACCTCAGAAAGATGACAAGTCAACAGTTAACATGGTTCACGTACCTGCACCAGAAACTCAGGATGAAGGAGGATTGGATGTATCGTCAGATGAAGGATGGCAAGAAGCAGTCCCGAAGGGGCGTTCCGCCGCGGGCCGGAAGTCTTCGGGAAGGAGACCTAGCCTGTCCAAACTCAATACGAACTCCCTGAACAACTCAGAAAATTCAAGATATAGAGCGAAGTCTTCTCCCGGCTTCTCGTCTCCGAGATCCTCTCCAAATGATGCAGCTCCTACAGCCACCATTTTTGTTCCGAAGACGCTGGCTAAGAGTTCAAGCTTCAGTCCTAAACAGGCGACCCCTGCAGCATCGCCTAACACCGTGGAGAAGTTTACTAACGCAGTGCCACCACCAACAAGCCCTGCTGTCGCAAATGTGCCCGCCAAGCCGAGTCCTTTGCCAAGTTCGGTCACTGTTCAAGCATCGAGGAAACCTCTGTCCTACAAAGAAGTTGCACTGGCACCACCCGGAACCATAGTCAGGGTTGTTGAAGATCACGCAGCAAAGGAAACAGAGGGTTCCGACCAGGATGATCACACAAGCAAGGAAGCTTGTGTGGTAGAGGGAACTCAAGGCGATACGGCCGCGTGCAGACAAGGGAATAGCGAAAACGAGAGCATCCCCGAAGGGAACCCAGAAACTTCGGAAGAAACAAAGATCCACGTAGGTGAGGAAAAAGGGAAGGAAGAAGAGGCAACGGAGGCTGGAGTTTTGGGGCATCAAGAGCTCGATTCCTCCGTTGAAACAAATGCGAGTTCTTCTGACCCTGAGAAGGATAAAGATAATACCGCAAATGCTGAGCCAGTTCCTCCCGTCCTTGAAGGATCTGAATCCTCCGAAAAGGCTTCTTTGGAACCTAAAGTGTCTGCGCTGGAGGCAATGCCAACTTTGCAGGCGAATGTCTTGGGTGCAGTTGAGAAGGAGGTTCAGGCTCTTGATGGTTCACAGCAACTGAGCATTGGAGGTGACACCGAGCTGCCCTCACCGACTGAACCCGGAAAGCTGGAGGAAACCGCAGAATCTGTCAAAGAACCGAACCGGAAGCTTTCTGCTGCCGCTCCTCCGTTCAGTCCATCCATGGTACCAGTGTTCAGCCCCATCGCCGTTCCAGGGTACGGTGATCACGGGGGGATCTTGCCCCCTCCGGTAAACATAGCTCCGATGTTGGCGGTCAACCCTATCCGGAAGTCTTCTTATCAGTCTGCAACAGCCAGAGTTCCCTACGGCCCCCGACTTTCAGGAGGTTACACCAGATCCGGGAGTCGCGTCCCTCGAAATAAGCCCGTCCTGCAGAACTGTGAGGTTGACGGGAACGGCTTCAGCTCCAGAATAATGAACCCTCATGCAGCAGAGTTCGTACCAGGTCAGCAGTGGCTTCCCAACGGTCACCCGGCGTCCCCAAATGGCCTCGTCTCTCCCACTGGCGCTGCAGACTCCCCTCATAGCGTCCTGCTTTCACCGTATGGTTCAGAGACGTCTCCCGCCCCCACTGTGGAAGATGCCGACCCGTGCGTGGAAGAAGTCGACCCCCACCTTGAGGAGGCCTCCGTGGAAGCAGGAATCGTTGGCCATCTGACGACCACGAGTGATGCTGGTGTTCAGACAGAGGAAAGCTCGCCCGCTCCAGTTGCCGACGCCGAAGACCACTCTGCAAACAAGGAGGCGCCGGAAGAAGACGGTGCACCAAACGGGAAACCCGTGAAGAGCTGGGCCGATTATAGCGACGGCGAAGCCGAGGTTGTGGGGGTCGCGAGTTGAGAGGCACAGCGGAGCTGACCAGAGAGGACTCCGCAGATCTTGGAGGAAAGAAGTTGAGAATGGCGGGTCTCTTTTTCCCCAGCGCGGTCCTGCAAGCGGAGAATCAGCGGCTCCTCCCCTGCTCATCCGGCAATTTTGTGTTATATAAATCCACGGCTCTGTTGGATTGTACAGCAAAAGGCAGGTGCTAGAGAGGGCAGCGTTAGTGTTCTTGATCCCCGAAGAGTGGTAGGGAAGATGATCCGAGTGCTCCTGATGATCCTCGGCGTCGCCGGGGAAGACGACGGTCCAAGCGCTCTTCTTCCATGATGTTGTGCCTGGTGGAGGGCGTCCGAAGTCAACGGTAGATGGTAAAGAATAATTCTCTCTTTTTTTGCTTCATTTTCGCGTTACCGGTGACTGTTTGGATAGTTTAACCTCAGCAAGATCCTTTGAATTCTCTACCGGCTGCCTCATGCTCGAAATCTCCTGCCTGAAATTCTTCTCAGGCACCTCATTTTCATGCGTACCCAATCTGGTCCAGTAGTCTCCTTTCGATGCTCACTTCTTTACAGCGAGCGAGCGAGCGAGAGAGAGAGAGAGAGAGAGAGAGAGAGAGAGAGAGAGAGAGAGAGAGAGAGAGAGAGGGTTCAAAAATTTAACAGAAAAGAATTGACTATTTGAGTGACGGAGCAACAAGAGAGCAGATGCCGTGATGGTCACAGAGGGCGGGGGCAGGGAAGCGCGTCCCGCCACTCGAGGAGCACGGCAATGGCGGCGTAGTGAAGTAGCGCCCCCGCGATGACAAAGAGATGGAAAATCTGGTGGCTGTGCCCGGCGAGGTCGAACACCCCGGGCTTCCACTTCTCCGGCACGCGGCTGGCGTACACCCACGCCCCGGCGCCGTAGGCCGCTCCCATGAGCGCCTCCAGGGCCAGCGCGACGCGGCACGCAGGGTGCCCCCAGTTCTGCGACGCAGCGTGCACAGCCGGCACCACGCCGGAGAAGCCCATTACGAGGAAGAGCACCGCTCGGGGCTTGCGGTACTCGGGGGCGTTGAGGGTGGGACTGAGGAAGGCGCAGGAGGCGAGGAGGGCCAGGAAGGAGATGGTAGCGAGGTAGAGGAACCGGGGGAGGGGCTGGCATAGGAAGGCGTAGTATATGGGCGGGAAGAAGGAGGTGACGATCATGAAGGAGATCCCCGCGTAGTCCAGGCTCCAGAGGAAGTTGTTGAAGCGCCGGGAGTGGCAGGCCAACAGGTGGGAGACGCTGCTGCAGCCCAGGCACATCAGGGAGCCCGCCATGAACACCGCCCTCGGCCATCTCGGCGCCGCCCATTTGACGGCGGCTTCCTCCTCCGGTGGCGCATCCTGCCCAGCAACAAAACAGGACGAAGAAAGGTCTGGTTACCAGCGATTGCCATGGATCATAGACTGGGCAAATGTCACTCGCAATTGTCAACCGGATTAACTGTTTTCGACGAATCGGGCCCGAGTCCCACGTCTGAGTCGAAATCCATGAGAAATGTTGGATCTTGGTGATGGGCTTCTTGCCGATGCCAGCTTGTCAACAAATGCATGTCTGTTCATCATATGCATGTTTTATTTGACTATCTATTCATCGATGGGTTAACCGCTGACAGTCATATTCTTATGGTAGAAAGAAGTAGATGAAACGTGAATAAAGATGGGGAAAACAGAGACAGATGATAGCTCTCTGAGGAATCGTCTCCGAAATTCAGCTGGGTTTAGTCACGTTTGTCCACAAAAAGGAGCTCAGAATTGGATCCCTGATGGATAGTTAAGACCAAGGGTGATTCTGTGCGGAGAACTTCATAGGAGTTGAATTCTTTGCTAGATGATTTTTCATTGCTTGCGAAAAGTTAACGTAGGGATCGAAGGAATAAGAGAATGTCCTCTCACCGATGATCTGCTTCCCAGAATGTTCCATCCCGTTGTGGAGTTGCCGGATCTGCACAACCGGCGGCGATTTCGGGGTCAGACAATCGGAGGGAAGTCGACGGATGGCAGATAACCAAGGGAGAAAGTCTTAGAAAATGACCCAACCGAGAGAAACCGGGGATGAGAAATTGCCCGGCTTCGATGACGTCCGACGAGCTCGCCACCGTCAAGGCCAGGAAGAGGAGGAATCCCCCCAGATGCCTGATCACAGAAGGAGAAAACTCAATCCGATTAGAGAGACGGAGGGATAGAGAGGAGCTTTCGGTGAGACGAAGGCGAGCGGCGGGGGGTGATTACGTCCACACATTGAGTGTCTCGTTGTGCCAGGAGAAGACGCTGAGGACGGCGTCCCGCAGAGGCCACTCCGAGCGGTAGTAGTCGAGGATGTATTCATTGTCCTTCATAAAGTCCGGCAGCTCCTCGTACCTGACCAGCCGGAGGCCCGCCCTCCGTTTCTCCTCAACCTTCTTCACCCTCTCGCCGATCTCCCCGGCCCAGCCGTCGTTTCTATTCCGCCTCCTAGCCATTCTCTCCGGTATCCCCCTCCGTCGTCCTCAGCAAGCGAGAGAGAGAGAGAGAGAGAGAGAGGCGTCGCTGCCCTAACCCAGATTTCCTTCGCCAGAGTAGACGATGATCAACTGAGATGGGCGGGCCCCACAGGCGGCCCCGTCCGCTCCCCCCTTCTCCGTCGTGTCCGGCGTGGGACGACCAGCGGAATCTCCCGCACGCGGAACGACCAGGGCTGCGGGAAGAAAAATAAAATCCCCGTTTTTTACTTGTCAACGTGCGCAGGACCTGGATCTGCTGCGCCGCCGTGGTTCTCGCCGGCCAAATATTATTTCCCTTTTTTATTTATCGACCAATCACACTTGACCACGTGGAAAGATAAATTACGGCAAAATCGCACGCTTACCGATGAATATGATATATATATTTTTGGGATCACGGAAGCAAGTCGGGGAGAGAGAAATCAGCCCGCTGGTGGTCAAACAACGCCGTTTCCCCCCTAACTTCAGATTAATTTGATATCCACCAGTAATTTTTTGAAAAAATAATTTTTTTTATGGGAATTAATGTATTTCGTAATTATATTCTTAATTAAGGGAATTAATTGGCAAGGCAATCCTCCCCCATATTCAGTTCATTTTCATATTTATATCTTCTTTTCTTATTTAAAAAATTGTTTATATTTCGGTCTACGATTCGACCCTTTTCCCCTCTCCAATTCGTTATTGATTTGACCTCCGATAACTCTCGACGACGTACTGATAAATGATTTATTTTAGTTTTTTTTTTTGGGTTGCTAATTCCAAAAAAAGCTTGACTCTGTGCGCCCAATAAAACATTGGGCTGGGCCAACTTGATTCACCATTTGGGGCCCAATGACAGCGTGTGCTGTTGATGGGTCCTTGGCTACATCCTCTGTGACGACTCTAGAGAGAGAGAGAGAGAGAGAGAGAGAGAGAGAGAGAGGGAGGGATCTGTGGGCAGGGTAGATCTGACGGTGCAGATTGCAGCCTCAGCTCGGATCAACATCTCTTGCAGTGTCGTCGATCGGATCCAAATCAGGGCCTGAAGAATCGGATCGGCTACTGTTGATCTCAAACCAAATCGGGCAAAATTCCAACGGACAGCGTACCGAAGCTGGTCTTGGCGGCGCCAGTATAATCCTCGTTTTTTTTTTTTTTGCATGGCGAAAATATGCAAGATTTGAGTGTTTTACGATAATTTAATGATTTTTAAATCACGGGAAATGCTGGGAATTACATTTTATGATGATATGGACCGGTCAATCGTTCAATTTGATATAATTAATGCCCGTTAAATGTAAGGATAAATTAATATTGTCAGCTGACTAATTTAAATTATGAGGAAATCAGTTAATTTTTCAAAGTAAAGACGGTGAATGAGACAGTGTATAAATGGACGCGCGCTGCAAATCAGGAGGTGGAGAGAGAGAGAGAGAGAGAGAGAGAGAGAGAGAGAGAGAGGAAGCCTCTGAGAGACGGCAGTAGGAGAGCGGCGGCAACCGGCACCACCACCCACCCTTCTCCACAGCCGGCCCCCATTAATCCGTTGCCCCCACTGCCCATCCGAGCCCTTGAAAAGGTCTCGTCGGAGAGCCCTCTCCCCTCCACCATAGCTCGGCTCTGCTTTCCATCTCCTGACAGACGCTCCATCTTCAAGGCGGCGGCCGACTGGCATATTCATGGGGAAGAAGGCTCCGAAGTGCCCGGGAGGCAGCAGCGACAGCAGCGGCGGCAGCATAGAGAATACCACCAGCACTGCCAGCGGCAGCGCGGGCGCCGCCGATTGCTTGAAGGTGAAGAGGACGAGAAGGAGCGTTCCGAGGGAGTCGCCGTCGCAGCGCAGCTCGGTCTACCGGGGCGTGACGAGGTGGTAACTTGGCTCTATTGTTCGTTTCCTCTCCGGTTCCTATGGATTCCAACTGAGCGCTGTTGGTGGCGACGGGCAGGCACCGGTGGACGGGCAGATTCGAGGCCCATCTCTGGGACAAGGAATCCTGGAGCGACTCTCTGAAGAAGAAAGGAAGACAAGGTCCTCTACCTCCTCCTCCTCCTCTTCCTCCTTGCTTTCTTCCTCCTGCGGTGCCCAACTGACTGCCTGCCTCCCTCCCTCTCGTCATTGTCCATCTTCTCGCCCACCTGGAAATCGGCGAACAGTTTATCTTGGTGAGTTTTATTGCTCCATACGGTTCGCCCGGTCACTTTATCCGAGATCGGCGATGGGATTACGACGATGACCTCGGTCGGCACTCGGTTTCAGGGGCCTACGACGACGAGGAGACCGCCGCCCATGCGTACGATCTAGCGGCATTGAAGTACTGGGGGAAAGACACCGTGCTCAACTTTCCGGTGAGCCCATTCAATTCATCCATGGGGAGACTCCCTCTCCTTCCCACAACTCTCCTCCGCAATTCTCCTCATCTTCCTGGCCAAAATAACAGCTGTCGACGTACCACGAGAAGCTGAAGGAAATGGAAGGGCTCTCCAGGGAGGAATACATCGGGTCCTTAAGGAGGTGAGGCCAGCTAGAAACAGCAAACCCGAGAGGTGGGTGGGTGGGTTGGGGGTTAATGAGTTCCTCGGTCCAGCTAATGAATGGCGCGTTCTCCTGATTCTCCAGGAAAAGCAGCGGGTTCTCCCGGGGAGTTTCCAAGTACAGAGGCGTAGCCAGGTATTGCTCGCCCTGACGCCGTAAATGAGTTTTCTCAGCCGGTAGCTGCGACAGTTCATCGTCTACCTGGCTTCTGCTCTGTATTGAACTGTTCTCTCTCTCTCTCTCTCTCTCTCTCTCTCTCCCCTGCACCAGGCATCATCACAACGGACGGTGGGAAGCCCGGATCGGCAGGGTTTTCGGCAACAAGTACCTCTATCTTGGAACCTATGGTAACTCATCTCTCTCTCTCTCTCTCTCTCTCTCACACACACACCCCCCGACGCATTTTAAATTAGTTCAGGCAGCCACTGGAGAAAAACAAACGTAGATCAGTCTTAGTTCGCAACCGGCGGCTGCTCCGTTTCGTCGCTAGGTGACGAACCAAACTTGAGACTTCAGCCTGGCGACTCTGACCCGGGCTAAACGATCCCTGGGGGGGGTGGCATCTGTGGGACGAAGGGGAGTTCCGCTGCCACCTACGATTTTCCAAGGGTTTGCTCGTCGCATCCGTCCATCTCGGCGCTCTTTTTTGACCTGAAACGGCGTGCGGGCGTTCCCCTCGCCGGCGGCGGAATCTCAGTCAATTCCTGCGGGTGTTGAAGAGGCCCGTGGCGTATAAATTATCAGCCTTTCGCCGTCATCGGACGCAAAATTTGAATTTACCCGGTGCAACCAGTCTGCTACCGTCTTACGTCAGATTTTCATATTTCATATTACCTCTATGTGGGAGGCTTTAAGTCCAAAACACCTATTGTTACGACTTCCTTTTCTTCTCATCCATTTTTCCTTTTGAAGAGAGAGAGAGGGAGAGGGAGAGAGAGAGAGAGAGAGAGAGAGAGAGAGAGAGAGAGAGAGAGAGGCATTTATAGGTCGGAAAGAGAGTTGCAAAGTCATAAAATCTGGGGTCGTGGGAGGGAGGAGGGGAGGGGCCAACTACCAACTGTCCCTTAAGTGCATGCACTTAAAACTGATCAGCCAAGCATGCAACTCCAATAAGTGACGATCAAGAAGAGCTTTTGGGGAGTTGACCCACCATTTCTTCTTGATGTTCTTCTGCAGCCACTCAAGAGGAGGCGGCGACGGCGTATGACATGGCGGCGATCGAGTACCGCGGTCTCAACGCGGTCACGAACTTTGATCTCAGCCGCTACGTGCAGCGCCTCCAACCCACTGCCGCCTCCGACCCCAGCGGCGGCGGCTATCTGGGCCAGAAGGCGGGGGGGGCGTCTCCCCTGGCGGAGGCGCCCCCGACGCCGCCGGAGTCCGACATCCGCCCACCGCGGCGGCGCTGCTTCCCGGAGGAGGTGCAAACCTGCTTTGAGGGCCCCGGCGCTGGCAACCTCACCGGCGGCAGCGAAGACGTCGTCTTCGAAGACGTCGATGCCTTCCTGTCCACGGTGTTCCAGTGGGAGCTTGACTCCTAGATACAGAAGGCACCCCCGGAAGAAAAGTTTTTGACTCTCGGTGGAGTAGCTGATACGGAATATTCCCCCATATTTGGCAATTTTTCATTGGTTCTGTGGGCCCAAATGCCCGCAAGAATGATTACAAATGCATGTTAAATTCTGGCAGCTGTCTGATTCGACGACCCGCGCCAGATAAGTCCCAGCGATATCCTGACGTGTCCTCCTTTTCTGACTTCAAATCCTTGACGCCCGAAAGTGCCCCTCGAGTTATTTCCACACTCTCAGTGCAACGTGGCTTAAGTCCAACCCCCCTCTCTCTCTCTCTCTCTCTCTCTCTCGGGCTGTGAGAATGCAGTACGTGTGGGGGACGAGGTGGTCAAGGCCCAATAATGACCCGGCCCATAAACCCTTTTCTCTCTGGTGATAATAAATTACACTAGCAGTACAGTTTCTTAAGACGACCGAATGAGCGACCGCGACTAGAGTTTCATTCTGGTCTCTGACTCACCGGGAAGTCAAAAGGACAGCGCAGACCTTCGCCGGGTTAACTCCAGTGACAGGGAGAAGGCGTTTGACCCGGCCCCCGCGCCTTCTCTTCCGACAGGGACGCACAAAGCCTGTCGGGGTCAGAGCCTCCCCTGCGCTAGCTGAAGCAATGGGGGCAGGGGGAGAAGACAATGAAGTTAACGAGGACGGAGCAGGAGGACATGAGCACCAACACGCCACGGGCCAGCCTGAGAACTTTCCCTTCTCAGTTTCTTGATCCTTAATCCTTGCAATTTTCAGCACAGTTGACCCTTCCGAAGCTCAGATTCATAGTATCTTTTAGGACAAACGATGGGAAGAGAATAATTAAAAAATAATCAGAAAATGGTCTCGAGAAATTCGGCCACTGGGCACTCCAGAATTGTGTGTAATCTTCGACCCACACTGAATACACCAGTAAAAGGATAATAATAATAAAAAGATCCAGAAGGGATCAGGGAGTTGGAACCAGAAAGGATCAAGGTGCGGCCTTTATGAGACGAGAGAGCTGAGGGCGTTGGCATTCATGGTATTTGCCTTGTTGGGGAGCTAAGTGTCGAACATTAATGAGTCCCTTTGAAACATATTTTAATACGAAGATTATACTAAATGATTAAACTAATGCCCAAAACCGATAATTGCCCATTTCATTTCGGTTGAAAATAAAAAAGTAGATCGATTTCAATGACAGCAATGAAAGGAAGACGTCATGGCATATCCAGTGCGGATTTTGGCATCAAGAGGTTGACCCACAAATTTCCTTGAATCCATTGAATTTCATTCATGGGCAAAAGGGACCAGATTTCGGTTTGGATTCAGCGCCTACCAGGACGAATGAATGCGCGCCGGGGAGAGGGATGAGGGCACGAATGTGACAGCCGGCATGACAGAGAAAGGGAGCCGTAATAGAGCCAGAACAGTGTTGCGCCGTCAGGCTTTGAATGGGGGAGATGCCGCTGGGTTGAGAAAGGCATGGGCTTGGGTTGGGTTGGGGTCATAGTCAGAGATGGCAGGGTGAGAAAGGCATCTCGAGGAACCGCCTGGACAGTCACCCGCTGCCATCCCCCCAGCGCACACCCACCTCGCTCAAGGTGAGGCAATTAATTCAGCTAGGGAACAGCAATCCTCCAGCATGTTTCCTTCGCATTAGCATCCAAGAATGTGCGCTAGATGGGTCTATTCATCAGTAAAGAGGGAAAGAAAAAAACATGCCCCTGACACATCAATTCAACTTATAGGGAAATGAGATACCCTTGGCTTTTACTTCATTCTTATAAAAGTTGATATACCTAGGTCAATAGCTATTTAGAGAGTGATGTGTTTTCTATCTATTCAGTTCACCGGTTTTATAATTGGCAACAACACAAGGGAGGAATTGCTACACAGCTAGTAAAATAAAATAAAAAACAATACTAACACATGCCTGCTGAAGTCATCAAAGAGGCGGCGATCGATCGCTTTCATTAGCCATCTTGGACTAGCGAAGAGAAAAGCATCTGGTTTATGTCCTCAGAGAGAGGGTCCTGAACATCCCCTGCGTTTGAGCAGCAAAAATGTTGGAATTTCGGGACAATTCTTTCTTCCTGGGAAATGGAATGACCAGTTCGGAAGAATACGTTACCTGCCTTCGTGCTGACCTGTGCCGACCACTCATCTATGATCTGCGAGGGCAAGGTCAGGTTGCCTCAGCCGAAAATGGTTGTGTAGAAAGTTATCCCATTATGCAAATTAAGATGGACATGATAAAACATAAGGAAAACTGGCTGCCTACATGTTTTATCTTACCACAAATGTGTTGGATCTTCAAAAAAGAGTTTCTTGGGGTGGTTCTGGTAACCAAGCATTAGAAAACTAATTGACAATTGATGCTTGATAACACGAAAACTGTATGATATGTAGGTAAGTTGTAGGAAGGGCCCAATGGTGACTTGCAGACATCAAGCCAACAAAACTAGGAACGCCTTGCCATCATGATTTTTTTTTTTCAAACTTTGATTTCGGTTGCTTGCTGGAAACAGTGCCCATCTTGAGGCACGATTTCGAAATGACAACCATGTAAGTATCAAGCTCAAAAGTCCAGGAGGATTACAACTACCATGAATACCTCTCAGGAATCAAGAGAGACAGTCATCGAGATTTCTAAACTTCGGTAGAGTTGGTTCCTCACAACATGATTTTCATATTACTTGGAAGCTATATGCAACCAAAGTACCTAATTCAAAGAGATAAGAAACCAATAGAAGCACAGAAAACATGCCGAAACAGAAATTCCTAAAGAAGTTGGACAGTTTTCTATCATTTTAGGAAGAAACAATGGACTTCAGGGAATGATTTTTTTACCCGATGTAATCCCTTTGAATTTAAAGCAACAACTAAAGCTCAACCAAGCTAAGATAGCTTTAATTAACATCATTATCGAACATATTGTTGATGATAACCTATTTTATTGTCACAGCCCGGACTCGAAAGCTACTTCAGGGAATGTATTGTAGTGAGTGTTTCATCCTCTAATCCTAGGAAAATAAATTCTGCAAAGCACAATCCCTGAACTTCTTACTATTTATAGACACTGTATGCACTATCTCAAACATACGGTTTTCCACTAAATCTAGACCTTAAATATCTCAATTCTGTCACAAAAAGTTTTGATTTGATAACCTAAATTTTTTTCGTTCAACATAAAATGCAGATACGAAAGATAAAAGGGAAGCTCCGCTAAATGAGATAGGATCAACGAAGTGAGACTGAAAAAAATGAAAATGAAGAGAGGAAATTATTATCTTGAGGAGGATGCTTGCATGGCGGTGGATTACAGGGAATCATTTCAGAGATCGTGATTTTGGCAGCCCAATCACGTACGCATGGGGTTATGGTCACACGGGAAACTCGAGAATCCATGGTGATCCCCATTATTGATTATCAAGCTGATACATAGTTCATGTGCAATCGCATTTATTAATGTTTTCTAGCATTGCTTCTACATTTTTCGGAGCTTATTATAGGCATAGAAACAAAAACTAAACGCATACGTTGAAGAGTCCAAGATCTAGAGGCCACAATGTACTTGGAGAAAGGTTACCGCCTAACGTAGGGCCTTCCTAGTGGAGAGAGACTTAGGGTGATTAAGAAGGTCAATCGGTGGCTAATACCTCGGAGAAAGTAAATACCAAGGCTGGATACGAACAGAGAAGACCTCCAATTTGTTCCATACTGTCGGGATTCAAGCTGGATAAAAACAACAGCATACCACTTATATAATATTGAAGTTTATCAGTGGTCTCGGAGAAAACTGTGCTTCTTTCTAAACTGAAGAATCGTCTTTCATCAAAGAATTGCCTGAACCATACATCTTACACACGGTACAAAGGATTATGAAATTTAAAACAAGAATTTTATGCCGTTGAGATAGTAATAATTCCAACCTGATTTAAGTTTGAGTACGCCAAATCGTCCTGATCACTTATGAGGGGGAGACCAGAAGATGCCAGCAAACGCTGAAGCGAAATCTTCTGTCCCAGCAGTGTCGTTCTGGCCTTGTCGATGAAATCCTGCGTAAACAGGCTGTTACGCTCATTTGCCCATCATAAAGTAATTATCAAGGAATTAAAAGCCCCAGAGTGATCAGCTTCTAGTTCAATTCATAAGTTACGGCACTTCTTTACCATAAAAACAGGGAAAAAGACTCTTCTATAGCCACAATTGAGACATAGGTATATAAACAAACTAGTCAAGGCCACACTGTTTCTCTACTTGCGGGGTCAAACAGAAACTACCTGCTGCGAGCGTCATGAATGCGAATCACAGCGATCTATTGTTGCCGGAAAGAGTTGGAAAGCAAGTGTGGAAGGAAGTGGATAAACTATTTTAGACACCTGCTTCTCCGCTAAAAGCTCACGACATAGCTCCTTGAGCGAGGCCAGGTCTTCCTGGATCTTCTTTATCCGGCACACCATTTTGTACGGATTAGCCTGAGAAAGAAAAAAGAAAATCGGTAGAAGGGAAGAGTAGCTCAACCGCCCAGACGCAACAAGACTCTAGGCATGGAGTTCAAGAACGAGGCCGAGGGCGTACGTGATCGGGGTAGGTCTGCTGGAACTCCTTCTCCAGGTGGTGCTGCACAGCACAGAGATCGCGGTTGGCCTTGTTCAGGAGGTTCGCCACCTCGTCTAGCGCGGGGTGCTGCCGTCGCCACTCCCGCTGCTGCCTCCTGGGCTCCCCCATTTCCCTCCCTCGAACCTCCCCGACTCCTCTGTCCCGCTCCGAACTTTCGAAATTGCGGAAACCAGAGCGGCACTCCCACCCCTGAATGAATCCAAGTGGATCCATGACGGGTCGGATCTTACCATCCAAGATCATGGACTCGAACCGTTATGCAACCCCAGTATCCAACGAAGAACACCATCGAGTGGGCGTTGGCACGTTGACTTCGAAATCATGAGTCATATCAGACTATAAATCGATTCAGCTGACCAGGAGCAGCCCCAGTCAGCTTCTAAACACCATATTCTCTCGCTCCAGGCCACCGAAATAAAATAAAGACATCCATTTTTGAGTAGGTCAAACCTTCAGAGCGAGAGAGAGAGAGAGAGAGAGAGTTTCTGCGATCTTCAGGCTCCTCCCACACAGTGATCTAGCTCAGTGCGTCTGTTATTTTCTCCGGGAAGGAAAATAATGGCGCTATGTCAACGGGCACCTGGAGTAAGAAACGCAGCAGCTTGAGGAGAAGAAACGAGACCCATTTCACATGAACTCAGGTTGAACCAGTATCTCAATGAGAGAGAGAGAGAGAGAGAGAGAGAGAGAGAGAGAGAGAGAGAACCTGAATCTGTTCTAACTTTTTCAAGGCAGTATCCAAGGGCTGGGACATGATCCCATACTGTTTGAGAAGCACCTCAGCGGCAGCTTTGTCGCCTCTTGCCTGAATCATCAGGATCTCCCTGCTCAGACCTTCAACGGCAGCTTCAACCTTTCAAAAGAAAACGCCAAGTCAACAGATGGCGAGCACCCTGCTACACAATTCTCCAGGTCGTAAGCATTCACCACGGAGATACCTTGTCAAAGTCAACGCAGAACTTCCCATCTGGCAGGGAAATGAAGGCACCCTTCTCAGACAACCAGTTAAACTGAAGAGCTTGTCCCTTTCTGCCCAGACAACGTCAAATAACTGTGAGTGATCTGTTTGACTAGAACAGCTGCCCAATGGGAAGTGATGACGATTAAAGATACCCGTGGGCTTCTTCTAATCCAAACCGCACCGATCGAAAGCATCCTGCCAGAAAGGACACATACATAGACTTCTCGAAGCTCCTGGGAAGTAGTCCCTGAAAATATACAGCACGCCTCTCATGTATATACACACAACCCACATGAACGAGTGAAAGAGCCCCAGAAGAGGATAACAACCCATGTTCAAGCTTTAGTATCCAGATATCATAGTAGTCAGCTCATGCAAGCTTAGTATCCACCTTTAGAATATAATGGGGTTAGATGTTTTGTGATATTTTTATTCATTAGCAGCAATAACAACTACGGAAATAATACATATAACTAGGTCAAGAGATGCAAGATTTGCATAATATAAATCGGCAAGACCCTTTTCAATGATTAAACCAGGAAGCTTGATCAAACACTGTTTATGATTTATGAATATTCCCTTCATAAAGTGAATGACTTTATTTAGTTACCATGATAGTTAGAACGAGATGAGTATAAAAAAGACCTCTGCAATCAATGCAGTAGTCAATAGATCGTGATTTTTGAATGAAACAAAAGCGGCATGGCAAAAACCTGATCGATGAGGAATTTGACTGCCCATAACCCAACAATGTCCGCTTTTGCTTCTTCCAGGGCAGAGTGAAGTTCTTGAAGTTCCTTGATGACACAAAAAGAAAAATTTAGCAGTCAGACATAAATGTCAACAATTCCTTGAACACAGTGAACCTTAAATCTTGATTATTCAAACAACACTACTCCAGAATAGAGAACAAAATCTATTGTTCCTATGATTCAAATGCGTGCCTATTCCACTCATACCCAATTGGTTGTATGACAGATGATATGGGCATAAGAACATTACGAACCTTCAAGAACTCTGAGAGAAATGATATAGAAGAACAACGTGGGGAAGAGGAGTCCAACAGCACACCCGATGATCAGTGTCTTCACCAGCAACAACACATCCACTTAACTTATGCAAATGCCTTACAGATGCCATCTACTAGCAAAGAGATTCACCAACAATAGCAGCCCTAACAGCAACACCACAGTCTCATCCGTTGCTGAGAAGAGGAAATGATGATACAACTATCTATTTGGCAAGGGCACTACATAATGAGCTATCCGCATTCTCGCGAGCATTGATGAACCTGAAGTAGAGGAGAGAGAAAATAGTCATCTACGAAGGCCCCACTGCTCTAGTATGACGTTTACAGGGGTCTCGTGTTTGGTGGTGAAGCCCAATAGAGCTAGGCCGAAAGTGACCTAAGGTGGACCTTATGACCAATGATCAAAGATACAATAAGACTTAATAGGGTTCACGGCTCAAAGGTGTAATGGCGGCAGAACGTGCCAAGTGAAAGTGTCTGGGAGTAACACCCTCACCTGGTTCAGAAAACAAGGGTAGAAATAGGGGAGCAAGAACAAGGAGGAACGAGATCCTGCCAGAATAGTGACATGCAGAGAGAGGAGAATGGCAAGTGACGGTTCTAGGTCATAATAGTAGCGGACAGTGACATTCCCACATAGTTCTGGCAGCAGTTTATGGGTCATTGAGAAGGCTGAAACAAGGGGGGGGGGGGGGATGGCAATGCCAGAAAACAATAGACACAGGCAAAGATGTCACCTTGTCCCTCAATACCCAACCCAAATCAGCAGGCGTGGGCAGGACTCAATAGGTTCAGGATCTCTCCAAAATTTCTTCAGGATGTCACCTCTCTGTCAACTGACAATGTCGGGTCAAGATTTAAAATATAGGTATTTTCACGAGAGGAGGTTGCCATGGTTCAAGTTATCACAATCCTCATGCTCACTAGTGAAGCTAATGGCCATGTGGCGCCTAAGGAAAGATGAGTCAGATTAGTTGTCATCTGGAAATTATCAAAAACATCTTTGAACGAAGATGACATGTCCTTGAAGAGAAAAAGATTTGGCAAATGGTCTTATGGGTGAACATATGTATGAATTGATGTTGTTTCCATAAAGAGCGGTGACTTGTCTGTGATGTAGAGGATCACCTTCTATGGCAGAGCAAAACCGAGAAAGGATAAGGAACCATTTCAGCCCTTATCCGACTAAAACACTGTTTTAACCGCCTTTCCTGAAGGTTCTACCTATCCAGATCCTCTCATACATACCAACAACGTTACAGAGTTACCTTATGGCTTAACTACTATTAGTTACATTTATTACACGATATGAATTTTTTTTATGAGTCTGAAGGTTCATTTTAGTAGTTATCCAAAGAACCAATTCATTTTTTTCCGATGTTGAGGATAAACTCATATTACACTGAATGAGTTCAGGGAGAGCAGGATGCATCTTTTTTCCGGTTAAAATGCGAGCCCGGGGATGGTTTAAACGTTGCTCCAAAATAATCAACAGGAGGCGCACTAGTAAGCAGTTTTTAAAATATAATGTCAAAAATTTGAAGATATGTGCGTCGCAGGTGTCAAGATGTGTTCCACAATCCCAACAATTAATGTTTAAAATAGTATTTCTTACCAATCTCACTGTTGACTTCTGACCACTTGGAAGAGTTATGGTGTGAGGTCCAATCCCGTGGCAACACTCATGGCAGAGTGTGTGAATGTAGAAGGAGTCAAAATCAAGATTCTCCCTCTGATCTACGTTAATGCAGACATCAGCTATAGGCTGAAGAATATGCTCGAACCTGGTCACAAATTTATTCACAATCACAAATATTGGCAAAACAATTTCTCTGTTACACATCAAATAATAACAATAACAACAACAAATTTGCACTAGAATTAATATAAAACACAATTCAAAATATTATAGAGGTATAAAGCCAAATAAAGATCATTAGTTCATTGAAGAAATTTATAAATACTTGGCCTCTGATATGTTTTTCAGCATAACCATTGATGTTCCTCGTTCATTTACAATACGCTCATCATTTGGCAAATTGAAAGCGACAGTTTGGGGGCCTTTCACATCCTGAACAACATATCACGTGTCAGTCGGCTTTCCAATGACCAAAGAAAAAATAAATTATCTCGTCTCTTCGGCAGAAAACAATTAGATTTATAACTTGGATCGTTCTTGATTACAGCTGTGGAACTACCAGAATCCAAGAAATTACAGAATGTTACCATTGCTGAAATGAACGATAACTCAGACGGCATAAGAAGTGATTTCAGACAAAAGATCAGAAAACAGGTCTAACATAGCAATCATTCACAGAATCGTGTTACTCGAGAATGAATCATGCTGATATCAGTCTCTCCCAGCAAACTTAGTCTTAGCCATCTGAAGATGGGAAAACCCAATTTTAGCCCAGAGGAAGTAGTTGTCGTTAGCAGGACTTGGAATAGCATACGTCGGCTATGGCATATCAATGACTGTTTGCGATCAGTACCTAATCCGATGAAGGAGAATATTGACACAGCGTTTGCGTGAGACTTTATCCTACACTACATTTTAAAAATGACTTTTTCTCTACAAAAGACCTTCAAGACAACATGGGTTCACAAAAAAGCTAATTTCTGAGTTTAACATTTTGCATTAAATGTGAAACTAAACAGGTGAAGAATACTGCTTTTAACAGCCAGCCTTTTCTTCTGATGAAAGTGATAGCCTCAGTGTGGTAAACCATAAAGAACATCAGCAATCACTAAAAACATAATTTTGCAGTGGTATCAAGAAAGAAATACAGTTAGCTCGCATGTAAAAGATAAGATCTTACCCCTGAATTATAAACAAGACGAATTACACGAATTGGTGCGGCAACAACATTTTCAGACTTGTACTTGTTATCTAAGGGAAGATTGCGCTCCAAAATCTGACAGAACAACATAGACCTCAGTAAAGAAAAAAGAAATGGATACATCAGAAGATACCATAAACGATCTCTACCTGCAAATTATCACCAAAGAGTTTGACTTGAGAGGTAGCTAGATCGTCTCTTACTCCAATGAAGGCTTCAAATGTAGCCTTCAGAAACAGGACATGAGATAAGTATATCTAAACCTGATAAACAAAATATCATAGACACTTGAATGTTTTATCTTCTAGCTAAGTACCTAGGATGATGAGAGAGGTTTATTCAAATAATTGGTGTCTGCAATAAAATTAATACGTGGGGAGAAAATGAATTATTAGCCCCTCGTTAACAAAGTTTTTTCCAGACAAGAAAGTAACATTTTTTCTTCTTATAAGGTATATTCAAAACATCCCTTATTCTCCACACATGAAAAATGAATTCAAATCCAGGGTAAGTGTGAGAAGTTAGTTCGAAAATATTTTACTATGAAAATAAAATAAGAGCCAAGAGAAATCGTTGAATGATGAGGACATTACAGCAAGTTTTCCACGGGATGTAACTCCTTTTATTGTAAAAGATAACTAAAACCATAACTAACCCTTCACACGTGTACTCTAGAAGCATGGTCATGTAAACTGGTCCATCACAAAGTTCACTGAAAAAACTGTCTAAGCATTACAAATTGAAAACCCTCGAATAGCATATTTGACCAACCTAAATAAACATCAAAAGCACTTGGCTGCATACCAGATCAAAAGTACTTGGCTCCATAGAATCTGAGTATCATCTTTCACTAGACCTAGCAGCTTAAATTAGTGCAAAGCCTATGCAATGCTGTCCTTAAACCGGTTAAAGGACCCTTCGTCAGTTCATCAACTTGTCACGTGCATATGTAAGTAAACCCGACACATGAAACGAAGCTAATCTATCAAACCATCCATCAAACTTCTTTCATCACTATTTCATATCCACCTAGAAAGTGAAGGTCAAGGATCCTTCCAAGCCATTGGATTTATCTTTCTCCATTCATCTAGTAAAGTTTGTCAGAGCCAGTGAGTTCGTTTCCACATTAAGTTTATTGATCTTCGGTCACATATATTACTCAAAGAGTTATTCCTTGACAGAGAACTAATGAAAGGGAAAATTTGTCACCTAAGCAGTACTCAAATCAATTCATTAACGCCGAGACTTTCTATCATCAGCACATCGATGGCTATTTATCCAGACCTTTCAGGACGTGGATCCTGCACAAATAGACTGTATGACCCATGTGAAATCCTCTCAACCACCCACCGTGTTTCTCAGGATATAATTTAGTTTCCAGCTATGTCTACCCGAATGGGCACGAGTGAAGTTCTAAAATGTGATCAATGAAGGTTCAAAAAACTCATCTCATTGTTCACAGACAAAACATTGATATCCCAACACACCAGGTCATGATCTATGCCAATTGTGGCAATACCAACATCAACTTTGCCATATTTTTAGGAATCATAGAATATTTTTTTTTTTGATAAAGTGATACATACCAGATAATACGCATTTGAGGAAAAGCCTTGTACATCAAAGAATTTACCAGTCTTATGTACAGTGAAAATGCAAGAAAAGTTGATTACAACATAAAACCATGTCAAAATCAATGATAAGAGCTATGCACTACCATTGATTTCGAGGATCCAAGGTCGCAGAAAAATATCATTCAGAATATACTAAAAAAAGAATACCTTGTATCCATAAAGTTCATCTTCATATGTCTCATAAGGGCCAATTGTGACATCTAGCTTTGAATCCTACAAAGAAGAAAGGCAAGTAACTAAATCTGAAGAGAATTACAACTAACCAACGAGAAAAGCTTCCATATTAGTAGGCTTATAATCTCCAGAAGATGAGAGAATAAAATAGATGGATGATTCTCGAATAATTGTCAGATGGATGAGTCATGACTTGTGGATGGAGAACTCATGGTTTATACACAATGACAATGATAAAGATAGTGCAGTTATGATTACAAGATGTCTAGCATCACTGGTACTTAGGGTCAGATTTTGTCCAGCAGTTAATATTTTGTAACTAAGATATGGTGAAAGAATGGGGAGTAACGAAAAATAAATGACAGATGCAATGAGAAGAAGCATACTGACCAATTCCATCCAGGATATATCTGACTCATAATAGTCATTTGAAAGGAACGCCTCCGCTTTGCCTTTTAGCAACTTACTCAAGCTAAAGCAAGACAGCAAAGGTGTTTCCATCGTACAACATTCGAAAAGCAGAAACTCAAACTTTACCCAAACAAATTGATTACCTAGAACAGTCAGTCACCTCTGCAGCTTTGTACAGAAGAGCTGACGCCTTCTCTAGAAAAGGCCTATATTGTTGAGAAAAGGGGACCATCATAAGATCGTGAAAATCGGCATTACCACATGCAGAACTGTTCTCCAGACTCAGGTCATCACATCTTCTAATCACATTAAAAAATCCTGTAGCATCTTTTTGTTCCTCGTCACTCAAAGTTTCCTTCCACAACTCAAATTCCTGAAATAGGTTCAGAAAATATGATGAAGAATTAAAGACAAGACAAGCTGGAAAATTGTTGGCAAAAGCGCATCGGTTACGTCAATCTAATATCACACTGTTACGTTTCAGCACGAAGTTTATGTTTGAATCAACTCATCATATAAAATCAGTGTGACCCAAAGACCTGTCAAAGCGCTTCTGATTCTTGCTAAACTTGGCATCAATTCAGTATCACCCCCAAAGGCAACTTCAGACAGACGAGATGCCCAAAATACCTCAAAACTGTTCGCAGGTAGGATATCTACATTCGTGAGCGTGGATGTTCAAGTCATGCAACTAGGAAGCAATCTTAAAAATGTTAACCTACCATTTTTAAAGGGAAGAGGAGAAGAACATTTCTTGTTAAGGGTTTCTTTTAGTGTTAGCTCCGCAAAGATTAGTTGAATCAATGACAAAGCCCTCTCATTTTCAACCTGCCTAGCAGTTCCCTCAAGACTACCTAACTTGCATTTGGTAACCCATTAACATCCATCAGTTGATCTTCATTTAACTACAGCTGGAAAATAATATGGCATTATATCCCTAGTTAACTAGTCTCCACCTCTACTCCTCTCTGGCAGTCGTAGTGATATGACATCACCGACAATGCAAGGAAAGAAATAGGGAAATAATGGAATAAAGGAAAGAGAACGCCAGAAGAAGATAGATTGGGTCCCGGAGGAACCCTTTCTGGTGCTGTATCGCACAGCCACTGCATCATCTCATCCTTAACATTGGCAACCGTCTTGCCCAAGCCTTCAGGGTCACTCCGCTCTCCCAACAATCCACACATATACACATCAAATGATCCACCTTTCCCGGACAGTTTAGATCCTCCCTGCAAGAAGATCGGTATTGCGATGGGGAGCCACTAACTGACAATTCTATAGGGGACTTGTCAACAGACTGATGGGTTTCTTTGGGCTTCAGATAGCGCCTTCAATCTCTTACACCCTAAGGTCACTCACTGTACCATACTGAATGCGGATAAATGGGGATAACGATGACAATGATGATGCCCAGGAGTTTATCGAACATGATGTTGTGTTGAGAGAACTAGGGTTCTAATAAAAAACAAATGTACCAGATTATAACTTTACCGTTTTCTCCATATCAGAAGGGTAGAAAGTTGCACCCAGGGGTTTCTTCGCAGGAAATGCAGCTCTATATTGAAGACCCTTCCAGCCAGAGACAGGTCTAGTTGATTCTGCACACAACTTGATCGCAGAATCAGCAGTGGTCAGAAACGCTTTTTTCTCATCAAGAACCGACCTGCCATGACAACTCGAGTCACACTTTTGCACCACTAACCACTAGTATACATGAATATGAAAGGATAGTGAGTTTTCCACATGAATTACATTTATGTAAAAAGATGCATTTCAGTTAACCAGAATCTCTTGTGGTGTATTGGATAGGAACAAGACCTAACGCATGTTGGATAGGTAGGACAGGAAGGTTATAATAGCTTGTGGTTGACGCCAGTTTGATCCATCTAATCCCTGTGTCAACATCTACCTAGAATGTCAGGTAAACAATAGGAAGTACAATGTTTGAAAATTGAAAATAGAATTGATCAAGTAATATTTACGGTCGGAGGATTGAAAGTTCGCCATAATAAAGAGCTAAAAGTACCGTGGAAAGAAACTTTCGTTGTTTATGGCAAGCAGTAGAAGGACATTCTCACTGTATGTTGCAAGCATTGTAGGATAATACAAAGCAATCAAGAATTTTTACCAGTCGATTAAATTGAACTTGAAATAAGTTTAATGATGTCCGTGAAATACCATTACGACAGATTTTACTAAATGTAAAAAAAACATGGTGAGCCTTTAACACAGACAATTACCATGGGCCCTTGTTGATAGAGTAATACATCCACTTTAATTTATTCAAGCTAGAATCATCAGAATACTTCTTCAACCAATCTCGTAGCTCTTGATTAGTATTCCAAGCCTGAAAGAAATGAAAAAGAGTCTCAGCATCAAAAAAAATTTTGTAGGGGAGAAGTTTAGTAGAAGACACTAGAGCATTTTTCAGATCATTTCTTTCTATTCTCAGATGCACAGTTATATAGAATTTACAAGACATGGCAAAAAGAACATCAGTTCCGAAAAATCTGTCATTTGGGGCTTGTTAGTGCAAGAAACTATAGCATTTATTAAATCATTTTTTTTCCCATTCAATACGCTGTAATATAGAATTTACAAAACATGAAAACAGAGTACGAATTACTTTCAGACGTAAGGATAGATATTAATGTACTGCATGGAGATTAATCCAACGACATAATAACTAATTTTTCTTTGGATATCCAGTCAGGTTCTATGTTGAAAAGAAGAGGCCAATTATCAACTTGGAGTTCATTTTAAATGAAAACCACCTGAGTATAGAATATATCATCGATAACCATTGCCGCTTTGATTATGAAGACTAAAGCTTCCTGATTAGCTTCAGATAGCTCTGATAACTGCAAATACGAAGAAAAATAGGCTTATAAATATCAGCAGTCAACTGAAAAAAGAGAGTAATTTACAGTTATAACTACAATGCGTTTACATAAAAAAAAAAGGTAGAACTAAAAGTTTGGTGACTTGCAATGGCCAAGAACTAAGAGTTTTGGTATTCAATTTTCTATTTTTGGAAAAGAAAGAAATCGTAATTTGCTGACTTGGTGTGACGAAGTCCAACTCATGCAATATAGATCTCTTCTCCAAACTTCCAGCCCCAGAATCAACCAAGCCACGTAATTGAAATTTATTGCGATTTCTCCATGGTTTCTTCAATTTGCTACAAGGAGTTCATTATTCTAACAGGGTTTTGGGAATGGAACTCATGTCAGCAGCTAAATTGCAAAACATCAGTGTAGTCTTTGTTACTTCATTTTACTATCTGATTCCGAATTGAATGCCACAAAGTCCTCAAGCATAGGATACCCTACCTGCACACTCAGATTGACCGCTTACTCAAAGAAAAGAATTCCACAGCAGTCTACAAGCATAAAGTGAGAAAACGAAGAGAAAATCATGCATAAGAAACTCAGACGGGTCATCTGGAGTACAATTTTAGTAAAGTCACGGGAGTTAAGTCGATTTTCTTATTCAATTATCAAGGAAATTTTCAGTTTACCAACATCAGAAAATAACAGGAGGCTGAGTGCATAGATTGGGAAATTAAGACTAAAAAAATCTCTACAAATGATGTTGTGCAAGCAGATCACATCTAGTGGGGTGCGACAGTAATAAAAGGAAAACAGTTACAGTAACTGACAACATTTAAAATCAAAAGTGGGTCAGAAGATCAAAACAGATTATTTACCTCTGCATGTAAATGGATAGGAGCATAACGATCAAGTTGCTTTTGAAGCGCGAGTCTACGTTGTTGTTCCTCATCCAAATACCTTCAATTATTATACGATTATGAATAAGACGAGTGCAAAAATGAGAACTTATTAAGTAACAAGCCTAATATGTTTTTTTACAGTAAATTACTATTTGCGCCAGTACATGAATAAGTAGATCATATAAAGCAAAAATTTCCTTGATATCTAGATTATTGGTGATAATTAAAATTTATATTTATTGACCATTGTGGAAGCCTGCATCAGAGAAAGAATTCATCCCACTTTAGAATTTATTTATTCGTGCTTGGAAACAAAAAAGCTTTCTGGACATTTACCGGAATTTAAAGCAGATGAAATCATAATCGACAACATCAAAGGGCTGCATAAGCAATCATCGCATGCTTTTTCATCTTCTCATACTAACATTCAATATCTTTCAATAGTAACAAGGACTTACAAAACTCAATCCCTTAAAAAGCATTTAACCTGAGACTGCAAAGATATTGACTTCTAGCTATACCTCTTAATATATGGGATCAAAGTAAACCAGAATACAATGCCATTAATCAGTCAATAATGATTTCCATCAGCATACCGTCGTTCAATTATCTCAAAGAGTTGTCCGTACTGCCCATTTATGTCATAGGGAACGTAGTCTTCATCTTCTTTTGCAAGACACTTTTTATATTCATCCAACGAAATGTACCGAACAGTAGACACTTCTGTCTCCTACAAAAAAAGATAAAAACTAACCGGACAATGACAGATGCACTGGAAAGGGTGGAACAAAAGAAGCTTAAATGGATAAAGGAGTTGACAGCAAGAATGTTGAGTCTATAGTGATAGGTCCAATGACACTGAGATAGTCAAGATGTCAGCTTTCTGAAGCCAGAGCCTAATGACGTCCAAAACCATGTACTGCCGCGTTTCCAAATGATTTCAATGTTTTTATAAAATTAAGGGAACAAAGTAGCTTGGGGATCAATAGATAACAGATCAGCCGAACAGTCTTCGTCCCCCATAAATGCACACACCTTGAATTACGATTTTCGGAACCTAGAAGCACAGATACAACCACCGTTCATATTACATAGGAAGTAAAAAATCTGGCTTTCTGTTTACCTGAAAAGTGAATGCCTCCAAAGGAATTGGGTCCAGTGTTGTTACGAGATATACATCATTGAATTCGTTATTAATGAATGTGCCCCCGTTAATAACACTGCATTAACCACTCCAGACAAAAGCGGGACAAAGATTAATGGTCTACCATCTCTGTAAAGACAGGGCAGATAAGAACGCCATTCTTATACGCAACAGCAGTTTACAACCTTTCTTGAAGGAAGACAAAAAGAAACTCAAATGCGTCCTCTGGGAGCCTAACGCCAAGCTCCTCTTCGAGTTCCCTCCTGAAAGCGCGCAGCTTTTCTGGTCGAAACAACAGAACGAAACCCATACAACCTGCAGAGAATATCTTGCCACTGCGTACCTGGCCGTAAGGAGGGATGAGCTCCCAGCCGAGATGTGACCAGCGCTGGAAATATCCCACAGACCCGGCCAGGAATCCTTGCAGTCAGCACGGCGCTGTAGGAGGAGCTCCCGGGTGTTCTCCGCGTAGATCCACACATGCACCGCCCGGTGGTAGTCCCCATCCCGGTGAACCTGGCTCCTGCACAATCGGGGACGAGGATCTTAATTCACACGTCTTCCTTCCCCGTTGTTCTTGGATGATCATCCGCCGAGAGTCCCCATTAGAGGTTTACCGGGGTTTCGATGTACCCGTTTTCTCTCCGGTCTTCGTGAGGACGTCGAAGTGTTCTTCTGGCACAGCTCCCCCCGGGTTCACATCAGCTGCCGCCATAGCTGATTAACGAAGCAGGAAGTTCTCGCCCCCTACGAGACAGAGAAGGGACGAGCTTCCCAAATAGATAGAGGACGGGCCTCCGAGAGGACCCGTTGGAAGCGGCCAGGCCCAAGTTGAACCGGTGAATGGCTCGGGCCCCACCCAACCACCCCCGGGTACCTGGGCCCTCCCTCCATATACGAATCTCCTCTCCTCCGCGCCGCGCGGGGGAAGAAAAGGGAGGATCTTCAGTGGCGGGGGAGGACGATGGAGCGCTCTGAGAAGAAGAGGGACGGAAAGCGGAAGACGAAGCCAGGTGCTCGAATCTTTTTCTGCGCTGATTCTCAGCTTTCGCCTCCAAAAATCTCTCCGACTTTCCTTCCGGCAGATGAGGAGGAGATGGTCGGCCGCAGTGTGGCGAAGTACTGGCGCCAGCGGTACTCGCTCTTCTCGAGGTACGACGAGGGCATCGCCATGGACGAGGAAGGGTGGTTCTCCGTCACCCCCGAGGCGGTGGCAGCCCGCCACGCGGAGCTGTGCAGACGCGTCGTCGTCGGCGGCGGCGGCGGTGCCGCCGGCGTGGTGGTCGACGGCTTCGCCGGCGTGGGCGGCAACGCCATCCAGTTCGCCAAGAGGTGTGTGGCTCACTCTCACTCTCACTCCTAGGTTCGAGACGTCCCACCGCCGGTCGTCGTCTTTTCCAGAGGCTGCCATGTCGTCGCCGTCGAGATCGACCCGCAGAGGCTGAGTTTTGCCCGTCGCAACGCCGAGATCTACGAGGTGGAGGACAACATCGACTTCATCGTCGGCGACTTCCTCCGGCTGGCTCCGTCCCTAAAGGTGCGTCGCTGACAGTGTAATGTGTGCTTTCTAGATAGAGGACGGCCAACTGGGTCGAGACAGGGCTAGCCCAGTGCGCCGTAGGACAGAGACCCAGCTAAATTGATTGGTCAGTGGTCAACTGGGGAGGGAAAAAATTCATGGTTCCTGTTTTTCTTCCTATTGGACCAGTTATCTAAATCTATGAATGCTTCGCCCTCAGGGAGATGTGGTGTTTCTCTCGCCACCATGGGGCGGCCCGGCCTATAATGCCCTTGGGAACTTCACCCTTGACTTACTCAAACCTGAAGACGGGTGAGTACTGATTTTGATCCGAGTTCCGTCCAATATTGGAAGGGGAAATATGAATATCGGGTATATCGCCTCGCCTATAAGTCAAAAGAAAAAGCGGTTATAAACTATATATTCAATATTTTGTGTGCAGATATTCAATATTCCAGCTTTCGCAGAGGATAGCACCAAATATCATCATGTTCTTACCGCGCACTGTGGATCTAAGCCAGGTGGAGGAGCTCTCCTGGTTATCTTCGCCTCCTCTGGACTTCGAGGTAATCGTCGATGTCTGCATGAGTTATTTCCACGGCAGGAACTCTTATTCTCTTGCTTTCGTTCACCGCCAGCAGATCGAAGAGAACTACGTGGGCGGTCGTCTGAAAGGGATCACTGCCTGTTTTGGCGATCTTGCATCCAGGTTTGGCTGAAATGTTTTCCCTTCCAATGGCGATGCATGCAGGGAGAGTAACCAAACATGTGGACCGATGGAGGTCTTGAAGAAGAAACGCGTGATTTCATGGAATAGAGTGCAGTTAACGTCTGTAAAGGGGGAGTTGGGGGGCTGGGGGGGGGAGAATGTTTCCTACTATACGTACAGCAAGAGTGGGAGCAGCCTAAAACAATGGAAACAGCTTTGCTTTTGTAAGTTGATGCACCTGGTTAGGAGAACCTCAGCTTTCCTTTGTGCAACACAGAAGATTTTGCTTTGCAGAGGGCCTTCTGAGTGCCGGAGAGACCAGAACATGACTCTTTGGAGCCGAGGGTGACGGCGAAGTAGAGATAGATCGTGCATAGAAAGGCCAAGAGCGCCAGCATCGTCAGTAGAAAGCGGTGCCGTTTGAAGAGGGCTGACCAGGTACCCAGTTCATCACGACCCGACACCCTCCTGAGAGAAGAAACCTGGAACACGGAGTTCTGGGATCTCCTGTGGGGAGATGACAAAGGCTCTAGAACCATTGTCAGGTTGTCTCCTGTCAAAGCGCTGCATTTGTAAAAAGGCCTCCATCAGTAAGTAAAAGGGAGTTACCCGAAGAGATGTCTGCTATGGGACTAAAGTGGGTTATTAGTCTACTCCAAATTGTGATGCTATTTAATTGTGGAATCCCGATGTGTTGTTCTCAGATTTTCCTTGAGAAGGAATTTGGTGAATTCCTAGTCATAAGTTCATTTATGCCTCTTCTGACTTGCATGTTGCAAAAGGCGAGTGCACAGGAATTCTAAACAAAGTTGGGCGCAGTTTTTCAGTAGGGTTGAACCATTTCATCCTCTCAGGGGAAATCTAATGCAAGGCTGTCGCAACGCCATTCCCCAAGCCCATCCATACGAATTTATGAAATGGAGACAGCCTGCAGTACGCTTCCAAAAGAGGGATCAACAATTAAATACTTCATGCAACTTCTCCCGAGTCAAATACTTGGACTTTCTATGCATTGCTTGGTATCTCTTTTTTTCGATGAAAGCAAATTATCTTTTTTTGTGGAAATATCTGAAAAGGAGGCATTCTTATGGAAATCTATGAATAGTCTCATCAGCAGAAGACATCCCAAGATCAAGTGGGACGAAATTGTAAAATTGAATAATATTTTAGTGCAATGAAAAAATATTTTTTACGTGGCTAGCACACTATTTAAATGACGATTTTAATAGAAGAGAAAAACCAATAGATCAACAACCGAAAATGTATGAATAGAATTGCCGGTTGCCCCAGGAAAATTTGATTGGCTGAAGAGAAAAGAGTTAGAGACAGGTACTACTCACCCTAAACAGAAGACTAGAAAAATAACATGATACGGCACTTTATAAGTCCATGAGCCACATTAACTGAGTAACGCATGAAATTTTGCTCTGGCACTGGGCAATGCAAAAAGTTGTACAACAGTTTGCAATATAAGTGATCGTTATATCATTTCCAATTTTGAATTGCTTACATCCATACCTGAATATCAAAAGGATGCACCATGCACAAAAGAAAGATACCAGCATGATTTGCCAAGGAAAACTTTGATGTCCAAGTTACGTTCTACTAAATTATTACCATCAGTATGCATCATATCTCAGACATCTATAATGGAAGATTCCATCTGATCTAACATAGAAGCTTCAATGCCAATGGTTATTTCTAGTACTAAGGTTTATAAACGAATGGGACGTGTCTTACGCTTTTCTGATAGTCTCAACTAGTGTATTACGTGATTGGAAGTAACCAGTTAGGTTTATGAGGAAAGCAAGAAATATTTTAGCAATCAATATTGAACAACTCTATGAAATAGGCTGCGTGCGCAGAGTTCTGTAGATGACAATGGTTCACTTTAGAACATGGAGACAGGTGAATCCTTACGCCCGTGGATACAGTGGACACAATTCGAGGTCAAGTTAAAATTCGCTCAATAGTCATTGGAAATTATCACAATCGTCTTAAAGACATTGTAGAAATCTAGTCATCGTAGATAAGCCTACAAAATTCAAAGGTTTGAAAAAAGCACGTAAGTTTCAATTCCACGGATCTGTTACAATTTACATGGTAAAAATCACATAGAAAATAAGACATTTCAGAGCGCGCAGTATTCCATAGGTGTCATTTTTGGGAAACAAAAGCAAAGAAAAAAATTCGATAAACGGGGGTTCTTCTATATCAGATGATAGACAGAGAAGTAAGAAGCAACAATAACACCGCAGAACAGGGAAAACAAAAGTAGATTTGTCGCGGAAATACGCACGTCAGCTGTCCGGCGGGTGACAAAGACAACGACCCACAGATTGCCGCCGGCTTGCTCCTCCCGGAAAAATTGGAACCGAGATCTGGAAATCAACCACAAGCCACCTCTAGGATGGAGCACTCCGAGCGGGGGCCGGCCGCCTCAGCATCCGTCGGATACGTCGTCGTCAGCGGCGACGGAGCGGGAAATAGGGAGCGGGAGCTGAAATAGGGTGGGGCTGAACACGACGCCCTGGTCGATTATAGGGACAGAGAGAGAAAGTGATGGAGCCGTCTAGAATTAACTTCGCCACATTCCATTTATCGCAGAAGAGATTCGAATTCTGCGTTTACTCCTTCTCGGAAAGAACGCCGGTCACGCGCTTTCTCTGCGGACGACAACCTGGCTCACTCTTTGCATGGGCGCCCGTCCATTCATCCCACCTGCCTCCTCTGAGCCGGTATATCGACCGGCACGTGGCCAGCATACTACATAATCTCCCCTAATTTCTCTAACCATTAAACGGGGATATTAATGACGTAGGCCTTTTATTATTGAGCCAAAGTAAAGTTGTTGCGCGCGACATTTTACGCCACTTGGCACGTGGCTTCAGGTGGGAGAAGGGGCGCGATCCGACGGCGGAGTGCCTGCAGCGAGTCGATCACAGCCATCGATTCGCAGTCAACCTGGAAGATGGATGGACCGAGGAGAGAGTCGTCTTCTTCCCCGCGGCGCTGAGATCCCCGCAAGAATCTGCCACCACACAGAACGTCCGCGTCAGGAACAGGAGCGGCCGCGCAGGTCATGACGGGAAAACCTACGAACTCACTGGTCTCCGCCGGCACTGGATTTCCCCCGAGGGAAGATCTCCGAGACGCGCGGGCACCCGGGGTCGGAAGGCTGACTAGCGACTGCCGCCGCGAGACAGGTGATGGCTTCTCCGGCGGGTTCTGGTGGTGGTTCCTGCGGAGAAGGTGACGGTCAAACGCGATCGAGCGAGGGGACCTGCAAGTTCTGATGGGCCCATTGTCAAACGCGGTCGTCGTACCTTCTGTTGTCGCCATTGATCAGCCTCCCAAAGGTCTGAAGCGATTTCCTTATCTGCGATCCTCTGGAGCCCACGTCCTTGACGCGGGAGCGCGGCTGGCCCCAGGAGAGGCCGCCGTCGGCCTCCAGTGTCTCCGCCGCCATATTTCTGGAGAACTCGGGCGTCCTCGCTTGCAGCGTCGATCTGGATCCGTTCTCCAGTCTTGGGATTCGACTCTGAGACGAGAAACAGACTTCTTCGGGAAGGGGGCGTTGACCCTCCTCCGACGGTGGACCCGGGATGCTCGAACGGATCTGCAGTAAGAAAGTCAGCTTAGGCTCTCCGTAAGCGAGAAGATTTTCAGCACGAAGACCAAGACGACGGAAATTCGAACTAACCTCTGAAACTCTGGCCTGCGGCAGGGGATTCCTGCCATGGCTCACCCCGCCTTCCAGGCTGAGCCTCCGAGAACGAAGCGGTGTCTGCTTAGTGAGAGATTTCGACGCAAGATTCGGGGTTTCATCTGCAGCTTGCCGATTCCCCGAGCTCATCTGCCCCGCGCATGGGGGGGTGGTGGCCTCGGATCTCTGCACATCTCCCCTCCTGCCGGCCGCCATCGCCTTCTTCAGATCCTCCACCTGCACGGTGGGGAGTCATTTGCAGACGATTGCATCGGAATCGACCGGACCTGCGGAGAGAAGCAATGGCGGAGGGGAAGAAGCCGATCGATCCTACCTGCTCTCTGAGCTTCCGCACCTCGTTGCTCTCTCTGTTCCGCGTAGCGGAGCCGAGCTCGACTCTGGAAACTCTCTGCGCAAATCTCAGCGTGCTGATTGTCTCCTCGTAGGAATCGGCCTCCGGGCTGACGTGCGCGAACATCAAGGTCTTCGCCTGCCCGCCTGGAGATGGAGATTCGGAAGGAGTAAGGGTGGAAGATCTGCATCTTGTTTGCTTCCTCAAACAGCCAAAAAGACCCTCTGCCCTAAGCAGCAACCTAATGAATCCTGGAGCAGCTGCGTGAGCTTGCAGTTTCGGTACGGAACGTGGGAGTTCTTCTGCCCCAGCGCCGCCATCACGTCCCCCAGGCAGGAGAGGGACCTGTTGATGTGCTGCGCCTCCTTCAGCCGTTCGCCGGTGACCTCCGACTTGTCCACCCTCTCGCTTCCGGCGAGGTCGACCAGATGCAGGCGGCCATAGATCGCCCCCCCGGAGATCTCCTCGCCGTGGACGTGAACCGTAAGAACACTGCAAAACCAGAGGGATTCGACTGATATTCCCGGCAAAAAACCTCCGGCAAGAGCTTCTTCTCCGATCCGGCCTACGAACCTGTGGGAACGACTGCTTCTCTGGTTAATTGCAGTCGAGCACAGAACCCTGTTGCTCTCTCCTAATCTCATCAGTCTCCGAACGTCCTCGGGATATTTCACAGCGTGGAGAGCTGCATCTGGAAGACTCAATCCGCCATTACCAGAACAACTCCGGATCTCTATCTTGTTCACCGTCAAGAACACAACAATCCAGAGGAACACGCAAACAAAAACTTATAAATTCATCATCGAAGGATATTTTGCCGTCGACGACGAATCGTCCCCGAGAAGATCCCGCACTTGATCGTTGTAGATCTCAACCATCTGAACCCGAACCTCGTACTTGATCGCATCGCTCCTGGAGCAGGATATCTCGAAGAGATCATTCAGGGCCCGGTAGTTGATCCCCAGGTCCGCGCCACATGCATCGGATCGCCCAAACTGAGATGAACAAGGCAGACTCTGATTCGATCACTGGATCTGAAATGAATTATTTATAGAGATGGTAAGGCTAGCAGGATCATCGTACCATCGTGTGTGTCTTCCCAGAGCCCGTCTGACCGTAGGCAAAGATGCAGACATTGTATCCATCCATCACAGATCGAATCAGAGGCTGGGTATCCCTGTATACTTCCTCTACGTGATTCATTCAAAGCTCTGTCAGGAAACCCACTCGCATCATATCTCTCATCAATTCCACGACTAGAGATCTTACCCTGGGTGGCTGTTCCTGGGAAAACCTTGTTGAATTGGAAGATCTTCTGTGGATCCTTGGGCTTTGATGGGTCTGCAATCCTCAGCGACCCATCGTCTCCAGTGAACTCGATTGAGGACTCAACCTCAGAGTCAAAACCTGGTCTTATTCTGCAGTACACGCGTATACTCCCTGAAAGAGAAGGATCTTGATCAGGATCCTCTCTCCCCTCCTGTCTTTCTTTGGTCGGGTCAGTGTCTGAGAAGAGAAGACGGACCTTTCAGATCTTGGAGCATGTTGTACAGGCTCCTGTTTTCTTTCATGGCTCGACTGTACCCAAGAGCAGAGACTGAAAGCCCCTGAACCTGGCTTCCTGAATGATTATGATAACTATGAGCCTACATGCGTTGACCCTCTCACCGAAAGTAGAAATAAATTTCTAATGATCAAGATCAGGTTCCATGGAAAATCGAGTCCGACCAAGATCGTCGGTGACTTATCCAGAATATTTCGACAGAGATTTCTTTTAGATTTGGCAGTAGGTTGCACATTTAGCAAGCTCATAAAATGAGGAAGGAGAGAGAGAGAGAGAGAGAGAGAGAGAGAGAGAGAGAGAGAGAGAGAACAGCCCTCCTCATCCAGCATCATCGAGTGTGATTTTTCTGCAATAATCAACCTGAGAAACTCTCTTTCTTTTTCGCATTCTAGTATTTTGACTTGGACGAGAAAATGCAAAGAGAAACATACACCACAACACGTACCTAATTGAGTTAAATCACTCTGCAGTTGAGAGTGGAAGGATAAAACATCCGTTCTCATCTTGGATAGCAGGACCTTCATACCCTGCAACACGTCAAAAATGTGACAGACGACTCAATCTCCAATGAAGAATCTCCAATGTTCTGGGGCGATGCGATTCAGAAAATATCTACCCCCAGTTCTTTCTCCTGGGCCTCCAGGATCTGCCCGTGGTTGCAGTTGACATTTCCTAAACACCAGCTACAATGCTGGAAAAAAAGACCCAGATCAGATTATTTTTTTAAAAAAGCAAGAGAAAGTAAAAAAATAGGAAGCTGTGAAGACAATAGATCACGTAATTATATCATTAAAAAACCAATAACTGTATGAAGAGACATTTTGGCAGAACCTAACGGAATTGTTCTTGGGTTCAGAAGTAGATAGAGAAAATCAAGTCCATACCTTGGATAGTTTTTCGATTGTGATATTTTCCTCCAACGACTGATCCCGTTTCAGCTACACAAAAATGTGAACAGCTTGTAATATTCGAAATATCCTTGATTCAACGAGGATAATTCAGTACAAAAGTTGACCTTGTTCATGCAAATAGCGGTATTTATATTCTCTTTAGATAGTGTCTAGTAATGAAGAAGAAAAAATAGACAGTGATTATGCAAAAGAAAATGTCCATGAAGTATGGGATGACCACCTCATGTCCCTGTAGACTACTGGACATTATTTCAGCGAATGGGGGAAGACCCATTATATCTAGCTAGATAAATCTTTACCAGATACTGGAATCGGATACAGAATCTTACTGATACTCCACTGAGCAACGAAGACAGGATATTTTGATCTATGTTCTCTTTTGAAGAGAAAACCCGCTCGCAAAGCGTTTTGATGAGCAGAGCTAGGAGAGGAACGAGAAGTGATCAACAAACAGAACCGGGTATTACATACATAGACAGAGGAGCAACGCATGGATATTCTGGGATAAATATTAGTCACCTTCGTTGTTTGTCTCCTGGTTCTTGGAACCAGTGGGCATGCCCAGACGTCCGCAGAGCTCAGACCTTGAGGAAGTAACGTGGGAAAAAAATTTGCCGGACGAATTTAGAACAACTGGGGATTTGGGAAATTTGCAAGACCCATTTCCACCGCTGTACATTTTCCATTCGTGGAAGGATTTGAGGGACAGAATGCAATCAACTATCTTACTGGTCGAGCCGGACTCTAAAGTATCCTGAAATGAATGCATATGACATTATCGATATTGAGACGAAGAATTCATATGATTCATCTGGCTCTTCGTCACGAGAGATTACCCTTTCGAGGTCTGAAGCTTCAAAGGCTGGCAGCTTCAGCTCTCCTACGGCGACTAGAAAATTGCGTATGTTCTCAAAGTACTGGTACGCAGGCGGTGGTTGGGCTTCGAGGGTTAGCCTGTGTGAATGGTTGTTGATAACCTTCCAGCACGAGGTGAAGGCGAGGTGAGAATTTCGAAAGAGAAACAAGGAAAAAAAAACATACTGTTTGTGGTAAGAATTACCCTGGGAACGGCTCCCGGTTGGATCTTATTAATCAGGTTGCAAAGGACCAGACCGTTCCTCAAGCGAGAGACAAATTCCGCCTCTGAGGGTTGTGGGGGTATCTCGAGAGGGCCAACCATGCTTTCGAGCCATCCTGCTGCTCGGTAACGCCTCAATCCTGTAGCAAGCAGACCAACGCGGTATCGAAAAAGATAAACCCATCAGGGGTGATAATAAAAGGGAGAAGAAAGGAAAAATCTGGATTGAAATACTTGAAAATTGAATAACTTCTGAAAAAAATCGCAGAAAAATGGGTCGGCTGGTGTAAAAGGGACATGTATTTGATCGTCAAGGCCAGGAATGCGAAATGTGAGCCGAGGATGCAAAACCCTTGAACAAGAAGTTGATGAACACCCAAAATATCCACCGAAGAAACCCAGCCGACGAAACAAGAAGAACCAGGATGAAGGAAAACCATCTGGAACGGGATTCGGTGCAGGAACACGTAAAACACTCACCTGCTTCTTCCGCCTTTCTTGACGCCACGCGATTATCTCGAAATGGCACGATCCCACAGGGATCCTCCATGAGTTCTCAGACGGGATCAGAAACAACGGGGCCTCCTCCTCGAGACGACCCGGTGTCGTCTCTGTCTGCGCGGCGGAGATTGGAGGAAGAGCAAGGAAGAGGGAGTGAGCTCGAGGGGGGCACCAGAGGTACCGCGGGTACACAGACAGGGCCGAGACGTTGTCGGAACAAGGCTTCTTGTTCTCTCTCCTCCGATGCGGGTACACCTGGGTTTGAAATTTTGAAAAATTGTGGGCCCCGTCCTCGGTCAATGGGTCGTCCGATTCGTCAGACAAGACGGTTAATGGGCCTAAACGGCCCAAAGTTCGTCACACCTGGTTGGCCCATACCATAAGTCAACGCATCGAAGGTTTGGAAGGAAGAGGGGGGGGGGGGGGGTGCCACGTGGTCGTCAAAGGGGAAGTGGGCCTATTTGCACTTAATGGGCTGCGAGCGGGCTCAGTAACCCACTACTATCGGCCCTTTATTTTTGCCGACCTGCAAGACCGTTCGAGAATCCTTACAGACGCTGGGGGTGGAGGAGGAGCAAGGCCCCTCCTCTCCGACCCTCGGGCAGTATCCGCCGTCCGGTGATGGAGGAAGGCGACGGCGCTGGTCAGGAGGGACCCATCGAGCAGCAGCTGGAGCTGCAATTGGATGAGCAGAGGGAGACGCTGATTGCCCTCGACGAAGCCCTCGCCTCTGATCCATCCAACGCGGAGCTCCTCTCTGTACGGCCGCCTCCCGATCTATCCTCGTACTGCTGTAGGCAATCGGAAGTCCGTGTTTCTTCGCTGATTTGCATATGTTTATATTTGTGGAGTAATCTGGAAAATCATCTGAAAAATGATCCCGGGCATTTAGTCCCTCGGTTTTAAGGACTAGAATCTTCGAACCCTCGGTTTTTGCTCGGGAGAACTTCAAAGCCAATAGCTACTGCTATATATCTCTGTGATCATTGCATTTGCTCATTTCGGTGTTTTCTTCTGTCCGGCAATTAGTTTTTTGTTTTTTTTTCTCCTCCTCAGCAAGCCAACGCTGTTTATTTATTTCTCTTGATAGTATCATCAAGATTTGTTTCCCAGAAGCATCTGTAATACTTGTTTTTTTTTTAGGTTCGCGAGGAGCTCATTGCGTCAATCAGGGATGCGGAGGACGGACTTCTTCACTTGAAACGCTCACGTCTTTTGAGGGTGGTCGATGAGATTGCATTCGCTCAGGGATCTGAATCTTTATTTGAAGATCCCAAAAGTGATCCTCTGGATCCAACTGAGGATGTAACACGGTCTCGAGAATCAGAATTTTTTTCTGTTGGATCCAAATGTAGGTTCCGCTACTCCGATGGTCGTTGGTATAATGGTTACCTCGTGGGATTAGAAGGCCCGAGTTCGGCGAGGATTTCATTCCTAAATCCAACATCGGAGAAAATGCTGGTGCGTTCATTTTTCTGCCGTTCCTCATTTCTTAATTGAGATTGAGCGTTAACACGATAATTCTTTCCACGTTGATGGGTTATTTTTTTACATTGACTTTTATGTTTCACTAGAAGACTTTGTAGTCTAGGTGGCACTATTGTGGACAACTGATCAGGTATCCTAGCCAACGAGGCATAATTGACTTAATGAGAAGAGGGGGAGAACCGAGTAATATATTAATCCGATTAAGAAAAGAAAGTGGCAAGCAACCGCAATACACATATTATATGCTTGCAAGAAACCCCTGTTTTTGTTTTTTTTTAGGCAATATTTTTATTGTGATCAGTCTAATCTCATCAAGAAAACGTGCAGCTCTTCTTTAAACGTTCCCTATTCAGCAAATAGGATTTTTATCACGTATTTGGTACGTCTTAGGCATCTGATTTGGCGGCATATTTTACTAGTTTGTCTGTTTGAGGACATCCCCTTATAAGATTATTGCTCAACCATGGACGTTCAATCTGATCGTTAGATAATGTAGCATTGATCGCTTTTAGATACTGTCTTTTTATAATTCTTGCCATTTTATGATTATTGTCATTCTACCACGTAGAAGGTGGCTTTCCTGGGCTCTAGTTTGTTGTTTCTATCTGAACGCTTCGCTGGAAGATTGCTGAATGATTTACCACAGAGCACTGTTAGCGTTCTTTTTTTTTATTTTTTTTTATTTTACCGTACCTCTTCATTAAGCAAAACTCGGCTGCGATTTCAACGAACTGACATTTTTCTTATGAAAAATGGTTCAATGTCCATTCACTCGGGCATTTCTCTATTGTCGGTCTTCTCCATGCCCTGACATGATATTAATGCTTTTTATTTTGTACTATCAGCGAGGATCACCTGTTAGCCTCAGTGTTTCATGATAGAGATGCCCACTCCCTTTTTACTGCATTATTTTGTTGAGTCAGGGTGGCATCCGATTGGCAGCAGAGTTTCTCTCGTCATTTTATTTGTTGGTTTTTTTTTTTTTTCTTTTTTTGTCTTCCTTAATCTTCGGGTTTCCTGACACCCATCTCTTTCTTGATGGAACCTTAAACCTATGTTTTGATTAAAATGAGCACTAATACAGGTTCACCCAATTGCAGATGTGCAAGTTCTTTCTTCAGCAGCGGTGCCATTTTGGTAGTAACTGCCGCATGTCACATGGTATGTTGTTCGCCACCGTGTCGCACAGTGATGTCTGGGACGGTGTTTTCATATGTTCCTCTGTCAGTAGCTGCTCGTTGTAGATCCTTCACCCCTATAGCATAGTTACTTCTCTCTCTTCTTCCATACTCGTTTCAAGCTCTCAGGGGTCTTTTCTGGGTGTTCTTTTGTCGTCGGAGCTTCAACTGCCCTGCCCACTTTGCACTCTTCTTAGACCTCTCATGTGATTCACTTATGGCACAATTTATCTTGACTTGGGGATTTGAGCATCTGGAAATATGCATGGTAGAAAAACTTAGACATCCATTGCAAGATATTTTTGTTCATTTCCTTGATCAGATGTAAACAATTCCAGATTGAGGTGGTTAAGCTGATGATGTGGATGGTGGATTTTATGTCCCAGAAATGGAAGTATTTTTAGTTGGTGCAGATTTTATTATGACAATCTATTACTTTTAAGTTATTATTTTTGGCATAATGTTCAGTTCCTATTATTTTATTATCAATAATATAAGAAGGGGGATCCCCTTATCCATCGAAGGAAAATGAATGAAATTCTTGCCAGGACAGCACATAAAATAAATTACTAAATTAATCATATTTTGCTACTACTTTTCTGGGTGGAATTGTTGTGTTTTCCTATTCAGGTTTCAATCATGACGGTCACCATCTTCTAACAAGGTTCGATTCTGCAGGACTCGAGGTGCCCATTTCTTCTCTGAAACACCACAGACCCACAGCATGGCAGCAGTCATTAGTCGGCTCCAGCATATGGGCGGCCTCTGGTGGCCGCTCTGCTATCTGGAAGGAAGCTGAGCTCGAGTCATGGGATGACAAGCTGAGGCTGGCCCACGTCGTGTTCCGAGACGGAAGCTCCGATAAGCTCGGCGTCGAGTCGCTATCATTATCTCCATATGCTCAGATGACAGACGAAGACGAGGATGAATCGAGCTCAGAAGCCTCGAGTTCCAGCGAAGAGGATGAGGATTCTGAGGGTGGAACTGTTCATCGGGGTGTAGGGTTTTTGGCAGCCTCAAACATGCAGAGAGGAGTCCAGACTGAGACGGCCATTTTTGCCAAGTGGGAGCATCACACCCGCGGCATAGCCTCGAAGATGATGGTGAGCATGGGCTACAGGGAAGGGATGGGACTAGGGGTATCGGGCCAGGGTATGGTTGACCCGATCCCTGTGAGAGTTCTTCCTCCGAAGCAGTCCCTTGACCATGCCATGAAGTCAAAGCTGGTGGAGGAATCCGGAGGGACCCGGAGCAAGAAGCGGAGCAGGGGCGGGAAGAGGGAGCGGGAGAAGAAGCAGGCGGCCATTGCTCGCGCGAATAATGACAAGGAGCAGCCAGAGTCCGATGTCTTCAGCTTCATCAACGAGCAACTTGCCGGGTCAAGCGCCACCAATGGGTCGGCTAATAAGCAGAGGCCGAGCCCCGTGGAGGAGACAGGATCTGGAAAGAGAGAAGACAGGCGATCCCTGGTGGCGCACAACGAGAAAGTGAAGGAGCTGAGAAGCCGGGTCGAGAGGCTGGAAGAGATGATCAGCCGGAATCGCAGGGACAAAGGGGTCTTCGAAGCAGCGTCGCGCAAGCTCGACGAGACCCGGAGAGCTCTGGTGGACGCCGAGGCCGCCCACGCATCGGCTTCTAATGCAATCGTCAGCAAGGAGAAGGAGAAGAGGTGGCTCAGGTTCTGATCTGCCGGGCACAGAGGGCTGGTTCTTCATCCTCCGGTATCGTCCAAGATGCGTTTTTTTTCAGAGGGCTTCTTGAATTCTTCTTTAAACAATTATGGCATTTTTTTAACGTAAATATATTATTATTATTTAATTAAAACTTTTTTTAATCCGGGAAGTGAAAACAAATAATTACAGGGTGAAAATGTGAAATCTTAGGCGGAGAAAGGGCTAATTTGTGAGGGCTCTCGTGACGGCAGCAGCAATGATAGTATTTTTATCCAATTACTCATCCTGGCATTTTTAGAGGTAAATATATTATTATTATTAAAACTTTTTTAATCCGGGAAGTGGGCGTAAAAGAAAAACAATAGTTAAAGGGTTAAAATGTCAAATCTTAGGCGAAGAGAGGGCTAATCTGGAAGGTCTCTCGTGACGGCAGCAGCAATGATAGTACTTTTATTCAATTTATAATTCTGTCATTCTTTAAGGTAAATATATTTTTAGTCACTTAAAAGCTTTTTTAATCCGGGAAGTGGGCGTGAAAGAAAAACAATAGTTAAAGGGTTAAAATGTTAAGTCTTTAGCGGAGAGAGGGCTAATCTGGGAGGGCTCTCGTGACAGCAGCAGAAATAATATAGACTGGTGAACCCCGTGGAGTTGGGTCCCCTGCCCTCTTCCTCTTCACTGGTCAAGAAGACGAAGGAGCGGCGGAGGACATGAGCATCATGGGGAATTGGCGGCGGTGACTTCTCTCCGGGAATCGGATTCCCGCTGCAGGAAGAGGGCGGGGTTCCATGGGCTCAGAGCAGGCGTACTCTTCCACTGCCTCTTCCTCCTCGTCGTCCTCTTCCTCTTCTTCCTCCAATAGCCATCAGAAGATGTCACTGGGGTCAGCCGTGATCCCGATTATAAATCGGCTCCAGGATATCTTCGCACAGGTGGGGGACGTGACCACCATCAGGTTACCGCAGGTGGCCGTGATCGGGAGCCAGAGCAGCGGCAAGTCGAGTGTGCTCGAGTCCCTGGTCGGCAGGGACTTTCTCCCCCGCGGGAATGACATCTGCACGCGACGCCCCCTTGTCCTACAACTCGTGCACACTGCTGCACCGACAGAAGCCTCCCAGGGCGCGGAGTGGGGGGAGTTCCTCCATCGGCCGGGGCAGCGGTTCGAGGATTTCTCCGAGATACGTCGGGAAATCGAGGTGTGGTTCGCGTTTCCTTGTCCTTGAATTCTTCTGCCTATTTCATTCTTTTGCCGCGATTGTTCTAATGATTTTAGTCAGATGTTGAATCTACGTTTGTCGTTAGTTATCAATCTCAACTTTAAATTAAAAGCACGTTTCAGGTGTGTTTCTGGGACAAAACCTTGGGGAACAGTCATTTTGAATGTGCTAATAAGATTTTATTTTAAAATGTTTCTTGATGAAAAAGTTTATTGATACAATTGTTCCCTATTCATCTTACAGGAAATGGACATCAACATAAATTCTTCTATTGGTCCGTTCCATTGATGTGCAAACTAAGAATACATATGTTAATTTGTATGATCAGAGAAGAAGAAGATGCTAGAGAACTAAAGAAATGCGGAAAACAATACTGGTGTTTGGGACAGTGATCCACGGAAAGAAAAAAGAATGCATGATGAAAATAGGAAAAATAAATCATTCCTATACCCAGAACCATAATAAGAGAATTCGATTTTCTGTTCCACTTCATGTATACATTGCAATTATCATAAAAAGAAACACTGCAATTCTCTTGTCTGATCAGGCTTTTCTTGGAAAACAAATAACATTCTACTGATAAGAAATCACGAGGCAAATGGACCTCCGATTCCAATGAATTAAAAAAAATTGCAAGATGGATGCTGGTGTAAATTTTTAGTCTTTTCATTGAAATCTTATTCATGTGCGCCGAAGCCAACATTCCCATAAAACTGGAACAATTAGGGGAGTCGCATGGTACTGTACGAAACAATGTGAGGGTGCATCTAAAGCTGAAAAGCATGAAGTGTGATTCCAGTTGATGGCAAATTTTCCCGTGTAGTTCAAGTCAAGCCTGGGTTTTGACCAAGGGACTTAACTGGTTGTACTCAGATTATTATGAACCCCCTCTTATGTCTGAAGTCAATAAGTAAGGTTCTCTGTGTATAAAGTGTGTCCTTCCTCAAAAAAATTCACGATGGTGTGCAGCAATCACTCTGAATAATGATGGCAAGCAGCCTTTGTCAAGAGGAGTTCACAACTTTGCAAAAATATGTACTCAGCTCGAGAAAAAAACTTAATAAATTTGTATAGAAGGAATGAATGTTTTCTCCTGCTTATCTTTCATTCTATTTGAAAGATGCTTTAGGACGATCATTCGTCCCAATATCTTGTGTTTCATGAAGGATGAAGGAAATAAACTAGAATAATATTTTCCTCCAATAGCTAGTTTCCTATTGTCTATTAATTCGTCTTTCAGATGAGGGCTTACTGTGGAAGAAAGATGACTAAATAGAAATAAAAGATAGCCCACCAAGTGGATGTGCAGTGGAATGTATGGTATGCCCTTTTTACTCTCTTTCTTTGAAGACACTCACGTACTAGCACTTGTAAGAATGACTCATATTTTATGAAGAATAGGGGCATTTCTAGACGTACCTTCAGACAAGGTTGTCATACATCACTGGTAAGCTTGGAATGAAACCTCCTTAACATAGAAAAAAGAATTCAAAAGACAGAAAGTGGATGTACGACGTCAGCAAGAATTTTAATCAGGATTCACCAAAGTTTGCTTGAACTGTAGTGCAACTAGGTGTTTTAAGCTACTACACATTATTTTTCTACCTCCTCCCGTGTAAAAATCAGACTTTATTTTCCATTTCACGGCACATAAAGTTTGAGGAGAGATAAGTTGCTCTAACTTTGTTAATTATCCAGATTGAAACCGAAAGAGAAGCGGGAACAAACCAAGGAATTTCAGATAAGCAGATTCGGCTGAAGATTTTCTCTCCAAATGTCCTTGACATTACTCTTGTTGATTTACCTGGAATTACAAAGGTTCCAGTTGGTAATCAACCCAGTGACATAGAACTCAGAATCAGGACAATGATCATATCTTATATCAAACATGAAACCTGCATAATATTAGCAGTCTCACCTGCAAATTCTGATCTGGCGAACTCAGATGCACTTCAAATGGCTAGAATTGCTGATCCTAATGGTAAGTAGTGCTATTCATCGATTTATTTTATCCAAGTTGCATATCTTGAATACTGGAGACGTTTCTGATGTGAAATTACAAACAGGTTCTCGAACAATTGGTGTTATCACAAAGGTTGGAACCTAACCCTCTCAAAACAAGCTTCACAGTTTTTTCCTATCCGAATATAAGATGAACAATTATTGTTGATTCTAACCGGTGAGAATTTTATTTGGTCTGTCATCAGCTGGATATAATGGATCGAGGAACCGATGCCTGCAATTTTTTGCTTGGAAAAGTTATTCCTCTTCGGCTGGGTTACATTGGGATTGTTAATCGTAGTCAGCTGGTATTGCTTTACAAAACATAACCTTTTTATTTCTTTATAATCTTTTTTCTTTAATGATTATTGTTTAACATATTCTCTCAAATGTCATTTTCCCACGTGACACATGAATGAATTGTCATTGCTATGGAAGACTTTACTCATCAATTGATCCTTCAATTAAATCGTGTGTAGTGCTGATAAGAAAAAAGTATCTTCTTCAAATGATGTTTTGTTCTTTGTAGAACTAATTGGCCATGTGGTGCCTGAGGTACAGGGTCTAATCCATTTTTCTTTGCCCAGATATAGGTTCCTTTATAAATTCCATGAACAAATTTGACATTCCAAATTCTCAGTGAGGTATGTGGAAATAAACTGTAGGCATATAAAATTAAAGGAATTCACTAGGTAATACATGGATGATTCACATAGTTATACTTATGTCTCCTAGTTTCTTTCAACTTTGTGCAGCTATTGTCCTGTTTATTAACTTGAACTTCTACTGTGGAGATGACAATTAAAACCATGTTTAATTGGAATGAATGTTTTTTCAAACCTAACTGTGAATTGTTCTTTTCTCTATGTTGTCATGGTAGAATCACGTTTATATGTTCTTGTGACATCTAATATTTTGAAGTTTCTTGTAAACAGGATATCATTGAAAACCGGAGCATTGCAGAAGCGCTTGCAAATGAGGAATTCTTTTTCCGAAGTCGTCCTGTAGATATCTCTTTCACTTATTTTAAATTCTTTCTGTAGCATGTATGTATTCGCCCCTTAAGCTGACATCTCTTGACTAAATGTCTCAGGTATATCATGCTCTGGCTGATCGTTGTGGCATTCCTCAATTAGCAAGGAAATTGAATCAGGTTGTTAATCAAGGAATTAAAGTTTGTTTGCTTTGGCCTGTCTAATTTCGTCAAGAATACCAAATTTCAGTGAATAGTCAAGTCAGTAATCAGTTTTGTGGTTACTCATTTAGAAAGATGGCTTATTTCAAGATGGTTTTAAAGATTTTTGCAGGGAAAGCTCCTGATCTCGTTTCTCATCGCTTTCACTCTGTTTTCAGATTCTTGCGCAGCACATAAGAATGGTTCTGCCAGAATTGAAGGCTCGGCTAAATGCACAAATGGTTGCTGTTATAAAGGAATTGCGGTCGTATGGAGAAACCATGGAATCCATTGTAAGTTCGTGGTTTATGTTATTTATGTTGCAATCGAATTGATCAAATGTTTCTGGCATATATACATTTAATTCCGTTTGGTCATTATGTCTTTTCTTTGTCTGCTATCGTTATTGTTGTTATGAGTGTGTGTCAGTTGTAACTAATAACCTGGCAGTTTGTTGGAAACAGACGCACCTCTATTATTAGAAACATAAAGCAGATTTCGAGTCGCTGCTATCAACCAGTGAGCTTATCAAGCTGGATTAGAATAGGGATACTATTTGATAGCCAATGGTACTGTCAGATAAGTAAGAGCTTATTTGCTCGGAAATCTAAATGGCCAAAGGCTGAGATGCATCTTTCTGTATTTTTGCTTAAAGCTGTGATAAATCTTCATACTATTCTATTATCAAGACAGGGAAAGGTATCTTCACCTCTAAAATCAAAAAGGTTCCTTAATAATGAAGCCTCGTTCAAAAGAGCATGATTATGGATTGTTAGTCGAATTTCTGCTTGTTCTGTAATTACATGATAGAAAGCTTTTCATAAGAAAATCGAATGGACTGAAATTGTAGTGAACATTATTTAGGGTTCAATTATCACCAGCTGGACTTATGCTGCCCACTATTATTTGATAGGTCTATCTGTGGCTTGGAATTGCTGCAGCTATTTATCCACTGCGGCCACTGTTCTCACTGCTTGATATCCAGAATTTCCCTTTTTACCCAATTCTTTATCTTTGTTTCTTTTTTCTACAATTGTTGTTCATAATTATTATGGGGTGTCCTGCTATGATGTTCGTGCTGGAGGAGGGAGGAGAAAGATCGTGTTAAGGAGTAGATATTAACGGTTGCATCCTTCTTCTTTCTGAAGAAGAACTAGGTATTCTTAAATGAGTACACAAATACCTCGTTGGACATAAATCACTTTTTCATTTAAGAATCACGGTTTTTAACATTCAGCCACATACCATCATTAGGTTGCCCAGTTTTGATCATATCCGAAGCTACATCCTTGGAACCTGAGATCATTGCAATTAAAGCATTTAAAATGTTGCAGGTAATAAATCAGCGATTCTTGAATATGATCCGTGTCAGTTCTGGGGGAATATTCAATGCCGATTTCCATTCTATCTTTCACAAATACAAATACCTGTATTTCACAAATACAAGTATTTTCTGGTGGAGATGAAAACAGACCCCCCCCCTGTCTTTATCTAAAAATAAGTGATCATCTCGTAGGTATACTATCTCTAACATTATTTTTATATCTAGGGAGTACTACTAGTTAATCGGGCATTAGCCCAGATTCATGACATGAACTCTGTTTGCAATTTACAAAATGAAGTTTGAATTCAGATTAATGGGAGGGGAATTGGATGAAGATGGTAAAGCAGTCTCAGTTTTTTCTCGTTGAGTTTCATTTATCTCTTTTTTGGGATGTATGTTCATTTTTCATTATTGGGTTTCTGCTAAAAAATGCTTTCTCTCTTGTTAAATAGGAGGAAAAGAGGATTTTTCTACTGAACGTCTTGACCAAGTATTGTGAAGGTATACTTAACCGTTTTGATATGCATCTCTGGCATTTTGATTTCTTTCAATATGATTGTTGCGTTACATTGATATACTGCAATAATATGTATTCTATTCCATTCATTTATGCTCATTATCATTTATCCGACATATAAGAATCTGCTTGATGTGAGCACCTTTTAATCCAGAACATCCTTTCTCCCTCTTGTCTAGTTATGCCTTACTTTCTTAACGAAGTGTAAGAATTTCGGAAGCTTAAAGTCAAGAGTTGCTAAGCCATTTCTGATCTGAAAGGATATTGGTATTTTCGTCATTCAGAAAAGTGGTTCTGGCGCCCTCCCAAGGTTTAACTATAAGGGTTTTTCAGTGACCATTCCTCCATCTCTTTTTTGTTTTAGGAATAACTCTCACAGACATGTAGTTATTAGATTAAGGCGCTTCTATCACAAAAATATCAAAATTTTATATAAAATATTAATGAATCTAAAATTGTTAAGACCATTGAGTTGTGAATCGTTTTCCGAATTGTATGCTATGTAATCATGATGCCAACTAGTGCTGGAGCACGGATACAATTGAGCTGTACAACCTATTAATACATATAAATATAGGTTGTATTAATCTGACCTGTCAGTGGATCATATTTAACGTGTAAGAATACTGGGGCATTTTATTTTTGTAAAAGAATATGCTTAAGAATACTTGTCGGGATGCACCATACCTACTTCGTCAGCTTGGATTTAGGCATGTTCTAGGGGCAGTCATTTGTTGGGCAACGTGGATATCTCAGGTTTGGACATCAGAAAAGGGTGATTGTCTTTGATCGCTTACCAGATGAGTGGTATTCAATTTTGTGCTTTGACCTTCCAATATAACCTGAATTGGTTTGATAAGCTTATGCATGTGGAAAGCTGTATAAATTTACGAACATATGGATATAGCACCTCTATCCATATAAAACCTATGAGTTGGGTGACTTCTTCATCTCAAACGAGGACGCTCTGCTACAACTTACGTTTGGTTGAATTTTTTTTGGGTCCTTGAAAATTTATGATGAAGGAAAATGATGCCTCACAATGCCTCCTCCAGTCACTTCTTTGGTATAGAGCCCCTTCAGTTTGAGCGAACGTTTTCAAAATCCTCACCCTTAGGGCCGTCTTTAAAAAAATAAATCCTACCCTTAATGCGTGTTATTTTGAAGTCTCAAAGTTGGACCAGCTTCCTTTTACAAGAGACGTCCAAAGCACGAGTACACCATGCCATCATCTGTGGAAATATATGATGATCAAAAAATTTGAGGAATTTATCTCATCTTCAGGATGGGATTTCGGGTTACATTTGTGATAAGAGCACATGAACTATGGATAGTCTGTGAAAGATGATGCATCTTTGCTCTATTAATATGGAAAGGATATGCCAGATGGTGCACTTCTGTCAGAGATCACCCTATATATTGAACTGTTGACTTCCAGCTCGTCTGAGGAGGATGTTATGCGGAGGTTCCAAGGTGATACAACTTCCGCAACTATGGAAGTACCAGAAGGGAATATGAAACAAAATGGGAAGGAAACTGAGAAGAAGAAGATAGAAAGGGGATCCTGAAGGAACCCTAGACTGTTCTGGAAGGCTTTCGACAGGGTCCCCGTCTCTCCCAAGTCAGTCTGCTGTTTTTTTTCCTCCCTCGACCTCTCCTGCTCAAGCCCTAATACCTCACTAGCTGGTCCTCCATTACAGTACCTGCACCTTTGGACAAGATTGTCTATTCTTTCTTCTGAAATAAGATACGACCAGAGTCGTATCCAACGATTGGTGACCAAACACATGCCAACATTTGTGATTTGGAGGAAAATGAACAGCAGAGTATTTAACATGGAAAATAGAACAATTGAAGCAAGCAACGTGGGTGCTTATGATGTTTCGAACCAATGAAAAACAATTGTGGGATGAGGACCATTATTATTGCTACTCTGGGTAAAATGGGCTGCATTGCCTTTCTGTGGACTCCATTTCTAGTGCAGTTTTGTTTCTAATAGCACAGAGAGAAATGTGTGTGCATGGAGACATCATCTATTGGCCCTTTTTGCTGAATTTCATTATTGCACTCTTTGCCCTTTTCTGTTTTCACTTTTTTTGTGTACATCAAAAATAATTTATGACATTTCATTTGCTGTTGAAAACTCAAAATTTGTGTATAACATGTTCTCAGTTACATCTTCTTGCCCTTGTCACCAAGTTTTCTGCTATAAGTTCTGCATGTAATTTCTGAGGTATGGATGATAGTCATATTAACTATTTGTGGACATAACTTATCTTACGCTTTATGATGTTTATTTTTTTCCCCAATTATTTCTGTTTTTGTAACTGTTGATTCATGAGACTCTTTTTCTTCTATACCACAGATTTCTCTGCAATGATTGATGGAAAATATTTAGATATGCCAACCACTGAGTTGGCCGGTGGATCTAGGATCTTGTACATTTTCCAATCAACTTTGGTAAAATGTCTGGAGGTACACAATTGATCTTTCCATTACCACGTGTCTATGCTGTCATTATTTTGCCTTTGTTTTGTGCTTCTGACGAAAGCATGTGTCAATACTATCAATTAGATTAGTTAGTAGGTAACAATTTATGTAGGGCCAGTGCTAATTATCTACAGTTTGCATTATTGAAGATTATTTTTCTCAATTTCTTGATATTTGTTGCACAATGATCTGGCAAGTGTACATTATGTAATTGCTTGATGGCATTTTGCAGGAAGTGGATCCTTGTGAGGATTTGACTGATGATGAAATTAGAATGGCTATCCAAAATGCGACTGGTACTAAAACTGCTCTGTTTGTCCCAGAGGTGTGAATGATCTCCCTTCACAATACTTTGCAGCACTTTTAAAAATGTAGTATGAGCTCTCAGGATTCCTCTTTCAGGTTCCATTTGAAATTCTAGTCAGGAGACGAATTGCTCGGCTTTTGGATCCTAGCCTTCAGTGCTTACGTTTCATCTATGATGAACTAATAAAGGTGATTAGGCATGCCTGATTCATTGAGCTTTCTTTTCTTGGTGGTCTGTGTACCAGATTAAATTTATGGTGATATTTTTTTAACCGGATGATGCGAATGAGAACTGAAACGATTGCTATATTGCAGATAAGCCACGCATGTGCAACAGATCTACAACGATTTCCTCTTCTAACTAGACGACTAGAGGAGGTAGTAGGAAAGTTCTTACGCGATGGTGTAAAGCCTGCAGAGAGAATGATAGCGAATCTTATTGGAATGGAGGTATTTTATCTTCCAGTGGTTCTTATTGCCAGCGTTTCTGGCGGTCTATATTAATATTCCGGTGACTCTTTTGCCTTTCTATACTTATTGATATGTGGTATTCACCATGAACATGCTAATCGTGGTATCTATATTAACGCAATTCTAGGTTCTGGATTTGTCAGGCTTGATCATTGAAAAAGAAAAAAAGATTGTAAGTGTAAAGGTCATTGTATTCTCATGAGGAATCCGTAGGTAGTGGGGTCTATGGGCACAAGTTTGCATCTGTTGATCAATTGAAATGCTACTCAGGGGATAAAAAAAATGTTAATTCTCTTGAAGGATCATTATAGCGTTCGGTAACGGATTAATTTTCTCCAGTTACGCAACTTACCGCGCGCAGTTTCTCTAGTAGGAAATCGCAACGTGTAAACCAGCCTCTGGAATATGCCAATCAAATCTTTTCTATTTACCCATCCTTGCTCAATAGCAAGTTTGGTCTTGCATCATAGTAACCTAAACAAAGCATAAAAATTTAAAAAGCTAACCTAGCAAAGCTAAAGACCATTTTCAAGTGTCTGAGAAGCTTTGATGAATTTTAAGGAGAGCTTGACAGCGTTTTACGTGACAGAACTTCACTTTGCCATTGAGGGGAGACTTAAATCTGGAAAGTAATAGATAGCTTGAATTTTGGTGTATTGTTTCTCACCTTACAATGAGATGTTTTTAACTAGTTGGAGGGGAACGTGTTGGCCGTGAAATTTCTGGTGCAGTTCAGATATATGCAGTATTTATTCTGATTTGACTCACGTTGTTGAGTTTTTGCCATCAATCGTTAGCATTTATTCGTGGGTCATTCGAAGTAATTATCACTGGCTACTTGTGTATCAACAGTGCTATTGATTCTGTGCATTCTAATTTGTATTTGAGAGTCTTTTATTGAAATGGCTGTGGGCTGTTGACCACTGAGTCGACTCTACGTATTTTTGTTCGTTTTTCTGTACATATACTAACTTGGTTGAAGCTCTGACAATTTGTTAGTGCATGCATTGCGTTGACAACTTTTTCAACACATGCAGTGGTAATTTTTTTTAGTTCAGTAAAAGTTTGAGATTAGATGGAAATACTTTTGTCCAATCAATTTTTTGTTGGATGAGGATTAGAGACCCAGGAAAAAACAGTCTTCAAAAAGGAGTGCAGTTCCAAGTATTTGGCTGATAATCCCAATAAGTTAAAGGAAACAATGCTGAAATTTCAGTATGATGTGATAATATTTTTCATTACATCGTCATGCATTGCCATTGCCTAGTGTTATTCTACATGCTTTCATGCTTGTCATAGAGAGGATGTCCATACAGGATAACTGAAAGTGTTTTAGCTAAGTAATCCTTGGATGAATTGTCTTTAATACTTTGCCACTAAAGTTTTACTGGTTTGGCTGTCTGAATGACTCCAGATGGATTATATAAATACATCTAATCCAAGCTTTATCGGCGGTAGCAAAGCAGTAGAGATTGCAATGCAGCAGCTGAAAACTTCTAGTCTTTTGGCGCACAATGTACCAAAGCCAAAGGTCTGTTTTTGACAGTATTAGGATATCTTATAGGATGATATCACTTAGGAAATCACAAGCTTTTCCTGAGTTGTATCTTATTGAAGCTTGTTTTCCAATGCAGGATGCTGTGGATGCTGATAAGCTGACAATTGCATCAGAAAAAAGCTCTAAAAGTCGTGGATTTCTTACTAAATCTGTAGCAAATGGAGTTTCACCTGAGCAGGTAGATAATTGTCATTTGATATGATTCCACATTATTTCTTTCTATGATTATCGATGCTCAAAGGTGACACTGTTTGGGTGAAAATCGTGGTTCAGAATATCTAATCTTTGTTTGTCTGCTTGCAGGGTAGCAAACTTCTAACAATTAACGACAGACCAACAGCATCAGCAGGTGAGCTTCTGGCCTCCTCAAACCGTTATAAATCCGAATATATTTTTTTGCCTGCCTGAACGATTGTTTTCAAGGTGCTAACGGTAAGTCATTTGGGTAGGTAGCTAGGCGAGCATGCCTAAAATGTGTTTGCCTTTGTTAATCTTAGTGTCAGGGTTGTCTGGTTTGCCACATCGGTTATATCTTGCCAGAGACCTAGTCGAATAAAGCTAAATATTAATGTACCGTTATTAAATTATGCATGCCTAAAAAAAAATATGTTCCGAAGCATTAATTTTTTTTTTTACAAAACAAATAATATCATTAATAAGATAGGGTAACTCATACTTGAGTGTGACGACTTAATGTGATCCACTTGGATTACGAGAACTTGATGTTTTTCAAAAAAAAAAAAAGTGTGAGTTGGCGCTAAGAAATTGTTTCTCGTCAAACGTCCACTTAATATTTCGGATATCATTAATAGCAAGAAAGCAGTTGACCGCGCTATACTGGAATATTTCTGCTTGCAATTTATGTATATGAGAACCGTTTGTGAAATGTGATAAATGTAATCTACTATGACATGTAATTGACCCGGTATAAAGAAACAGACATTTGTAGACAATAAATTTTATTAGAATATTAACTATATCCTGGTTTCTTTCGCCCCATACCTTGGTCGTGGAAGATAGATGAACATCACCATAACGACTATGGTTTGGATAGATACAAGTGTATGTATAGCACTGGAATTTATGATTCTTTGTTGTGTGATTTTCGTTTCACTGTTGAAATGAGGCTGAACATTCTTTTGATGAGATTATTTCAGAATCATTCTCGAAGCTAAATCACACTGAAATTTAGTTCGAACATGAAAAATCGGCCTTAATTTTTAGTCCTGGATTTTAAATCTTACTGGAGCACAACAAGAAAATGGAAACCCGAATCACTTTCCTGCATCATGATGCTCTAACATTTCCATACATGCTCAAAAAAAAAAAAAAAAAAAAAAAAAACCGTGGCAGAATTTCTGAATCGTATTCGTCAGAAACCCTCGTTCTTGGTTTTCATTTGACTGTTGTCCGAGGATTTTCAGGCCCTTCGTCTGGAGGTTGGGGAATCTCATCACTATTTGGAAGCGGCAGGAATTCTTCTCAAGAGAATCTCTTGAGCAAACACTCAAACGAACCTTCTCTGAATGATCAAACAATCCTCTTAAGAGAGGTAAATCCTTGTGAAACTGAAAAAGTCATTACCCGTTTCTCTGGTCTTAAACATCCCATGATCGAAGCTATTTCTCTACCATTCCAGCCACCATCCACGCTGAGGCCATCAGAAGAGCGAACGGAGAATGAGACCATTGAAATAGCTGTGACAAGAATGCTTCTTCGATCCTACTACGATATTGTCCGAAAGAAGACGCAGGACTCTGTTCCAAAAGCCATCATGCACTTCCTGGTATGTCTTTTTACTCCGCCGGCACTTGTTCCTTCCTGCAGCACAGATTCTGACCGCCCTTTTTAAATCTTCCAGGTCAACCATGCCAAGCGGAACCTGCTGAGTACTTTCATTCAGAAGCTCTACAGGCATATATATACCCCCACAGCACCACACGCTTTGCTCTTGATTCTGACATCCTTGTACTCAACCTTGCTGAATCCTTCCTTTATAAGATCTTAAACGAAAGTCAACGGCGTTCCTGCAGAGAGGACCAGCTCGGTGTTTTGCTGAATGAACGGGAGGAAGTTGCACTCAAGAGACAGCGCTCCCGAGAGCTGTTCCATGTTCTGCAACAAGCTGTTCATGTCAGTCCCCTCACCTTCTGTTCGTCGTTTTATTCCGCGAAGAATCTTTGATCTCTTGACTCTGCCGGAGAAAAATATTACTAGGAGCAGACTAGGTTGAGCTTAATAATGCGTTGACTCTTGGCGAATTTAGCTTGATTCTAGGCTTACTGTTCTTGGGCTCTGACCCACCTTGCAAATTTGGCTGCTTGTGATGTAGACCCTGGATGCGCTCCCCGTAGACTTGGAGGGCGCTTCTAGAAGCTCAAAATCAGGAGGCGAGGCGTTCACCCGGTCAACGCCACTCTATGCCATCCCTTCTCCCATCCATCCTACGACGGAGGCAGATTTCAACGCTCCGTACGTTCGTCAGTTCGAAGTATGACATGCTCCTCGTTGCAGGATCTGAAAGGTGTTAAACCGTCAGCGTGCTATTTTATTCATTTTTCCTCTCCTCCGATACGTTGTACAGACGAACCTCTCTCTCTCTCTCTCTCTCTCTCCTCTCTCCCTCCCTGGCAGGACCTGCTGTTCCTACCAAGTATTATTTAGCTCCTTTGACTGGTATTTGATGGCGGCTCTCGACTTCTTTGTACCCCGTCTGCATCCGATACGCCGTATTTTTTTCATTGGCTCAGGCGAAATCACCAGCTTCTTCTCTCTCAACCCATCTTACCATAAATAGGGATTAGCGAGAATATATAATAACAAAAAAGGAATGTAACATTTCTAGTAAGGTAATCTGTCGGCGTAGATTTTGTCTCTACTATGTCATGATGATGTTCGTCGAAGACCCGCGCTAGGCCTGAGTCTTACCCAGTCAACTGGGCGGTCATGGATTGGAGAGAGAGTGGTTGTCCGAAAAAGGCTCGTTCTTGGGTCTGAGGTCAATTAGACCTAGAAAAAGATGGGTTGAAGTCAGGGGCGGTGCCAGTGTAAGTCAACTGAGGAGTCTGCGGACGTGATGAGGACAGGATAAGGATGTTTGCCCTTCTGCGAAAGGCGGCCGATGTGATGTCGGGATAGGAGCTGCCCGAAACAAGCGAGGGGAGTAGGAGGGGCAGCTAGTGGGATACGCCGGAGAAAGGGCCAGAACGTCTCGGTCAGGATTGGCGGCGGTGGAGGGTCAACCTTCGCGATAAATTGGCGGCGGTGGAGGGGCATTTGGGTAAACACTATCCATTTTCCCCCCGCTTCCGAGCTTCCAATTGAATTCCCAACAGTCTCCTGCTTTTCCCGCCCCTCTCAAGATCTTTTATTTTCCGGTTTGTCTTCCTTCCTGGTCTCTTCTCTGACAAGTAGAGTGAGGAAGAGGAGGGAAACCCTTCTCGGCCCCCACCCAGGTCCGGAAGTCCTTCTTGACTGCGATGCTCATGCCCTAGCCAGCGTCTCCGCGCGCCTAGCGGCGTCCTCGCCATGCCGGATCTGAGCAATCTGCTCGTCCCGCAGCCGTCCCCTTCCACGCACTTCTCGCAGGCATGTCCCATGGGCCGGCAGGGTCTCCAATCCTGCAGTTCGTCGGCATCTTCGCCGCGGTGCGAGTCACCGGGAGAGGTGCTAGATGGTCCCTGCTGCAAATGGAACCACCGTTTGCGACTACCGATCTCGTCACGGGCAGTGACGTGTTCCGGGACGAGTGAGAACTCGGGGGTCGTGGTCTTGAAACGTGAGCGGAGAGGGGGCAAGAAGTTGGTCAAGTCTTTAGAAGATCATGTCAACGACTGGGTCGAGAGGAAGGTGGAATCTGGCAAGCGTCCGATAGAGTGCTCTTTGCCATTCCTAACAGACTCACCGAAGATGGTACTTTCCATCTCATTCTGGTGTTCCATTTTTGATTTTTTCCTCTTTACTCTTTTGAGACGCTAGCGCGCTCTCTCTCTCTCTCTAGATTTTTTTTATGCTTCAAGCATTTGGTGTTCTCATGTAGATAGTAAGATCAGTTCCACAATTTCTTTGATGAACCAAAAAATTATGGAGAAGAAAATTCACGTGCCTTCATGTCTCCTACTAAGAAGGAAAAGTGAACGTGAGGAGCTCAGAGGAGGGAAAAATTATACTAAACGCCCAAAATACTCTACCCTATCCTTTACATAGACGCTGAACGATCTTTTTGTCTTCTTCATTTTTCATGAAAAGCTTGGGGGTTATGAGAAAGTTGTTGAAGAGAGAGCATCTGTATCTGAGCGGGAATGGGAAAATGTAGCTCCTACTCTCGAAACAGTTACAAAAGTATGCTTACATTCGCATATGCCAGATGAACACCTCCCGCTGAAAATATCATAATTTCAAGTCTGAGTTTGTTTATCTCCATGAGATGCGAAGGTATTCCATGGAAAGAGCTTTTCAAAAGAATCTACTGTGCATATTGTGCTTTTTTAATCTCGTTAAACAGTGAAACAACAGTTGAGGATTTCTCTAAGCTCTACAAATCAACTGAAAGTGGAAGGGAGACTACGTAGACTACGTGGATGCTACAATCTGTGTTCTTTTCCATGTCAACCATTGTTTTCCAGTGCAAATGAGAAGAAGATGCCGAATTTTTTGAACATGAATGTGCTATAGAATGGTAGTTTCAATTAAGGTGCATTATTTATGCTGTACACAGTCAAATCTACGATGACAGATACAGAAATTTGCAAAATCTCATCGTCAACTTTTTCTAGGAATAATCCTATTTATCTAGAAATTCATCATGCTCCAAGAGATAAAATTATTAGGGAAAGGTTGTTGGATTAGTAAATGCGCTGCAGTCCCGCACAAGTCTAGCTTCTGTTTGTTTTCTGGTGCAATAGCTCATGCAAAATGCTCATTACGATTAGAGCAATAGCATTTCAAATATCAATGTGTACTTTGGGTTTTCCGTTTCTCACCTGGTGATCTCTATTTTCAGGTTGACTGCCGGTTATGCAATAGATCTATCTATCCTGGTGATGAAATTGTGTGCTCCATCCATGGCTGTGAAGAAGCGTACCACATAACCTGTGTAACACAGAATGGCGTAGTTTCCGGATCTCGAGGTTTCAAGTGTCCTCGACATGTATGCTTCATTCTTGTCTCTCATTTATCCTGTTCTATACATTAAAGTTTAGAAGCAGGACGAGTTTCTGCTATTAACTGTGTTGCTAATTTAAGCAATCGATGTGTATTTTGTGCCTTATTTTCTTTTATACTCATTCTACCTCTTCAAAAAACGTCATTTTCATGTTTGTCACATGATAAATATGGTTATATCCAAGGCAGATAGTGATATCCAATGTGGTTATCCAAGTAGATGTGCTTAGGTGTATGTTATTTTTTTATGCGCTCTGTGTCAGAAGACTTTATTTGAAGAAAGCTAGAGATGTGCTATCAATGAAAAATCTTAAGTTTGACCAAAGGAATAGAGGACGTGAATTCTTTGATAATTTAGAGATGAAGAGAGAATTGTTGATGTCAATGGTCATGTTAAAAAAAATTCGCATCTGGAGTCATTGCTTAAAAAATATGGTGAATTAGATAGTGGTATTAGTCAATGTTTCAAGGTATTTGAATTTATTGGAGTCTCCATCATGCATTTTACTTGGCCTTTAGAACTAATATGAAGTGGATCTTTAGGTCATAAAAAATATCATATTACAACAAGAATGAGGTTCTGGAATTGAGAATTTGGGTGAATAATTTTACAATTCTTTGAGATAACTAAGGGTGAAAATAGTAGGGCAAGGTTGGTTCGTTTTTACTCCGGTCAAGATTCGCCTGCTCACCAAAATTGACCAGAATCAAGCATGTGTGACATTGGTGGACTATCTCTATTGGGTAATAAGTGCCCAAACTTGAGAATATCGATCATTCATGTAAATGCACAAAATACATAGTTATTAGTGGATTGTTGCCACTGGAAAGGAGAACAATTTGAAAAAGGACCTCACGTGAGATGTGACTCTATCATTGAAAGCATGAATGAAAATTATCGAGAAAATATTAGCTATAAGTCAAATGTGGAACTGCTGTTAAGCAGTGAAAGGTTTTTACTTCTCAACCATTTCATTGATTGAGAGTTGGCTTTAACTATGAGGCTATTGATAGTGAATGTTGGATAGTGTGGACAGGTCTCTTGCTGATTTAATTTCTTTTCCATTGATAGTGAATAGTTTTTTCAACTTCTCTTAAAGTTTTCATCTGTTTCTTTCTCGTATATGACTCACAGGGTTGTAGGCAGAGTGATCTTTCTTTCTTTTGTGTATAGAATGGGAGGTCCAATGATCTGTTTCATATATAAGTTAGGTTCAGGTTTCAATGCCTCTTCAAGATGACGCTTGTGGGCTGAATGTATTATTTGTACAACTGATTGGGATGGTGCCATGTCAACTGTATGCTTTATTTGTACATGGAAGAGAAACATTTATATGTAATGAAACTATTAGAACAAATGATCGTTAACATTTACACAACAGATGCACTGCATTTTCTCTTCACTTGAATTCAGCCTGTTCTCTTCTTTCATCTTTTTCATCCTCGTCCTTTAACAGTGGCCGTGATTGATGTTTGGAAAGATCAATGATTGAGAACAATCAATGTCTAAATGCTGTAGGTATTTATTGAGCTTTTGATAGCCCATGGAATTGTTTCCATTTAAAAACTCCAGTGTTTGGGCATTCGTATGCGATAAGATATTTTAATTAGAATCAACTCTCACAGTGTAATAGATTGTAATTAGTGGATGTTTAACTTTACCTAAAGGCTGCTGTTTCTGAAGCCCTTATCGTCTTTATTAAATTTTTAACAACATATTTTAACTCGAACTCTGTAAATAGGTCTTGAACACCAAGCAACATAGGTTGTGGTGGCTCTTAATGTCTGCTAATAATGTGTCTAACAAAGCTTGACTGGAAGGTTCGGTTTATTGACGGGATTATGTTTTTTTACTGATATCTTTGTCGCATTTATTTTACGGTAACCAATAATTAGTGAGCAAACATCCGTGCTGTTTTCTATTGTTTGTACTTTATAGAACGGTTAACTTGCTAGCTGCCTCTAACTTTGCTATATTTCACCAAAAAATGAATTTTTCTAGTCAGAGAAATTTATGTCTCGGTGTTTACTGGGGTTTTGTAGAGACTTAGCCTTCTGATTTCATCGAGTCTTATTGCATAGTTAAATTTCAAATAAAGCAAACCACAATTGTGGAATGTTAGCTGGCTTTTGTAAAGCAGTTTATGCATGATACTTTTCTGCAAGCTTTTTTCGTTTATATTTTGAACTCGAATACTTGTGGATAGGCTTGCATCATTTGCAAACAAGTGGGATTTTGGCATTGCATTCGGTGTCACATAGCAGCACACACTCGGTGTGCTCCTTGGCCAGATTCTGTGATCAGCATAAGTAAGAGCAAATCACAAGCTCTATGCTGGAGACATCCTGCCGATTGGCGACTGGAAAAGGTAATCTTCTTCTAATTTAAATCAAACAAGAAATAATAATATCCTTAGATTTTAGGTGTCTACCTCGAAATCTTGCTCCTCAACTGAGCATTTTCTGCACCTCCAACTTTAGTTATTCTCCGTTGTATATTTACACCAAGGAACTCGTTTTGTAAGTACCTCTAATGGTCGTTCTACTGCTGATTATTCTTTTCCCACCAATGACTCATTATATGTTTATTTCTTTATGTGGATGTTTCTAGGTCCTTCTTTCCCTTACTCTATCTTTCACATCTGTGTCATTGGTTACTATAAGAGAGTTGTCGAAAGAATATAGAATGTCTGGATTAGGATGCTTTTCTTCACCATCTTTTGGTTTTTCTTGTCATCCATGCGACTGTGATGGCAACCTTTTAGTACCCCCAAAATTTAATAATTTTACTTTATACATTCTAAAGCGTTGAATTTTTCTTCTGCCACCGTGTCATCAATTTTTTCTCCAATGAAACCTCTCATTTGGCAGCATGTTTTGTTTTTTTCTATTTTTTGATTGGGAATTTCGTCAATTTTGTTTAATGTATATGTCATTGCTCTAGGATATACAGACTTCTTTCATCAGTTGTCAGACACTCTTAGATGCCTTCTTACTCTTACCGAAGTTCTGTAACTATTCAGTTTTCTATTTGATTATCATTCTTCATATGTTGAAAGTCAATAATTTTAGAGTATTACTTTTTTAGTTGTTAGGTTAACTGGGGTACTAATCTATCTCATTGGATTGCAGCATGCAGTATTGACGAGTGACATTGAGGTTAGAACATTATCTTTTTGTAGTGGTCTGTTTTCCACAGATCCGTGTATCATTTTCTAATCTTTTGTGTTGTATTCTTGGATTTTTTTTCGTTGAGCAGTATATAGTGTCTTCTATGTTTAACGGCCTTTTTTTTTTTATTAGTTTGCATAACTATTGGCCCCAAAAATTAGCCACTCAGAGAGCTTATGATTTTGCTCACTGTTGTTTGTCTTATTACCAGGAAGCATTTGGCCGCTTGCCTATCCCATATGTTGTTGAAGAGTTTATGGTTGACTCTATTTTGAAGGATTTTATGAAGAAGGAAGAGCCAGCTCCATATATACATATTAGGCGCAGTATCCGATCTCTAGAATCATTACGTGTTAAAAAAATTGATGTTTAATGGGTTTATATCTTAATGTGCTCACCCTGTTTTCTTAACTACTTAAAGATTCTTATCTCGTAAAAAAAAAGCGTGATGATGCATATGCTGGTGCTGGATGCACTTGCAACAGCAATTCCACTTGTGGTGAGGAATGTGAATGCAGGTACAGCAATATCTGTCATTTTGAACATGATTGGTTTTTTTGTTCCTTTTGTTTTAACAAAGCTACCCCTTGCTTTTATTTCTCCATTTTTTTGTTAAACCACATTGAAAAATCCTGTCAAAAATAATCAAGAAACATAGTAGCAAGATTAACAGCCGCATCCATGGAATCCCTGTCCGCTAGTAAGCGTTCACTGCTGTAGCTGTGCTCTCTACCAAAACCAATTTCCTTTTCTCGGCAACAATCGTAATTTTCAACCATAAAATGCCTTTGTTCGTAAATAAAAAATAGTTAATTTTATTTCCTATGAATTAGTAAGTGAATAAACTCTGAATGTAAGTGTTTTTAAACTGGCTTTTGGCAACTTCGACATTTTGGACACCTGGTAATGTGGTGGACTTATTGGAATCAAGAAATGACCAAAAAAATCAGTGGCCTTTGCTGAGGACCAGCAGCAAAGAATTGACAATTTGGTTTTTACAGAGAAGGATAAAGGAGTTGCAGGGGGCAAAATTATCCAGAAACTTTGAACAATATATGCTTTCATCAGAAGGGATGGGAATCTCTCATGGATGGGAAGTGTTGGCACCATGGGATTGAGTTGCCATGTCCCGTTTAGGACAAGGGATGGGTAACTACTGTGTATCTTGTTTTGTATTTTTTTTTCTTGCGCAGTTCCATTCAGGAGGAAGACTACAGATTTTTTTTGTTCTTTTCCAATTTTTGGAGGTCATTTTCGGTTGGACTGCTCTACATCAACCTATGGGGCGGGTTACCTAGTTGGACCATGTTTTTCAAGGATTGCCTTGATAATCAATATTTTTAACTTGATTTTCCTTGTGTGTCTTTAAGAAAAAGGATGTTTTTCTTTCATGTTTTAGCTGTGATACACACAATGTTCCAATCCTCATGTTCACTAGAGAATATGACACTTTTTCTTTGTTTATTAGAAATCACGTCATTTATCGTAATTAGTCATGAGCTTTCGTTCGAAAAGTTTTCAAAGTTGTTTAGACATTGCATATAAATGTGTTTCAACAGAGGTCAATCAATCAGTTGTTCGAAAGCCTGCAACTGCTCGGATTTGTGCACAAATCGGCCATTTCGGAAGGAGAAAAAGATTAAAGTTGTTAAGGTAAGTTGTACTCTTTGAGAACGGTGAAGACTTAAATTGTTCTTGATGGCCTTTTTGTGGCTGCTTGGTCATGTAGCTTCAATCGAGACCCATGACTTTTAACTGAATTACCATTCGCTCTTCCATTGGTTTTGTCTACTTCTTCACTTTAGTTATCTTCCTTTACTTCTAATGATGAGCCAAGTTCACAAACTACGAATTCTTTAATTTTTACCGTTGCAATCTTTTGGCCAATGACTGCTGGGAATAGACATTATGTAGAGCTCTAAGAATAAATCGGATGCCATATACATGGGCAACTAATAGTACAAACCTGCTCACAAACAACAGGTTCTTTCTGGATAAACTTCCATGACAGAAGATTACTTTTAAGTCCCTACCAAAACAGCCTACTATAAACCCAGTGTTTTCTTTTCTGTTAGCTTTTAGTTGAAAATTACAAAACGGTAGTGATTTCATTATTCCATCACAAGTGCATGAATTAGATTTGACTTGAGGCTCATCTGTGCAACACTTTCGGAATATCTGATGGGGAATAACTTACGTTGAACTAGTGTACTAATTCAGGGGGTTCGAGTTTTAGGTCTTAAGTAATTCTTTTCCTTTCAAAGGTGGTGGTAGCATATCTTTAAGGAGGAAGATAACGAGATCAAAGTATAGTCTTCTTGTTTGCTGGTTTCGATTTTCGCTAATTTATTCATAGGAATCTTTTCTCCTTCTCGTTTGGACCGTTGTCATCTTCCTGATGACCGAGTTAAGAGTGAAGCTTTGCATAAAGCTGTGGTTCATAGTATGAAGGAGCCTAGTGCATGAAACTCCTAAAGACATACATTATGATTTTTCCTTTAAGCTTATGAGAGTACATTCATAGAGTAGCTTTGAAATTTGTATGTTATGTTGAAGGATCATGTAGTTTGAGTTATTGTAAGTTTATGTGTGTTTTGATTGAATGAGTCATGTTTGACTCCTTTTCTGAAATGCTGTTCTACCCAAGCTTCCTTTCGTGTTCTGTTACTGGATATTTAGAGAAAAAATGAATCCCCTTGCAGACTCAATCTTGTGGGTGGGGAGTGGAGGCATCAGAGGCTATTAAGAAAGGAGAGTTTGTGATTGAGTATATTGGAGAAGGTAGAACACCAGCTTCTGAGGTTTATAATTCATTTCTCCATGTTTCTGTTTGTTTCGTTGCTTTTATGAATTGCCTACATTAATAAAAAAATTCTGGCGTTTTTATTCTAATTGAATGGTCATTCTTAAAGCTATTTTCGTATAGATTCGGAGATTCAAGCAATTTTCTTGTCTTTCGTTCTAATGTTTTGTTTTTTTCTGGTCATATGTTAGATTGGATGGATTTGTTTCTACACCTTTAGATGATATCAGTTTCCACGTTTTTTTTTGGAATTCTGACATTCCTTTTCAATTATTGCTTACTTGAGTTTTTGCGTGGTGTAGATGCTCGGAATCATTTGTATATTCTGTTGCTACCATTGAAACATATTTTTTTCTTGTTTATAACCAGGCTGCATATGTTTGCTGCAAATATTGAGGACAATGGGACCATCTCTAATTCGAACTCCCATGGTTTGCATGAGGCTTTAGTGGAAACTGATAGCACTTCCGTGCATAGAAGGATAAACAGTGGGGAAAAAATTTCTTCTACAATTCAAATCATAGAACGAATGCTAGTTATATGCAATTTTCTTGGCCACAGAAAAAGAAAATACCTAGGTTAATGAAACTAACCACTAGGAAACTGCTCTCAACTAGGAAATTGAGCAGCAAACACTAACTACTAATTACACGTTTTTTCTCCCTCAAGCTGCTCTCAACTGGGCATTCTATATTCCCAAATTGGATACCATACTCTGAAATATTGAAACACTTAATCCCTTGGTAAGCAAATCACATCTGCATGTTGGCCATGTGTAGACACATAAGGTGCATAGATTAATCCGCTCTCAAACTTTTCATTGATGAAGTATCTGTCAATCTCAATATGTTTTATTTGTGTTGGAGTACCTGGAATTATTATACCTCACGTGTCTCTCTTTATTATCTCAGATGTCATGTTTTTCCTTTTCTGATTTCTGGTGTCTAGAACCTTCCGGGAGGGTCTGATATTGTTGTACTGGGTTGTGAGCAATACTAATTACAAACCTGTAATCAGTTAGTCTCATTGCCTGTGAATAAACTTCCTATAGAGTCTATATGAACTTCCTATAATCTCACTGCGGCAGATGACTCGTGGCACTTATACCCTTTTCTAAATTGGCAAATAGGCCACAAAGAAAAATTTTAACGGCCTTGGATTTAATTTCCTCCTATGTCGACTATGAACTTGAACAAATAATACTGACCCAAATATCCTAGGGACAATATTATTTGTGGTGCATAGGTTTGTATAAAATAATGACAATATTTCCATTAGATTCTTTAATTCTAAGACTCTAGAAGGCTTTAGGCGCACTGTTCTATTACAGAGAGGCCTGGGTTACCTCCAGAAGATGACAGTTTTTTTCTTTCTGCTATTCCGTTTTGCTGTGGTGTATTAACACACGATGACTCATGCACCATCCCTTCTTCCCTGTACCATTCCTTTTTTTCCCAGTAGAAATATGTTATATTTTCCATTATGAATGGGAATTGGTACTTGATATCATTGGATTGCTCCCTCACCGACGTGAAATGCTACCAGTCGTTTTGTACATCATACATGCTTATGTGTCTGCCTGTTCTGTGCGATCCCTTCCCTGTTTCCAGTTATCAGTGATGCCCTGTGCGAGAAAAGGCTATGGGACATGAAATACAGAGGAGATCAAAAATTTTATATGTGCGAGATTAGGAAAGACTTCACAATTGATGCAACTTTTAAAGGAAATTCTTCTCGATTTTTGAACCACAGCTGTGATCCTAATTGTAAATTGGAAAAATGGTATGGCATCCTGAACTTCTGTGGTTTACACTCTTCAGCAGATAGATTATGAAAATATCTTGCTTTTTTCTGCAACTTAACTCTCGTAGATGCGGCGTTTTGACAGTCTTACTTTTCTTCCTTAGGCATGTTGATGGAGAGACCCGTGTTGGTGTCTTTGCATCTCGAGCCATAGAACCTCGTGAGCCACTGACGTATGACTACAGGTACCGGTTGACTTTGCATCGTTCCTTGGTCCTCTGGAAGCTTCTTTTTGCATTCGTAGACTTCTCAGGGTTTTTTTTCTGTTAAGATGTTAAGCATCAATTCATTCATACAAGGTCTATTATTTATGTGTAACTTGATTTATTTATTTTTAGAGCAGAAAAGATTTTTTTGATGGAACTGATGTGTGATGGCATGTTTTTCTGGGGATTATCTTCTTTTACGCATGCACATCATCATCTGCAATGGAGATTTGGACTATATGGATTATTGCATCCAATATTATTGAAATATATGGGATGTAAAACCCTGCTAGAAAAGTGGAACAACAAAAAAATGATTCAATGGAGTCAATGATATTACTATCGCTTAAAATCATCATACGTCCTGATATCAGAATTTGTACCACTTTATTCTAAATATAAACAATGAATCATTCTCTTTCCCTACCCATTAATCTGATACTCTTGCTTCACGTGTTAAATCCTTTTGTTTTCTTTTTATACCTTTTATTTGAGAAATTCAGGGGTACTACTGCTGCTACTACTACTGACAAAAATAAAAGATGGGACTCAGCAGTGCAGAATTAGTGCTTGTTAAAAAAAATAAAAATCTCTCATTGTCAATCGTTGCTTCAGTCTTGTAGAGCTAGGATTTCAATGACTCAATGACCAGAAAGCACGGATTGTGCCATGGTGGGCATGTGTGGCCAAGCTGCTTCTGGCGATGGTTTTCATGTATGCTGGGCAGGTTTCGCATGATTTATATAACTGTGGGAGGCTGCTCCCTCTCTTCATGCATCCCATTTCTGGGATTCCAAAACAATTTTATTGCTTTGGAGTTTGTGTATGGAGGAATTGTGACCCATCCTCGTGTGATTGTTTCCTGTAGATTTGTGCATTTTGGGCCCATGGTCAAATGTCACTGTGGGGCTTCCAACTGCCGCGGCTACCTCGGGAGCAAGAAGAAGATCAATGAACTGATCCACAAGCTGGATCCCTGTTGGGGATGCAAGAGGAAGAGGTCATCATTGGCCGTCGTCCGCAAGTCCACCCGTGTAGCCACTTAACTGGCATTCAAACCCCATTCATTCAATGTCTATAAGGGGACGACGGTGAGTGATGAATTCTCTCTCTCTCTCTCTCTCTCTCTCTCTCTCTCTCTCTCTCTCTCTCTCTCTCTCTCTCTGTGATGTATGAAGGCAGAAACCATTCATTGACAGCGAGTTCTTCATTTGTTTGTACATCGTTCCCCCCCGGAAGCATTTTCTTGTGTCCGGGTCCTGTTGTACCTGAAATTATGATTTGATCGACTGGCAAGAGATGACTGTTGTCCAGCTAAAAATCTGAAATAGTTTGCTTACTATTCTACGCGTGATCCATGGGAGCCACCCAGACACTGAATATCTTTTTGCAATAATGGTGATCCATTAATCGCCTGATGCTTGTCTTTGAGCTGCCCCGGGACGATAGAGATTAGGGTTTTGATGTCTGGTTTGTGCAGCTTGCTTGAGCCCATGGCCAGTGTGTCATCGGAGGAGGAAGAGTACGGACTAGGGTTTCTCTTTCTTCTTGGGGCATTTAAGAGTATGATCGGCGACTGGAAGGGGGAGGGTCCCAAGGGCTCCTCTTCGCTGTCGCCATCTGAAGCTCTCTCGCCTGCAAATTGCTGTGGAATACGAGAACTGTGGAACTGAGCTGTCGAAACGAAGGGGAGGAGCCCGGTCTGGGTGATTCAGCGGCTTCGCTTGTCTCATTAATGTCGCCGTCAGAGCCTGCATGAGGCCCAATTCATTGCAGCCATAAAACAGGCTGGTCAGCCCGCCCAGTCCCCTCGTTCCCTACCATCTTCGTCTTCCTTCAAATTCTTGCGCTTGCGGTATTGCTGTCGATGCACATTTAACTCAGCAGGCCTGCAGCAGAGCAGAAACCTGCTGGAGAGATGAACCTAAACCGGCCACTTCTTATACTCTTCGTCTCTCTCGTTTCCGTGCTCCTCTGGCCTCCTTGCTCTTCTTCAGATCTTTCCCCATATTTCTACGCGTTGTCATGCCCGAATGTGGAGCTTCTGGTCAAGGGCACGGTCCAGTCTGCCACTGCGCTCGACCCAACTCTGCCCGGCAAGCTCCTGAGGCTTCTCTTTCACGACTGCATGGTGGAGGTGAGAATCGGAAACGAGGGTTCTGAGAGGTTGAGCGGTGATGGGAATCGGAAGATGTCTTTAATGGCAGTTGTGTTGGATCTTATGGCGCAGGGCTGCGATGGATCAGTGCTGCTGCAGGGGAACGGGACGGAGAGAAGCGCACCGGAGAGCAAGACGCTGGGTGGGTTTCAGGTGGTGGATGTGGCCAAGCGGCTGCTGGAAATCTTCTGCCCCGGGACTGTATCCTGCGCTGATATCCTGGTTCTCGCCGCCAGAGACGCCGTAGAGCTGGTGAGTCTACTCACTGGGCACCTTCCGGCGGTGGGTTTTCGCCCTTTTGTTACGAATCCGTGAGGCGGACGGAGCGTGAGGTGGGTTTCGCCATTACTGCATCCATCGAGGTTTTACAGCTTTGAGTGTTGTGGTCTGTGGCAGACTGGAGGCCCTTCCGTCGCCGTCCCCTTGGGCCGGAGAGACGGCCGGGTCTCGTCGGCGTCGAAAGTCCTGCCCAACATCATCGACACCACCTTCACCCTCGACGAGATGCTCCACCATTTCTCCTCCAAGGGACTCTCCCTCGAAGACCTCGTCGCCCTCTCAGGTACTGTAATCTCTGGTCGTCTTCAAGCTCTGTTCTCCTCCTCGGGGCTCTGATTTTCTCCTCCAATGCCGCCAGGAGCCCACACCATCGGATTGGCCCACTGTAGCGCGTTCAGCGAGAGGTTCGACGAGGGCCCCAACGGGACGTGGACCCCCGCCGACGCCTCCCTGGACCGCGGCTACGCAGCGGAGCTGGCGCGGCGGTGCTCCGGCGGCGCCGACGAGTCCGTCACTGTCGGGATCGAGCCGGGGACCTCCTCCGTCTTCGACAACCAGTACTACCGCAACGTGCTGGTGGGGAAAGGCCTGCTCGGCTCCGACGCGCAACTCGCAGCCGATTCCCGCACGAGGAGGATGGTGGAGGCCTTCTCCGGCAACCAAGAGGACTTCTTCCGCAGCTGGGCGAGGTCGTTCCTGCGGCTGGCGAGCGTCGGCGTCAAGACCGGGGGCGAGGGAGAAATCCGCACGTCTTGTCCCCAGCGGAACCGCTGACCAATAAATGCAACGACGAAAGAAGACCATGGGGGTCAAAGTCGCCGTCTTTTTCCTGTTCCAGTCATTAATCCACACGGGGAATAGAGACCATGGATCTGTTCATAAAACCCTACCGGGCAGCGGCTGATTTCATCTTTTTATCATTCCTCTGCCCCACTTCTCCGTAGCTCGATCTTCGTCGCTGACTCTCGAGTACAGCAAGAGCACTTAACTCCGCTAGTTAATCGTAAAAAGGGACAGCGGAGTTGTCCCTTATCATGCCGGGGGCAGTAAATTCGCAGGGGGTTGGTTAGCGGGGGGGTGAGGAGGAGGCTCTCTCACATGTTCTGTCCCCATGGTCGGAAGAAGAGCCCACCTGGTCTCCTGCGCCGCCGCCTCCCCCCCATCGCCGCAGCGGCGAGGACCCACGGCCGCGTCATCAAGACCGGTGCCGCCGCCGCCGCCGCTGGCGTTTACATCTGGAACACTATCTTGACGTCCTACGCCAGATGGAGCGGCCTCGCCGACGCGCAGAAGCTGTTCGACGAAGCGCCGGAGCGGGACGCCGTCACATGGAACTCGCTGATCGCTGCTCAAGTCTCCCACGGCGCGCACGACGGCGCGTGGGAGCTCTTCGCGGCCATGATGAGCAGGGGGCTGGCCGTCGACCAGTACACCTGCGGAAGCGTCCTCAAGTCGGCCGCCGGCGCCGGCGACGTGCACCGCGGGCGGCAGCTCCACTCGGTGTTGGTGAAGGCAGGTCTCGAGGGGAACGTCTTCGCCGGCAGCGCGCTGCTGGACATGTACTCTAAATGCAGCCTCGCGGAGGATGCTTCATCCATCTTCTCGTCGATGCCGGTGAGGAATGTGGTGTCGTGGAATGCGATGATTTCCAGCCGTGCCCTCGCCGGCGATCGTTCGGCGGCGTTGCAGCTGTTCAAGCAGATGGAGAGGAAAGGGGTGGCGCCCGACGAGGCTACATTCGCGACCATCCTCGCAATACTGGACCAGCCCGCCTGGCATAGCTTGACCTCGCTGCTTCATGCCAAAGTCATCAAATCCGGCTGGGCGCTGGACACCATCGTCTGTAACGCGGCCATCACGGCGTACGCGCAGTGCGGCTCTATCGGCGATTCTCGAAGAGTATTCCTGGAGATGGCAACCATCAGAGATCTGGTTTCCTGGAACTCTATGCTGGCGGCTTATGCATGCGACGGCCTCGTAGGTCATGCGCTCGAGCTGTTCGCCGAAATGCTGGGACTAGGTGTCGGGCAGGATGTGTACACTTTCACCAGCGTGATCAGTTCCTGCTTCGAGGAGGGACCGCAGCACGGCCATGGCCATGGGAGGGCCGTACATGGGCTGGCGGTAAAGCGGGGATTGGCGGGGAGGACCCCAGTTTCCAACGCGTTGATCTCCATGTACATCAAGTCCGACCATGAGGGGAGCATCAGGGACGCAGTGAGATCCTTCGACTCGATGGAGAAGAGGGACAACGTCTCGTGGAATTCCGCCCTGACGGGCCTGTCACAGCGGGGCCTCGGTGAGGAAGCCATGAAGTTCTTCTGCAGAATGCGCCGTGGATGCCCGGAGATCGACCACTACGCCTTCTCTGCCGCGCTCCGGTCCTGCTCCGATCTCGCCGCCCTGGAATTAGGGCAGCAGGTCCACGCCCTCCTCGTGAAATCTGGCTCTGCGTCGAATGCTTTCGCCGCGAGTTCCCTGATATGCATGTACTCCAGGTCCGGGGCCATTGACTCCGCGAGGAGGAGCTTCGACGAGTCGAGCAGAGACAGCTCGGTGACTTGGAACTCCATCATCTTTGGATACGCTCAGCACGGGCAAGCTCGGATCGCTCTTGAGCTCTTCTCCCTGATGCAGGAGCGAGAGGTCAAACCAGATCACATCACCTTCGTGGCGATTCTCTCTGCATGCAGTCACATCGGCTTGGTGGAGGAAGGGAGGAAGATCCTGGAGGCCATGGTGTCCGTTTATGGGATGGAACTAAGGATGGAGCATTACGCCTGCGGGGTGGATCTTTTCGGCCGAGCAGGGCGTCTCCACGAAGCCCAGAAGCTCATCAGCTCGATGCCCTTCAAGCCGAACGCCATGGTTTGGAAGCCTCTGTTGGGGGCCTGCAGGATCCATGGCGATATGGAGCTGGCGGCGCGTGTGGCCGGCCAGCTGCTAACGCTGGAGCCGGAGGAGCATTCTACTTACGTTCTTCTTTCAAACATATACGCCGCCTCTGGGAGGTGGGGAGAGAGAGCCATGATTCAGAGGACCATGAGGGAGGGGAGGGTGAGCAAGGTTCCAGGTTGGAGCTGGATCGAGGTGAAGAACAGAGTTCGTGCCTTCAACGCCGAGGACAGATCCCACCCTGAAGCTGAAGAAATCTATCAGACGCTTCAAGAGCTGATGCAAGTAATTGCCATGCCGGATCATGATGAAGATCTTGATGATGCAATGAATGATCTCGATCCAACTTTGTCACAAGCTCTTCCCCCATTAATCCAGCATGATTTTCAGTGCTGTGATTAGAAGTCGGACGGCCCAACTTGAATCAGTGCATCTGTGTCAGTATGGAACAAGCTTCTCTGAAGAGCTTCTCCTTTTCCGATAGAAGATGCCAATGGAGCTCTCAGGAGACCTTTGTTCCAGCTCCTCGACGCTGGATTCTAGAGAGAGAAACGACACCATCTCCTTCCGGAAACGATCCGAAGGAATGTTCTTCCCGGAAAAAGAAAAGAAAGAAAAGATTAGCCATAGCCCTCTCGGTTTCTATCCGGAGAGAACAGATTCCTCAAACTGCGGAATCGCATCTGCGCGAGGGGGGGAGAGGGGGGGGGTTGCTCTCGACGGATGATGATGATCTCTATGCTCTGAGGAATCCAAGGTGGGTCGCACAGCGGACGGATTCCGTCGATATTTCTCCCGATAATCATGAATGCCGGGTGGGTGGGAATCGGATTCCTGAACCACGGGTGAGTGACCTGCTTGGGAGAAACTCATGGTGTCCCCAAGGAATCTGGTCCTACGACAGACCCTGTCTAGATCCGGGCCGGGCCGGGCCAAAAGCCCTCAAATTGGCCTCCAATACGAACTCCTAGGAAACCTAAGCCCAGCCCACTGATTCATGCAGATTGGGGCCCTTTGGCACCTAATCACTTGGATTAACAGACCACTCCTCCCTCTCGCACCATGAACAATCAACGTCTTAATCTTGGGTTTGGGTGTAAGCTCGTCCAGGTTCAAAGAACCGTTCTTCGATGGGGCGCCGATGGCCTGTGCTGATGAGGGATCCAAAGTGGAGACTGCGCTCGCCAGCACGGCATCAACCAATGCCGGACGGCATGACGACGACGGGTCTCTCGCGTAGGAAAGTGGAGAACCGACAGAACCGAGAGGGCATCCGAATTGAAGATCGTCGTGCTCATTCATGGAGCTTCATTCTTCACTGTGACCCTCTTCTTGTTTCAACGGGAGCAGCAGCACTCAGTTCTTTTCTTGGAGGAAGGAGGCTCCTTTCTTCTCTCTGTCCATCACCGGTCGCTCTCCTCCTCCGGCCGCTCTGCCGCATCCGGGAAAAGGCGGCGGAAGGACAGTGAAGACGTCGCTGTCGTAGCTCCCGCCCCTCTACCCATTGGAAGGAGGAAGGAATGGATCACGAGTCACCTCTGTAGGTCCCCGCTGCGGTGGAATCCGCAGAAGATGGAGAGTCCGGTGGGAGGCATATCCCACCGGAGAGATAACACGCGAGTTGTCGTCCTCAAGCTAACCAACGTGAGGGGGAGGAGCCCTTTCCGTTACAGATCGAAGGCGGGCGAAAGGGCTCTTCTGAATGCATACACAAAAGCGTTCGCTGGTGTCCTCCAGCCTTTTTTCCCTCTCCAATGGTCTTTAAATAAGCCACACTTCCACCACTCTCTCTATGCGCACAACTCTCTTCCTTCCTCCAGACGGCCCCCCTGCAAGATCTTCTCTAACAGCTTCGAGGCTTGTTGTCCTTCCCGTGCAGCCAGCCATGAAGATGGAGGTCGAGAAGAGGTTCGCGCTGCTGCTGGCGGCCCCGGACTCCGACTACGTGACGAAGATGTACGGCGGCTACTTCGACGTCTTCGTGGAGGCCTTCGGCGAGGAAGGGGAGATGTGGGACCTGTTCAGGGTGGTGGAAGGGGAGTTTCCAGACTCGGAGGAGCTCGCCAAGTACGACGGCTACGTGGTCAGCGGCAGCCCTGCTGACGCCTACGGGGATGACCTCTGGATACTTGGCCTCTGCTTCCTCCTCCAGACCCTCGATGCCATGAAGAAGAAGATCCTAGGCGTCTGCTTCGGGCACCAGGTTTGGCCGCTCTGAATTTCCTCTTCTGGTATATGTCAACGTCGTGAGCACGTCCAGGCTTTAACATGGCGGACTCTCCAGTTACTTTGCCGTGCGCTGGGCGGGCGTGTCGGCAGGGCCTGCACCGGTTGGGACGTCGGCATCAGGAAGCTGCGCATGGCGGAGAGCTTGCCTCCACACAAGTACCTTGACGAACTTCGGGAGCTCCCTCCCAGCCCACACATCATTGAATGCCATCAAGACGAAGTAGTTATCCCAAGAACTTTTCCCCTCCTGCGGCAGCAACCGATGCAGAAACCCTAAAAGATCTAATGGACCTCGCAGGTTCTGGAGCTACCAGCTGGCGCCGATGTGATCGCCTTCTCGGAGAAGACTGCCGTGGAGATGTTCTCCCTCGGGGATCACATACTGGGAATTCAAGGGCACCCGGAATACACCAAAGGCATCTTGTACAACCTCGCCGACCGGCTCGCCGGCGGTGGCGCCATCGACGTAAGGGTGACTCTCACTCAAAATGTTGACTCTTAGACCTTCTTTTAGATGAAAATAACGTGCGTGCGGTGCAATTCCATCCTCCAGAGCAGATTCGCGGAGGAGGCCAAGGCTAGCGTGGAGGCCACCGAACCAGATAGGAAGTTCTGGGAGACGGTCTGCAGAGCCTTCCTCAAAGGAAGATGAGACACTTGGCGGTTCGCAGAGGGAACAACCGGGCAGATAACCTACTACTGTTCTATGAAGTAACTGGTTTTAGTAATAATAGTGGTCAGAGACGACGGCCACAAGGGATTCTATAAAAGCTTTTTAAAATGTTAGGAAGTGTTATCAATTACGCGGACTCGGCTGAAGAACATGTCGGGGCTCCATCTTGTCCCTTTTGTTTTCTTTACATATATTTTTAAAGAGAGCGAAGGCCAGGGAGTAGTGACACCAAGAACGGAAGAGAATCAAAGGTCAATGGCGAGGATCGCATTTCATGGGCTACTCTTTTGAGATGATTTCACCGACCTAACATCTCTGATATAATATTGAACAATTCTAACAATTCCGTTAATGAAAATCGGCGATATCACTAACAATACCACCAACCAATTAGATATTAACGAACGAACCTGGCCTGGTTCTTGTGGTCCAACCCACTATTTTTTACGAGAGAAAATCATCTCCTTTTCAACTCTGTCATACATAAATTATGGGTTTAATCGACATGGCATTATTCTAACACTATATCAAGCTAATCAACATGTCCCCACACGCCTGCAATGGAGAGGGCCGACGACGCCCTGTCATCGGCCCCTCATCTTTGTGGAAGCTGCTGAGTCATATTGATTAGGAGTCTACAGCTTCTTCCTCAGCTGCTCAGCCGATCTCCAACCATAACATGCTGGGCCTATGGAGTTTCAGCTGTGTTGAATGCTCGGTGCGGCCAAGTGGGTATCCACTACAGAGATGTGATCAAGTTCCCAGTTGTTGCTTGCCTTTTTGTATTGGTTTAAAATACCTCAGAATCATGCCTCCTAATAGCCACCTGAGAACGAAGTTAATGATATTTATAATGCTTATTATTTAACAATTATAGTGTTTTCACGCAAGTGTCTAAGTTTTAAACGCATATTAGAATATGCATAAAGTCGCGGCCCACTCCATATTTACTTGCATTAACTCGTTTTCTTACGGTTTAATGTTGCACGCCATTTTACCCATCGATGACTATAAATCCTTATCTACCGACATTCATTGACATTAGCTATTCCAAAGTGGAGATGTGTGTCATTTAATTACTCTAGAAACTTTAATTGCCACTAAAATTTGAGTTGATATCACTCTTTCCAGATTTACCCTTACTAATTCGGGACGAATTTGAGCATGTGTGAGCGAAATCATATAGTCAAATCTTCTTTTATCTCCGTACCAATGCAAGCATGTTTATCTTCAAGTTGCCCATCGAAATAGACTTTAATTGTTGAAAATATTTGCCAATGAAAAAAAATGTGATTAATGAACATTAATGGAATATGACACATTATTACTTGAAATATAAAAAATAAAATAAACAATGCCATTAACATTTAACGTTGCTCTAAATATCTTTCGAGTTACAAAAGCGATGCACCTCATTTAATAGGTTACAGCCGTCCTTGACGGATGCATGTTGCAATAATATAACCTCGTATGGAAGAAAAACGAGGTACTAAAGGCCACTTTGCTCGTTGTCAGATGATCTGGAGTTGGATGGGCAAATACTTGAAAGAAATATGGATGGACAATATAAACTATAGCACATATAATGTCATAAATATTATATGTACCGTGTCTACGTCACGAATATGTCTCGGTGTCGATATTCGGGCGTGCAAGAAAACCAAACCGATGGATGGTAGCTACGACTGCGACATCACTTCCCAGCTGATTCATCCTCGATGCTCCTGAGGATAATGATATCTTGGTAATGATCACTTATTATAGCAAAAATCTCCCTAATCCGTCCATTTTCGGTGACGGCGGTGACGCAGCTCGATCAGTTGTTAATTTGGAAGCCCTCCGCATGAGAGATAACCCCTCCTGCGTTTTTTTCAGTGGGAACAGTGAGAAGCGAATCCAGAGAAGATGGTGATCACCCCCCGCCGGAATCTATGGTTGCCACCGTGGGTACGTAGACGACCATCGTCGTCCCGAATATCTCCGGCCATGACGACGACCGGCAACCTTCCAGGGACGAAAAGGAAATTCAGAGTGGGTCAATAAATTTTCAACATGAAATATCTAAAACTTATAGCAATAATAGTATGTGATCCGTCTTTAGCCCTGAGTCCGCGACCTCAGAGAACCTCCCCGAGACAGGGCTTCCAAAACTCCCACGTGACGAATCAGGGTGCCGCATCGACGTCCGTTGTCGCCTTCGTCTCCGCCATCGGCGAACCGACGGCGAGCTCAACGTCGTGCCGAGTGGGAGCGAGGGACACGAGGAGAGGATGAGATAGAGAGAGAGCAAGACAGAGACAGAGAGAGAAGAGGAAGCTCTTCGGAGTCAATATGGGTCCCGGAGATGGACGGTAATCGGGGAGAACGCACTAACTTCTGCGGAGAAGCTCATGCGCCGGCAAAAGGCTCGGTTTCGGCAACGTTGTGCTCCCGGATGACGGTCTACCCTGTGGCGGCGGTAACCGCTGCGACCTGAACTGGCGATGTTGACGGGACCGGCTCAACACACGGCTGATGCGGCGGCGGTCCCCCCTCCCGTGGGGTGGTGAACATGGAAAAAACCGTCCTTTTTAAGGTGTATAAGAAACAGTGGCCCTGAACCCACCCTATTCGTCTCTGATCTGTCTGTCCCTTGGCATCCCCAGCGCCGCCGCGTCGAGAAGGATCCTCCGTCGCCCTCGCCTCCTCCACCCGCCCTGCCGACGGAGAGAACCACCATGAGGGTGGAGGGGGAGAGGAGGTACGCGCTCCTATTGGCCGCCAAGGACTCGGATTACGTTAGGAAGGCGTACGGTGGCTACTTCAACGTCTTCGTTGAGGCCTTCGGAGAGGAAGGGGACCGGTGGGACCTGTTCCGGGTGGTCGACGGCGAGTTCCCCGACGCCAGCGAGCTCCGCAAGTACCACGGCTTCGTGGTCAGCGGCAGCCCCCACGACGCCTACGGCGACGACCTGTGGATCCTCCGCCTGTGCTTCCTCCTGCAGACCCTCCACGCAATGCGCAAGAGGGTCCTCGGGATCTGCTTCGGCCACCAGGTACACGCCTCCTTGTCTGAGCCATGGGAGGGGAGGGGATCGTCTCTGAGCTCTCTCGCTTCCTTCCTTTCTCCAGCGACTTGTGCTGACGGCGATGGGGGTGCCTGCGGCTTGCTAGGTTTTGTGCAGGGCACTGGGGGGCAGGGTCGGGAAAGCCAACCGCGGGTGGAACATTGGGATCAGGAAGGTGAATATGGTGGAGGAGAGAAATCTAGCCAGGTTCTTCGGCGGTGGCCTCCGGGAGACCCCCACCTCTCCGTCTATCATCAAGATCCACAGGGATGAGGTCGTAGCCCCGAAAATTTTCATATTTCTCGGTCTCTAAGCTTCGAATCTATGTACCCCCGGTTCTCGGCAAATGCTCGGATGGGATTATTTCTGTCTTCTCGTCCACCCTAGATTAGCTTATCGACTGATTGCCAACCAGAGAAGCGCGTGATTCCCCATGGCCGCCTCCGCAGACGAGCTTAATTAACCCAGATCTTCACTGCTGGCAGGTGTGGGAGATACCCAGCGATGCTGAGGTGATCGCCTCGTCTGATCAGACCACGGTGGAGGCCTTCTGTGTGGGAGATCATCTGCTGGGCATCCAGGGCCACCCGGAATACACCAAGGACATACTGTGCAGCCTCGTTGATCGGCTTGCCAGCCAAAACTTCATAGAGGTTAGGACAGACAGTACCCCCCCTCCTGATCCATCTCCTTCCACCATTCTTCCTTCTCACAAGGATTTGATGTGTCTGCAGAGCGAGTTTGCAGAGGGTGTGAAGGCGAGCATCGAGGCCACCGAGCCCGACAGACGATTCTGGCAGAGCGCTTGCAGGAGCTTTCTCAAGGGGAGATAGAGATGATTGACCACTGAGATCCAGACGGTCATGCCTCGGCCGATCTTCTACCCTTCGTTGACCCCATCTCATCTAAAACCTAGGGCGCTGCTCTCTCTCTCTCTCTCTCTCTCTCGCTAATCCTCAACTGTTATCATCTAAGAACTGAGAGTTCAGATCTTTCACGGTTCGAAGATCGAAATCTAAAACTCCGAAAGTCAACTCGCTCTCACCATCTCCCCCCGCAGGGAGAAGAAATCCATGGATTCACAACCCGCTAAGTCGCACCCGCCCATCAATCCTCATCAATAAACGACCTTTTCTTCCTCATCTCAAGAAAGTGGGCCGCTGAGAATTTAAGAAAGGGCGCCCGGGTCTTCCCGTCATAGTCTTCTAACCGATGAGATCAGCCACTTGCCCTTCCACGAGGGAACTGTCTTGATTCTGAAGAACAAAATCTCGAGAGAGAAAACCGGTACGGATTTCTCGCCATGAATGAGGAAGATCGGGTCCACCCCATTCTATTCTCGCACAGCTGGAACTCGTCTTCAGCTACCGAACCAGAAAAACGCGTCGGATCATCGAGCTGCGGTACTGAGACAACTGAGACATCAATCAGGCTCCCGGTGGGATGAATCCCGGGGAATTAAAATAATCCTCCGATTTCAAAGATTCCCTCCCTGTTCTCGTTCGTGAACCAGAGAGACTGCGCAGAAGGGCCCATTGGGCCATGGTGCAGAAGCACATAGGATGCAGCGGGATTGAGGCGCGTCAGACTGAGACTGAGGGGGGGGGGACGCAGGAAGAGAGAGAGAGAGAGAGAGAGAGAGAGAGAGATGAAAGGGTAGAACGAATATAGTAGAAGGAAAGGTACCATCCTACTGATTAGGCTCTGTCAACGTCTCCACCTTTTCCCGCGTAGACGCCGTGGTTCCTACCGGTCGTAGGACGAGACCGGTGATTGCAAGGACAACATGCACCCACGGAACCATATTAAATCAATGCATTCCCTAAGTTTGTCAGCTAATAATCGCCCTTTAATCGTCAACAGTCGAGCCGCAGTCCAATCTATTCCACTTTCTCTCTCTATCTCCTCGCCGGGGGGGCGGGGACGGGGACGGGGAGGGGGACGGGGACGGCGGCGCGGCGCACGAGGCGCAGTCTGCTTGTCTGGAAATCCAACCCGGTTCCCGATAATAAATGGCCCCGACCGGCGCCTCTGGCCATCCGATCCCCATCCGACGATCCCTGCAGCGTTCAGCCCCCGGGCCAATCAAGCCTGTCTCAGCAAAGACCGTCTCTGACAGAGAACCGTTGTCCAGATGTCCCCGTGGACCGGAAGAGCGTACGGCCCCCCTGCGCCACTCGCCCATCTCCGGTGGTCCCCATGGAGACCACCGCATCAGACGGTCAGGCGACGGAGACGTTACAGGGAGAGCTAAGCACGCCTGCTGCCCCACGGGGCCCGCGCCCGGCGGCGCCGCTACCGGCCCCTCCGTCGGCGGCACACGTTGGAACAGGGTCCCTGAGTAGTGTTGCGGTGACTCGGCGGCACATTGCACCGCACGGTTTTCCTGAGATTGGCAGATATTACGCTAGTTTTGGAAATTATTTGGCATCTATGAAAGTAGATTGTATACAAAAACAATAATTTCCCCCTCCCTTTTACCGTGGTCCAACTAACTATCTCTCTCTCTCTTCCACCCGCCTTGTTTCTTCGTATTTGAGGGGGGAGGGGGGAGGGGGGAGGGAGACTGAGGGGCTCGGTCTCGCATGCCCGGCGAGGGGGGGGGGCCGGGGGTCGGTTCTAGGGTTTTCAGAGGCTGCAGCGAGGTAGAGGAAGGTGGGTGGTGATCGTTCGTTCTTGCTGAGAGGGTGGATATGTAGGCGTTGAGCCGGGTGCGGGCGTCGGATTTGCTCCGGGGGGCTGTTCCTGCTCTTCGTCGGCCTCGCCGGCGGGGCATCGAAGCTCACTCGCTTGCTCAGCTCCGAGAAGGTATGGAGAGTGTTGTGCTGGCCTCTTTGTTCTGAGTTTTATCCCTCGTCTCCTGCGGGAGCGTAGTCGATCTTTCAAGCTCGCCTGGTTCTTCGCTCTCCCCTTGTCTTCCTGTCTTCTGCTGGTGCGTGAAGAGTAGAAGGAGAGGAAAAAGGGGATAGCGGCCTTGGTAGATCTTCCGTATCCCGCCTGAAGATGACCTCTCTCTCTCTCCCTCCTTCCCCGGTCTGTCCTTTTCCTTGTCCTCCGCCATGAGGGGAGGCCAACGGCGGCAATGTGATCCGAGCGACAGGCCTCCTCATCTCTCGACCTCGTCATCATGAGCGTACTACATGCAGTGGCCAATTTCCATTTCTTCCTGTGAACTAATGATTTCATGCGCATATTGATTTCAAAAAGCTGGTCGAAGATATGGCCTCCGCGGTGCCACCCGATCTGTCTTCCTTGTTGTATCCGTCTGTCCTCTCTCTCTCTCTCTCTCTCGCTTTCCCAGTTCTCCAGAGTCCCTCTCTTAGCGCCTCTCCGACCACGACCCGCCCTCCAGACCCCAGCCATACTAACCTCACCATGATATGTACTGGAAACCTCAAGCGCCCCGCCCTCTGCCCCAAATAGTTTAGAGAGAGAGAGAGAGAGAGGGATTAGTATACTGTGTAGGTAGCGTGAGCTTTGCCGCCTGCAGTGGTCTTTCTCGGTCGGCAGGCCGCGCACATGGGTGGCGCAGCTGTAGCAGCAGCTTAACGTGCAAAAGGGTCGCCGTCGTTTTCACATCTTCTCCGTCGCCTCAATCGGACCACGCCGTATTCATGTAAATAATCTCACAGGGAGCTGCTTCTTACGAACGCGATTATGCAGGGAGATCTATCAGGAAGGTGTCGTTTTCTTTCGGAGCGCCCGTTCGCCGTCGAGCCGCCTCCAGGGTGCGGCCTGGAGTTACCTGGATGCCCCTGTGGTCGACACCATTATCGCCTTATCCTGTGCTGAGGAAAGGCGGTTCCGCCACCCTTGTTCCTCCCTACCGGTGGTCTCTGAAAGGGGTCGGTCTTCCAGCTGACGACAGTTGCAGAAGGCGGGAGGGGCCGTGGCTAGGGCAAGGACTGGCCTTGTTGCGTTGCTCGGCGGGGAGGAAAGCCACCCGCTGCTCCTGCATTTCCCGGAGCCAGGCCGCCGTACTGGGTACACACATTCGAGGAAAAGGGCAGGTCTCTCTCTCTCTTTCTCTCTCTCTCCTCTGTTTCTCTCTCATACACTTTCTTTAAAGGGTTGCGAATGTGAATTATTCTATTTGCGCATTTTGGTTTCCAGAGGAGAGGAAAGATGGTGGTGGAGGAATGAACAGGGAGGGCGGCGACCGCGCAGGGCTTCTCAGCGACGTGCAAGCGGAGAAAGGAAAGGAGGGTCGAGGAGCGTAAGAGGAGGAGATACGGACAGCGCCAGCGAAGGGGAGGAGCGGTGGGGCTCTGCGAGTGGATTTCTCTCTTGTCGCTCATGCTTCTGCATTGCTTCCCACTGTCAAACGATACTCCAGGGTATCGGGCCGACCGGGGGAGGCCCGCGGGGAGGAAGACGGCGGCGGCGGGGCGCGGGCGGCGGCGGTGAAGAGAATGGCGGCGGGAAGCACGGCGGCCGCCGGTGGCGCCGGCGGCGAGGTTCATTTTCTCTGTAGATTCCCAATCTTCTTGCTTCTTCTTCGTCGCTATTTTTTGGATACCATGCGATTGCGTTAGGAAATGAATGTACCAGTGATATTGGCGCTCAGGGCTCAATCAACTCCTCTGTTTTCGGCTGTTCTTTCTCCACCGCAAGATCTTCTCGGCTGAGCTTCCTCCTCCTCCTCCTCATCATCTTCCTTCTTCTTCTTCTTCTTCTTCTTCTTCTTCTTCTTCTTCTTCTTCTTCTTCTTCTTCTTCTTCTTCTTCTTCTTCTTCTGTGACTTGTCTGGGCTGTTGAAGGAAGGAAGCATCCGTCTAGCTTTCTCCAAGGTCTTCCCCCGCCCTGTTCGTCGGCCATGCGTCATAAACTCACAGCCGAGATCAGAAGTAAACCCTGCGGAACGGGGTTTTCCTCGCAGATTTTATATGCCGCAGCAGGTTGTAGCCGCGTTTTGGGGTGGGGTTTCCTGCTCCAGTCCAATCCCTGAACAGTCGTCCATGGCTCCTTTCAGGACAGATCTCAATAGCTTGTCGCATCCTTCTACCCATCCCTGCCTGTGCTTGTTTGTATATGGGAAGCGAATAGAGGGAGAAATGCAATCAGAGCGTGCGACCAAGCTTCCCCTCCTCCGACCATATCTGAAACAGTCGTCTTGCTGAAATGTAAGCTCGGGAACTCCCCGCAATGGTGTCTGGGGCTGCTCACGGGAGAGTAGCTGTCGGCTCTGCTGCCGCCGCTGTCTCGGACTGACTTGGAAGGAGACTAGATACCACCTAGGGTTTCTTCAAAAATCCTGATTCATCCATCCCAGAGGTGGAGGAAGATGGCACCCTAAGTTCCCCCTACGAGAGAAATCAGAGCAACCCACAAGAAAATAACCAATGCCCACCAGATCATGAAAGTCAACAGCTTGTTCTTCGATTCTTTGCAACATCGAAACTGCGTTTCGTTAAATTCTCCTGGGCTGTTCAATCAGTGTTCTTCGACAGAAAATTAACCCATTGAATGCCATTAGAACTATGAAAAGGGTATGAGCACACGCATGGAAACGAAGATTGGCAGGCAGCAGGGGGGAAGAATAGAATTCAGCGAAAAAATTATCCATCAACTGTTAGAGAAAACATCAGTTTTCAGAGATCAAAATCCGTCTTCCACCTCCATGCTGACTTTGATACAATAGAGTCTATGTAAAAGCTTGTAGCAAGGAGAAGAGCATACAGGATCCAGTGACTCCCCACTGGAGAACATAGATGCTTCGAGCTAAATATGAACCGCACAAGGGGGCGCGCTAAGGCCCAAATCGGAAGGTGGGGAAAGATAGATCACCGGTGTCCGCGGCTAGGCGGCGACGTTCTCCAGGTACCATTTGTACGTCGCTTCCAGCCCCTCTCTGAGAGAGATTTTCGGAGACCATCCCAGATCTGCAAGCTTCGAGCTGTCCATGAGCTTCCTCGGCGTTCCGTCTGGCTTGGTACGGTCCCAGACGAGACCCCCTTCAAATCCGACAACTTCCTTGATAAGTTCGGCGAGCTCCTTGATCGTCACCTCCTTGCCGCTTCCGACGTTCACGTGCTGCAGGCCGCTGTATTTCTCCAACAGAAACACGACGGCGTCGGCTAGGTCGTCGACGTTGAGGAACTCCCTCAGAGGGGAGCCTGTCCCCCAGACGACCACCTCCTTCGCTCCGGATACCTTCGCCTCATGGAACCGCCTCAAGAGGCCGGGCAGTACGTGGGAGTTCTCCGGGTGGAAATTGTCGTGAAATCCGTAGAGGTTAGTCGGCATAGCAGAGATGGCGTCCCACCCGTACTGAAGCCGGTAGGCCTGGCACATCTTGATCCCGGCGATCTTCGCCACGGCGTACCACTCGTTCGTTGGTTCAAGCGGCGACGTGAGAAGGGAGTCCTCGGTGATAGGCTGGGGGGCGAATTTAGGGTAGATGCAGGACGAGCCGAGGAATATGAGCTTCTCGGTGCCGTGGCGGTAGGCGGCGTCGATGATGTTGGTCTGGATCTGGAGGTTGACGGCGATGAAATCGGCGGGGTATGTGGAGTTGGCGTGAATGCCGCCAACCTTGGCCGCGGCGAGCACCACGTACCGGGGACGCTCCAGGGCGAAGAAGGCCTCGACGTCGGCCTGGCGCGTCAGATCGAGTTCCTTGTGGCTACGGACGACAATGTTGCCGAATCCCAGGGAGAGGAGCTTCCGATGGACGGCAGATCCGACCAGGCCGCGGTGACCGGCGACGAAGATCTTAGCGGACTTATTAGAGAGGAACGATCTCTGCGCGGTGTCGATCCCTGGATAATTGGACAATCCATCCACGGTAACCTCAAAATCAGGGACGGACAGATCCGGACAGTGCAGAAGTAGAAGATGATGACGATGAGGTGTACCTTCATCGAGCCCCGCCATATCGCCGCAGCTCCCTTCCGCCGCCGCCGCCGCCGCCGCCGCCGTCTCCTTCTCCCGCTCTCCGGCCAGAGATATGTAGGCTGGAAGAAAGCCCCGCCTGCTGGTCCCGGCCGGAGGCGGGGTACTGGGAGGTTGTGGACGGCGGCGATCCAAACAGAAATCCAAACCGAAGGGTAATATCGGGACAGAAATCGGATCCAGTGGGAATCTCCACCCGTTCAGATCCGAACCTCGAGTCAACAAGGGATCACTTTGCACATTTTATGGGCCGAATTTAATTTTCATTATTATTTCAACGTTCATTTCAAAAAAAATATATCCACTAAAATTTAGATTTCCGAGTCTCCAGGGCCCACGTACCCAACCTTTCTTAATGGGCCGAAACCGACCGGGAAATTCGGATCTGGTATACACATCCACCTATAAAGATCCGAAACTCGGGTCACAAACGAGTCACGCGGGATCGCTAGCCCTTTTATGGCCCGAATTTAATTTCCGTATCTAATTATCCGAATTATCCACTTGCCCTATGACCTCCTGGGATCACATATCCGACCCTGATTATGGGCTTGATTAATTTTGTTAATTGACCGATCCGAATCTTGCAGAGCTCGGCCCGGGAAGGTGGGGGAATGGGCCCGGTTATCGAGAAATAATGGATCGGGTGGTTGACAGACGGTCACGTAGGCGGCGAGGCTCTTCCTCAGAAGCCGTTGCGGTGGCGGTGGCGGTGGGGGTGGTGGTGGTGAAAGGGAGAACCGCCAGGAAGGGGAAGGGGAAAGGGAGGAGGAAGAGGAAGAGGAAGGGAATGGCGGCGCTGCCAGGCTCTTCTTCCGCCATCTCCCTTCACAGGGAGAAGATCTCCGTCGCCTCCCCCCGTCGGCGATGTAGAGAAAGAGGCCACCTCCGTGCTTCTGCTGTGGTGAGCTGTTATTATCTTCGTCGCCGGCGCAGGGAATCGCCGGCCACTGCAGCGAAGAGCGGGCTCCGGCGGCGGCCGGTGGCAGCGGCGGAGGACGGGATGGTGCTGATTCAGGCGGAGGAGGAAGCCTCGCAGCACGAGAAGGCTGCGGCGGAGTACGATTGGAGGGAGGAGTGGTATCCTCTGTACCTAACCGCCGAGGTCCCCATCGATTCCCCTCTCGGCCTCACCGTCTTTCATAAGCAGCTCGTCCTGTACAGGGATGGAGGCGGTGTCTTCCGCTGCTACGAGGATCGCTGCCCTCACAGGTTCCACTCCTCTCTCTCTCTCTCTCTCTCTCTCTCTCTCTCTCTCTCTCTCTCTCTCTCTCTCTCTCTCCCCCTGTCTCCCTCCTGTTCCGTTGTGATTGGGGGGCCGTTCGGAATGTGTTGCAGATTAGCGAAACTCTCCGAAGGCCAGCTGATCGAAGGGAGGCTTGAATGCCTGTACCACGGGTGGCAATTCGAAGGCGACGGCCAATGCGTGAAGATCCCACAGGTTACAGAGAGAGAGAGAGAGAGAGTAGACTTCCTTTCTAGTTGAGTGCCCTCAACGTCGACTTAACCATAGAAATTCTTCTGGTTTTCATGAGCCGGCAGCTTCCTGCAGGAGCCAAGATACCCCATTCCGCCTGCACGAGAAGCTACGAGGTCAGAGACTCGCAGGGAGTCATCTGGGTTTGGATGTCGGAGACGAACCCGCCGGACGCCGGAAAGCTGCCCTGGTTCGAGCACTACGCTCGGCCGGGCTTCCAAGACGTGTCGGCCATCCACGAGCTTCCTTACGACCACTCAATCCTGCTGGAGAACTTCATGGATCCCGCTCACGTCCCCATCTCCCACGACCGCTCGGACTTCTACTCGAAGAGGGAGGACGCACAGCCGCTGATCTTCGAGGTGACCGAACGGAGCGCCAGGGGATTCGCCGGAAATTGGCGGAAATCGAAGCCAACGGCGGCGACCAACTACCTCCGGTTCGACGCCCCCTGTGTCCTCCAGAACAACCACCAGTACGCCGGCAAGGACGGCAGGGAGCACCACGTCTCCGCTCTGTTCCTTTGCCGGCCCACCGGGCAGGGGAAATCCATGGTGATCATGCGATTCGGAACCACCCTCAGCTCCCCCGTGATGAAGCTTCTTCCCCGGTGGTTCTTCCATCAGAACATGAGCAAGGTCCTGGAGCAGGACATGGGATTCCTCTCCTCCCAGAACGAGGTTCTGGTGAGGGAGGCGGTGCCCACCGGGAAGCTCTACCTCAATCTGAGCTCCTGCGACACCTGGGTCGCCGAGTACAGGAGGTGGATGGACAGGGCGGGTCACGGGATGCCTTACTATTTTGGGAGCAGAACCATCTCCTTGCCCGCAGAGCCCGCCGTCGTGGAGCAGTCGCCGGCCGGCGTGGCGGCCGGAATCTCCGCGTCGCCGCCGGCGAAGGGAGGCGTGGGATCCCTCCACGCGGCAAACCCGATCAACCGCTACTTCCGGCATGTCGTCCATTGCAGAGCCTGCAGAGGAGCCCTCGAGAGTTTCCGAGCTTGGGGGAAGGCCCTGTATGTTCTTGCGCTTCTGTCGCTCTCAATGGCCGTCATGGCGGAAAGACGGCAGTGGAAAGTCGCCCTGGTAGCGTCCGCCTCCTTGTTCTCGACGGCGGGTTACCTCTGCTCCGCCGCACTTTCTCTCATCACGACGAACTTCGTCCGAGAGCACCGGAGACTGTGATCTAATCCGTCAGCCCCCATAGCTACAAACTCTGCAGTTTTTCGGATCTTTAGTCTTCACAAAGCCCTCGGAATTGGCAACGTCTCTCTGTAGCGATATTGCTCAAACTCCCCTCAGAAAGTCACGTAAATGTTCAAGAACATTATTCCACCTGGATACCCAAAACAGTATAAATCTTTCTTCATGAGATTCAGAAAAATCTACGACTAGTCTATTGACACATTTTATTGATGATCACTGACTATTGCGTGATTAATAAATGGAAGTATTATATTACGTGATTTTATATACTAGTGTTAAGTCCAATGTACTAAAATATTCGCTTTCATATTCTAACTTAAATTTTGACGTAAATATCAAATAATAAAATATTTTGTTTCACAAAACATAACTCATCTATTGAAATTTTGTGATCCACATAATGAGCTATTTATGTACCATTCTAAAATTTCATATATTTATGTAATGAAACATGATGTTTATATATTGAAATATTAAGTCTAAAGTATTCCAAGTCCACAACATAGCTTGTTATGAGTCACACATTCGGAATACGAAGGCTTTGTTGGGCATGACCACTTAATATGACATGTGGGCCCTCTTATGTGTCAGCCCAAAAGAAGGGGAAAAAAGGGTTTTTTTAAGGCCCATATCTCATATCTCACTTAACATGGCATGTTCTTCACTATTTTGTGATGGGTTTTGCTCTAAGTTATGATACATGCTGTGGAAACCCATGATTGGCGAAGTTGGGACAAGAAAATGAAAAATCTAGAGCAAGAGGAACAATAATTTGGTAATAAGTGACCAAAGAGGGTGAGATTCCTCTCTAGAAGCACAAGGAAGATGAGACAGGGTTGCTCCCCTAGTGTTGTTCTATTTTCTTGTCTCATTTTCTCTTTGCATGATTTCTCTAGCATTCTACATTAGCAGTTGAATCTAGAGATGTCTAGATATCATTTTCTCAATGATTGAACATTAGATCATTTCATAGTGGTCTCTTTGTTCATTTCATTTATTTAGTTGAAAGAGTTTTGCATATTCTTAGTGATTGTTTTGTCCAAATGTCATTTCAAACTTGATTACATATATTGATTGCATATATAGAGATGTTCAAATGCTGTTTCTCAATTGGTATCAAAGCTAGGTTGCTTTATTATTGATTGCATATACATATGAACATAGAGGTTGGAAATTTTTCTCGCATTATTATTTTAAATGACAGCAACTAAATAATTTGGAAATAAAGAATAAAAGATCTCTTATGTTACAAAGATTTCGATGGCCCTTTGCATGAAGGTAGTGCAAAATTAAAGAAAATATTGGATGAAGAGTAAAAGATGTTAGACCAAAAAGTGGTTAACTATATTAGACAATAGATTAATGATAATGCTTATCATAATGTGTTCTAAGAGTCATTTGCACACCCTCTTTGAAAGAAATTAGAGAAGCTCTATGAGATCCAAAATACAAACAACAAAAATTTATTGATCAAACAACTTATAAATTTGAAGTATATTGATGAGACTCCTATCATTGCTCACTTGAATAAAATCCAGAATATTATTAACCAATTGTCCTTTATGAAAATAGGTCCTGATGATGAATTGTAGACGTTATTATTATTGAAATTGTTACAGAAAATTTAAGAGATATTTTTATTTCTCTTAATAATTCTGCACCAAATGAATTTATTAGTATAGAACTGATGACCAAGAGTTTACTAAAAGAAGAGATGGAGAGAAAGACTATTAAAAGTTTTAGTGAGGAGTCCTAAGCATTGGCCTCAAATAATAGAAGATAATCATAATAAAAAAATAGGAGTAACACGAGTAAAGGTAAAAGTAAGTTAAAATCAAGAGAAGATATTATTTACTACAATTGCAATGACAAGAGATAATTTAAAAATCAGTGTGAGCAGCCTAAGAAGAACAAGAAAAAGAGTTAAAAAGTAAAGAGTAATAAATCAAAAGAGAATATAATTGTTATGACACAATGTAGTCGTTATTTGATTCTATCAATTATTGATGAAAAAAAAATTTCAAGTGTCAAGATTCAGAGTGCATGGTTGATATATCTACATCTTATTATGTCACACCATAGTGAAAGTCTTTTAACACATACAAGACATGACACTCTAGAGTGATCAAGATGAGTAATTAGGGCACTTGTGATATTATTAACATTGGTGATGGTAGTGTCAAAATCAACCTTGACTATGAGATGATGTTTAAAGACTTAAGACACATAGCTGACTTGAGATTGAATTTGATGTCAATTGAGAGGTTGGTTGATAAAAGTTTTGAGAACAAGTTTAATAGAGTACACTAGATGCTAACGAAGGGTCCACTTGTTGCTGCTTCTCAAAGAAATCCAACACCTTATATAAGTTGTGTGGTCAAGGTTGTAGTGGTCAAGTCAATGTTGTAGAAAAAGACTTTACCTTAGAGTTATGACATAGAAGTTGAGACACTTTGTCTAACTCTTTTGATAAGATATATTTTATCTAACTTCAAATGTATCTATTTCAACTCTTTTATTAATTATCTTGTGAGTAGTACATCACAATTAGTTAAATATTTGTAGTCTTTTTAGAATAAAGACCCCACATTGGTATATTGATGTCTATAGAATTAATAGTGTCTTCTACTTTATCACTTTTGTTACTAATTGTCTTAAGAAAATTTGAACTTATTCATTGACGACCAAGGATCAAATAATTGATATTTTCAAAAAAAATCATGCTAAGAAGAAAAGAGAGACAAGTCAAAAGTTGAGATGGATCAAATCTGATAATGGTCATGAATATGTATGATTGTTTAGTTATTACCATTATAAGTTTATGAGATGATAGTCAAAGTTGAGATGGAACAAAGGTTGTACGATATTTTTTATGAGATGATAGTCCTAAGCACTCTTCAACATAATATAATGACAAAGATGCTGAATCGTACCATCATGGAAAAGATTATATATGTCATTAACATGTTGAATAAGGAGTTGAATAAGTCTTATGAAATGAAAAAATAAGGTTAACTAAGTTAATTTTTAAGATGTAAATCTTTCGTGATAGAAAAATTAAGAAGATATAGCTATCACAAGAGAGATATATTGAGAAGGTGTTGAAAAAGTTTGGTATGAATAATATTAAACTTGTTAGTTCTCTTTTTGTTAGTAACTTTAGATTTTGTTCAGATCAATGTCTAAAAAGTGATGAAGAGAAGGATAAGATGTAATACATTTCATATGTTTTAACAATTGAAAGGTTGATATATGTCATGGTGTGGACAAGGTCAAATATTAAATATGTATGGGAATTATGAGTATATTTATTTCAGATCTAGAGAAAGAGTATTAGATAACTATAAAGTGGATATTAAAATAGTTCAGAGGAAGCTTTAAAGTTTTCTTGTGCTTTGAAGATGGTCTCATTATGCTAGTGAAATATACAAATGCTAATACAGTTAGAAATATTGAGATGAAAAATCTACTTAAGGTTTTGTAAGAAAGTTGTGTCATGATAGTCCAAGCTACAAAGGTGTATTACTCTTTCAATTAAGAAGGTTGAATATATTGTCACGACTAAGGTTTGTAAAGAAATATTGTGGATAAAAGAATTATTATAAAAATTGAGACTAAAGTATGACAAATATGTGGTATAATGTGATACTTAGAGTGTCATACACTTGTTTAGAAATCCAACATTTCACTCAAAGTTAAAATATAAAGATAGTCGTTACCACTAGATTAGAAGTGAGATGAAGGAGAAATCATTGAAACTTTAGAAAAGACACACATATGACAATGGAGCAAACATGATGACAAAAACTTTGCAAAAAGAGCAATAGAAGATTTGCCAACAAATAATTGTCATGGCCACACCTCGAGGAGCATGAGACACCCCCTCCTTAGGTTGAAGGGAGAAGTTTTTAAGCATGAGCAGTGAGGAACCTTACTTGATAAAGCCAAGATGAATAGAAGAGAAATAGAGCATGAGGGGTGACAAGTTGAGAAAAAGTAACTTGGGAGGGTGGGATTTCTCTCTAGAAACACAACAAAGAAGTGAAAAGACTGGGCCCCTAGAGTTGTTTTATTTTTTTATTTTTTTCTGCATGATTTTTCTAGTATTTTACACTAATAATTGAAGTTAGAAATCTCAAGAGATCGTTTTCTCAATGATTCAATATTGAATCATTTTATAGTAATCTTTTTGTTTATTTCTTCTATTTAATTGAGGTAGCTTTACATATTATTGTGATTATTTTTCTCAAAGGTCATTTCAAGTTTGCAATGACTAATAACATCCTTGTTTGTAGATATACATATATTTCTTTTATACTCTTTAGGCTCTACATTTCTCATTACCTACATAATAATTAATATGACCACTTTTTTAAATATCTTGAAATGTGGATGTGTTACAAAGGGAACGTGAAAATATAATGAGGACAATAAAGAACTTCTTAATTGTAACTACTTAAATTTAGAGTCATGTAAATCATATGTCCTCTAGTGAGGCAATTTTAAGCTGCTTGCTTCCTTATTTGATGATGGTCGTTATAAAAAAAATTAACAAGAAATAATGAAAAAAATTTCACCATAAAAAAAATAAATTGACATCTAGTTCACTATTTGCACATATCAAGGTTATTTTAAAAATATCTTCAAAATAGTTGTACAATATATTTTTATTATTGCTTAATCAATATAGTTTATATCTATATTAATGCATATGACCGTTAATTAAGTGCATTATTTTTGAGTTATGGATAAACTCAAATGAGAAATTATAGTTTTTATGATTTTTAGACATTAACATGAAATTGACTCACGGATATTTTGTGATGTAAATCAAATAGGAGATTGATGTATTGAATGATATTAAAAGTTTAGATTATATAAGTAAAGAGTCAAAGACTTGATGATAAAAGTATTATTTTATAATTTAAATTTACATTAAGTGTATGATTATTAGATAATATGGATATAAAAGGTAATAAAAAGTATATCTTAGATTAATATGTTATTATCTTGTGTGTAAGCCTAAATATTTTAATTTTCTATGTCAAAGGCCTCTAATAATATTAGTACATGTAACCAATATAGAGGTCTTTGAATAAAGAGTAGTGATAAATTTCAGAGAAAATGATATAATGTATTGATTTAATATTAATTTTACAAGATTAATGATTTAATATATTCACATAGGGGAAAAGTTTCAAGAAGTATGACATTGCCATTGACAAAGTTATGATTTATGTAATGAAATGATGTCTTATATTTCCTTAGTCCACAACATAGCTTAAAATATGAATGTATTTAAATAATTACAACTAAGAAGTTCCTTATGTCACTCATTATGTTGTCATATGTACTTCATGGAACATCAATATTTTAAGACATTAAAAGTGGTCCTACTAGATTCTTATGTGAGTAATGGGAACCGCAAAGCCTTATAAAAATCTTAGATAATTGTCCTTATAAAAATATTAAAAATAAATAATTAAAATTTTATCACAAAAACATTCATATTTGACATCTAGTTCACTATTTTTAAAATATTAAGATTAATTTTTAAGAAAATATCTTCATAATTGATATCTAGGATGTTCATATTGACACTTAATTAATATAGTTTCCGTCCATGTTAATGGATATGACCATAAATTAAACACTCTATTTTCTCTCGTGAATCGGATATTACATGCATGGTATCTTAAGAAGTGACATTATCCACTTGGCTATCTGCCCATCATGTGATGCTTGGAACTTTATCACATGAATTGAGAGACAAAGTCATGAGTCAAGTACATACACTCATAACTAAATAATTTTGAGCTATTTTAGCTCAATTATTCAATGATAAGGCATAGAATGAGGGTCATTGTAGAACAGAATATGACATCAATAAGAGGAGACAAGCTTCTAGAGGTGAACAAGTGAATCATCATCGCATATCTTGTTTTGAAGCAAACCATTAACTCCACATGGACTATGAGGCTTTTGTTAATTGTATCCTTCCTTAAGTTGGACTATCGATGCTCTTTATTGATCCAGCTGCATCTCAAATGGCTAAGAATGGAACACACCCCTTTTATATTCACATGATTATAGTTAAATTTCTCAAACTTTTGGGAACTTTCATGACATAAAAGTCAACTTTCTAAGATTTTTTGGACGTACAACAAAAATAAAGTGCTTCATCTCTCACTAGAACAACCATAGCCTTTAACACTATTTGGACATAACTACTATCAAACTCACGACTAATCAAGTATGAGTGAAGATTGATAAATCAAATAGTGATTTTCTCGAGTAATGCAGATTAGTCAAAGGATCCTTTTTGGATGATCAACCGCCTTTTCTCCCCACTTCCATGCAGAATCCCCCACATCGCTTTACTAACTTACAAGCTAACCAACGTGATGCCTTCTTTGAGTAGAGATGACCTTACAAGCTCCCTCTCAAAACTGCTGCACCCGGGTTAGGCGAGGATCAAAGCTGAGTCCCTTCTCGGGGAAAGGTACTCCCACGCCTGAGCATCTTCTCCGTCATCTATCCATCCATCCATCCATCCATCTACCCCATGGAAGATGGAGAATGGAGGAAAGGGGGGGATGCTGATGGGACCTCCTCCACCATAGAAGAGAATATATAGGTGAGCCTCATCTGCCCCCCCCGAATTTTCTTCCTTCGTTCCTTTTTCTATGTTCTTATTCTCCCCCTTTTGTTCCTTGTGAAGGTAGCCCAAGACTAACCTCAAAACCAGCTGCTCACCCTGGGAGAAACCCTTACGAACTCCTTTCACCCTACACCAAGCTCGGATCCCTGTGAACCGTTACGTTGTTCACCCTATTCACAGACAGAGAGAGAAAGAGAGTGAAAGTGAGAGAGATATAGATAGATAGAGAGAGAGAGAGAGAGAGAGAGTGAAAGTGAGAGTGAGAGAGAGAAAGAGAAAGAGAAAGAGAAAGAGAAAGAGACAGAGACAGAGACAGAGACAGAGACAGAGAGAGAAAGAGAGAGAGAGAGTTGATGAGAAAGAAGCAAATGGTTACCTAGACTCGTAGACTAAATCTTATGAAGTCTGAACCCCGAGGGAGAGGACGGATCCGGTGAGAATTGGTTCTCTTTAGCCTTAACCGGCCCATCGACTCCTAGCCGTCTCACAGGGTTTATATGATTGGTTGACTGAAGGAATCCGATCCCCCGGCCAAAGTCTGACGTGAGTGGCGCCGTCCATTCGAAGATGCTGGATGTAGCTCAAATGGTCGTCAACGTAAGACCCTACCGAGCCGATCATTGGCAGTGGACTATTTATTATATATATGTCAAAAATATACCTTGTGGTGAATAAAATGTGGAAGAAATCCAATCGAGGAGTCTGATTTAGCTGGGATTTGCTCATGCTCGTCTCTGGTTGACTTTTTTCTGACCCATTAAAATATTGGTTGACTTTGTTCGCCCTCTGTGAGCGTAATTGCGCCAGGCTAGTGACCCGCATTGTTTGACTAAAGATTAGACTGGATCGAGATCGGATGAAGAATAGGACGTTGACTGTTCAGTTTACGCATCATTTTGACCGAGTTTCATCTTTTGGGGTCTGGTCAACGGGGGCGATGGGAACGTACCTTGTACAGCTCAAACGGTTTGGAGGGGGGGTTTGGAGGAGGGAACTCGGATCCGGGTCGGGTCGGTGGGTCTAGCCATTTGAGCGGGAGAGTTGAGTCGTCAGCCCCCATCTGAAACTCAGCCAGCGGAGGCGGCCGCTATTCTTTCTTCTGTCTCGCTTTCGCTTTACAGAGTAATATAAAAAGCGGAATTCCCTTTATCTTTATTTTCCCTCCTTTTCCTTTCACCCATCTCTCTCTCTTCCTCTCTCTTTCTCTCTCTACTGTGCTTTTCCTTTTCCCATCCTCGATGTCCCATGGAATGAGTGTGTGGGGGGAGGAGGAGGAGCTCAGTACAGTCCTTCCCCCTTGCGCTTGGTCCTCTCTCTCTCTCTCGTTAGAATTCTGAGCTCCACGCTGACAACCAGATCAGGGCTGATTTCAAATTCGGGCCTCGTGTTCTCTGCAACCTGAGCCCGGCGGACCGCCGTCGTCCGTCGCGGCTCGTACTTTATATATGGCCTCCTCGGTGAGATGTCTCTCTCTCCTCGCGCGTAAAAAGGGGAGCTCCGCTGCCCTCTGAGGCGGCCGCTGCGGCTGCTCATGGCTCTGGCTCTGGCTCTGGAGGTGCCCTGCTTCCTGCTCGTCTTCTTCCTCGCCGCCGGCGTCTCCATCGCCTTCGAACCTCTCAACCACGAAGGTTCGTGCCTCCGTTCTGCGTCTTGTTCCTCCGGAAGGCTCTATCTCCTTCCTCTCCGCCTTGTTCGAGTTGTTGATCCGTGCTCCCTCCGTTCAGTGGTGGCTTTGATCGGGATCAAAGGGGCATTGAGCGACCCCAACGGAGTTCTCAAGAATTGGGATGAGGACTCCGCCGACCCCTGCAGCTGGACGATGATCACCTGCTCTGCGGAGAACCGAGTTATTGTTCTGTGAGCTTTTCTCCCTCATCCTCTCCCTCTTTGACCTAATTTTTGGCTGGCTTCTCACGGGGGGGGATGATTCCGCAGAGGAGCTCCGAGCCAGAACCTGTCGGGCTCGCTGTCCGGAGCGATCGGGAACCTCACGAACCTGCAGCAAGTGTGAGAGGACGAACGTCTGAGAAATTTTCTCCGCCGGAACCCGTCCCTGGCAAGAGCATCCTGGTCTCACTCTCTCGGTCATGTTTCAGGTTACTTCAGAACAACAACATCACCGGGACAATTCCCGCCGAGTTGGGGACGCTGCGGAAGCTTCAGACCCTCGACCTCTCGAACAATGGCTTCTCCGGCGCCGTCCCTGAATCTCTCGGCCAACTTACGGCTCTTCACTACCTGTGAGTTCTGTGAATCATCGCCCTCCCGGCCGCCTGGTTTTGCTGACCCTTTCTGAGCTTCCCTTCCCGTCGGCCGTGCGCAGAAGACTCAACAACAACAGCTTGTCTGGGCCCTTCCCCACGTCGTTATCGAAGATTCCTCAGCTCTCTTTCCTGTAGGTCCCCCCCCCCCCCTCCCTTCGCCATTCTGATCTCTGTTCTTGAATTGACGAGCTGAGCTTTCTTCTTTCGATCAGGGATGTGTCTTACAACAATCTATCCGGTCCTGTTCAACCGTTCCCGGCGAGGACCTTCAAGTCAGATGATTTCTCTTCTCGCTCCTCCCGACTTCTTCTTCCTCCTCCTCGGGAGGTCTCTGGTTTCTGACGCGGAGTGGCGCTCGTTGGTTTCCTGCTTCTGCAGCATTCTGGGGAATCCTCTGATCTGCGGAAGACGCTCCACGGAAGAGTGCACGAAGACGGCCGTCCCCATCTCGCCGTCGCCGGCGGCGGAGTCCTCCCTGAGTACGCCTTCCGTTCTGGTCCTCAGTCTCTCCCCCACTCCCCTTCATCTGGTGCGCTGGCTCTGAGGGATTCGTCTGGTTAAGGTGCGCAGGGAAGACGAAGACCCAGAAAGTAGCCGTTGCGGTGGGTGCCAGTCTCGGCTCCACCTCCATGCTCCTCCTGCTCGTCGGCCTCCTCTGTTGGCGTAGGAAGCGGAGGCACCAGTCCATCCTGGGCATCAGCGGTCAGTGCCCCCACCCCTCGCCAGGATTAGGTTACCGTGACATGATGATGGACTGTTCTTCTTCTGCTTCTGCTTCTGTTGGGTGTTTTTCTTGCGGGGGGGGGCGGCGCAGAGAAGGAAGACGGAGGGGCGATGGTGATGGAGCTGGGGAACCTGCACCAGTTCGGGCTGCGGGAGCTGCAGGCGGCGACGGATAACTTCAGCTCCCGCAACATTTTGGGAAAGGGCGGCTTCGGGAACGTGTACAAGGGGCGGCTGGCCGACGGGACGGTGGTGGCGGTGAAGCGCCTCAAGGACGTGTGCTCCTCCGGCGAGGTGCAGTTCCGCACGGAGGTAGAGATGATCAGTCTCGCCGTCCACCGCAACCTCCTCCGCCTCCTCGGCTACTGCGCCACCGCCAACGAGCGCCTCCTCGTCTACCCCTTCATGCCCAACGGCAGTGTCGCCTCCCGTCTCAGAGGTACCGTTCCTCTGACTCATCTGCACTGGTACGCGCGCTGGTGGAGCTCTCCACCATGAGCGACGGATGTCCTTCCCCATGACCTCAGCTCCGCTCTGAAAGCAAGAGAGAGAGAGAGAAAGAGAGGAGGAAGAGAGAGAGGGGTTGTTGACTGCACCGGCGACCGGTGATCCACCTGATCCATCCGATGCACTGTTCGTTTCCTGCCATCCATCTGGTACGGCGATGGCAGCCTTGCCGATGGTGGCGCTCATCGTCTGGGTGGAGGGAAGGAATCATACGATTCCTGACCTGACAGATGGGTCGTCGTCGTCCTGATTACGGTTTTTCTTGGGGTCTGGCAGGGAAGCCGGCCCTGGACTGGAGCACGAGGAAGAGGATAGCGCTGGGGGCGGCGAGGGGGCTGCTGTATCTGCACGAGCAGTGCGACCCGAAGATCATCCACCGTGACGTGAAGGCCGCGAACGTGCTCCTGGACGAGTTCTGTGAGGCCGTCGTCGGCGACTTCGGCTTGGCGAAGCTGCTCGACCACGGCGACTCCCACGTCACCACCGCCGTCCGCGGCACCGTCGGCCACATCGCCCCCGAGTATCTCTCCACCGGCCAGTCCTCCGACAAGACCGACGTCTTCGGCTTCGGCATCCTCCTCCTCGAGCTTCTCACCGGCCGCAACGCCCTCGACTTCGCCGCCGCCCCCACCCTCAAGGGCGGCGCCATGCTCGACTGGGTAAGAGCGAGAAACAGAGAAATAGAGAAATAACTTCCTCTGACCTCTCTCCGACGTCCTCGCCGTTGTTCATCTGGCTTGGTGTTGTGGATGGACAGGTGAGGAGGGCGCAGGAGGAGAAGCGGGTGGAGCTGCTGGTGGACAGGAACCTGAGGAGCGGCGCATACGATTTGCTGGAGGTGGGGGAGATGGTGCAGGTGGCGCTGCTCTGCACGCACTACCTGCCGGCGAGCCGCCCGAGGATGTCGGAGGTGGTGAGGATGCTCGAGGGCGAGGGCCTCGCCGAGAAGTGGGCTGCCTCCAACTACAAGCTCGCCGCCCCGCAGCGGCAGAACTCGACGGTCCGCCAACAGGTCTTCGCCCCCCCCGGAGACCTCCTCCTCATGGACGCCGACGAGGTCTCCGCCGCCACCGCGGCCGCCGGCGAGGACGACGACGACGACGACGACGACCGGCGGTCCCTCGACGCGGCCGAGATGGAGCTGTCGGGCCCCAGGTAAGTAGTAGGTAGCGAGCAGCAGCCTCTTCACAGAAATTAGGAGAAATAAACACGAAAAATTATACACATTACAGCGGATTTCCTCGCACGTTTTAGGTCAGTCCGGCGATCGTCACTGTAGTTACCGGCCTTGTTCTCGAAGAAGCGAGGGAGGGAGGGAGGCCGCGGAAAGACGGGGGAGAGAGTAGAGAGATAAACCATCTTTGTGAGGAAAGAGAGCGCGGACGAGACTCCCACAGACAGGCTTTCGCTTTACTCCCTTTTCTTTTCCGCTTCGGCTCTCAGCTTTTCCCAGACGCAGAGGATTAGAGAGAGAAAGGCTCGTCCCATCACAAGTCACGGAGAGAGAGAGTAAAGTGGTCTCGTCTGGTGTGGCCAGGGGCCTTCGCGCTCACGCCTCATCATCTCACCGCTCCGTCAGGATTAGAGAGAGAAAGGCTCGTCTCATCGGAAGAGAGAGAGAGAGAGAGAGAGAGAGAGAGAGAAACCGCAAAGTGATGGTCTGGGCCCATTAGTCGGTGGGAAATATGGGCCGTTTCCCATAAAGTTCCCGAATAAAACCATGCCCGGCCCAATCCAGATCTGAATGTCAACTTGGGCCTCGATAGGGGCCCATCCCATGCTTTGACCTTATCTGAGCCTTCAATCGGACCTGCTCTGTGACTGGGCCGGCCCGTTGATATCCCCTCCTATTTATTTATTTTTAAAATACAGTGAGAATGACTGACACGTGGCGGCCAGCTGGCTGAGCCATTTATCAGTCATCATCGTCCCTGTACCCCTAGAATAAACCATTAATTGTCATGGTAACCTCGCCGGAGACCGGGTCGTCTGCCTCCCTTTCAGTTAGTCAAATCCGTCCTCTTCCATTCGAATGCGGCCGCGCGTATTTTAGGCTTTAGACCCCAACTTATGTAATATTTTCTTTTCACGTCCCTGTAAGTAACATTATTATATTAACCTTGATAGATGTTGATTCCAACATCGCACCGACTCCCGCGTAGAATAATCCGTTCCCAACACTTTTTTTAATATTTTTTAATGTTTTTTCCCGACGAGACATCGACGCGAAATTACCGAAAATTAATTCCCCGCAGATATTTAATACCCCTCACCGGTGGAGCATTGCTTTCGGGGTGTAACCGGTTCAAACGAAAATACCCGAGGAAGGACTGCCGTTGACTAACGCCGGGAGAGAGAACCATCGCACGATTTTCACGCGCCCCGGTCAACGATTCGAATATCACCGCCTCGGACGACTTTGGGGGCGAGGGGACGCGCTACCTCCTGCTTCCGCTCATCTGAAGGACGCGGCGTCGGACCGAGTCAGCTCCCCCCGCCCCTCGACCTCCTTGGGAAATCCCCGGCCTGCTCTTTGACTTTCTGCACCCTCCGTGTCTATGTAGAGTAGCGAGAGAGAGAGAGAGAGAGAGGCTTAGCAGGGCCGTTGACCAAAGAGTAGAGATGGGGTTTCCTAGTGTTGTTACGCATCGATGTGAGTGAGGAGAGGGAATGTGAGGAGGTGGGGGTCGCCGGCCCACCACGTTTCCTGGCTAGGCCGGCCGCCTTTGGCGGGCAGTCGCCAGGTTCGTTAATTATTATAGCGTGCACGGTCTACTGTACAGCGGCAACGATTTATTTAAACGTGCGTCGTCCCGTCCTGGGGGTAAGAAGAAAGAACCCCGACGGTAGAAAGAGAAGCGAAGAAGCATTCGCCACCCGTGGGGCCCACTCGCCCCAAGACGACAAGAAAAGGAGGACGCGACTGGAAAACCAAGGACCGCGGTAAGAGAGAGGAGATAGAGAGAGAAAAACGGGGGGGGGGTAAAGAAAGCCCGTCGACGCGTTCACGGCTTGACGCGTTTTGCTGCCTCACCGGGGCGCCCAGCTATAAATCCTGGGCAGAGTCCACTCGGTGGGTCTCAGCGGGCGCTGAGGGGAGAGAAGAAGGAAGGAAGGCCCTCCTCTGATCTGCGCTGGCTCGGGTTCAGCCGCTGCCGCCGCCGCCGCCGCCGCCGCCGGAGGGGAGAAGCAACGGGAGCGGAAATTAAAGGAAGAGGGAGGAGCGTGTCTGCTAGATTAGGGGAGGAAGAGAAGATGAGGGATTTGGAGGACGACCCTTTCCCGTCGACGCCGGGGAAGGTGAAGATCGAGCGGGCGTACGCCGTCAACCGGCAGTTCAACCGGTGCTTCGCCTCCACGAGCACGACGTTCCTGTGGGCGCTGTTCCTGGTCGCCCTCATCGCCTCCTTCCTCAGCTTCCAGTCATTCGTCGACACGAGCTCCCGGTACTTCACCGCCTCGTGGGGGGGGATCCAGTGGGAGAAGCAGGTCCGCACCTCCGCCCAGATCGACCGCCCCGGCGGGATCTCCGTGCTGGTCACCGGCGCCGCCGGCTTCGTCGGCTCCCACGTCGCCGTCAACCTCAAGAAGCGCGGCGATGGCGTGGTGGGCCTCGACAACTTCAACTCCTACTACGACCCCTCCCTGAAGAAGGCCCGCAAGGCCCGCCTCGCCAACAACGGCATCTTCGTCGTGGAGGGCGACGTCAACGACGCTCGCCTGCTCGCAAAGCTCTTCGACGTCGTCGCCTTCACCCACGTCATGCACCTCGCCGCTCAGGCCGGCGTCCGCTACGCCATTGAGAACCCTTCCTCCTACGTCCACAGCAACATCGCCGCTCTGGTCACCCTCTTGGAGGCCTGCAAATCCGCCAATCCGCAGCCGGCGGTGGTCTGGGCCTCCTCCAGTTCCGTCTATGGCCTCAACGAGAAGGTGCCCTTCTCGGAGACGGACAAAACCGACCGCCCCGCCAGCCTCTACGCCGCCACTAAGAAGGCCGGCGAGGAGATCACCCACGCGTACAACCACATCTACGGGCTCTCCATCACCGGCCTCCGCTTCTTCACCGTCTACGGGCCATGGGGGCGGCCGGATATGGCCTACTTCTCCTTCACCCGCAACATCCTGCAGGGAAAGCCCATCACCGTCTACAGGGGGAAGGACCGGGTGGACCTGGCCAGGGACTTCACCTACATCGACGACATCGTGAAGGGTTGCGTCGCCTCGCTCGACACCTCCGGCAAGAGCACCGGCAGCGGCGGCAAGAAGCGGGAGCCCGCCCCTTACAGGATCTACAACCTGGGCAACACCCAGCCGGTGACGGTGCCCACCCTGGTCTCGATTCTAGAGAAACATCTGAAGCTCAAGGCCAAGAAGAACATCGTCGAGATGCCCGGCAACGGCGACGTGCCCTTCACCCACGCCAACATCAGCCACGCACAGAAGGATCTGGGCTACAAGCCCTCCACGGACCTCCAGACGGGCCTGAAGAAGTTCGTCAAGTGGTACGTATCCTACCACGGGTACCAACGTGAAGTGGGGAGGAAGCTGTAGAAGTCCATGGCCACCACGCCGCTTCCTCCGCTACAGTCCGCCGGTCCTATTTTTTTTCTGGGGTTCCGCCTGCTGCCTCCCTTTGCCTAGACTGTTCAGAAGGAGGGATACCGATTCTTTCATCGAAGAAGAACCAGTCCCTGCTGCCGTGGAGGAGGGAAACTCTGGTCTGTAAAGCGATCTTCTCCAGCTAGATCCAATGAAAACGAACACTCGGGGACTCCATCCGGCTTATCTCATGCTCTCCCCGACCAGCCTCGCCATGGATCTCTCCCCAGCACGCTTCCCCCCTCAAAGTTTTCTCACATTACCCTCCATCGTCTGTTTACTCCCACCAGACGCCCGATCCGTCTTCAAAAGCTCCCACATGGAATGCCGCCGCCATCCACCTTCCTTCGTCTCTGTCCCCCCCCTCTCCTCCCCCCGGGTTCACCAGGCATTGCATTTGCGTGTAGGTTTCTCATTCTTCTTCTGTATAATTTCAAAGAAAAATCAAACACTCCGGGCACCTCCTCGGTGGAAAGATGGGTTTCCGGTCTGCAGTCCTTCCCGCCGCCCGGTCGAGAAACACAGAGAGAGGAAGAAAGAGAGAGATGGCGGACAGCTGGAGGGAGGAGGAGGTGGGAGGGAAGAACAGTGAATGGCCAGCGCCGCGCTGCCGGTCGCTCTGTACGGCCCAACCGGAAAGGGCATTGGAAGCGCTCCACCCGTCTTGTCGTGTTGCGCGAAATGACCAGCGCGGCCCCTAGCATCACGTGCCCTTTCGGTCGGTCGCACGTCCCCATCCCCGAGGGATACGCGAACTAACCCTTTTAATGGTTTAAATATTTTCAATTTCGCATTAAATGGGCTTTTTAAAAAATATTTCTTTTGGGCCCCACATTTTACGGGGTCCCCCCTCTCCAGTCGGCGTCACGTGAACGAGTCGGCCGCCAGCTCACACCGACGCCCACCGCTCTGCGCTCGTCGTTTTGCGCGCGACTTGGACACCCAAGGGAGACATCTCAGCAGACACAGCGAGACACACGTGCGAGGATGGAAACTTCTAGAAGCTTTCCGGAGCCCGAATGCGATGCGCTCCTCGCACGTGCGGCAGAGACCGATCGCGACCCTAACGCCTCCACGTATGTACGTCCTCGCCATATTCTTCGTCACTCAGCCAGAGGGACCTCCCCCGCCGCGATGGGTTTCACGGAGACTCTCCGGCGGCGATCGCGTCGCCCCCCCATCCCCCCCCATCCCCCAGAGGAGTTCGTAAGACAATGCAAGACGCCCATCTGGAGCTATCGGGTTAGGTGGCTCTCTCTCTCTCTCTGTCTCGCTCTACCCCGGTGGCGCATCATTCCTTCTTCAGGAAGCGGTCTTCTGACTCGCAGATGGCAAATTTTACACGCCATCGTCAACGACTCGGCGATGGATCGCCTACCTCAGGCTCTGGGTCATCAAATAAATTGGACGCTTATATTAGTATTGTTTTCCAATTTTATTCGGATTATTATTGTTTTGAATATTATTTTGACTCTCGATTGATCTTGCTCACTGTATCCAGGAACTCTCGCCCAGCTTGTATTCAGTCAACGGGGTCAGATTTATTATGCTGTCAAGATATCCCCCTCTCAGTTGGGACGTCACCCGTTGTAACAGTGGAAAAGACGAGAATGCACCCTCCCTTTTTCTTTTCTTTTTTTTCACTGGGCCGCAACGAATCAATGTGGCAAGGGACAACGTCTAGAGAGATAATACATATTTTTATTTTATTATTTCCCATCTCATATTTATTTTAAAAAAACAACCTCAATTCTTCCCGAGTTTTAGTCGAGGGACCAATCGTTAATATCTATGTAGGTTACGTGACCGCAGAGCAACAGGCAGAAATATGAGGGACTTATTCCTAAATATTGAATGTTTGCCACGACCGGTCGGAGGCCGATTAGTCGTGTTGGCACGTGTTATTAAATGTCCAGGTATGTTAATGGCGCAGGCAGCGGGTGACGTGGCACTCCCTTAACTTATTGCCGGTGTGGGCACCACGTACTTTGCCACGCGTCCGAGGTGCGGCGCGACAGAGCAGGCGTGTTGACGGCGAAACCAGGGAGAATCTTCGCGAGGTTTATCGCATCCACGTGTCCTAACTGCCCACGGGAAGGCGACACGCAAGCGATCGCGGTAAGAAGATCAGAGTGGCTTTATCGAAGATCGGGTAAAACACAGGGAGCATTTAGTAAGAGAAATCTTGAATCGCCTCCCTAAGCTACTGCCTGGTTCTTCCTTGTCGATGGGGAAGAGGAAAGGAGGGGAAGGAGGTAGACGCCGCGTTACTGTGGGGGATGTGGGAAATGGGGAGGGTGGCCGGTAATTGGGAATCGTAGATGAGAGGCACGGGTGGGGGAGGTGGGAGGCGATGGGAAACCGGATGTGCGGGGTGGGGCGGAGGGGGGCGGTGGAGGAGCGGCTGACGAGGCCGCAGCGGCTGGTCCGGCAGCCGTCGAACGTCGACTATAAGAAGCTCAGGAAGCTCATCCTCTCCAGGAAGCTCGCTCCGTGCTTCGACGCCCTCGAGGATCCCAGCCTCGACCTCGAAGAGTGTCCCATCTGTTTCTTCGTAAATAATTGCAAACCCGATGACTCCAGATAAATTATCTTCCCGTGATTTGTGATCAAAGTTTGACGGTTTGTGACTCTTTATTTCTTCTTTTATTATTTAAAAGTACTATCCGAGCCTGAATCGGTCAAGGTGTTGCTCGAAGGGAATCTGCACTGGTAAACGTTCTTTTCTTGTTGCGACTGGGTGTCTTGTGGAATTCATTTGTTTCACTGTGAAATCTCTGGAACCACGTATGCAGAGTGCTTTCTTCAGATGAAGCCGTCGAATGCCACGCGCCCTGCTCAGTATCCTTCTGTTTTCATATTTCCCTCGAATATCTCGTCCGATAATTGTGGTGCGATATATTTATATGGTGATGGCTACAAAATAAATTACTTGATATTGTATCCTCCGGACATATTTGAAATGATATTTTCTTGTTCGATAGCTGTTGATCCTTAGCCCAGACGTCCCAAACGTTTTTGATGATCGTCGATTTTCTATGTTCCATCGTAATGCAGCCTGCCTTTTAAAGCTAAATCAATTCAAGGCAGGCATTTCAAACCACCAGATGATTTTTTTTAAGATTAGCATTCACTCTCTCCGCTGTAGGGTCGATTCACATTGCTCAAATTAATTGGTTACAGGTTCATCTTCCGCATACAAATTAACCCAATGTTGCTGAATACCTCAGTCTCTGTCCGCGAATTTTCATATTGATTTAGTGGCATTCCTTTCCGCATTTTAATTTGTCGTTGTAGCACAGATGTTCCTTCTATAGCACTAGATCTTCGAAGTTAACTTCATCTCCTTGGTAGGATGCTGCGTGATTTTTCGTTGGTTCACTCCAAAGTGATGCTGCTAAGAACGGTAAAAGCTGGTAACATTGTTTTTGTTCAGCTCCTTAACTCCTGAAGGTGCCCCTTCTGCAAGACTTCTTCTTATGCAGTTGAATATCGTGGTGCTAGGACCAAGGAGGAAAAGGATCTCGAACTAGCCGTACAATCCTGATCCCTTTGTTCTTTGGACTAGTTTGGGTCGCAAGAAATTGAGACCATGTTTACACACTTAATGAAGGTAACCATTGTCAATATTGAATAGGAAGAGAAGAGGGTTATTGAGGCAAAGCTAAGGATGAAATCTGAGGCGTCACAAAACGTTGACAAGCCCAGGTTCCCAAAACTGTCGTTCTTCTATCTTAATTTCAATATTCAGTTACTTTTGAAGGATGTGTTTTACAGTTTGCATCAACTATGTCCATAAGATTTTCCATACCTCATGCAGATTCTGCTTCTGGAAATGCTTTTTTTATAAATTGAGAACCAACCAAGTTCTTTTTCAGAAGAGAAAATTTAGTGGTTTTGCGTTTGAAAAGATAGAAACCCAATAAGGAACGAAAGAAAATGGAAGTATAACTGATCACTTATCAGCATATGGCAATTCTTCCCCATACAAATAATATTTCTAATAATTTAACATTTCTTCATATCTGGAAGGTATTCCTGTGGAAACTTGATGCCGTATGGCGTGACTGATATGGTGCTGTAGTCGCTTATTCTTCATGTAAGACTTCCGGTAACTTACTCGGACCAGAGAAATATGCATATTTTTACAAAATTGTCGTAGCTTCTGGGGTTTTGCTTGAGTATGTGATAAGATCAGATGGGGTTCTTGTTTCGCAGTGTTCAGGCTAATAGACTATTTACTTGAATGTGGTTCAACTTTCTCTAGTAAGAGACCTTGGAAATTTTCGTGTAAGACATTTTTCTCAGAGTTCACCACTCCCTCATTTTGGCTATGATCAAATATAAAGGTCCAAATCTGGTGAACTTCTCATTGTTTCCCCTTGACTTCCTTGTATAGAAAGATGTGAAGAGTATCTAGAGAAATACAAACTGGGGTCAGTAAGATAGCCGTATATCCCCTCCTCCATGTGAAAGCACAGATTTCATGTTTCTATGCCTTAAAGTCTACAAAGAGGTTAGCATGATATGCCATTTGACCCCCAACTAAATAAAAGAATAAATCTTCTCCCTGGTCATAAACATTGTGGAAGTTATTCTTTTAAGGTAACTGTTGCCCTATATCCAGTAGAAGATAAAAGATGGCGAATATATAAGCTCAAGAACGAAAAACTCTCCCGCAAGGTGTTAGATCAATCTAAACATCCCGGGTGCAGAAGTTGCACGTGTGATTCATCCTCCCATTCTGAGAAACCATCACTCAAGAATTTATTTATTTATTTATTTATTTATTTATTTTAAAAAAAGAGTTATGCTGCTATGACCGAGACGACAAGATCACGTTTTTGGCTGCAGAGTTGGAGAATTTGATGCGGACCTTGAAGAAATCATGGCGATGGAAGCCGTAAGGCAATCCCTACAGGTTCCTTCTCTTTTCTCAAACCTTTTTCTCTTGCACTGATGCTCACGAAACCCTGCTGGTGTAAGAGTCTAAGTCGCGGAGTTACCAGGGGGGTGAGGGGAGCAGAACATTCCCGTCATCCGCTCACGGGTGCCGCCGACCGTCTTCCCCGGAAGCCTCCTCTGCCTCGGGGCCGATCTACGACCCCGCTGAAGTCAACCCCGCGACGTGTGAAGATTCTACCGACGGATCAGATGGCACCGGGATGGACACCGACACCTTGGAGACTTTCTCCTTCACTGGGGACGATCCGTCGTGGAGGTCTGAGGAGATCCGGGGAGGACCGACCGCGGGGTGCTCCTGCGGAGAACCCGACGCCGTCTCCTTGTGCTCAAGCTATCTTTATTCTGGTTCCTCTTCCCCCCGTCTTAGCCCCGACAACGGTCAGGACGGTGACGGGATCTGATACGCGAATATTTTATTCGAACTTCGGATCTGGATATATAAGTTTCCATTATATTCTATGGGTGCTGACTTCCCTCTCCTCTTCTCTGGATTCAGGAGCGACGAAGACCCTGACCACACTGAAACCTGCGCGGCAGTTGGCCGCCGGAATTTGAATGGGCTTTCGGTGATCCGTTTGCTCAATAAAAAAAGGTCAACGGTGATATGGAGAGATGGAAGCTGCTAAGGCGGCGGTCAGCCGGGGAACCGTTGATCGGCCCTCCACGCCCTCGACATATACAACGGCTATAACCGTTGTATATGTAGCCGTTGAGTAAACTGAAACCACTAGCGGGCCCACGTTCCCTTCGGAAGACGAACGTGGGTCGCTTGAGCGGGTCTCCTTGCGCCGTCCGATTAACATCCGCTGGCCCCTCTACGTCGGGTTTACGTGGGCCCCGTCCCTAATAACTCCCTTTCTGAATCCACAATTTTTCAGTGGAGGAACGAGGACCGCCCTCGAAAGGAGATAGAGAGAGAGCGAGTGAGGAGGAGAGATGGCGCGGGTGAGCAACAGCGTGATTGGGATCCTCAACGTCATCACGCTGTTGGTGTCAATCCCCGTCCTCGGGGCGGGGATATGGCTGTCGACGAGGGTCGGCGGCACCGACTGCGAGAAATTCTTGGAGAGACCAGCGATGGCGCTCGGGGCCTTCCTCATCGTGGTCTCGCTCGCGGGCCTCGTCGGGGCCTGCTGCGGGGTAGCGTGGCTTCTCTGGATCTATCTGCTGGTAATGTTCCTTCTCATCTTCGTCGTCTTCTGCTTCACCGTCTTCGCCTTCGTCGTCACCAACAAGGGCGCCGGAGAGGTGGTCTCTGGCCGCGGTTACAAGGAGTACCGTCTCGGCGACTACTCCAACTGGCTCCAGAAGCGGGTCAACGGCACCAAGAACTGGGCGAAGATCAGCAGCTGCCTACATGATAGCAAGGTCTGCCGGAGCATGCAGCAGGGAAACCAGACCATCGATCAGTTCATCCGCCACAACCTCTCCCCCATCCAGGTTCATCATCCCCCACTCCATGAATTCTCTCCGTCTTCCTCCCACAAATCGTCAGCCCAATGTAGAATCTTCTTCTTCTGCCCTTGTTCTCTCGCAGAGAAATCATCCTTCTCTCTCTCTCTCTCTCGACTGTGTTTTTTAACCCGGCCACAGCCGATAAGATAATGCCGACTTCTGGATTCCAATAAAAGAATATGCAAGTTTCAACAGATTAGTCTTACTCACATTGTGTATTATTATATATGATCTGCGTGTTCTTCCGTGCATGCTGTGCAGTCCGGGTGCTGCAAGCCTCCCACCGAGTGCGGCTTCGCCTACGAGAGCCCGACCAGCTGGCGGAGCGAGAACCTCACCGCCTCCTCCAACCCCGACTGCCCCGCCTGGAGCAACGACCCGGCGCTGCTCTGCTACGGCTGCCGCTCCTGCAAGGCCGGCGTCCTCGCCAACCTCAAGAGCGACTGGAAGAAGGTCGCCGTCGTCAACATCGTCTTCCTCGTCCTCCTCCTCCTCGTCTACTCCGTAGGCTGCTGCGCCTTCAGGAACTCTCGCCTCGCGAAGCCCCAATCGTCGTCTCCCTGATCTTCGGGCTCTCCATGCATCCCCACCTTAGATACTTACTATTCAAAATATATGCCGCTGCTGCTCCAATGCATTGGTCCGTTGGGGAGTGCACCCCACCTTTCTCTCTCCTGCCTGTCGGTCAACGAAGCGTGGGGCCCGTTGCGGCTTCGTGATATCGTGGGCACAATTATCGACGATGGCTTTGATTTTCATGTACTGTTAGCGGTTACTTTTATCAAAGTTGGGTCCGAATGGGTCTGATCCGAATTCGGTCCGAGCTCAGGCCTTTGTTTTTCTGGGCCTATATAAGTCCGTTCGTAAATGGGCCTTGGGAATATATTGGGCCTAATTCACTTCTGGGCCCAGGGGGAATGATTCTCGAGCGTTTGACACGTCGGAGGTCGGCGACCTTCCTTCCTTCCTCGATTCGAAAGTAGAGAGAGAGAGAGAGAGAGAGAGAGAGAGAGAGAGAGAGAGAGAGAGAGAGCAGGACGGAGGCGGTGAGGATCCGGAGATGGGGGAGGTGAAGAAGAGTTTGGGGCCCCGGAGAAAGCCGGTGAAGCGAAGAAGGAAGTTCGCCAAGTCGCTGATCGAGTACCTAACCGCCGATTTGTACATGTACGCGCCACTAATCAACAGCACTCTGTCGAATTTATCAGGACCGGGGATTGCTCTCGCTTCCCTTCCGGCAGGTGAGCTCGCATCCCCCCCCCCCTCGTTTGTTTTTCTCGCGTTCTTCTACCATCTTTCCAATGATCTTCATCAAGTGTGTTCGCGTCGGGGACGATTTTCTTCGGCATCTTTCACGCGTAGTTGTGACGAAAAATATACATATAATTTTATCTTTTTTCCCAAATTAATATGAATCCTTGGCGATGACATCAACGCTGTAAGAAATTAGATGAGTAGAAGTTACGATAATGAGATTTGTCCGCCATCAAGGAGAAACTATTCTCTCAGAGTTACTCACGCATACGGATGTCCAGGTGGTGGGTGAAGGTTCTGTATGCATTGGAGTATCCGTGGAAACGGATTTCGTTTATGCTTCCTGAGACAGCGAGATCTTGTGAGAAAAACTCACGGCCCAATGTGCAGACCAACCGGAAGCGAGATGCTCAATCTGTATCTTTACGAGCTTCCGGTTTTCAGGCACACCCAATGACTCGGAATGCATGGGAAATTCGAGAGTACTTGGGTGGATTGGTATCTCACCCCTTTTTTCTCATTTTCATTCGATTGCAACCTCCTAGGCCTAGGTTTGTATGTGGATTCAAGCAATAATCAAGCCGATATTTGCATGTACCGGGGTCGATAATAATTCTGCTGCGGAGCCTTGAACGTGATTAGTCTTTCCCAAGCATAGTTTCCCACTGATCCGTTCTACCCTAGGGTTCTTCCGTTGGTCCTCAGAGCTTGTGAACCCTCAAACTTGGTAAGTTATCGAATATTTTGTCGGGCTTAATCATCGGCAGCATGATTTCCAGGACTACCCAGTTTAGATTCAACTAGAGAATTTAGGATCAGTGGGGTTGAAGAAAATTAATCTAGATTTCTGATTTTGAGAGAGGAATTCTGGAATGAACTCCCCCCCCACCAAATTCTGGAACCCAAGTAGACAAGTCAAACGGTCGGAGAATTCCCCGCAGTTTGTATTCTGTTCTTGATTGCTGATCATCTGTCATGACTAGTCCAGTGTTGGGTTTTCTTAGACGGGGAATATCCAAAGAAGAAAACAATCTGCTCATCATCTTCCTGTTCTTCTGCTCCGTTCCTGATAAACTATTCTCTCTCTCTCTCTCTCTCTCCCTCTTTTTTGTTCAGCGGAAGGGTTCATTTATCTTCGCGATCAGAGAGTCTCAGTCCTGTTGAGTTCACAGATTTTGTCGCCAAATGTGCTTCTTTGCGGGGAATATTGACTGGTCGCTTCCCCTTTTCGTGGACCGGGTGGATTGTTCTCGGCCGATCCGATCTTAGTGGATTCTGCGTCGGCTGTGCTCAGTATCTCTTCCGAATAAAAAAACTGGAGCCACATGGGGCTCCAGATTCCCTTTTTGTCAAGTTAGATCATGATAAATCTGGCGAGTACAAGTATTTGATTTATCTCCCGATTGCAGTTTCTGGAAAATCTCATCACCCTACTGTTCTTCTTCGGGGGTCACCTGTCGGAAGCACTGTGGCTGAGGGGCAACCATCCTGTTCGTGGCGACTCAACCATTCAACAGGACTAACCAGGGAGAGCGCCGATCTCTGGCCCTCGCGCTTGATCCTTTCCATTTGTAGAAAGCCTTGATTGTAGTAAGCAGGTCAGTGTAACCTTCTTCGGAGAAGGAGACCTCGAACCAGAGAACGTAGGTTCGGTCTCCGCCACCTTCTCCTCCTGTGAAATCGAAATCTCTGTCGCTCCGGCCGTATTCCCTCCGCCCCAATCTATGGCTCTCCTTCCTGTTTTCGGTTGAACTTGTCGGGGTCTGCAGCAGGCGAGGCTTCTTTGAGAGCTTTGATTGCCGCCGTCGGGATTCCAAAAAAAAAAAAAGCCGCGGTCGTCGGAGACCTCATCGGCGGTTCCCTTGCCTTCTCTTTTGCAGAGAACAGGGCGCCGCCGACCCAGTTGCCGAGGCTGCCGGCGAAGTGAACAGCAGCCCTGCGTCCGCCTCTGCCGCCGGTGTCTGCTCCCAGTTGGCCTATTCCGCTCCTGATCATCATGGTTTTTATCCCTGCCCCATCTGGGCGTATTTACCTCACTGTATATGGTCTCTCTTTTTCTGTTTCTATCTCAGTGTTGATTTTCTGAGACTTAGAGGGGTATGGAACGGAAGAACGGAGACATTCCGCGGAAGCTAGCGATTCTCGCCGGCGAGGCGAGGCGGCGAGCGAGCCGTCGGATCGTCGGCGTGCTGTCGGGCCGAAGCGTGGAGCGAGAAAAGGCTACCGCTGTAGAGTCTGACAGCGGGAGACGATCCATGCAACTTAGTGTATGTAGCTCGCGTCTTGTCGAGAGAGGAGGAACTCGTTACAGAGGAGAGGAAACGCCTAATCAGATCTAAAGCTCTCTCTCTCTCTCTCTAATGTGGGCAAAGTGCATGCACGTGCTTTGAATCTCAAGCGGAGGGGACTTCCTGCAGATGTCACGGGAGAACAGGCCGGCCCTCCCACGCCGTCTCTGTCACCAGAAGTTGCAGACGCCTGTGAAACGAAGAGATGTGCATGGTTCTGCTACGCAAGCCATGGTTGATCATCATTACAGAGATTCGTCCCCATCTCCCGTACCCTGGAAGGGAAAGCGGCAGCTGGTTACCGGGTCAGCCGGCGCCCGCCGGGCGGTGGGAAAGTCAGCGTCCAGACACAGCCGGAAGCTTCCCACTCGCCGGTGGCCGAGTAGGGTGTCGGTGGTGGAGCTGTTCCTCGGTCGCCATTGATTGCGGAGGTGAAGGGAGCGGCGAGTCAAGACATCGCCTTGCCGCCCTCTCTCGTGCTCCTTCGTTTGATATCTTCACCCCGGGCGAGAGCTGCGATGACGGCCGCGATGAGCCCATTTTCATGGAGTGAAATAAGAGAAAAACGTAAAACAGCAGAAGAAGAACAAGAGAAGAAGAGTGTAGATTGATGAGGGAGAAGTGGGAGAAAATACCGCAGACTTGAATGAGATCGACGGCTGGAGAGCAAGCGGCAAGTTTAGTACAGATGGAGGTGGCCGGCATTCGTGTTCGAGGAGGAGAAAACTGAACTACCAAGGGGACAAAGGTTTTACACGATAAATGCGTACCCACCTGCATTTCGAGTGCTCGATGGCGTAGGTCAGACGGCGCAGCAGATCGGCCTGAGCTCGCAGGGACAGAACGTAGTCGAGGGCCTCATCCAGCAGCAAAGAGAAGTCATCCATGGAGTTCCCTCCGGGCACGAGACGCTTGAGGACTTCTGTTCTCTTCTTCATCATCCTCCTGGCGAGGAGGCTCGCCGCGGCGGCGGTGCGGGGAGGCGATGGGCGCTGCCGGAATCTCCTTCTCAGGATCTTCTTCCTGCTGAAGATCGTCAGTGGAAATTTCGTCCTCGGAAGGTTCTCACTCGTCCCTTGCTTGCACAGATTAGACATGAGGGCGCGGCTCCATCTCCTGCCGCCTCTGGCTAACGCCATGGCCATGTCAGCGGTGAGTTTGATGGCTCTCTTCCTTTCCATGACGCTCGCGTTCGCTGAAGGAACGCCGGCCACCTGGTCCAGCCCCGCCTGCAGGTACCTGAGGAACGCCACCTTGAATGAGACTGCCGATTGCATGTCTCCGACGGCGAGGAAACCCTTCTGGTGTCCTAAAGATAAAAGATGGAGGGGAAACGAGAAGGAAGTCTTGGCAACTCTGCTCAAAGATGCATTCTTCCCCTTCAACACTCGAAAATCTGGAACTCCCAAGAGCGAGAGGGGGGTGGGGGTTGGGCGGCGAGGGAGCCGAACGTTTTACGCTGGTAGGATTGCGGGAGGATAGAAGGGATTATATAGGGGAAGAGAAGAAGCTCCGGGGGAAAATGGTTCTGAGTTTTTTAAGGGTCTATAGGGAGACGCATGGCGTTTTACACCATCAGGGGGGTGGGGCTTCCCAGCAACGACAGGAGAAGCGGCTATAAAACGTCACGGAGCCACCCGCAGACTACATCACAGAGAACGGGTATGCAGGAACTGTAGGAGGAAGAGCAGGGGAGAAAGAGGAAGGAGAGAGAGGAGGGAACGCCCGCCCATTTATCTGAAACCCTTGTCCCAGTTCCAGAGGAAGAGGGCAAAGCTCGTCGGAGAGGAGGGGGGAGGACCTTTGCGTTTGGGGCCTTTCGGGGAGAGACACGGCACATGCGACCACATGCAACCCGAGGCCCACCTTCATACGCCATATTCTAATCGTATAAGACGCTCGCGAAGACCCCCGTTCTTTTGAAAAAAGCCCATTATTCTATACTCACGTAGGTCGATTTCCCATGTATATTCGCCGTATCTGGGAACGAAGATGGGGAGGATTAAGGGTGTCAGTGGGCAGGAAATCTATGCACGGGAGCTCCTTTCCTCTGCGACAATCTCCTACTCGAAGCACATAACCCTGCGATTATCTATCAGCACGCTCCTGTTCAGTCTTTTCCATCCTCTTCAAGACTTAACTGGCGTGGTGTGAAAGGCGGATTGGCAGGCTCCGGGAAACATGGGGATGCCTGTGCCCCCCCTCCCCCACTCTTTCTCTCTGCTTCCTCACCACCTCCCTCCTCTTTGAGTCGGCCGGCAGCTTTGCTGAGAAATTCCGTCGCACATGGAGTCCACATGGGGTTTCTAATCTTTTGGACTTTCAAGAGACACCACGGCCTGCGCCCCACCCACCCTCCGCCTCAATCATGTCCCCTCCTCCCCTTCCCCGCCCCAAGTACGCACTCTATTTGGCTCCTCTCCGCCCTTTTCTTCCAGGAAAATGCCTTCTTGGTCGAAGACGAGGGCATCTGGGGAAGCCGTAGCCGGCGCATAGGGCGTAGGGGAAACCAACCCCCCCCTCTCCCTCTCCTCGCCAGAGAACAGCCGATCACGCGGCGGCGGCGGCAGAGGCCCCGGGTGGAGGAGGAAGGTGGCGGGCGGGCATGGGGGGCCTCACATGGGGCCGTCCGGGCAGAGAACCCTACTGTTGCTTAGGGCATTTCTTGTCGCTGAGCTCTCAAATAATGGACCACGGAGGTGTCGTTATGAGGGGTACGTATACTGTAAGAGCTATGCCAAAGGGTACGCCGATCACATGCTTCGACGTGGAGGAGGGTGAAGGGGATACGTAGGCGAGGGGGAGGCCCGAGGTCACGCGCACACATGCAGACACATGGATGGGCTCCCCCCTGTCCCAACAAAGGCATGCAGGCCCTCCCGCCATGAATCATGAAGCCGGCCACGAGGGGGACCCGCCCCCCACTCCTCTCTCCCCTGGTCTTCTCCTTCTCTCTTCCCAATCGTCGGAGTCGATCGATCGGCCGTCAGTAGGTCAAACAAAGACAGGGAGGTACCTTCGTGGGAGGTGACGGTGGTTCTTGGTGCGATCGATCTGTCTTTCATCTGCAAGTACATGAACTGCCAATAAGTAGGCTAATGATACAAATTGTTCAGTTACAAATGTTGGGTTCTTCATTAGGTTGTGTCTTTGGTCAAAATAATCAATGTTGACCCACTCCGAGCCCTAATGATATGCCGAAGAGTCGTGATTTTATCGTTGACTATGATTATAATCATATCGCTGAGCTATTATTCCCGCTGAATACTGGCCGGCAAGATTAGAATCCGCCTGAGGTGCATCATGAGCATCTCATCATCCGTAACCCACAAAAGAATCTGCTCACCGGTTCCACTTTTATGGCTTCCTACTCCACGGTTTACCCAGCTCTCTCCTTTTCTGCTAATCCTCCCCATTTTCCTTCGTTTCTGCAGCCAAGTGGAACTCGTTCGAGTTCTCTTACGAGCATCAAGCGATAATCAATCATATATGTTGGCGACGAATGGAGAATACTTAGCTTCTGATTACGCACAAGCTTAATAGTTCAGTGTGGATTATGAAAACTATTATATAATATGTTTGCTGGAAGAGATGGAGATTTTCGTTACTAAGAACCAGTCAAAGTATTGTTAGTGAGCATGTCCAAGGCAGACAAGAACAACTAAATTTATTAGTTTAAGAGAAAGAATAACTATTATGCAATATCTGATGGCTAAACACTAAGCTGCCCCTGTTGTATGTAACCGGTACGACGTGCCTGACTCCCTCGGAAACGAAGACTGGATCATCAGCTTACGCTAATAACGGCTTGACGACATCCCGGTGTGATAATTCTGAACACTTAACTTCATTGAGCATTCGATAACAGAGATGATGGGCATGGAATTAAGGCAAATGCTCTCTCTCTCTCTCTCCCTCTTCCTCTCCCCCTCTCCCCCTCTGTGCATCATATGCACGTGTCCAGAAGACAAAGACATGACACTATGAATGACTGGAGCTTATCCTGGGAGGTTCCACACTGGAGACGTCTGAAGGCTCTCGAGGAGACTCGCATGGAGCTCCAGGAGGGTGATGTAGTCCGCCGTCCTCGCCAGCAGAGTCTCCACGTCCTGGTCGGCGCACCCCGGCACGAGCTCCTCGAGCATCTTGAGCTTGCTTTGCACCGGGCCGGCACCCGTCCGGCGCCGCCTGACCAACCTTCTTCTTCTCCGCCTCTCCATTCTCCGCCACGTCCACCGCGGTCCATTCCACATCCTCCACGGAGACACGGCTGTCGCCCTGGGATGGGGTGCGACAAGGAGGATATAAATAGGAGATCCTCGGGGGCCAATGGCGGACGGTGAAACCCACAGTTCATTACATCGTCACATCAAGAAACAGGATGGAGTGGGCAGAGCCGAAATGATATGTTCCTACTCGGCTGGCGATGGGTAGATTCTCAACTTCCGGCTCACGCCCATAGATAGGGGAGCCGTCGGTAGACTCTCGACGGATGACAGGCCATTCTTCCAGATTAATGGCCCCGGCGGCGAGGCGAGAATGGGGTTTCCCCATGTCACCGCCACGAATAGCTTTCCAGGACCGCCATGTCCCTCGGAGTGATACTTCAAATCTAGGAGCCGGGAGATCACCATGGCGATAGACAAGACAACATAGAAAATTGAGTGCGCGATAAGGTACCTCGTGGCCGAACATTGAAATTTCGGCACGACGATAAGGTAACCTATACACATCTGCCTTTGTCATTTAATGCACCCGAATCTTCATAAATGACATCCCTTGCCGAAGACACTGAGTGCAACACAAGCTCCCGGCGCTAGCATCTCCCCGCAAGTTATCTCTTCTTTTCGCCATGAGCTGGCCTCAAAATGGGAGTAGAGAGTAGATAGAAGGCGCAAGAGGAGGGAGATAGAGAGAGATAGAGATAGAAGGTGTAAGGGGGGCAGTTCCGCGATGATCCCGTGGGTATGTAGCGATGGGAAGGGAGGAGGGGTGTGCAAATGAACGCAACATCCAGTTGGGGTATGGCATTGAATTCTATGCACGTGGTCGTCGTCGGCCTTCCGTTGACTAAAGGAGGAGCAGGTAGGAAGATAATCTACGCCTTCCCCTACCCTCCGCTGTCCACCCGTCCGGCCCATATTGCTCAGGAGCGGTGATGCTCACTGCTTAAAACATCGCTGTGACGCATAGCATCGCCTGCAAATCCGCGGTAAACACTTGCCTCGCCATGCGTCTCTATTATTGCTTGAGAGGCGTGGAGAGGAGAATATAGGGGCGGCGGCTGCCGGGAGCCCTCGCTTGCCGTGTGAACAGAGAGAGCAAGGCTGGTTCATTCATGGGCAATACAGGCTCCCAGAATCGTTCCCACAGCGTTCGCAGCCTGATCTTTGGGTTGGGTCGAGTCCAATCAGCCCCTCCTGTGGCGTGCTCAACGCCGCGTCACCGGCAACATTTCTAACGCCGGCCTCCGTTCCCCCCGGGTAGGAAGGGAACTGTGCGAGAAGGGATAGAAGCATCCAAAAGAGAGCTCTATGGATCGAGGACAAGGGTAGAGAAAGGGGCAAGACGACAGGCAATTCTCAGCCGGGAAAGGAGATCTTGATAACTACAGGGCAGCGTGGAACGATCTGTGGGAACTATCATCGTAAACTCCGACGTGAGTTTCTTGATTGGATTGATATTATCGAACTCGAGTACATGGAGTCACATAAATGACGAGGAACCGGGCAATCAACCACCTGAGGATAAACCCACCCGTTGGCTTATTCAATCCGCCGCCTATTCGACCGCGGCTCACATCGGCAGAAGAGAATGGAGACAGAACAATCGACCCCACAGGTGCCACTGCGTTGAACGACGACATCGACATCTATCGGATCAACTTGAGCAGGTGGGGAGATGGGCAAAAGAGAGCAGGTGGTCTAAAAAGACGCTGTGGTGAGGGGTCAAAGATGATCTTCTTTCTTCACCCTTTGACGGACTTTATTCATTGACCTAGATATATATATATACAGACAAAAACACACATGGCTGTGTGAGCTCAGTGGAAGTATGACTTGAGACGACCAATCTGATCTCTAGCGACGACTCCGCTGTCAGCTTATGGTATGCATGTGGGCTGTTCAGGTCTCTGCCTAATCACCTCGTCGGCTCACAGTCTAATCATCCCACCGGAACCAAACTCAAAGCCCATGCCCGACCCTGGCCGAGTTGGGCCGAATTAAGGCCCACATATTCTACATAGATCTATACTGCACGAATAAATAGCATATGTTGCACGTATCATAACTTTCGAAGCACAATCACATCCTACACAAAGACAAAAATGGGTATCTGTTGATTTTTCGTGGCTCGGTTTTTTCGGAAGAGAGAACTGGACTCACTTTTCCATTCAGTCCGCCGGATCACCATCTTCGGGTCGTCGGCAATCAACGACGGAGAACGAATTAAGGTCAACGTCTCACGATGTTCTAACACAAGACTCCAATTAGAAGGAAACAAAAAAGCGTTTAGTTATACATATATTTATGGCATGGTCATAGATTGCAAACATTGTAGGCGAGTTCTTATGAAAATAGTCGTTATACCGTGGTATTTTCATTAAATTCATAGGAGATGAAAAATAACCTTCTACACTGCAGGAGCTCAGGATCGGTATAGTCAACTATTTGATTGCAGGCGCATCAGCGTAATGAACTACACGTCGTCATATTACACTCGAGCTATATATAGTTCAGTAAGGATTCGTACTATCAGATATCCGGATGCTCCAGGAAGAAGCTCGTTTTAATCAGCTCTCTCTCTCTCTCTCTCTCTCTCTCTCTCTCTCTCTCTCTCTCTCTCTCTCTCTCTGGGCAGAATCTGAGTCTTTTTCTCTTCTCCGGGCGGGGCAAATCCCTTGACATTCATCATCCTATCTACTTGGCGATGGCCTGTGTAGGTCGGATTCTATGGAACCCTACCATCAGGCCTAAACGAGGCGCCCCGCTCGAGTTAATGCCACTGCAGAAGCAGATCAACGCGATATCTGCCGGGAGCTGGTCGTAAAGAACGTATCTAATAATGGCCATGCGTATCCCATTCACCTACAAGATCACCAAATCCTGCCGCCTCAGTAAATGTTGTTCGCGCCATCTGCTGACAGACTGCTCGCGATCAGGGTCCCAAAGCCTCGGGGATCCGGACCCTATGGAGCTATGGATCCTGCGTCAAGAACGCAGATCCTGCTCGTAGTTTGCGAACGATAATGGTGCTCTCCGAAAGAAGGGTAGAGACTCACGGGCATCGCGTAGAATTAAACCAGGGATTCAACCCGGAGAAAATGTGGTGGCCTCCATGTCTTTAGGGCAGATGACTGAGTCAGGGTGTGTAGGGGAGGGGGGGAGGAGAGGGCTCGACCCGGCAACCTTGAGTTCTCCACCGGCCTGCTGCAAGAAGACCGGTAGACGTTGACGTGTCGATAATGAATCGTACGAGATGCGGTGGGACGCGCATTTAATGAAAGATGATCGACAGGAGGAAGGGCGGAGAGGAGCGGTACGCGACTGTTGATTCTGGTCGTGATATTGATGTCTGAGAAAAAGGGAAAACCAGGGAAGGCATGCGAGGGACGAGGCCTCTCAGTCACATCAACTAGTGTTCGTTACTCCATGGCGTAGTATGCCGTGATGCCCATCACTTCACGAAGTCTATCGACGTTCGGTTATTCCCGTCTTTTCCGTCTCTCTCGTGGCCGTTCTTTGTTCTCTACGATACCATGACGATCTAGGGCTTTTCCAACCGCTTCGGAGAGGTTCAGAATGTGAGTATCATCACTCTTGTCCCACCAGTTCAGAGTTCTACCCCGGGAGAAGCCTACAGAAGAGACTCAAGGGGAGACCCGATCGAGTCAAACGCCTTTACTGCACCCCCACCCCCCCCCGATAGAAGCAAGTCTGTGTGTGTTCTGTGTGCTGGGCGGGCGGGCCTGTTGATGCGACAGTACCACACTCGTGTTAGTATGCGAGATAGGAAAGGGTTGGAGTAAGAACGCGCCCTCATTAAATACGGAGGGCAAGAAACGTGAAAGAGATCCGGTAAGGCAAAGGGGGGGTTGGGGGGTATATGCGAAGGTGAGACTGTACAGAAACAGTACAAGATACATATTCGGATGTCGTTCTTAACGTTATCTTACGTGTGTAACTCCCTCCTTCCCTCCCTTCTCACTGAAGCCATGGCAGGGCAGGAAGCATGCGTTGTCACGTCTGCAAGCTGGAGGGAAGTAGGAGTAGATTCGCGATGATGAAGGGCCAACTGGAAGCTCCGGTGGATCGTCATGTCCAACAGGATCCTCTCTGAACCAGAATAATTACGACCCGGAAACGTAAGTCTAGCCCTCCAATGGGCACGGATTTATGAGTAAGAACCGATGGATGCAAAACGGAGAAGTTTGGAAGAACATTGAAATCCACGGAGGCCCTTTGAACTGAGCAAAAGATATCGTTTTCTTGGCTGCACTGACATCGGATCCGCTCCTCCCCAGGATAAAAACCCTAACGCCCTTTTATTCTTGCGTCATAGACCGCCGCTGTATTGCACGCAAACGATACATGCGGACTTAACGTGGAAAAACGATGTTAAGGTGCTCCCCATGCAACGAAGACGTGACTGCCATCGTCATTCTAGTTACTACGATGCGACGCTCGAGCCTTCTTCTGAGTTTCATAGACTGAAGCCTATATCATATCAAATCGAATGTGTGACCAAACGGGTAGCTTGGTCGAATCCCGGCTATTAATTGATTCCGATGCTCATGATGAATCTTTGCACAAGTGGATGGAGGGAGAGGCTGAACGAGCCAGGATGAACAGTCACAGCCTTGCAGGGGGCAGCCCCATTTATGACGAACAAACTACACGTATATCGAAAGGCATTCATGTTTCCCTTTCACTCTGATTAGGAGAAGCCGTGCATGTGACTTCGTGGTCTGATTTGAATGTGGGTGATCTTAAATGAGCAGATCCCTCTCAAGGAGCCCATCAGTCACTTATCTACAGTCCAAGATCACTGTTGAAAGTGTTACACAAGCTTGTGCTGTGACTGATTGGGAGACTCTCGGGCGCAGACTTCGCCCTAGGGCAAGAAAGTATGATGGAATTGAATGCGATGGTGGTGGGTGGTCTTTAAAGGCTCCGGAGAAATCATCATCATCCTCATATTTATATCTGCGTTTTCACTGCCCAAGAGTACATGTCAACGTAAAGACCAAAGATAGGAAGCTATCCAGAGGGCGGGAGGGGAAAGAGGGGGTGGAGGGTTGGGGACGAAGAGAGAGAGAGAGAGAGAGAGAGAGAGAGAGAGCGGGGGTTGGGGGGGAGCCTATGTCTTCCGCTTTCGACTGGCGTTTTGGAGTCCCCATTGACGACTGACTCCCCTCTTAACAACACACTTCTTGCCTCTGGAGTTGCGTGAGATACGGGATAAGGTTCGATTACATTTATTTTGGCGATGCGCAATAGCATATCTAGGTGACTGCACCAGTCTGTCCTGAGCCTGTACTTTCAACGGCTCCCCCCCCCCCTCTCTCTCTCTCTCTCTCAAACCTGAGTTAACGTCGTTTTGCCTAATGGTTTTATATCCTTTTGAGGGTGATCTCTTGTCTCCGTCACATGTGGGTCGAGAGCCCACACAAGTCTTTCAACGATGGCAGATTGGGAATGTCAGCCTCCCACTTCGATCCAACATTTACTGCTCTTCCCCTTTCCCTTCTTATATAAGAGCATTCGTGATCCCTTTCGGCAAGGCACCCTATCCTGCCTTTCCAACCCAGAAGGTCTCCACCGCGTCATATCACCATGGCTCTTCCTTCCTCTCCATCCTTCCCTTGCCTTCACTGGGGACTCAGACCGAGACCTTGGGGACCTATTCTACTTCGTCATGGCCTCTTTGGTTCAAAGAAGAGAAGAATGAGGGAGGTAAAACGTCTTACGTTGCGTTCAACTTCACCTTCTCTTCGCTGTCTCTTTATCGTTGTTAGTATGGATTTTGGGTCGTACCCAAATATGAGGCAGAAGAATCGACATGTTAGTTATATAATATTTTCTTGGCGCTATCCTTACTGAGCTTATCTTTTTCTCTTTTTTTTCTTTTTTTCTCTTTTTTTTACTCTTTTTCTTGACCTTGCAAGACTTTTTTCACTTTTGATATTTCTTCTGGCCGTCCTCTACTCCGTTCTTTGTTTTGATTTTCATCCTCACCTGTACCAACCTTTCCACCTTCGATCTTTCTATCTATCCCTCCTGAGCTTTAAGTTATACATATTGTTTTTACTTACGATCGTTTACAGTTATTTACCGTTGTAATATCTTGTACGATTGAACAAAGTATCATAGTAAATTATTTCATCCGACTTCGTCAATTTCTAATTATTTCGCAAGCGGTGGGTTCAGTGGTGCGCTAATAGTGCACCGGAAGTCCACGAATATGACTCCAAATCGGTGCGTTGTGTCTTATCAATGGCGGCTGTGGGTGGGGCTCGCAGGTGGGCTGCGTTGGCCATCATTAGGTTCTCTCTATGTAACAGACCCACTATCTTCCCGGCCCTGAGCCCTCCGCCAAATGGGCGGCGATGTCGGGCCCAGTTGATGCTCGGCCAGAAGCGCCGCTATCTTATACGTCCCCTCGCCGTCCACTCGCTGGCGAGGCACCGTCCGACGCCACCGTTAGATTCTGTATATAGAACATACCCACTTTCTTCCTAGTCGATACCCCCGCCAAATGAGCGGGGATGTCAGACCTAGTTCATGATGCATGGCAAGTAGCGCCGCCATGTTTCATTTCTCGTGACCGTCCCCTCGCCGCCTGCGCTCGGTTTAAAACCGTCGGAGATGCCGACGAAAGAACGGAAATAAAACATAATATATCATTGGTAATGTCTTGGTGGACGGGCAAAGACCATGAAAGTCTACGGGATCGAGTCCACTATTTACAGAGCCACCGGCGGCTGAGATAGCAAGCCACAAATCATGGCGGCACCACTCGTTGCAGAGGAACGAAGGTGCCGCCAGAAGGGAGATTGAACAAAGAATTGAGGAAAAGTAGAAGTTTCAACTTCCAGTCGTCACGCACTGGTTGAGGGACACGAGCCACGACCTCCTCCCTTCGACGTGGGAGGCCGAACGGCGGAGCCTTGCCCGCGAGGACCTGACGAGGGAAGATCTCGTCTCAGGGGCCCTCATGCAGGAGTTGAGCCTCATCGACGGGAACTTCTGACTGCTGAGCGACCGGAAAGACGACGAACCCAGCGGCGGGATCCGCGCGCAGTAGGTGTCCGATCGGCATAGCTGGGTAGTTGCCGCCGCGGCGCTATCGGATCCCACTGCCGGACAGGCCGCGCATAGAGACAGGGACATGCTCATTCTTGACGGCTCCCTGACGGGGCTGGCGCCGGGTACCTTGCCGAAGGCGACGATGGCGTTACGGCAGAGGGGGCAAGCAATCGAACCAGGAGGGCCGGGCACCACGGTTGATGTGCTGTTTGTCGAACATAGATACAGAGCGCATCTAGTGCAGAACTCATGGCCACAGCCTGCAAAGTTTGGAAACGCCGTGTTAACAGGAAACCACAATTCAAAAACACGGAACAGAAAATCATGAATTCTCAGCAGGCAATCGGCTTGCTGTACTTCAAAAATTATCCATTATCAGACCCAAGAACATAAAAAAACTGTTCTGGGAAACGATAATTTTATGGAGGAATTAATGCTTCGAACCTGCAGAGAAATCGATGGTTCAAACCATATATTCATTCGAAACGGGGGGTTCGAAAAGTTTCGAAGCTGCTAGAACTGATCCATTCAGAGAAAAGGATAGGGACAAACCTTCTGCCGACACCGTGCATCGTCTCTCCAAGCACACCGCGCAAGGATCGATGCACGCGGGAGATTGACCCGCGTTCCTCCATCCGCATTCCCTGTAGAAGAAATCACCGTCGACGATTGGCCTTTCAAGCATCGGTTTAGGGCGAAACAGCGAGAGAAAATCACGTCTCGCTTAAAGATTTGACATAATTCACACAATGAACAGAAACAAACCCATAACGAGATCAAATCGGTAAAAAATATCGATGAAACAAGATGGTTTGCGCGGACCTACTTTTCCCTTCTGAGACAGCGAATTTGCCGCAAGAAAAACGGGGGGGGGGGGGAACGAGGGTCGTATCGTAGGTGGATCGCAACGAAGTTCTAGGAAGCACTTATAAAGCAAAGATATGATATGATCATTAATTCAATCCATTTGGAAGAAACAGGGGACTAAAGTGACTAATCTGAAGTGAAAACAGATCCGTATTAATAGTAAAATCAGTAGAAATATTGATGAAAGAGGATGATTCTGCTTTTCCTCTCTGATTATTTCTCCCATAAACTGTGAACCACCTTAAGAAAAAGGAGAAAATAAGGGTAATATCCCCCATTATCATCCCCATTTTTCCCATCCGACCAATGATATTTCAATCTGGGATTGACTCGGAGAAGGGAACCAAATAAATAGTAGGGAATGAAAAAAACCTGGGCAACCTTATATACGAAGAAATAAGACGATCTTCAATAAATACGAGATAAGAAAGAAGATTTGGGACTTTACAAGCAATAAGAAGACAAGAGGAGAATATCTCATTTCACCTTGCAATCTTAACGACGCTCATTAATGGAAGAGATAGATACGGAGATGGGAGAATACGCGCACGGCCCTCAGGCTGTTTGCTAAGAATACTCTCCAACCAATTTCTATGCCACGAGCGAGCCACCATCAGTGGTGTCAACCTTCAAAGTCGGAGGAAAGGACTCAGCTGGTTAGCTAATCGTCAATGATTCGCCATGAAAATAAGCGAGAAAAGTGAAGAAGATTAAGAAACAGAACTACCATAGAGACAACAGAAATTATGTCCTTTGCCTAGGAACTTCTCAAATAACCATGAGCATTCAGGAATTGTTTTTAGTAGTAAACTAACTATTAGGAAGTCCTTGTATTTACTAGGAATTATCGAAATATTTTACAAGGTAAATGGAACGTAACACATAAAGTTTAAGCTATGCCTACCTCGGTGATTCAGAAGGTCTTGCGTATGATGTTTGAGGGATGATCCAAGCTTTTGGCCTTTAATCTTCTCAGAAAACTAGGTAAATATGCATAAATGGCGGCTGGGCTTCCCCGTGTTTTGGTAAAGACGGTAGAATGAGTGTGCGTTCAATTGATGATAAACATGAGCATTTTCAGCTCTATTAAATTATTTAATTTTAAGAAAGGTAGCAAACAATGCTACTCATCGTGGCTTTGTTTTATAAACCTTGCATACACGAAAATTTTAAGTGGTGCAGAAAAAAATTAAGTGGAATTTCATAAATGATTAGTGTGTTTTTCCTTTTACTGGCATCAATTCTACGGTGAAGATTATCAGAAGAAAGCCTACCCATTTGCATTTTCAGCATTCAAACAGGCGCCCCTGGCGATTAGAATCTGAAAAAGGAGGCATGAAGTAAATAACTACACGTCCTTGTTTTGGATAAACATGATAAACATCTCAATTGATCAACTTACTTGGCAGCACTGTGCACTTCCGCCACAAGCAGCATAATGAAGTGGGGTGCTACCAGCGCCTGATGAATTGGAAAAGAAGAAGATTTATCTAACAGAGAAATCATAACATACTTTTCGTGTATAAAAAGCAAATTCTCTAAAAGCATAGCAATTCTGATAGATCAATTAACACAGGTAATCATCATTATCACAATACCCTCAATGAAAAACCCAGCCACCGATAGGGACCTGGAAGATGACACCCCAAGACCTAGTTGAGAACAGGTGGTGGCCGAGGTTTGCATCTTTGGATTCCAATTCCTTGGTGAAACATTGATGATATGAATATATGAGAACAAGGTGAATATCAAGTTATTTAGTACGATAGAGCTGGCACACAATCATCTTATACAATTCAACAAAGTATATGAAGGAATTCATCGTCCATGATCAACCCTTGCCACCCCTTACGAGGTATATCTGAGTCAACCCTGCGTACTGTGTACATTTTACACAAGTTGGGTGGCAAAATGTGTCTAGGGCGTGCAGCTAAACTCGGAAGAAGTTTGTATTGGCCAAGCATGAAGACGTTAGAAAATGTATGATTATCCAGAAATCATGGCATAAGAACGATTGGACAAAGAATCAAATTTGTTAACGGCCCAGACCAACCAGATTCATCAATTCAAGCGATTTGTAGATTTCCAAAGACCACAACTGAACAGGAGCCCTGAAACATTCAAGGCAGAAAGGACCAATTCCATCTTGAACCAATAGTTTTCTTCTTGCCAACATACCGTCTACTATGGTGTTCTATGTATCTTCCTGATCCGATCGTATCCTTTTCGGAAAAAGTCAATAGTACATGAGTTCAGATAATTTCGGAAAAAATTATCTGCTACTCGGAAACAAATTCTCCAAGATCCAGCTCTAGTATGATCCGTTTTATGGAAGAAATAGAAATTTACATGAACATTTATATGAAAACGAAGCTAGATATCCCAACAAGCCGAGCAAAAAACTGACAGTAAACCCAACAATCTGACAGATTTCTGCATAAATAGTACCACATATTCACTGAACCCGCATCCTGACATGACGTCAAGAAAAGGGTGAGGGCCTACCTATCAGGTCAATCGTCGTTCCATCCTCCACTGTGACATCAGACACACGAGCGCCCAAGTCCAACAGTAATCGAACACTCTCAAGGTGCCCATTTAGAGCAGCCATGTGAAGGGCAGTAATGCCGCCATCTGCCCACTTATTAACAACCCTGGACAGAGCACTGGGGACGCGAAAAGCAGAAAATTTTAAGAGTCCTGCGTCCAAATTGTCAATGCTCGATCATATCGAAGTTGACAGAATTACCTCTCGTCAAACTCTGGCATCCTCGGAGTTTCGTTCGTTGACTTTCCCCTGGCGGAGTTCCAGAACTGAGGTGAGCTGGGTACATAATCTGCGAGGAGAAGGCGGATGCAGCGGGTGTGGCCATTTAGGGCGGCGAAGTGGAGAGCTGTTCCTCCGTTGAGATAGTCTGTCCTGTGTATCTGATGAAGCCGTTATCCAATATGTTAGTCAAAGAAAGCCCAATGCAAATTCTCGGGGCAAAAGGACGAACCACTTAAGAAACAGGGTAGCTTACATTGGCCTTGAAGAGAATAAGGGTCTGAACGACCTCCCAATGACCGTACTGGCAGGCTTGCATCAACGCTGTCTGTTCATCAGGAAGGCAAGTTTCAGCGGGAATTATTAATATTAGTAGATCTCCCTCCTATTAAGCTACTGACGATGCAGATCGAATGTAAGATTATTTCAGTAAAAGCTCGTATCTGATGACTAATGATAGCAATCACGGGGCTATATAAGAGGAGAAATTCGGATGGGAAGAGTAGGAACCATCTCACCTGCCCACGGAAATTCCTGAGGTTGATTTCCACGCCGGATTCGAGCAACAAGGAGACGATCTGGACGCAAGAGGGCAGAGACAGAATTTTAATTTGACTTGCCTTTGGGTCTTGCGTACGATTTTGGTCAAACGCGAAGCACTGTGATGAAGAATTGGAACTGATCCAAGGGGAATGAGCCGAGTACCTCGTGGTGGCCTTGTGCTGCGGAGTAGTGAAGCGGCGAATTTCGGACGCCGAAGGTGGAGTACCTGGCAAGACGGGGGTTGTACTCCAGGAGAGCCTTCGCTTCCTGTAGATCTCCATCCCTCGCAGCCGATACGAGCCTCTCCCCGGACGCCGAGCAGCCAAAGGAATTACCCACAATGCTTAGAAAGCCCATGCTTCTCTACTAATCCCAATGGATGGCCGCGAACAAATGGGAAGGATGAGAGTAGAGAGGGCTAGGGGGACAGCAAGGGGGGGAATGAGATCTTTCGCCCCCCTTGCGCTAGATCCTTCCCGGAGGACAACGCGGTCGAGATATCTATTTTACAGGTACAAAGGCTAGAAGAACAAGGGGGATCCTCCGACAACGTGGGAGGAATTGTAGCTCGGGAGAATTCGGAGCCCGGGAGGGTCAGAAATATTGCGAAACAGAAGAAGAAAGGCAGTGGATCACTCGCAGGCGAGGGAAAGGCCCGTCATTATCCAAAATAGCCAATGCCCACTTTCCTCAATCCGATCCTTCATCGGCCCTCGGTGAGGAGCCGCAGAATAAGGGAGGAAGGTGAGGCAGAGGAGGGAAGGAGGAGGGGGGGTTCGAAAAAGGAGAACGACATTGAGCAGGGAAATACCAGCTGATCGGTTCTTTGATCGACAAGGACGGAAGAGTGTTCACGGTTTATAGGGGGAGAAGCTACATGGTGGGCGATCGTAAATTTGGGGATTTCACAGAGAACCAGAAATCCCCTTCCCGGTACCCGGCAGAGGCGGGGTCTGGGAGCGGAGCGGGAACGGGGAGGCCCTCCGAGACTCATAAATTAACGTATTTGCCCCGTCCGCATTTTGGGCTCTATTTTTAACTGCTACTCTCCCAACAAAGCGAAGCATCTGTCATTCCTGAGCCCCCGCTCAGGAAGCAACCTTTTATCCTCCCAGCACACCCTCCTTCCCTTTATTCACATGTTAGATGCCTTGAACACAGGTCAAACCAGACCACTTAGAGAGAGAGAGAGAGAGGTGCAGTAGAAGGACGACCATCTGGGTAAACTTTCTGTTCCACCTGAAGATGGTCCTTTGATAACTCCGACGGCGTATCGGTCGATCAAGATGAGGACCCTATGATCTCGACCGATTCTAGGGAACTCGCCTCCATTACGCAACCCACATCCTTCTTGCTCTGCCGACTTTATAAAAATCATCGCGTGCCCTGTGAGGGCGAACAAAAAGTCAAACATCTCCGCTCTAACCGTTCATTTTTCATATACCTATGATGCACTGATAGTGTAGCTTCGACTCCTAGGCGATTGAAAAACTTGTTTATTTGAAGATAAAGAAAGAGAAAACCCACTGATGATTAGTCTTCTCGGACAGTGGACTGTCGAGTCCTCGGGAAGAAGACCGCGAAGGAGCGTCGATTACTGGAAAATAACAGCTGGACAGAAGATCGGATTAGGTACCCTCGAAAGCGCAAATGGCGGAGGAGATAGAGTGCCCTATGTAGCACATGCGAGGTGATTCTTCTCTCTCTCCCTCTCTCTCTTCCCTCTCTCCCTCTCTCCAAATTCTGATATCTAAAAAAGTTCTAACCCCAAACTACTAAGGGATTAAGTCCCCAACAGGGCGCGAACTCTCTGGACCTTCGATGAGCTCCCATTGGTGATATTCAGGCAGAGCTTTGCCTTCATTTTTTCCCATAATTTTGAGCTCAAAAGGTGTTCGAATATCTCATCGAGTCGATTTTGCTGTTACCTCTGAGAAGCTCTCGAGATTGTTTTCAAGGTGCAGGTTCTATTCTACGCTTCGGCAAGACTTTCTACTTTCCATCTTCATCCGTGGGAGATCCTTTATTACGATGAAAAACTAAGAGAAACAAGGATCCCCGCGTTCTCCGCGGTGGCCGGTAACCTCGGCGGCGCTGGGAGTTCCCCGTGGGACCTGGTTGCAGTCAGCCGCGTTAAGATGGGCCGGAGAGGACTTCCCCATCCGCCGTCGGACATGACGCTGCTGCACCACCACGTGCGGCGGAGCTCAATAAGGGCGCATTCAATGGCAGTTCAAGATGGTAGGAGCAGTTAAGAACCCTAGAGCGGGGCCTCACCACGACGACGACAGCGGGAGCGGTGGACCCTATCCCGTCCTCGCCGCCGTTTACTCTTTCACAGTCGCCAACGAGATCCGCGGCGACAGAGATGAGCCCGTGCGGCAGTTAAGCTGGTCTTGCCGTGAGGTCGACTCCGGCGAACCGACGGCCGACGAGGGCGCGGCGCCGCCGGCGGCAAGGGCTACGCGCACACCGCATGCTCCCCATGCAAGACAATGAACGAGGACCCTCGCCTCGCTCTGTGAGGACGATGCTGCGATCGGAGAGTGTGGGGACGTGAAATTGACAGCCGTCGACGAGACTGCTCAGAAGTCAACATCATATGCTTAGTTTAACGGTGAGAGAGAGTTGACTTCTGGGTCATCCGTCACCATCTTCCACGGATGTCGACGTTTGACGACTTCCTATTACAGATCGCGCATCTCCGATAGTTTACGCGGGCCTTTGGTCGTCTAAATGACTGCCCCCGGGTTAATCACGCGAGATCGCAACTAAGTAAAAGGTCTGAAGTGGTCCTGGCCAGCCTTATGTTGACTTCCCCACCCCTTGGGGGAACGAAGAGGGTGACCACTCAAACGGGCTGAGCTGAGAGAACGAGGTTGACCCGGTGTCTGCCAAGCCAAGTCGCAAGACATACGGCAAAAAAAAGAGGCTTTCTTCGGTATTTAATGAAGTAAAATCATTTTTATAACTATGGATTTGCGTCAATGTTAATTAATATGAGGGATTATTCAAGTCAGTGGCCCAAGTCTTCAGCTGAGAGATGCATGCAGCCTGAATAAATTGCTAATGCGTTGAATGAGCTCGTATTTATTAAATAATCGGGACGAACTATAATAAAGTTTAAGCTCATGATGTATCGATAAAAGTTTAATGTAACAAAGTCAAACCGGGTCAAATTCTCGAGTCAAGGTCAGTTATTTTTTCTCCGGACTCGTCCCAGGAAATGGGCTTCTCTGGCCCATAATGGGCTTATCCAGCCCGTTTTTGAACCAACTGCGAATTATTCCCAGGTGATGCCAGATATTCCACGAATAAATATAAACACTGGATGAAATATGCAGAAATTAATATTTTTGCCAATATTCGTGAAACCCACTGCCAATAATCAACGGCTACGTCGGCTGCGAGGAAAATCCCAGGAATTTTTTTTTCTCCTCTGGTCTGCGGTCCCGAATACTTTGACCGGGGGGCCTATTTTTCATAGACGAATTACGTGAATGTCACCGCCTCGTTCGTCGACGAACCCACCGCAGACCATGGATCTTCCCCGCTCCCACGTTATTCTATCGATTAAATGGTAATTATAATAATCAGGTAGACTATTCTCATCGACTTTTCCTCACTAGCCGCGTCTCTCTCTCTCTCTCTCTCTCTCTCTCTCTATCTGTGCATAGGAGAATTTCGCATGCACGCACGATTTAATGCGACGATGATGAAGTAGGGTTTTCGTAATCGTCACCAGCTTGAAATCTGTCCCTTCACTGCGTGCGTCTCTTAGTTGGCTCCTGGCTGCAGTCCCCACCACGTGCTGCCGCCACATTTGCTGCCAAGAGCATCATCGCCGCCACCACCACCTCTGCTGACTCCATGGATGTCGCCGTCATTGTCGTCGAAGCTATTTTGACTCACCGGCGCGTTTGGTCCGCGGCACGCCGCCGGCCTGACCCACCAAAACCGCCGACTTTAGCTGCTGGCCCATTTTCGCCAACGGACCGGGTGCGACTTCGGCGGAGTAAGATCATGCACAATGCCGTCTGAACGACTTTTACGGATTATTCCCACTCTTTTCAACGGGAGCTTCCTAGATGTGATATCAGCCTGACTTTTACCCCGTCGGGTGGCTCTGTTCTATCAGGAATATGTCAACGCCTTTGACTTTTATCCATCTTCAGGACGCTGACCGACGCTTCATGTTCCTCGTTTCGTGTTACTTTTGAGAGAGGGAGGGAGATTAATGACCACGTCGGGGGTGGTGCTGGGTCAAGGGCGGGGAGAGAGGAGACATGGGGCTCGGAGACAATGGTGGTGGGCTCATGACCAGCGGCCTCGGGTTATGGAGGGGTTCCTCTAGGCTTACTACGCTCTGCCCATTAATTACCCCTCTTCTTATTGAAGGTGCTGCGAACGCGTGGGAGTAAGAGAGAGAGAGAGAGAGAGAGAGAGGGTGCACATCATTCAAGTGCTCCTTGCGCACTGTCATGGCTTTCAATTCCCCTCGCTCTCGGCGTGTAGCTAATTATCTGCTCGCTCCAAATCTGACCCCGTCGAAACCAGCTCGACTCGGGCTCTCCTTTGATTAGGATTTCTGGTGGCTGCCTCGGGAAAGATTTCTTTCTTTTTCTTTAATCGCCTTGCCGAGAAAGTGAGAGAGCGGCCCCATCCCCCTACCGCCCCCTTCCTTCGTCGCCATGAACGGAGATAATCTACCGGGCTCTTCTTCTACCGAAAGGGAACAGACATAGTTCATCCGTCGTCCAGTGAGCCCTTTTCTCCGTCTCTGTCCCTCTGCATCTCCCTTCGAGCGGAGATGGACAGGGTCTTACTGACGGAGACGAACAAGACGGAGATTCGTGCGCCTTTCCCCAACTACCTCTCGCCCTCTCCGCCGCTGCCTCCACTGCTCTCCGTCGACGGCATCATCGGCAGGATAAGCCCGAGCATCCTGCTCGTCATCGTAATCCTCGGGTTCATCTTCGTCATCTCCGGTCTGCTCCACCTCCTGGTCCGCTACCTCATCAGACGTTCCACCACGGACCAAGATGATCAGGACAGCGCCACCGCGCTGCAGGGGCAGCTACAGCAGCTCTTCCACCTCCACGACGCGGGGGTCGATCAGTCCTTCATCGACACCCTCCCCGTTTTCCCCTACAAGGACATCACCGGAGTGAAGGACCCCTTCGACTGCGCCGTTTGCCTCTGCGAGTTCGAGGCCGACGACAAGCTCCGGCTTCTTCCCGAGTGCAGCCACGCCTTCCACATGGAGTGCATCGATACGTGGCTTCTCTCCCACTCCACCTGTCCTCTCTGCCGGACCAGCCTCCTCCCAGACTTCGCCCCCGGCCACAACTGCACGCCCTTCGTCCTCCTGCTCGAGTCCGGCAGCGAGAGCTCCAGGGAGACGGTTGAAGAGGATCCTGTTGCGCCTTCCGCAGAGGAACCCCCAGGGAAGGCGAGGGATTTTGGGGAAAAGGGTGCGGAAAGGACGACGGAGCCGCCGCCGCCGCCGCCGCTACCGCCGCCGCCGTCGAGATTGGTGCCGATCAAGCTCGGCAAGCTGCGGAGTGTCGACGGCGCCAGCGAAGGAAGCAGCAGCGACAACCGTGTGCTTGACGGAAGACGGTGCTTCTCCATGGGTTCCTTCGAGTACGTGATGGACGAGACATCCCGGATGCATGTGACGGTCAAGCAGCCGGCAAGAAAGCCCGGCGTCAAGAAGCCCGGCCACCGTCCCGCCATATCCGAGTGCGACTGCAACCCTAGGAGAGAAGGGCTCAAGGGCTTCGAGACGGGGGAAAGCTTTTCAGTCTCGAAGATCTGGCTCCGGTCGAAGAAGGAGAAGAAGCCGGCGGGGGAGGTCAGCTCCAGACGGGTGTTTTCCTTCCGGCTTCCCCTGCAAATGGGAGGGGCGGCGGAGCGTGGAAAGGTGAAGTGCGGCAGCAGCCGTAGGACGGCAGCGTCAGAGGTTGACCTCGCCTGCTACGACAAGAGCGGTAGCGACCTGGGTTCCGACCTGGAGGCCGCCGGCTGCGACGGCGATAACGTCGTTTCACGGGGAGAGGAGACGCCCTCCTTCGCCAGGAGGACCCTGCTGTGGATCTCCGGGAGGCATCACAAGGTCGGGAACCATTCTGAGTCCGGTCGAATCCCTTCCTCTGGCCCCATTTTGTTTTCAAATTTTTCCGGAGACGAAGTCGCAGAAGGAGGAACGAAATGAGAAAATCCGTAAACATCTGGACATATAATTTTTTCGAGCTTGTTTCCGAGTTAACCATCTCTGCTCCCCACCAGCTTCTCGAGATCCCGATATTAATCTGCTAGTTCAATGCGTTAAATTCAAGTTCTCCATCGTCTCTCCCTCCTCAACCCGCCTTCCCAGATCAACCAACGATCTTTCAAAACTGGGTAAGGCGTAGACCCAGCTCGCCATTCGATCCTCTTCACGTGCCATCAGTCGTTGTTGATCTTGGCAACATGTGAACACCGCGATGCGAATGTTAGAGATATACTGAGAGAGAGAGAGAGAGAGAGAGAGAGGAAATCAAATATAACCAATTTGGGAGTCTTCCTTGTCTCCGAAGTCCAAAGATCTCTGCTTCCATTCTTCTGGCGGTGTCAGTCATTCGACCCCGGTACTCAGGAGGGGGATGAAACAAGACCCACTGCGAGTTTCCATCCGCCTCGCTTATTGTGATTAGATGAGATGCCAGGCACATGTTCGTACTGCGCTGGAATCCAGAAGGGGGTCGGTCGATTTCCCTGTTGGTTCGTGGTCAGAGTATACGGACGAGGAAATCGGGGGAGGATTCCACTCTTTCTTGTCCGATTACTCTGGTCAACCCCCCCCCCCCCCTTCGACTTTTGCGGGAGAATTTGTGCTCGAGACTTAATCCAGATGAGTGACTCCAAGAATTGGCCCTAATATATACATACATATAGAGCGTGTGCTGGAGATACATGTATATAGATAGATAGATAGAGAGATAGATAGAGAGAGAGAGAGAGAGAGAGAGGAGCAATAATATACACTCACCTGTGTGTCATACGTGAACGATATAATACAGGAGGTCGGCAATGAAATCCATATAGTTTGATTAGTCCCTAAATGACACACAGAAGGGAGCTTATGAATCCTGTCCCCGAGAAAGAGAGAGAGAGAGATGCTATGGAAACCTGAATCCGGAGTATATGGCGAAGCCGGGCTATGCTCACACACTTTCATTGCAATGCGCGGACTCTCATTGCATGTGAACTTGCGCCGTTTTGTTTCTATTCTTGTTTCTTACAGTTTAACGTATTAAAAGAATCAGACATGAAGCAATCCGACCCGTCTCCATGGCGCAGCACACCTTCCGAAGCCCGGCATTTCCTCCATCTGCATTCACTCGCCCACAAGATGAAAACCCAGCATAAGATGACGACGAGAGGGCGCGGATCGATCCCGAGTGGACGTATAAACTATCAATTTCTCATGTAAGAAGGGTTATCAATCACCCACACCGTCTCCATCAATGCGAAGGCGACGAGTGCGAGAGGAACACGATGAAGTTGCCGAGCTGTTGGAGTTATTACCGCTCGGGCCTCCTCTTTTCCTTAATGGCAGCAACGCGGCCTGCAACAGTGGTCTGCCAGTTGTGTTGGATCCTCCCTGTCACCACTGTACCCCTCTGCTGGGAGTTAACTCGCCGATCTAGCGAGAGAGAGAGAAAGAGATGGGGAAGCTCTTCCTCTCTCAGTTGCCATCTCACTCGCCGCCGGAGTGGATGCCGCCGTGGCAACGGTCAAAGGGTCGTCCCAACCGAGGCCGACGCCCCACGTAAAGCCCCTGTTCCTTCCGTTTTTACTCCGGTGAATTCGTACCTTGTCGCACCGCCGCCTCTGGGATAGGGCCCGGCGTCATGGAAGTCTCGGGCCGGACTGCCGCTTTTGATCGATGGGGGCAAAAGGGTCAACTTTACTGCATCTCTGCCAATGCTGAAGCTACACTTCACCACATATATTTCGGGCTTTTGGCCCTAACCAAACCCGAAAAAGGATGTTGGCCCGGCCCATTTACACCCGTCAGTGCTTAGATAGGGGCCCAAAGCCCAGGTCCTATCTTCTTGGTAAACGGCCCTGGTTTAGTGATCGCTCTCTCTCTCTCTCTCTCTCTCTCTCTCTCTCAAACCGGACTTGGCTTTCTCAAGGTCCCGTCCATAGTCAACTCCCGTGGCTTTTTTGGGCCGAAGCCCATTAGATAAAATGGGACCGGTGAGAGGTTGACCAAGGCAATCCATCACAGCACTCCTCTCATTGTCATTCGGCAAATCTTTAGTTACGGAAGCGTGACTCGTACCCTGTGAATGCTGCCCTCGCCTGAGTTACTGAAATAATAAATAATTATTAAATTACCAAGAAGGTATTTTTTCCCTTGAACTTGTGATAAATAAATAATTTATTGGACATAATACCGACGCAGGGACAAGCTTCTGGGCCAGAAATAAAAATATTTAAATAAAGACAGGAAAATGGACGTGGGTGAAGAACTTGCCGGAGTATGACACGCTCAAATCAGAAAGCTCTTGGCTTTATTAGTCAGTAGATGGCGATCCATCTCCCGCTTCCGCCTTCCGTCAAGGCCTGTGTTTGGTCATCTTAATAGCGTTGATGCCAAAAAACGGCGTGAGAGCGATTAGTGTTTATTGCGGGTAAGTACGGATATTTAGCCTCCCTCTCTCTACACGGTGGCCGATACCCACCCTCTCTCTACCCTTCTCACCTGTCTCTATCTCTCTCCGAAACGGGGTTATAATGGGCTGGCCCATTAGTACCAGACGCCGGACGCCCACGTGACCCGTTGTCTCGGTTCAGGCATGGACAACGCCTCTCCTTTGGACGAAACGCCGTAGCCCACCGAACGGGCGGGCGTGATTGTAAGGAAGTCGGCAATATTTATACGACTCCAGAAGAATATGGAAATAATAATAATAATAATAATCTGACGAATTATTTAATAATATCTGCTTCGACCTTTTTAATATTTCTCTCTTTCTCTCTCTCTCTTGAATCGGTTTATAGAGAGGGAGAGACCCCGTCCGGGGAAAGCCCAGGCTGTGGGTGGACAACGGGTTGACCCAGAATCCGAGCACAGAAGAGAAGACCGTCGGAAGGTCGCCGCACTGCCGATCTGACGGGCAGGTCAACCAAATGTAGAGATAAAGCCCTCCGCCGGGCTTTGTTTCATTCTCCGATGTGTTTCTATGGTTTCGTCTACCAAATCATGGACAGCGACTGGGAGGCGTGGGACAGATTGGGGCTGCCATTATATTTCGTCGTCGAGGAGACCTCGCAGCTCTGATTGCGTCTCCTCCTCCCCCACGCCAGTTCTAAGGGAGGAAACATTCGGCTCCTTCCTGTGTCCCAAAACAGTGAACCTCTTCGGCCACAACCCATGGAAGCTGACCGCAGGGAGAAAGGAGACATAAGAACCACCCCGTAGACTCCTCCTCCTCCTGGAGATCTTCGCAGTTGAAGAGGAGAGGCCGGAGAGATGGCGAAGAAGGGTTTGCGAGGGCGCATCGGAGTTCTCTCCGCTCGCTTTCGGGAGGAAGACGGCTTCTTCTTCCTCGCCGAAGGCTTTAAGGTGATGCTCGTGGCGGTGCTCGTGGTCTTTACTCTCTGCTCGCTCCTGTCAGTCGGCGCTCGTTTCTCGCGCAGCTCTTTCTTGGAGATGGCAATGGACCAGTACCTGCTGCACAAAATAGATCCCACCAGCGCTCAAGGCCTCGCGCTGGCGCTCGTCGTCTCCGAGCACGCGAAGGTCGCCGCCACCAGGGAACTGCTCTTCCTCACTATCTCCCTCCTCACGTCGTGGACGACTTCCATGGCGGCGTACTACTTCCTCTTTGCCGCCTCCCTCGACGAGACGGAGCCGGATCCCTGCCGGGGAAGATGGACGGGGTTTCTCTCCACTCTCCGCTGCGCGGCGACGGTGACGGTGGCCTACGGCTTCCTCCTCGAGGCGGCGGCCCTCATCTTTCTGGAGGTCGCCGGCAATTCCGCGGCGTTCCTCGCGGCGGCGGTTCTCGTGGCCTCCGTCTTCCGGTTCCTGTCCTTCACCGTGGGCACGGTCTTGGGACAGGCCCTGGCAATGTCCGCCCTCGACGACGAAGAATGCGGCGGCGGAATGGAAGCTCTCCGGCGGCCCGTCCGGCTTCTCCTCGGCGGTTCGCCGGCGATGGATCTTGAGCTTCTCCTGGTTTGAAGCTCCCGTGGCCGTGGGTGAGCCGGAAAGATGCCTCCGCCGCCGTGCCATCGTCCCGTTGACTTTTTACAATAACGATTTTTATGACATTTAAAACTGATTGATGGATGACGTCAGGGAAAAGTCTTCTTCTCGTTCCACTGGGATTGGAGCTCTCCGCTGAGGATATTCCGACGTAGATTCGCCCGTTGACCATTCTAGGGGAAGCCTCTCCTTGGTAGTCGGCATTCCACCGTGTTCTTTTTCCCATAGAGGAGAGATAATGGGTGGGAAAACCCAGAAATTGGGCTTTTATTGGGCTCAGACCGAAAGGCCCTCTTTACGGTGACACCTGTCTCTCTCCCTCTCTCGAGGGTGATAATGGGTCAGAAAATCTTAAGCTATGTATTATTGGACCTTATTGGGCCTATAAAGCCCATAATTGCTCACGATGATACCTCTCGATGACAAAAGATGGGCCCACCAGATGAGGAGAGAAGACGTGGCAGCATCACCACCATGGAGAGCTTTCGTGCAACCAATGAACGACGTGGCCTTTATTGGTTGGGGCAAGTTGTTTAGATGAGGAGTGCGATATGTAGCTCTCTCTCTCTCTCTGGCTCTGTGAATCGAGAGTAGAGGGAAGATGGCGAGCTACTCCTGCATCGTTGCTCGTGCGGATGCGAACTTGTGCTTCCCGACAAAGAGACCGTGCATTTCTTCGCTTACGGCGGCGACGGCAGCGGCGTCCAGGTGAGGACAGACGGCGCTCGCTCTTCTTCGCCTCCATTGTATAGAAATCACAACCACTCTCCCCTCTTCGAGAATTCCTGGGTCAGAACACAGCTGTATTCGATGCATTCCAGGATTTGTGTGTTCTCGAGACGGTTTCTGAGTGCCTTTGGAGGAACCTCTTGCTTCTTCTCTTCGTCGGTTGGAGATCCCTTGTATCCTGATTTCGTCTGGCAGAAAGAGACAACCAAGAGGAAAATCCTCGTTCGTGGTGACTTGCGACGTCGGAAAAATTGGCCGCCCCTCGGCCTTTCATTTTCGTTTTCTTGTGCCACCGAATCATAGTTCGGAAGCGTGAATTGTTCGAACTCCAGCTGTCTTCTTCTGCGTACCGTGGTGGTACGTGCTGTGAACTAGAACAACGTAATTTTGAAAGGAGAACCTGTCTGTTTAGGGAGAAGAGGCCCATAGGAAAATGAAAACTACTTTACTAACAACGAGGGAAAATCTTTGATAACTGCAGGATCGATTAGTAGATTGAGGTTGTCATGTGATGGCACCGTCATGGTAGATAGAAATCAATCTCCTGAGTTTTTCTTTGGGTTTCAAGTAATACGAGATTCGGTGAATTTTTCAACAAGCTCTCCTGTTTGAGTCCACAACGTCTGCATGGCTGAAATCTTTATCGAATGAAATTTCTTCTCATAGATCTGAAATAGCTAATATACTTGTTTTCAGTCGTAAAACAATGGGTTTGATCCTAAACATCTTTGATAAATTGGTATTCACTTCCGTCGCTTCTGAAACTATTACTATTTTTTTGTAACTAATGCTCTTCTCTCCTCTATCTTGGCAGCAGATTGCAAAACAAAGGATTGGATGTCAGGAGTCTCCCAAGGGGCAGAAGCCAGATACTCCCGGTTCAGGCAGTTGCTAATGTACGAACTCATCCTTTTCATGCGATTCCGATATGTTTCGTTTGTTGAGATTAAGGTCCGCCGGGCATGGATTGAATGATTCTTCAGGAAGAAGACTAAATACCATCATGAAAATAGGCTCAGCTTATTCATTTTTCATGGTGTTTATAGTCGCAGGGCTGGTATTAATTTATATCGTCAGATGGGAAAAATTGTCTAGTTGATATTTTTAATTTGAATAAATCGATTTTCATTGTTTGGCAGAACATGATCTAGGAAATCCGAGAGACTGACTCTTTAACTTTTTTCTATTGTTTCCTTCATTTGCTTATCGTTGTGATTGGATATTTATTAATCGTAAAGAACTGTTTTCTTTTCTTCGGATGATTGTGAAAGCTGAACCACAATATTCCTCGTGTGGTGTTTTGGGAACTTTTTGGAATTTGAAAACATTTATGTGTAGAAACAGAGATCCTTTTTTTCATTCAGGACTCAAATGTGAAATTTTCAGTGCATGCAACTCGTGAGCCACTGTTTTAAAAAAATCGGAAAATTATTCACATGAGAATTCTAAAGAAGCACCGTCAGCTCTCACTCAAAGAGAAGCGCCCAGATCCAAGGTTGGCTTGTTGCATCAATAAATCTGTAAATATTTGGGGCATCACATCAACTTTTGGCTTCTCTGACTCACCAAATAGTAGTAAAAAAAATTAACATGAGAGGAGTCACATCCTTCTAATTTGATGATGCATTATTCTGCGTTGCAAGCATTTATTCAGGCGTGTACTTTTTTCTTATTTGAATTATCATGTTCTATGAGTAAAATCGCCTTAGGTCTTTGTTCAGTTCTTGGAAAGAGAAGGGCGCATACGCCTTTTATGGGCCTCAGTATTTAGGCGGCGTGAGGCTGCTAAAAGGAAACCCTCGGAGCAGAGCTGAAGCTTAGGTTCCTTTAACTGTGATTATGCCAACTCGTGAAATCCCAGTCTTTTTAAAACAAGAGTCACGACCATCATTTCTTCGTGCAATCATTTTTTTTTGTAAATATTACTCACTTCGGAGCGCTGAGGATGCTAGAATTATTTATTCCTCAATTTTTAGCTGGGTTTTTTAAGATTCTTGCTTTATTTTTCAGACATCTCGAAGGAGAAGATCTTCCAGTGATGACGTGGTAATGGTCGATCCTTTGGAAGCCAAGCGACTGGCAGCGCAACAAATGCAAGAAATTCAGGCAAAGCAGAAACTCAAAGTGAGCAATTGCTCTGACCTTTCTCTAGAAGCATGTTGATGATTGTTGGAATTGTGTTTTGTCTCTCCTTTACTGAATTTCTCTGATTTTATTCTCCATTATATGAATTCTGTTCTTAAAAAGTCAACTTAACTTCCTCAAGAATGTCAATAATATAATTAACTTTGACCCTACAAGAATGTGAGATTTATCTGCGCATTGGAGTGCTTTCTTTTTCTTCCATAGATTTCCATTTCAGTGCAACGAGTTCACTTGGGTCAGCGCTTTGCTCTGGTAAAATCCCGAGTGGATCGTCTTTCTTCCATGTTCCCCGGATATCCCCTGAGAACACCCAATCACCCTTTTCCACGTGGAAATCAATGACCGCAAAAAACTCAGAGTTGGGCTTTGAAAGATGCATCAGAAACCCACCTCCCCATCAGGAGTTGACCAACATAAAAAGTGGCTCTCTCATGCTTCTTCATGCTTGGTCCTTTCATTGGGGTGCAAGTGATGAGCTCATCATCCATGGTCAACTCTTAAAAGCATCAGAAACCCACCCTGCCATTAGGAGTTGACCAACACAAAAACAGGCTCTCTCTTTGAGAGCTTCCTCACGCTTTGTCCTTTCATTGGTCTGCAAGTGATCAACTCATGAATCACGGTCAACCAAAACTTTACGTCGGTCAAGAACGCAGATCCTCCCATATTTAGTACGGAGATTCAGCTGAAATAACTCCCCAGTTCCCTGTATTTGGGTTGCATCCTGTCCAGTTCGATGTCCGTACATTGATCTTGACAACAAGATACGCGTGTGGGTTCAGAGGCAACGCCGGATCGAAGCCATCAACGGAGCTTGGGCAGTGATCGGGCTCACAGCAGGATTAGTGGTCGAAGTCCAGACCGGAGACAGCATTCCAGCGCAGGTAAACCTGATTAATCTTCTATGGAAATTTGAGTAAGTGAGAGATTTTTATTCATCGATGAATCGCCGATCATCTAGCAGCTGGCGAGGTATTGGTCGGCCATCGTCAGCCAATTTTGGCAATGGTGAGAGGCATGGCCTCTGCGGCAAATCATAACCGGAAGCATATATGGTTTAAAGGTAATTATACGTTTTACCTTGTAAACACTTGAGTGTACGGGATGAGTGAAAAAGGAAGGTCTCTTTTCACAGCAGGATGAGCATTGGGTGTTGGTGGGCCGGGCTTTTTTGGACTCCCACTTTTTATTTCGGCCCAATTATGACCGGGTCGGGGGTCTTCGTAGGCCAGATAAAAAATTGCTCGGGTGAAGCGGGCCGGACCTGGCCCAATTAAAAATGGGCCAGCCTGGGCCCGCTAGATTTAAGAGTTAATCTCCTCCGAAATTAAATAAACCTGGAATAAATATTTTTTGATCGAAATCTTATATTCATGGACATCAACCCATGAGAGAGAGAGAGAGAGAGAGAGAGAGAGAGAGAGAGCAGCTCCTCTGTGCCGCTCTCTCTCTCTCTCTCTCTCTCTCTCTCTCTACTTCCCTACCCCCGCCGACAACTTTTCCGCACAGTGAGACGGAGACTATTAGAGGTTCTCGACTTTCCGGGGACGTTGACGGGTCTCCCGTAGCCGGTGTGGCGCGAGAGAGATGAGATGAGATAAGATAAGATCACTGCCCCGATGACCTAACGCCACATTCTACTGGTTACCTTCCCCCCAATCCTTCTCGATGAGAGAGAGAGAGAGAGTGAGAGAGATAGGAGGAGAGGCGTTGATGGGTCACTCTCTCTCTTTCTCTCTGTCTCTCTCTGTTTCTCTCTATTGGACCTTTTTCCCCCTAATACGCTTCCTTCCCCGGCAAGTTTCTTCCAGGATAGGGACGGAGGTTTCGTCGAGCTGAGACGGCGCACTTTCTCGCCGTAGCCCAAGTCACGCACGTAATTAGACGCTTTTAGTGGCGGAGAGGGCTCTCGTTAGTCAACGGGTGGAGATCTCGTTCTTCCCCCCTCTTCCGAACACTTATCCCTTCGGATGGCCGCTGACCACCCGCAACGGTCACCCCCCGGGATACGCCATAGTTACCGTCCATTGGCAGCGCCACCACCCAGCTCCCCCGTCGCTGTCACTTTGGCTGGCCGAATCCTGCCGGACTGGGAAGAGACGCGCGGCAGAGCGAGATCTCCTCGGAGGACGGCTGACCCATGTCCGCCTGTCCGGTCAAACACGTCCCGGGCCCGCCACATACGCTGAATAATCCATCAACTTTGACCATTCCGGACGCTGGACCATCAACTGCCCCGCCGGAGACGCCTGCCCAACTCGCGGCGTCTTCTCTGGCGGCGGGAGACGGCGGATCAACCAGTCTGAGGAGGACCCCCCCGCCGTTAAGTCAACGCTGTTCGATCTCGGGGATCTCACCGTGATAATCGCCAGGCCGCAGTGGAGGAGGGTATCGACGGAAGACCTCCGGTTCTTTGAAGCGTTTCTAGATGGATATTATTCTACTGCGTGCCGACCGACCCAGCCATCCACATTATTTTAATACATTTATTTATTTATTTTCCTGGCAGATAACTCAGGTTTGACCGCGATCGGTTTGACTTCATTGGACTCGTCTGTTATCTGTTTGGCTTTTTCTTGGGCCGAGGGAGGTGGCGAGTCCACGGGGCGGTCCAATTCGCCCGTTATCTTTGATCAGACGGTTGACGTTCATAGTCCGTTAGTCCATCTCGAGATCCTCGGGTTGAGCATGGGCCCCACGCGCCATGTTCAACTGGTCCGGGGACGACCATTTTTATCTGTGGGCCCCACATTTGGGAACCTTATCCAAGCCGGAGACAACAGTGCCTGCGTGGGGGCCCACACATTGGCCCGGAGCCGGGCCCATCATATCTTTAGGCCCGGTCCGCCCGTCTATCTGCTAAACCTCAGACTCCCAAACACGACGTAAGTGGGGCCTGCGAGTTGTGGATAAACATGACCCGAGTTTTGGAATGGGCAGCCGGTGGTCAAACCGACAGCTGGCGACCTCTGAGCGAGCCGCGTAAGGTTAAAGACGGAGATACCGGAGCGATCTCACAGGGAGGCTTCTGCTGTAGTGGGCCCCGTCACGTGGTTTCGGCACTACGAGCCGCTTGAGGTTCGACTGGGCGGAATCAAGGTCCGGCTCACGTGTTTAGGCTATAATTGTCCTTTCACCTCACCCCCATCCCTCTCTCTCTCTCTCTCTCTCTCTCTCTCTCTATCCATCTGTCTACCCAACCCTACCGTTTCTATCTTCTCCCTTTCTTTCCCTCTCTCTCTCTCTACCCCATCTGCCGCACCGGAGGAATGAATGAATAAAGGCCTTGAGAGGAGGCCCTCTATCGTCGACCGTCTTCTTCCATGATCTACGACGCCCGAGGAAAGGGAAAACCCTAGCCCCCGACCTCCCGTTGGGTTGCCGTCCATAGGCGCCACCGCCAGAATGCCGTCCCAGTCTTGCGCCAATCTGCTGGAACTCGTCTCCCGCTCGGCGGAGTACCCCTCGCCGACGAGGCCGCTCACGCCGCACCTCCCACGGGTGGTCACCGTTCCTGGGATCATCTCCGACTTCGGCGACGGGGACCCCTCCGAGAGGTCCTGCGAGCGCCTCCTCTCCGATTGCAGCTGCGATTCCCCCGTGCCGCGGGAGCGCAGGATCATCGTTGCCCATCAGCTTCCCATCCGGAGCCACCGGGATCCGGCCACCCGCCGGTGGCGATTCTCATGGGACCCGGACGCTCTCTCCCTGCAGCTTCGCGCGGGGTTCCCCCCGCAGTGTGAGATCCTCCATGTCGGCACCATCCGGCCTCCGTCCTCCGATCCCGACGCCGCCGTCGACCCCTCGGAGGAAGAAGAGGTCAAACAGATCCTATATGATCAGTTCCGCTGCGTCCCGGTCTTCCTCCCAGCCGATGTCCACAATCGGTTCTACCATGGCTTCTGTAAGCACTATCTCTGGCCGCTCTTCCACTACATGCTTCCTGTCTCCCCTTCCGCCCTCGGTGGCGTCCGCTTCGACCGCTCCCTCTGGCTGGCCTACGTCTCCGCCAACAGGGTCTTCGGAGACACCGTGACCGAGGTCCTTAACACAGACGAGGACAACGTGTGGGTGCACGACTATCACCTTATGCTTCTCCCCACCTTCCTCCGGCGGCGATCGTACCGCGTCAAACTCGGCTTCTTCCTTCACTCCCCCTTCCCGTCTTCGGAGATGTACCGGACGCTGCCCGTCAGGGAGGAGATTCTCCGGGCGCTCCTCAACTCGGACCTCGTCGGATTCCACACCTTCGACTATGCCCGCCACTTCCTGTCCTGCTGCAGCCGGATGCTGGGGATCGACTACGAGTCCAAGAGGGGGTACATCGGCCTGGAGTACTACGGGCGGACGGTCAGCATCAAGATCCTCCCCGTTGGCATAGACATGGGCCAGCTCGAGACGGTGATGCGGTCACAGGAGGCCGGGGAGAAGGCCCGCGAGCTAATGCTGCAGTTCGAGGGCAGGACCGTGTTACTGGGCGTCGACGACATGGATTTGTTTAAGGGCATAAGCCTGAAGTTCCTGGCCATGGGTCAGCTCCTGGAAGAACACCAGGAATGGAGGGGGCGCGCAGTCTTGGTCCAAATTGCGAATCCAGCAAGAAGCGAGGGAAAGGATGTGCAGGAGGTCCACGAGGAGATGCTCATGGTTGCAGAGAAGATCAACAACCGGTTCGGCACGGCGGATTATCAGCCAATCATCCTAATCAACCGCACGGTGCCGACCTATGAGAAGGTCGCCTACTACGCGATTGCGGAATGCTGTGTGGTCAACGCGGTCAGGGACGGAATGAACCTGGTGCCTTACAAGTACACCGTATGCCGGCAGTGGAGCCCAGCCCTTGGTGGCAAGCCGAAGAAGAGCATGATTGTGGTTTCGGAGTTCATCGGCTGCTCCCCATCCCTCAGCGGCGCGATCAGAGTGAACCCCTGGAATGTGGATGCAGTGGCTGACGCCATGAATCTAGCCATCAAGATGCCAGAGCCGGAGAAGCAGCTTAGGCATGAGAAGCACTTCAAGTATGTCACCTCCCACGATGTAGCTTACTGGGCGAGGAGCTTCGATCAGGACCTGCAGAGAGCCTGCAGAGATCATTTCTCCAAGAGGTGCTGGGGGATCGGGTTCGGCCTGTGCTTCAGGGTTGTGGCCCTCGGCCCAAACTTTAGGAAGCTCTCTGTGGAACGCATTGCTTCGGATTACAGGAAGACCAGCAGCCGGCTGATCTTGCTCGATTATGATGGCACAATGATGCCCCAGGCTTCAGAGAACAAGTCCCCGAGCGACGAGGTCATTTCGGTGCTCAAGAGCCTCTGCAGCGATCCAAAGAATGTCGTCTTTGTTGTTAGTGGCAGGGGGAAAGATTCCTTGAGCAGATGGTTTGGCCCAGTTGAGAAGCTGGGCATCTCTGCAGAGCATGGCTTCTTCACTAGGTCTGCCTTTCTCACCGAACATACGTTTCCTTGTTCCTGCATCATTTTTACGACTCACGGTAGATAATTGGAAGTAGTCAGGGAATTAATAAAATTGCTCAGTACCATGGGAAATTCAGAGGTTTCCACAGGTACGTAGCTCAGTTGACTTCATCTTACGCAGATGAATCTTTGTTCTTCAGATTGTGGGCTACGTAGGAATTCATAATGTTGCCATGGGTGTCTGATGGAAGCGACTTCATTCATTACCAGCATGCGAATTCAAGTCTGTTTGATCTTTAGAGCCTATTTCTTGCCACATTGTTCATCCTCCCCTTTTAATCTTAGCACTACTGGTTTTACTCTGATTTAAGATCTCTGTTCCATCGATAGAACTGTCGATTGCATTCGTTCGATCCGGCCATGGCTGACAATCCTGTGGTTGTTTTCTGGCAGGTGGAGCGCGGATGCTCCGTGGGAGACATGCTTGCTGACCCCCGACTTTGACTGGAAGAAAATGGCAGAGCCTGTAATGAGACTCTACATGGAGACGACTGACGGGTCCTCCATGGAGCACAAGGAGAGCGCCATCGTTTGGCACCACCAGGACGCTGACCCCGACTTCGGATCCTGCCAGGCGAAGGAGCTCCTCGATCATCTCGAGAGCGTTCTTGCCAATGAGCCGGTCGTTGTGAAAAGAGGGCAGCACATAGTTGAAGTCAAACCCCAGGTATCAGCATCCTTGTTGATCTGATTCTCTCTGGTCGAGCTTCTGGAGCGTTAATGGCGGATCTCTGCGCAAAGCCCAAGATCGCAGGCAAGCTCTGATGCTGAGAAATTTACTCTATTTTCCTCTGTTGTAGGGGGTGAGCAAAGGGATGGTGGTGGAGAGCCTCATCTCCAAGATGAGCGCCGGAGGGAAGCCGCCGGACTTCATCCTGTGCGTCGGCGACGACCGATCAGACGAGGACATGTTTGAGAGCATTGTGGGCGGCCCGGCGCTGCCAGCTGCCGCCAAGGTCTTCGCCTGCACTGTGGGGAAGAAGCCGAGCAAGGCCAAGTACTACCTGGATGACCCAGCTGACGTCGTGAAGATGCTCCAGGGCCTGGCCTCCGTGTCCGACCGACCACAGAAACCCGTGGGCCTCCAGGTCTCGTTCGAGGGTTGACTTTTCTGGGAGATGATCAGGGGGTCTCCATCTGGGTTGACCTCGTCAGGCGGTGCTCCATGGTGGTGGCGTCCGAGGCGAAGCAGGATGGATTGATTTACACGGAGAGATCGGCCTGATCTCCCAGGCAAAGGCCAGCTGTATATTCCCTCTCTTCTTAATGAAATCTGTAGAAGAACCCAATTGACAGATGATATACCACGATTCAAAGATCATTCTTTTATACCAAGCTCGGCCTCCCTCTCTCTTTCTCTCTCTCTCTCTCGCTAAAGGTGTGAGTCGGCTTCCCGTAGCTTGTTCACTACGCAGAGCACAGGGAAGCGGTGGAGCTCTCTAATGGCCCATCTTCTATAATCAGCTTTTAGAGAGAGAGAGAGAGAGAGAGAGAGAGAGGAGAGAGGAGAAAGCAATATAACACCACATCTGTTTCAGACCAAGGGTTTTTCTCATGGGCTTCATGCTAAGGCTAATGATAAGAGCTAGCTAGTGGGCTGACGATCTTAATCATCTCTGAAAGAGAGAGAGAGAGAGGGAGAGGGAGAGAGAGAGAGAGGGAGAGTCTGGCCCATTTTGAGTTGGGCTTCGGACTGAGGCGGCACCCTTAATTTAATGGACGTTACGCGCTGTTGGACCCAAAGGTTCCAAAATTCTTTCAAGCCCAGATCATTAGCTGGAGAGAGGAGAAGGCCTGAGGATCGCTGTCTAGACTGCGGTAACCAGTGCAGTTTCCCCTCTTCGGTGATGCAGATCGCTGGTCTCTGCGGATTGCTCTTCCGATCGCTATCTAGACTGTTCTCCGGCGCTTCCTTTTCCCTTCAAGTATAAGGAAGATACGGGGCTCGTGTTTCCCGTCAAGAGTGAATCATAACTGGGCGCCTTGACCGCTAGGGTTCTGATCATATCCCGTGTTGGTGGGCACGCTTAGGAAGCAGGAGGTTAGGCTTCTCCTCATCTGAGATCCTGGTAAATCTTGCCTTCCCTGGATCGGTCTTCTTCAGTGCTGGAATCTGTCTCAGAGTTGCTTTTTTTCTTATGTTTTTCATTCCTTGCGACTCCCGATTCTAGGGTTTCGGCTGTCATTTTTTGTGTGTACATATGTATTTACGTGGAGAAGATCTTGGAAATTTATTTGCACGATGGGACGGCACGGTTTCCATTTGTCCTTTTTGTTCCTTGGTTCACGGTGCTATGAAACCATTACAATTGGGCCGTGATCACCAGGACCGAAACTTAGTAGCCAAGGGAAAATTATTATCTGTATCGTTTTCTTTTCCTCCGTTTTCCTTCTCGTTTCAACTCTTTCGTGACGGGTTCGGTTTTTTTTTTTTCTTCTGTTTTGTTTTTTCGAGCATTCTGAGGTCCGTTTTTTATGTCTTGCGTTTGCCCTCTTGCTTCATGGACCTTGTTTGATTAATTGTGAAATTGTCACTCCTGAGTTCAGCCTATGGTTTTCCGAAAGTGATGAACGTGATCTGACGAAATCTCCTGCTCTTCCTAGAAGGAAAGCATTTGATGGAAGGTCCCTTTCTGCAATTGTCCCAAACATGGCGACTAGCTAGTCATTCATTGTTGACTTTGGTGTTTTATTATTTTGACCGTTATATCTCTTTTGCCTTTTTTTAAAGCTGCGATTGCGTACGTAATTGGTATGTAACCCGAGTTGACTTCAAACACGAATCTATTTATCAGAGATGGCCCGTTTATATGTGGGAAATCTGGACCCTCGTGTCAGTGAACGGGAGCTAGAAGATGAATTTCGTGCCTTTGGGGTGCTGAGAAGGTAAAAAACTTTTTCTTTCTTCATATTAAAAATGCTCGTGAACCAGGCAGTTCACAGGTTGTCAGGTTAAAATATCTCAGGAGGATATACTCTCGGATATTTTATGTGGCATGTAGAATAAGCTATCTTCTAAAAATCGTGATTATTGTCGTTTATTTCGTTTCTTCCCGTTTCATCACTACATATGTTCTCAGGTCATGAGTACGATGTTTTCTCTTCTACAATATGGGAACTAATTTGCGTGTAAACCCATGGGATGCTTATTACTAGGTTTAGAGAATGAAAATTTGAAATACGGGTTACTATGGAAAGTTGGTCTTTCGTTTTGCACCCCACCCAATACAGCGAAACAAAGCACATAAAAAAAAATGATCAATAATTAAGTACATCGCTAAGTTTTTCTCCTCTTATTATAAAATGATCGCTGTTCTTTGAAACTGAGTCTGTGCTTTTGAGATTATTTAATCTTCAAAAACTCTATTCAGGGATATAATTGGTTAACACATTGTATTAGATGGTTTTGGGACAGGGACAGAGACCTATGTTTAGTCTCGCTATTCTTGCTGAGATGGGAAAAAAAATGATTCAATATTCTATACTCTAGTTAATGGAGAAGGCCCTCCTTTTAGTGTAACCAGCTTATGCCGTTGACTTTTGTATATGGTTTTTCAGTCGTCTCTCCTTTAGCGATCCTTGAGTGCATAAAATTCATGTTTGAATGATCCGGTTTTTCGTCTATGAAAGGAACGTAGCAGATGTTTAGTTCTAGTCCCTGTTGAGGGAAGGAATTCGTGGAACTTGAATAATTATGAAACTGATCCTATGACTCTGCAGATCTTCATCCTAAAACGGAGTCAACAACATTTGCACGCTTTACATTTTCCTGTAGGAAAGGACCAAATGTTCAAGCATACATACCTCTATGGCGCATGTACACACTAGCCATGGAACATGACACTTGAAATGAGTTTGAGAATGATGATGGAAACATTCAGTTTTGTGCATTAGTCAACTCACTCTCCAAGTTATGATTGTCTTGATTTTTCTTCCACGGCAAGTTGAAATATTCTTCTTCTCTTGTTTATTCACATTAGCATGGTTGGTTTTTAGATCTCTGGGGGAGGATTGTCGATCCCTCTTCAGATCATGCATGGTTCCTTTTGTTGCCTTGATTTGATGTCGCTCATCCAAATTTCCTGCTTTAGAGTAGCATTCATTCATGTTCACACTTGCTAAAGAAACATAAATCTCTTGCAACTTGTCCTCCTCTTGGCCACTTTTTACGCTTATGGGCTTTGTCAGCAAAGACTGGTCACTTTCTATCTTCCTCTATCTTCTCCTTCGTATTGTGTTGATCACAATTATGTAAAGCCTTGTAAACTGCTTTACCACTTCAATTTCAAACCCAAAAGCAGATCCAACTTGAAAGCAAGTGATCCTCTGTGCCTCCAAGCGTGATCTAAGTTGGCGAACTTATTAATTGTTTGCATTAATAATATTACGCCGTTTTTATTCTCGCCTTTACAACAAGTCACCAGAGTTGGTCTCCGTTTGTTTTAGCCTTTTGAGTCCGGAGGCACATAATTCATTCTCTCTGCTTTCATCTGGTTTTTCTTTGTAATATCATTTGCAATTCATTAAAGATACTTTACCATCAGTTTTCTGAACAGCTTTTTCGAGCTGTAGTTTTATTAGTTAAACTAACGTATCACCCATCACCAAAATAAATAAATAAATAAATAAATATATATATATATATATATGTCTGAAGCTTGCATGAACGCCTTTATCTTGGTAGCTTAAACTACTCTGCTACAAAGAGGTGATCCACACGGAAACACAGTGGATATGTGTGCGACTAAAATTATTGAAAGACCGCTTCCCCTAGTGGATTAAAGTTGATTTACAATTCTCATTTATGTGAGCAACAAGTTTTCCCAAGTCTTGTTTGGTTTGATACTTTCTTAAGTGTTTCCCTACCTTCATGTACTAATCCTTGTTCTCCAGATTGAAGTGTCCTGTCATCAGAATCGCGGTTGTGATGTTGTAGAAACCATATGGTTGATCTAATTGGAATTTACCAAATTATTTTTTTTCCTCCCTGGATGCAGTGTTTGGGTTGCTCGGAAGCCACCAGGTTTTGCTTTTGTGGATTTCGATGACCGTAGAGATGCCCAAGATGCCATTCGTGAGCTGGATGGTATGTGAACATGTGTTTTAATGTGCGCTCAATCCTTATGTCCGTTTCATGAATTTTCTTGAATTTCTTCGAAGTTAGAGTTCACTTTGGTGCATTCTTGTCATTTTGCCCTGACGATGTGTTTTGGGTTAATTTGAATATTTTCACCTTCGTTGATGGAAGTTTGCATCAGTTACATATTTCTGACAAGGGAATTAATTACAATAAAAATGATGTGATAAATCAAGATACACTACAATTTCCATTAGGTGCCTTATGATTTTATCATTTTTATTTTGTTTTATTCATATGTTATGTAAAGTTTAGGGAGGGTGTGTTTTTTTAATCAGTTGCATTTCTAGAGATTATTGATCTTCTTACATCTCTGATGGATTTCTTGAAATTTTAAACTTTATTCTCAAATATTGATTTTATTTATTTATTTGTATTTGGAGACGCAAATATATATTTCAATGTCATATTGTGAGCTTGCAAAAAAAATTATCCTTTTAGCAGTCAGTAGGATATTTTTAAATTAGAACAATTATTCACCTTTCTTTCTCAGCCAGTCCTTGCTCCTTTCATATACTGATGTAGTTGTATGGTTTCCACCTTGAAAGTGATGGGCCATCTGCATTAAATCTACAATCTTACCTTCTCCTTGTAATAGGTAAAAATGGATGGAGAGTGGAGATCTCACGCAGGGGCGGAGGACGTGAAAATACTCGCGATCGTTCTGGAGGTTCTGACATGAAGTGCTACGAGTGTGGTGAATCCGGGCATTTTGCTCGTGAGTGTCGACTACGAATCGGTTCAAAAGGATTGGGAAGTGGAAAGCGCCGGAGCCCAAGTCCCCGATATCGCAGGAGTCCCAGCTATGGTCGAAGGTAATATCAGCAAAAATGGTGCCTGCTACAGAAATTTCATCACCTCCAAGTCTATGATGTCAGCGTGCGGGAAGGATGGAATGCTTTTGATCTTCCAGCCATTTCTTCTTCTTTTTTTTTTGTTTTTGTTAGTTGCTTTATTTTCCCATGCATTGAATCAATCGATCACGCTGACTTATATGGGCAGGTGTTGGTAATCTGAAGATCTGGGTCACTGAGTCAACAATGCTCTGAAAATCCTGATAACGTTCTTATTTACTGTTGCTTCACTTGGAAATCAATGATCCCCTCCATGTTTGTCTGCAGCAGGAGCCACAGTCCTCGCGCCCGTTCTCCACGGAATCACAGCCCTTCCCCTCGTCGCCGCAGCTACAGTAGGTCCCGGTCGCCAGCCTACCAGCGGGACCGCGAGGGGTCACCCTATACCAACGGGTATCTCTACTCTCTCTCTCTTGCTGATCGTTCATCTCAGCTATATATATATATATATAGTGAGAGAAACCGTGATTCTTGCGCAGTAACAACGATGCCAGAGATCAACGCCGAAGCAAGAGCTGAGACCCTTCTTGGCAGGAGACATGTCAATGGGAGGCTCCGGGCCTCCATTGATTCCCCTCCCCCCTACGACGAAGTATGCTGTGTGTTTAGCTGAGTGCTGGGATGCTCCAACGGTGACTACATGGACTTGGATAAGTCTCCTTCCTACCTTTCTCTTCTTTTCTGCTCGTACTGATGCTTCTTATTGTGGAAACTGAAACTGGTCAACGGCCCACTGAGATGGTACCTTCTTTTCTTGTCTTGAGGTGGCGTCTTTGCTTAAACGACTGGTACTCCATTTGGTTTTCTGCTCCTCCATCACCATCCCGCCTGGTTTTCTACTACGTACACGCCGCTGTGTCTTCTCCTCAAGTGACGAAACGCCTACCAACCCCACCTGCTGCCTCCAAAAGTCGTCGAGGGGGGTTTCCGCACGCTGCCTCACGATCTCCTCATAGTTTCATTGCTGCAAATGCTTTTTCTCCCGACCGCTCCTCGCCGTCCGCCGCCAGTTTCTTTTAAAACCCTATTGGGGAGGTTGAGGAGCTTCTTCGGGCAGTCATCCCCCCCCCCCAGGTAATGTGCCTTTTTTTGGAAAAAAAAGAAGAACTTGGGTGCTTTAGATTCTCTCACTTACACAGGCTCCTGCTGAATGGTCGTCCTTCCAGCATCCTCAACCCCCCTCCTCCCCCCTGTGGTGTTGTTGTTGTGGGTCAACCGAGCTCCTCACACCCCCCCCCCCCCTCCCCCCGTCGTCTGGAGGCTCTGGTGCGTGTTCTGATGCCGCCAAAGTCTGTCTTTCTTTCTACCCTTCGGGCTCAGACTTGTAAGCCGGTGAGGAGACTTCTGAGCTGCTGGGTTAGCTTCATGTTCTTCGCCAGGATGAGCAGGATATCCATTTCTTGGAAACAGCTTTTTTTCTTAAGGGAGCGTGGATTCCCGCTGACCCCTCTAAGCTGATGATCTCTAAGCTTGTGGGTTGACCACCGATTGTCCTGTGTCAAACAGCACTTATCGAGGATCTCAAGATCGCATATCTCTTCAGCAGGAAGCAGATTCATGGGTTCCTCTAAAATCCCACAGATACTGTATTATAATTCCGGGCGATCCCCACCTTGGCCCTTTTTATTTGACCATAATCTCGAGTCAACCCCGCCCCCCTCTCTCTCTCTCTCTAATAACTGGTGAGATGGGGCGAGAGGAGGCAGGATTTGATCCTCTTCAGAAAGCTTTAATGGGAGGAAAGGCCATCCGCTTTCCTCCGCCCTGTCTCCTCCGCTGGCCCCATGTGGGGTGCTCGACGAAATGCCTGAGAAGGGAACGGAGTCGTCTTCTTCCTTCCTCTCGTTGACCAGAGGCCACCTTGTGTCTGCGCAAGAACAGCGGGAACGTGGGAGCGATGACGGGACGGCCCCTGGCCAGATGTCGGCGCCGTCACGAGACCAAGACATCCAACGTGATTCCTGCCGTGTTGACTCTCTCGCATCTTCAAACCAGATGGGTCGAGATCATCTGAAGGAGTTCTCTGTCAGCCACAACCGCCATGCTTGTATCACCCATGTAGCCAGCCTGTGCCCCAGTCAAACGAGATAGTCCATCCACGCGAGCTGGGGCCTCATCGCAGCTTCCATAGTTTAATGGTTACTGGATTCGTAATTAAATCGGAGAACAACTCTACTCACATGCAGTCGCAATCTCCTGCTCACCCGCTTGCTATCGCTCGCCGACAGTCTCTGGAAGCTGAAACCGGAGGCTGTGGTCATGGTCAACGGCGGGGGCAGCCCATGAACTCACGAGAATGAAGGTGGAAGGGGAGCCCATAGGAGGAGATGATCCGGGATTCCTCGCTTATCTCGAGATGAAATAAACACAGTTCAATTGTACAGGATGACTGCGACATCGTCTCAGTCTGAACCGCCCTCCCTCGGCTTCAGGAGGAGCTCCAGAGTGAACAGCTTACGATTCGCTGTGACCTCTTCAGGACAAGATCTGAGCACGCACCCGGAGAAAAGAGCAGCGGGTATCTGGCTACTATCAGTAGGTCGCAGCGCGCTGCTTGAAGATATGACAGAGGAATGTGGAAGACGCAGGTAGAGCTTCAGCTTTTATTCCCGAGCAGGTGGCTGCAGTCCTTGTCATCGGTGTGAGCTCCGGCAGAGAAATTCATGGGTTGGTGGTGAAATTTCACGCATGCCACCAGTCCCCGTTGTCCACAGCTCTGCTCCCCGGTCAGCTCATCTGCTCTCCGATCAGATCAAGACCGACGAGGAGGAAGCACACTCCCTGGAAGAGCAAGAAGTAGAAGTGAATTCCCTGGGCGGACAGGAGGCTCCGGGCAGCGGCGGTGAGAAGGAGGAGGGCGAGAGCCAGCTCCTTCTTGTAGATCTTGTTGGTCCTCTTCTTGGCGGGGGTTGCCTCCGCCTTCTGATCGTTCAACTTGGTCAACTCGACGAGCTCGCTCTCTGAGGCGCCCCTGTGGAGAGGAGGGCTGCTGAGGGCCTTGGAATCCCTCTCTGCCGCCTCCAACAGGTTGGATTCTGATGACCGGCCGGCCTTCTTAGTGACCACCCACTCGTAGGAGCTCCCCAGCTGGAACAGCCCAGAGACCATCGCATTGAACTTGGTTACGGACATGGTGTTCTCGAACAGAAGATAAGGAACGATGAAGGGAAAAGACTGAGGGGCCGGTAGGATGTTGAGGAAGGACATGAAGACGGGGATGTAGCAGATGACCCACAAGGGCAACTCCGCCTCGGGCACGAACATCGTCAGGGGCAGTATGATGCAGAACAGCGTGAACGAATAGAACGGGAGGATCAGCTTCCTCAGCAGGAAAAACAGAAGGATCAGATTCGCCTTCTTCCATACCGATACCTGCAAATGGGGCATCAAAGCAGCTCATTGAGATCTCTCCTCAGCTTTGAATCAGATGTTCTCTAACTAGCAAGCTCACCTTTGAGGATATAATGGCAGGAAGGCATAGCCGGAAGAGCTGCATCGGGCCAGAGTGCCAGCGGTGCTGTTGCTTCCGGTAAGCCTCATAGGACCCTGGAACCTCACAGGAAACCTAGGCAAATGGAAGTCACACGCATATGGTCTTAGGCGCATAATGACAGCTAAAATGGGCCTTTTATTCAGGTTTAATTTCCATGGTACCTGAACGTCATTCAGGAAGATAAACTTCCAGCCATGGAGATGCGCCCGAACGGCGATGTCCATGTCCTCCACGGTGGTCCTCTCGAGCCAGCCGCCAGACTCCTCCAGGGCCTTGATTCTCCAGACACCCGCCGTCCCATTGAACCCGAAGAAGTTCAGGAAGATGCCATTGACCTGCTGCTCCACCTCAAAGTGGAAGCACAGGTTGATGTTCTGGAGGCGGGTCAGCAGGTTCTCGTCCTTGTTCACAAAACTCCACCGGGTCTGAACTAGTCCAAGTTCTGGGTTGCCCTAAATTCCCCCCCCAGAGAGGCAGAGATGGAAAATATACAGTCAATAAAAGAGAAAATCATACCGGTATCCCTAGAATGGCCCAGAATCACCTTAAAATGAGGAATTTATGGGTTTAGGAAATCCGGATTTGTCTCGAAAAGGGGCAGAGATGGCAAATATTCGGTTAATTAAATAGATAACCATCTGGGTACCCTATTGATGGGTCAGAATTATCTCAAAATGAGAATTTTTCGCTCGAAGGAAATCTGGATTTGGCTTGAACAGGGCAGAAATGGAAAATATACAGTCATTCGAAGAGATAACCATCTGGTAGTGTATCACCTTTCTTGGTCAGAAATACCTTAAAATGAGGAATCGTGAGCTTGAGGAAGTCTGGTTTTGGTAGGAAATCCGCATCAAATATAGCCACAAACTCGTATGCTTTGACATAGTCACAGCTCATAGCCGACTTCAGGTTCCCGGCTTTGTATCCAGTTCTGACCAACCGATGGCGATAAACGATGTTAATTCCCCGTTGACTCCACATGGCAACCTCCGCTCTGATCAGAAGCATGATGGACTCGTCATCGGAGTCGTCGAGGACTTGGATTAGCAGCCTGTCTCTTGGCCAGTCAAGCTGGCAGACGGCGGAAATGGATTGTTCATACACCTGCAGAAATCCCGATCAAAACAGGTAACTGTTATAATTACTAACTTCATTCAAGAAGAACAGAAATTAAAATAAATAACCTTTTTTTTTCTTTTTTTACCTCCCTCTCGTTGCACATGGGAATCTGAACGAGGACCATGGGATACCCAGAAGACGGATCCTCCGTATTGCCATCTTTGAGAGAGTCACCCTGAATCCTTGGCTTGATCTTCTTCAGCTTGATCCAGAGGCAGCCTAGACACATGATCATCCGGTCCAGGGACTGGATGATGAACAGAAGAACGCAGAAGCTCGACAGGAGTCGAATTGGACGAGCGATGTAATCCGACCGGAAGGAAAGCCAGGAGAGGTACGCCGCGTGCATCCACCCTCTGAGTTCAGTAGTCTCCGGAAGGTGCAGAAGTGGAGTTTTGAAATGCCAGCCATTGGCGTAGGCGACGGTCTCGAAGAGTAGAGCCACCGTGGAGATCGCCAGGAAGCCTCTGATGAAGACGAAGAGCAACTTCCCCCGGCCTGCACGATCGCTCTCCATGGAGACCCCCTGCCGGAATATCAGGCGCTTCTTGACGGTGTTGAGGAGCGCCCAGAGGGCAGCGACCAACCAGGCGACACAGCCGACGGCCCTGTGCGCCCTGAGGAGCAAAACCCAGGTGAACTGTCGGGCATTCTTCCCCCGTCCCCTCTCCACACCGCGGAATGCCAAAGAGTCGGGGCCGTCGATCTCGACGACTGAGTAATTAGGGTTCTCCATCGTCACGACCACTGGGGTGCCCTTCCTCGCCTCCTTCGCCAACCAGTCGGGGAAGCCAATCCTCGGAGCCATGTCCCAGCCGCCGCCGCCGCCGCCGCCGACGCTTATGCACCGAGGTACAAAACTCCTGAAATCCTCACAATGTCGAAGAATCCCCGGCTGCCCAGATCCCAAATTCGAAGGCGGCGAGCGAGAAAAGAGCCAAGAATCCGAATTCAGTCCGCAGGCATTTACCCTCGAACGCTAGGAGGAACAAAGAAATATCTGAAGAAAAAACCCCGTGTCGCGGATAATGTTCCTCCCTTCCTCCCCATAGCTCTGCGAGACGGCATTGCAGGGGAAGGTATCCGATCTCATAAAGCTCCAGACCACGTGGGCGCCCTTATTCTACCCCTACTGACATCCAGGTTTCGTCCCCACTCACCTTTTCCCGAACTCCGCCATGGCTCGAAGGTGATCCCAAGGAAAAAGGGGCCAACCGAAGGCAGCCGCAGGGAGGAGGGAGCCCTTCAAGTACAGCGGCCAGGATGTGGGAGAATCCCGCCTCGAGAACAAATAAAATGTGAAGAGAACTCAGAGAGATAATGACGGGGGTGAGCCAGGAGTGTCACGCTCGACGTGGGTGTCCGACCTCCGGGCCTCCCATGGCGCCGCCGTGCGCCAGATCCAAGTGAAAAAGTCTGGGTAGCGACTGGCGGAGGCCATTCCGCTGTCGCAGCTTTCCTGGTCGCCCTCTCTCTTTAAATACCCACAGCCGATTGCAGACGGCGGCAGAAAGAGGAGAGAGAATGGGTTATCTCTCTTATAACAGTCATCTCTAAGCTCTTGTAGAGAGGGAGTGAAACGGGCGCCGCCAGGAGACCCGGGTCATTTGTCATAGATCTCCGGGGAATATCCAGGTCAACAAGGGGTAGTCTTCCCCGAGCCAGGAGAGACACGTGATCCTGTCACTCGGTCCATTATTGGTAAATAATGTGAATCAATGTGACGTCACCATCCCTCGATGAGCCCGCCCAGGTGGGCCCCTGGTTTCTGTCGGGGAGAATGACGTGGATGTCTTGCCAGTTATACCCATTTTTCTACTTAATTAATTATCGATTTTGTTACAAAAGCCATGGTCAATGAGCTCTGGATATTCTTCGCTGGGAGGAATATCCCCGCCTTGGTGCGTTGACTAATGTACACGTCATCAAAGGCCGGTTGGAGATCTCTTTGCCGGTCTCATCCGACGGTCCGTGATCTATGACTGGTGTTTAAACGGGTAAACCATCAAAGTTTCTGCATTGACTGACGTGCGCAGACTCGCTCGCTACCCGGCGGTCGGAGCACCGACACTTGGGGAGGTGACGTGGCGAGTGCGTCCCAGTAAAAGATCTGCTATCCATGCGGGGGCCCGACATGTTCCCGGGGCACGCTGCACTGGGGAGCCATTTTTAACGGCCGTTGAACGATGACGACGTCTCCTCTCCCCAAAAGGGTCAACGGCTAAGATTTAGCTTATGTGTCTTCTGTTGATCCATACGAAGGGCATCCGCATTGACCGCTAGAGTTGAAACCGCTGAAGGAGCGGTTGTCGGGAGCTGAGAAAGTCAACTCTGAGAGAGAGAGAGAGGCATCGGGAAGTTCCTAATCGAGTCAAACACACGGGATGGATATGATCAGAGCTTCTTAGTAGATTACTAATAATCGCAACTGATAAATATTGGTCTAGCTCACTTCTCTCTCTCTCTCTCTCTCCCTCTACATTAACACACATTGAGGGCATCTGCTCGAAGGCCCTCGCTATGGCGAGCACTGGTCTTAATCACCGCTCACGAGATTCCCAATTTTATAGTCGTTTCCATTGTTTCCTCGTGAGTACCAATCAAAATTTTTCTCTCTCTATCTCTCTCTCACTCACTCACCAGGGTTCTAGCACGCGAGTGGGCGGAGCGAGCCACTGAAACGAGCGATGTCGGTCTGTTCTCCCCCCGTCATTCCGGTGCCTGCTTGATGAAGGCATCTCCCTCTCCGAGGTGGGTACGATCGATAGCGAGGCCCGACCAGTTCTAGCGCAGAATAGGGTTTCTCTCTCTCTAGAGCAGCCTCTGCACAAGAGGGTGGGACGTCGGCCATTGATCCATGCCTCTCTACCTTCAAGGCACTACCCGTTAAAAACGCCGAGCTCACGAGCTTATACCTCGTCCTCTCTCTCCCTCTCTCTCTCTCTCGCCCGAGGAACAATAAGAGGAGGAAAAATTCTCCCAGGTAGTCGGGGGCCCATCGCTATTCTTGGCTCAAATAGCAAAATGCGAGGGCCCATTAGATAAATGGGCCGTCTGTAAGACCGTGAAATGGGCGTACCTGTCCTCAGCCCATCCCAGCCCTTCACCCGGCATATCCACTAGCGGGAGAGAGAGAGAGAGAGAGAGAGAGAGAGAGAGAGATGTGTTCGTCTTCTTCTGTGTTTCCTCTTTTGTGATAATGCCCAGAGACTCCGGCTTGATCTGGTCGATGATAATTTACCAAGGTCTTCTATGTTTCCGTCTTCACAGGAGTGAGTGCCCGACTAATCAAAAGTCAACACCTTCAGCATTCAAAGGGACACTCTTTAATTTTAAACAAAGATCGTGCCTCTTTGAGGAAAAAAAAAAAGGTCTACCGGGTTGTCTTGACGTTGACATCTCCTCGTTGACTCGGGTCCTTCATCTGTCTCAGCGGCAGTTCTCTCTCTCTCTTCCCGATGCTTTCCCACGTGGCAGTACTTCTGGAGCAATACTGGCCCCCGCTTTCTTCCTGGAGTGTCGATTGGGTCGAGTAGCCCAGAGTCCGACAGGGGCGAAACACCAGTCAGACCCTTGGATAGAGAGATGAAGAGAGAGAGAGAGAGACGCTGAAAAGACGCCTGCGTGTTCACGGTAGTGCTCCGGCGGCCATGGCGGAGGGCCCCGGCGAGATCTAATTCGCTGACTGTGTGATATCCGGTGAGTTTTATTCAGTTAAAAAAAATCCGAATCGGAGACCTGACGGCCAGTAGACAACCACCGCCGCCGCCGGCAGCGGCGGCGGTCCGCCGGAGACGCTTCTTCCGGGTTCAACAACTCCATCCTGACAGATGGAGATGACGTAGCCAATCTCGATCTCCTGCTCACAAGATCTGTTAGCTTATTTTTTAAAAGTCCAAGGATTATTTATTTCTACCGCCGGTTACCGGCGAGATCGGGGGAGAAAAGGATGGATCTGTGGCGGCGAGCTGGCCGACTGCCCACCCGACGGTGGCTCGGCCCGCGGGACCCGGCAGCAGAGACAGATGAGGAAGATTCTATTCCAGTGCATCACATCCCACCGCCGCGTGTTCGGCGGGTCGTCGTCTTCCTCCGAGCTCTCCAAATCTAATCTGCGGCGGCTCTCCAAAAATTAGGGTTTTATTATCAGGGTAGTAGCGCGGGGTTAATCCCTTCGCCGAGATAGAAGAAGAAGCGCGACCCCCGAGAACAAGACCCCGCAAGGTCGCAGAAAACGTTTTTCTGGAGGAAGAAGCGGAGACCCCTGCCCCCACCCCGCTCCTTCCTCCCCGTCTTTTCCGCTCAAACAGCGGCCTTCCTTCTTCCTCCTCCTCCCTGGTGTTTGGTTATGGTGTGTGGTGACAGTGGAGGATTCTCTGCTGGAGGAGAAGCATGCGGGCGGGGCTGAGCACGATACAGCAGACGCTGACGCCGGAGGCGTCCAGCGTCATCAACCAGTCCATTTCGGAGGCGGCGCGGCGGCGCCATAGCCAGACGACGCCGCTGCACGTCGCCGCCGCTCTCCTGGCATCGCCTGCCGGTGTCTTCCGGCAGGCCTGTGTGAGCTCCCACCCGAACTCCTGCCACCCTCTCCAGTGCCGCGCCCTCGAGCTGTGCTTCTCCGTCTCCCTCGACCGGCTCCCCGCCGCCTCTGCTTCCTCCGGCGGAGCCGCCGTCGAGCAGCCCCCCATCTCCAACGCCCTTGTGGCGGCGCTGAAGAGGGCGCAGGCTCATCAGCGCAGAGGTTGCCCGGAGCAGCAGCAGCAGCCGCTGCTGGCCGTCAAGGTGGAGCTGGAGCAGCTCATCGTCTCCATCCTCGACGACCCCAGCGTGAGCCGCGTCATGCGCGAGGCCAGCTTCTCCAGCCCCGCCGTCAAGACCATGATCCAACAGTCCCTCGTCCTCTCCGCTCATTTCCCTGTCGCCGCCGCCTCTACAAGTTTCCAACCTGCCGGCGATGCCATCGCTGGTGGACTTCTCTTCAGTCTCAGCCCCTCCACGGCGAACACCGGATCTCTGCTCCTTCCCCCCGCGAGCCAGAACCCCTACCTAAACCCAAGGTTGCCGCAGAAGCAGGGGAGCAACGGCAACGTCGTGGAGAGGATCCTGCAAGTACTGCGGAAAAGGAAGAAGCGGAACCCGATCCTCGTCGGCGACCGGCATCCGGCGGAGCTGCTGGATGAGATATTGCAGAGAATAGAGATGAGGGAAACCGGCGATGTCGCGGTGATCACCCTGGAGAATTACTTGGCCTCCGATGGGTCACAGACTCCCCTGAAACTGGACGAACTGGGCAACTCGATCGTCGCAATTCTCAGGGACCGCTCCGGCGGGGTCGCCGGTGACGGCGTGGTTCTCAACCTGGGTGACCTCCGGTGGCTCGTCGAGAGCCCCGGCTGCGGGATCGGAGACTCGACGGGCTCCAGCCTTGTCCCCCACCGGCAGAAGATTGTCCTGCAGAGCGGTCGGGAGGTGGTGGCGGAGATGGCGAAGCTTCTCCGGCACTTCGCAGAGGACTCCGGCGGTAAGGTCTGGCTCATTGGCACGGCATCCTGCGCCACCTACCTGAGGTGCCAGGTCTACCACCCTTCCATGGAGAAGGACTGGGATCTGCAGGCCCTCCCCATTGCCGCCGGCGAGACCGGGGAGTTCTATGCGGAATCGAAGCCCGAGCCACGAGACCATCTTCCCCCCTGGCTGCGGGTCGCAAGCCTCAGCCATGGGAGCCCTCAGGTGATGACGAGCACAGAGCAAACGATTTCAGAAACACCTCCCTCCCCTCTTCTTGACGTTTTAGTTTCATCTGCTGTTGCAGACGAAGGAGAAGGAGAACACAGAAGAGGTACTCAAGAGATGGACTGAGACTTGCCGCCACCTCCATCCCAGTCTCCACGAGGTAGACGATGACCTCGACAAGCAGGCAACGCCGCCGCACTACTCGTCGGGCTTGCCGTTCCGACAGGTTCCTCCGACGAAGCTGCCGCCCGTGAGAAGCCCAGTGAGGACGGACCTCGTTCTGGGTCTCCCACCGGCGGGTTCCCGCAGAGAGCTGGACATGTTCTCCGGCCACCAAGGTTACCAAGTTTTGGGCAGCTTGGGCCCCGATTCCCTCAAAAGGATCTTCAAGGGCCTTTCCGTGAAGGTAACCTGGCAGCGCGAGGCGGCCTCGCTGGTCGCCGCCGCCGTGGTACAGTGCAAGTCCGACGGAGGGAAGAGGCGGAGAGACGTATGGCTGCTCTTCCTGGGACATGACAGGATGGGGAAGAAGAAGATGGCCGAGGCGCTCGCCGAGCTGGTCACCGGCGCCGCCCCCATTTTCGTCCCCCTGGGCGGCCACTCGCCGGAGGAACGCGGCGGAGTGGACTTACGCGGGAAGACGGCGTTGGACGGTGTCGCCCAGGCCGTTCGCCGGAATCCATCCTCTGTGATTGTGCTCGAGGATATCGACCGCGCCGATCTACTGATCCAGAAGTACCTCAAGCAGGCCATGGAGAGGGGCCGCCTGCTCGACTCCCACGGCCGGGAAGTCCCTCTGGGCGACGCTATCTTCATCCTCATCTCTCACTCCTCGCCGGAGCATCTCAAGTCGTCGGAGGACGAGGAGAAGCTGCGGGCAGCTGCGAGTTCCGGGTGGCAGCTGGAGATCATCGTGGGAGAGGACGCCGCTGCGAAGCGCCGTGCCGAGTGGCCGTGCGACGAGGGAAAGCTGCCGGTGAAGGCGAGGAAGCAATCGTTGGACTTGAACTTGGTGGCCGACGCCGACGAGGACGCCTCCCCGGAGGGATCCCCTCGTTCCAGTGATCTCACCGACGACCAGACCGATTACGGAAGGCTCGCGATGAATGACGACGGTTTTCCCAGGTCAACGATCTCAGCGATGAATGATTACGGATCTCACCTCGTTAACGCCGTCGACGGAGCCGTGGTGTTCAAGCCTGTTGACTTCGGTGACCTACGGAGGAAGGTCTCGGAAGCGATCGCGGGTGAGTTCTCCGCCGTCTTCCGCGGCGGGCGGGCGGCGCTGTGGATCGACGAGGAAGCGCTGGACCGGGTGGTGGCCGGCGTCTGGTTTGGGACGGCGGAGTTCGAGGAGTGGGTTTTAAAGATCCTGGCTCCCGCTTTCCGGGAACTGAGGGCTTGCTCGGCGCTGGGCGGCGCCGCTGTCGTCAGGCTCCTCCCGGTCAAGGACCGCTGCCGCCGTGGTGCCCGGGAGTGCTTGCCGAGTTTGGTCCGGGTTTCGATGGCCTGACCTCGCCGGACTCGGATGTAAATCTCAGGTTATTATCTCTTTTCGTATGTTTCCATCGTTGATTTTCAGGTACTTAGTGGACGACCGTGAAATCCGGGGGGGTTTCTTGTTAGAGTCCTCAGGAGCGCCTTGAAGTTGTAGAGAGAGAAAGAAGAAGAAGAACATTTAGGTATATTGCGATTTTGTCTGTCTGAGATTTTCCCGTCAGCTCGCGACTCGCAGGACCCGTTGCGGTGCTCCTATCCAAGATCGTGCCTTTAATGGCCCGGCCAGCTCTCTCTCTCTCTCTCTCTCTCTCTCCCTTTGGGGTTCAATCTGTTCGCTCGCTGCCCGGCAGGCAGTGTACGAAGGACGGGCTATCTGAATCCGAGAGACCCAGGAATGTGAATGTCAGCGAAACTCTCAGAGAGAGAGAGAGAGACAGTGGACGTCAGTGAAGAAGGGCAAGTCGACCCGTGTTTGTGCATGCTTTTCGCGCGCGTGGGTCGTACCTGCTTTCCCCGATGCCGGGGGTATCATCGTCTAGAACCAGAGTACGTACGGGCCCCTGCATGAAATTAATTAAATATACGGTTTAATTATTATCCAATATGAATTGTCATCGTCTCCGAGGCAATAAATTGGGGTGTACTTTTTAATATTCGGCATTTATTAATTATCTTTTTTATCGCTTTCAATATTTTCTGTCAGCGTACGGCGGACTGGCTTAGGGCTACAGAATATTACGTCATAAATGCGCCACTCGAATCGATTTTGAAAATCGATTTATATAATCTAACAGAAATGGCTTCTCCGAACGTGATTTATCTCATTCGGAGGACAAACAAGGTCGAGGTGGGCCCATTTTGTCATTTCGGGCATGATTAGTGTCTCCCAGCCCATTTCTATATCTGCTTCCGGCTTTGAGGCCCATTTCCGTCCTCGAGTTGACCCGTTGACTCCCGATGGACACGAATCCACGTGGCTTGTGATCGGGCCCACCGGTGATTTCTCCTCGAGAAAGGCTGTCGTCGTTTTCTGTCATCGTCGGAGTGAGGTGACTCCAAGGCCGCTCTGTCACGTCGTAATCTCCGGCCACCGCAGGGGTCCAGAAGGGTGTGAAAAGCCTTGCCTTCCTGCTCCTTTCTCCCTTCTCCGCCATGAACGGCCAAGGGAAAGTTCTGCCCTGCCTCGCGACGTGCCCGCCTTTCCGCATTTACTCATCATCTCTCTGCGGGCTCCTGCTAACCTGCCGGCGGAAAGCTTCAAAGCGGCCGTCGTAAAGCTCTCCGGGCTTTTCTCTTTATGGCGGGGAGGGAAAGCTCTGCCCTGCCTCCCTGCGATGTCACTGGCGGCGAGGGAAGACCGACAGCCTGTCCATGAGGCGACTGCAGAGATCTCGCCGAGGTAGTCAGAGGCCGGATGGGAGCCTCGCGGTGGTAGAGAGAGAAAACCCGGCGGGGAAAGTAGCAGGATTTTGGGCGGGGGAGAGTTTGAAGAGCATAGAAAAGACACACCATGAGAAAAGGCGTCGGCTTTTGTTCCTCCCTCTCTCGCTACTTTGCTTTAAGGGTCACAGAGAGGCATGGCAGAAAGCGCCAACCAGCAGCGTCTGAATTGAAGCGAATAAATCTATCTCCTCGTCGAAAAGATGGGGCGAGGGGATGATGACCCATAACGAGATTTCCTCGTGGGTTTCTGCTTCTTTCCTCCCGTGAGCTCTCCCCCCCCAACCTCCGGCCATCTGGACCTTCCGGGGAGAGAATCTCCAGGGCATGCTGGTCCAGGCACATAGGTACTGCACCCCCTTCAAGTACCTCTGCAGTGAGGACTTATCCATGCTCTCTCTCTCTCCTCTCCTTCTCATCGTGTCATATGATCGATCACACTGAGCGAGGGCAGTGGAAGCAAGCCGCCGGTGGGGGAGGGGCGGCCGGAGAGGGCTTCGGTAAGGAGGTCCGCCGAGGCCCACGGACTAGCGGGTGGGTGAGTGGGGGGGAAGATGGCGACGGGGGAGCCCGAAAAGTCGGGGTTACAGATTGACTGTACTGGCCGGCGGCCGCTGGACTGGAGGACTTGGATCCACGCGAGATTCCTGAAAGATCCTCGACCCGCCGTCGAAATCGACACTTCAGCGGAGCACCAGAAGCCGGCCCACCGAAGAGGATGAAGATCATCCAGACCCCCCTGGTTTTCGTTCTACTCCGAAACCATATGCCCTCTCTCTCTCTCTCTCTCTCTCTCTCTCTCCCGCTCGTGTGTGTGAATAGTGTGCATCCGGAATCTCTCGACCAGGCATGTGACTCGTAATCAGAGATTGCCTCAGGAGATCTCTCAGAAACACTCGAAAGCTGAGGTTCAATTCCTCCGTCCCCCTAAATTATTGGGATTAAAGATTAAAGATGGAATCTTTGGGCGCGGCGTGGTAAAATCAAAATAAGGCACGACAAGCTTGCGTTGTTTTATCTTATTTTTTAATTCATTTCTGATCAATGAGAGGGAGAGAGAGAGAGAGAGAGTCCATTCGCCAGCCTCTCCTCCTTTTGTTTTTCTTCTTCGACATGGGTATTAGAGCCTCTCTCTTCTAGGCTATTATTTTTCAACTCGCCGCAATGTCAACAGCTGAATGTGGTTTACTTTGGGTGCAAACCAGGAAGAACACCTACGAACTCACCCTGATTCTAAGCTCTCTCTTGGAGAATTTAGGGCTTATACCATTTCATCAATCGGCCAAACTAGTTTCCTATCGATCAAATACTTGCACAGGAGAGAGTTTCGCGTGGTCTTCTCTCCATCATCTTCATCTATTTATTGAGCTGAGAACCTTTTCAAATCATGATCAGACCATATGAGCCACCCAAGAGGGGCACATGTCGATGCGGTCAACCGACGGAACTGCATACCTTCTTGTGCTTTCCTCCTTTCAGTTGTGTGATTCTACAAAAATTCTCACAGAGACCGGGGCGGCTTGACCTTGAGGGGAAGACCAAAGTCGCACATAGTCAACCATTTCGGAGGTCAACACTGACCGTGTGACACAGACCATCGGCCCTCAAAGGCAAGCCCCAGTCAATGGAAAGAAATTCAGGGATCACAATCCTTAACAGTGCATTGCCGTCAGGCGACAAGCAACACAGGATGAACATCACCTGTTGGAGAGACGCTCAGGAGACTTTTATTCTACCCTGAGATAGCCAAAAAAAAAAAGAAAAAAAAAGGGGGCTGACTGAGAAGGGCAATAATCGAAAACTTCGTACCAGGGAGTGGTGTGGATCAGTTGCAAGCTCACCTTCACCTTCGCCTTCGCCTCCACCTGGGTGGGACTCGGCAACAACACCCATCACAAAAAAAACTAAAATAAAAATAAAATAAAATAAAATAAAATAGAATAAAATAGAATAAAATAGAATAAAATAGAATAAAATAGAATAAGATAAAATAGAATAGAATAAGATAAAATAGAATAGAATAGAATAAAATAAAATAGAATAGAATAAAATAGAATAAAAGAAAATAAAATAGAATAGAATAGAATAGAATAGAATAGAATAAAATAAAATAAAATAAAATCCGGACAAGAAAAAAGAAGAGGAGAAATCAATGAAGAGAAGAGCAAGAATCACAGAGGACCGACATGTGAGCCCTCGTTTTGATAGGAGACCCTCAATGGCCTCAGTTCTAATGGCCCTTTCAGCCCTTTCAGCAGAGACCTTCACAACAACCATGATGGGGGGAGGGGGGGAAGGATTCACGTCGTTAAGAGGATGACTCAGTGTGCCCTTGATTCTTACAGCCGACCATCTTGCAATGTGCGGGACTGAATCTCCCTGTCCGAAGCAATCACCAATTCGACAGCTCCTGGGTATCAGCTGGCGTTAGCCTTTCACGAGATTTACAAGTAATACTGTCTAGGTGCTGTCATCGGCTCACAGAGCCCCGCCCACTAGTGGAGCTTGGAGCTTGGCCAGAGAGACGCGTCTGAGACTTTCCAAAAATCTCCCTTTCCTGGTTAGCAAGGTAACAGCAAGCAAGAAGGCGAGGGCCCCCTGACAAGTCAATCGCACGCCACTCTCACCACTGGTATTCGAGCAAGATGAGGGATCGGGCTCACCACTGCCTCAGCCTCCATTGCAGCTGGATTCGCTGGGAATGACGTACCCATTCTGGTATTTCTCATAGGATCCGTTAGGAAACCCGCCATTGGAGGTCAATGGCACATCAGCAGCGCACAAAATCATTCCATTCTCAGGCAGGGAACTTTGGATTTTTGCATCGTACTTCTCCCCATTTTGTAGTGTTGATTGGGAACAGGAAGTTGCGGCGAGGTCACCATTGTCTGTGAGGGGAATGACAACCTCCTTCTGTGATTTCCCTTTCGCAGTCCTGGCTTCAGCAGGCTGGTCGAGGAAACCACGAGGAAACAGTGGCTTTCCACGGCCTCTAGGCCTTGTTGACCCTTCATGTTCACGAGATGGCCGAGTAGGGTTGTGGAAATCAACTTGACCATTGCCCATGGGGACCTTTCCAGTACCGACGTTACTGTAATCCGTTTCAGCCCTTCCATTCGGAGGCAACGAAGAGGAAGGGTGACGCCCGCCTTCGGCACTCAACTTCACAGGCTCATACAACATACCATTGCAGTTCCCATTACCGGGAGGAACACCAGCCGAAGTGCTCTTCATCTGTGTGTTCTCATCCAAAGACCCGTTTCGCTCGAGATCTTCTCCGGAACTCAAGTCACCGGATTCCAGCCGGTTGCAGCTTTCAACCCTAGAGTGGCCGACTCCGTTTCCTGTAGTGGTAGCTTCCCTCACCGTCGTGGGTTTCTTCTCAAGAGAACAGTCCGATGAATGCTGGTTTACTTCTCCGTTACTTGTGAAGCCCATAGAAAATGACGCTGACTTTTCGTGGCAACCAGATGAGAAAGTATTGTCCTGTAGATCGATAACTGCATTTCCCGGGCCTGACGAATCATCATCAACTGGGTTCATATCTCCCCGACTGGAGTCAGCAGGATCTGATCCCATGCTCTCCGGCATCTCATCCGAAGCAAGGGTGGACGGACAGCAGGATGTGTCGATGATCCCATCATGGAAAGTTTCCTCTGACATGCTTGTTGAACCGTTTTCTTTAGAAAAACGGGAATCTACAGAAGTCGGAAGGTTTACTGCTTCTGTTTCAAACTCCTGCTGGAGCAAAGTAGTTCCTTCAGGAAGGCCACCATGCAATAGTATTGCTGCTGAACATTCCAGCTCGACCTTGGTAGCCTCAGTAGAACACGAATCTTCAGAGTCAACCAAATCCTTTTTCAGAAACTTGTCCTCGTCTGTTTCTAGAGGCTTATCCCCAGACTCTTCGACTCCAAGATTTAAATTGATATTGTTGGGCACGTGTAAATCTGAACTGTCTGTTCTTATCTGGAATGCTTCCCGTTCATGCTCCACCTGGAAGGGAAAAAAAAAAAAAAAAGCCTCTTCATAAAGTTCTTCAAGCGTCATACATACAGAAAGAAAGAGTAAGGAACTGACATTATTGACCTGCACAATGTTGCTCTGAGCAGGTTCTGCAGATTGTACGTCCTTACTTTTGGAAAATTCGGGTTCCCTAACATGGGGCTGACGTGCACTTTTCCTATATTGAGCCATAAGATTGATAATTGTTAGTCACAAGTAACAGGAAATCACAGACGATACGTGATTTCAGCGTCAATAGGATGCATCTATACACATAAGCGATATATATACATGGGGAGAAGGCAAACTCTTTGCGGGTAAGAAAACCGGGACGGTAATCAGGGAATCGCTTACATTGATGATTGAGAAATTACTGTGTCCGGGAATGTAAACATCTATGAATAACGAGTATTTTGGTCACTATTCCGAACAGTGTACGGAGAGTGTGAATCCGTTGTTCAGATAAAAGAACGTTTTGCCAAAAATACGAACGGGTAAAGAATTTAACAAGTTCCTCATATTTAACAAGTAGAGAGACTCAAGCCGGCGATGCATTCGATCCTATGGAGGAAGCATGACAGGACCGAGTTTCATCTAAATTAGAGTTTAAAAAATATTGATTTGAACAAAAAAATCATAAAGAGGAACAAAATCTGAATTGAAGCAAATCATGCCCCTGCCAATCATCTGACTTAGACCAAAGCAAACCCACAACCTCCTCAAAACAGTCAAATCCAAACAGCAGGTCAAAACAAGAAAAATAGAGCTTAGTCTGAAAAAGAAATCCATATTCTGTTTCATCAAAATCCCCTGGGTTTTTATGACAAACTTTGCCTTAACAGAGAACAACTCAAGACCACGGATCAGGTGTGTACAAAAAATACTGGAAAACAATTAAAAATACAAGCTAAAGGCGGAATCAAAAACTCTATGGTGCAGTGCATATCCTGAATGTCTGTGCATGGAAATGGCTTGCGAAGGACATACATAGCTAGTCAGGTACTTTCTTAGCATAGATTCTGTGATATCACTCAGGTTCCAATCAGGGTTTTAACCACCAAAACTCCAGGGTTGGAGCCCAATAAACCCAGGCAAAAAGGTTGATAAATCCATCTCTACAAAAATAAGGATGCAGAGAGGGATAGCAGCTAGGCTAGAATCTAAGCCCTTTTATAACGCATTCCGGTTGAACATGGAGGCTACCTTCATCCAGGAACCCGTTTACTCAGAATTCAAACTGCAATCCTGACGGATAGAGGAAAGGACTCCTTTCAATAATTTTTGAGAACTCAGCCAAAATGAATGAAATGATGGTGTCTAAAAACTCAACCTTGAGTAGGCTGACCAGCTCGGTTGACCGTCTCTCATTATGAGGGCTTTACTTTCGGAAAATTGAATAAATATAAGAACGGACCAGCCACAAACAATCCAGTCAGACAGCCAAATTCTAGATAAATTGCACGTATCTAAGTAAAGGTTTCAAGTCTTCAATAGGTATTAAATGGAAGTTGGTTAGTGCAGATAGAGTAGGTAATGATTGAATATGTAGAGAATGAGCTTCAACCTGCTATATAAAAGCATATAAGCTCCCTGGGCAAGAACCTCTTCAACATCAACCTTCATGACCTGGAATAACAGGATAAGATATCAACGATTTCTATTTTTTGAAGCGGAAGAAACAACAGTACACCAATAATATAGGACCACTAAGCTTTACAAAGCTCAAAATTGTACCTTACAGTCATCGACTCTGTACCAATTTCCATGGAAATCTTTAGTATAGCAAATATAATGTCCAAAGAATGAAGCATTGAGCATGTCTATGTGGACAACAACGGCATAAAGTTCATAAAGATCCGTGCTACCACGTGTTTCACTCATGTATGGCACAAGGTCTAAAGTCACTGGAAATGTGACTCTCTTGTTCAATTTCCCAAATCTCCCACTCTGTAAAAAAAACAGCAAAACATTAAAACACTTATAAATTCTGTGGAGCAAATTACGAATTGAAAATAACATATACAATTATAACCTGGAATCGTTTCAGAGCAATAGTGAGAACATTTGGCGGCTGATGAACGGTCAGCCTCTTCCATGCCTTAACATACTCATCACATCTGCCATTAATCCGAAATCATAACTTTAGTCAGGAAAATAAGAAAGCAGAGGACTCCTGTTTTGCAAGCACATTTATACTCACAAGTTCTGGTAGAATTAACGAAATGAAAGAGATGAAAAGGAAAAGTGTTTAAGTTTGATATACGGACGTGTGATCTATAATATAAACTGAAACACCCAGTTTTGAGATTGTCTGCATAATAAGGGGCAGTGTACCACAAATCTGAGATTGCTCCATGTAATAGGTTCTCTGTCCAGAGAAGACTAAGAGTATTATATGAGCTGGCAAAGTGGCAGCACATGAACACTCTTTGGTTTCTCCTTCCCAAGGCCACTAGCTTCTTTCCATACGTTCTCCGCTCCTTTCTTTCACGTGCATATTTTTCAGACATGTCCTCGATAAAGCTTTCTTGTACAGTACCATATTTTAGAATATAGATCTTGTTTAGCAAAATGGTAATAGAAAAGCGATCCAAGTGTATTAGACAATAAATTTGATACTTAAGTTTTATCCCGTCTAATTCCCTTTTTTGGGGGGCAGGAAGGACACCCCAGAGTAGGAGAGTAATGTACGAATATAAGAAATATCTCAGGGTGAGAGATGAGATGGGAATTATGCGCAGGATTTACTTTGGCTTGTGAAAGATGATCAGGGCTCAAAAAATAATTCCTACAGTTGCAGCCCAAAAAAGAGGCGGGAATCAGCAGGAGATATTCAATAAGGAAAACTAAACAAGGAAAAATTCAATCCTAAGAGTGAGTCATGCGGATTTGATTTATAAGCTTTCATAGATATTATGAGCTGGTATAAAGTTAATTAGATAGGCACTCTTTATCGGCAGTAGTCCTCTTATCTTTTGGAACTTTTTGTAGAGTTTATCTCATTTAGTTTTTACATACAGGATAATTTTAACCTGTATTCTCTCCTCCAAGAAAATGAGTTAGGATCTTGTTAAAGATTTAATTTACAGACAGTCGTCCAAAAAATCGAAGTTAAATTTAGCGAAGGCATTATTCGATTATAATATGTTTGTCAAGATCAAAGTCCTCGAAAAAAAGAGCAAAACGAATTTGATACGATATAATATACTCCTGCGCAGTATTGAATGCGAATGCCGAGCTTACCCTTCACATTTATACATATTTTCCCCATCAAGCCACTCTTTACCAGTGAACTGATTAAGGCACTCCTCCAAAGACTCGGCATCCCCATGGATCTCTACAGTTAAGTCCATCATATTCTCATAGCGGTTAGAGATTTTGTCGCATTTTGTACATTTCACCTGAAAAACAAATATACGGGCAAAAAGATGGCTTAGGTGATAGTAAAATGCATGACATCAGAATCCCACTGCTCAATAATTACACATCCCTATACTGGATTTATTTTTTTTCCAGTAAAGCACATTGATTGTCTTCTATGATGATCTGATGGCGAGAGAAAAATGAATTGAGCCTATCACACATTGGGCGAGCATCCGGACCTTGCAATTGTAAAAATTAGAATATACAAGTAAAGCATAATAATGCGAATATGATCACAATTTTCAATACATGAATGAAAACAACTAAGCGTCTCTCAGGACATTCTGAAAAGTGTACTTTTGAAGACTCCAATGATTGAACCACAGTTTCGAATATTTAAATGAAGAATAAAGCCTTCAAAGACTTTCGCCAAAGAAATGGGAGAAAAAAACTTGGTTCTCTTTTTCACTGGAAGAGAGTACCCCTGACTTCTAACATTGGCTATCTTGTGCAATGTAAACATTTCTTTCGTGTTGATGTTGGTTACATCCTCCAATCATCTATTAGGGTTTCAAAGTTAGAACTTCCAATTCATTCACATATAAGCTGGTTGTGGATCTTTAAGAAAAGCTTATGCTAATAACATGACTGTAGGCATTGATTTTTAAAACGGATGCTCCAACGATGTGAAAATGGAGTAGAGAAGGGCGTTGTATTGTATCTCTTTTCTCTATCTTCAGCTGTAGAGCAATCTTAGAGATGTAAAAAATAGCCTAGCCTAGATCTTTTGGACTTTGACTCAAGTATCCCAAGCTTTACATCCGTGACAGAGACAAGAAAAAAGAAAAAACATGAAGCATCATGTGTGATTGCCACACAAAAAAACTGGCAAGTAAAACGAAACCAAAGAAAACCATCACCTTTTTCCGAACTATACGGTTGAAAGGGGAAGAGGACAAAAAAATGGTTCCAGGTGATTGTTTAAACCTGAGACTGAAGGTGACCACCAAATATGTGTTGAATAAGTGTTGTCTCTTGAATGCTTGGATCCAAAGCCTTTTCTCCACCAAATTCATCAAGACAAACAGACTGCATTGTATCTATAGCAAACCTAGAGAGTATAACACATTGATAAATAAGAACTGAAAATCTAAACCTTACTTTTGCAAAACAAAGCAAATTATTACATGGAATAAATAATATGATAAAATGCAGCGGAGATTCCAGTGTGGTATCCAGTAAACAGTGATAATTAAAATTCAATAGGGAGACGAGTGGGAAAACCTCATGAACTCGTGAGCATCCTCCTGCCTTCCGTGGCCAAGATTGCCTCCAATCTTTGGTAACCGACAGAGGATATTAATAGGTGAAAATGGCTTCATACTTTGGCTTACATTCTGAATGTGGATTTGAAGCTCACATAAGAAGCACCAATCGTTCCCGGCACCTAATAACAGAAATATTTATAAATAAAATTCGTCAATTGTCAGCTGTAGAAAACTAGTAGAAAAGGCTGACACACATTCCAGAAGTCGAAGCTTACATGTCTTCAAGTGGCTTCCCTCCAACAAGTATGCTACAAGTGGTCGAGTGCACGCCAAACATTGCAGAATAACATTGGCAAAGCAGCTGCATTAAAAAATACTTAGAATGGATCTTGGAAAACGATGCAATATTATATATAAATGTGACACTGGTGAACGACATCATTTTTGTTAAATATAATCATTAAAAAAAAGAAGGAATGTTAGACAGTTTGAGACTTGAACCTGTTTCCGCAGTTTAGAAGTCCACAGGGAGGGTAAATATGTTTATCCCAGTTGAACAGTTTCACAAATTCGTCATATGGAAAAAGAACCTGCATCAGAAATGAGTGCCGCATGATAGTCGTGTGAAGAGAGAGAGCATATATCCAACAAGTGGGTTATTACATCATACCTTCTTAGGCAGTCCCAAAACCTTGCAAGAACCACGAGAAGGCACTAATGCAATAGATGAGGACTTCCTTCTTCCAAAAGTTCCACCAAGAAGAGAATCATCAAAAACCTTAGGCTCCTTGCATATGCGATTGTGCCCACCTTTCCAATGTTTTGACTGACATTCCTGAGAGCTGCAGGGAAAACAGTTCTCTCAATTTCACTCGACAAGTTTCATCAAGTGACAAGGATGAAAGATCACTTGCCGGGCATATAAATGAGTAAAGTGATATGAGCGAACCAAAGATGAAAAGAACAGGAAGACAACTAAATAAATGGTCATTGAAATGAAATGCCAGTAGTAAAGAGTATCCGATCATCTTTGATGATTTTCTGAAAAAGTAACAAAAAACCAGTCTGAGAGCTACGAACATGCTTTGAGCTACTAGCAGAAAGCATGTGAGATCACAGAAATCTTAAACGGCTTCCAACTTCGATAGATCATCCACTTAGATAGCAGTAACTAACCAACATGACTTCTGACAGCTTATCATAATACGTAAACTCCATTATCTAACAAGGCACGAGAGAAGGAAGGAGTCAAATATTTAATGGATGAAACGAATAATCATATACTTTGATGGCCACCAAGTTACAATGCTTATTTTGCCTTAAAAGCTTAAAGATTAAAATATGTTTTCTATCTTCCACATCTGACAAACCTGGGCATCCATCATAATAAAGTTGTAGCAAAATCACGCTGGCAAAAACCTCGGCAGAAGTACACCTTCATTGATACCTCAGCATCTAAAACAGTTTGATGGATGAAAACCCACAAAGTAGATGTGCTGAGTGATAGAATCAGTACTACGTCTCCAACAAGTGAAAATATCATAAATGAAAATGATTCACATAGTTAAAATATAAACTCTCACGTAAAAATGTATGTATATGTTTAGCCATCATCCCATCAATCCTATCTACACATAAGGTCAATATTTCATCGTCATCGACTTACCAACTATGGTGCTTCGTTAGTACAGGCCTATGTTTCTCTAATATAACTACCATTGCAATATGGCCAAGAGGCGTCTCCAATATGAAAAAATAAATAAGTGAAAATTCGTCTCAATAGCATATTTCCATGTGTTTAGTCGTTTTGCTTCCTGGGGTTTGCATTGATGAAGAAATTAAGCAAATGAAGGACGAACTACTTCCAAAGATATTACTAATATGATGTAACAACCACAAATAATTCACATTTTACACTTCAGCTATAGTATAACTATGTGGGACGCATCTGTTGGCAGCATGCAGTTTTAAGCTTTGAATTTGGTTTTTTTAGGTACAAGAGTTAACTCGAAAATATAGTGACCAAATTCCATTAAAACTCCTCAACAGATTTAAGAATTGTGACCGGGCTTAAAGATAGACATTAAAAACAGAATGAAGATCTATACTTCAAGGAGGTTTGATTGAAAATAAGCATGCCACTCTAGGCAAGATGTGGAATTGAGTGTGTATGTATCACAGTGACAACACATCTACCATCTACACAAAATACAAGTGGCCAAGCACAATCAACCTCAAGAAGACAACATGATAAACAACCAGCCACAGCTTTTTGACAAGCTTAACATCAAACATTCAGCTTTTCAGAATCATCTACCACCAAAATTCATTAATCCTCGGCAAAAAAGTGGCATTATTAAATAAACTAGAGCCACAGATCGCCCCGTACTGATCACCAAAAGCATCAGTTACGCAAGTCAGTGATATTTGAGGAATAGTTTGGATGGAATACTTATCAATCCAAAGAAACTTATATTCCTTGATGACAACGGATTTCTTATAGCTCACAGCGAAAAAATAGCATATTTTATAAAAAAACCAATTTTTCCAAGCTGAAAACTGTTGTATTCTATGTAATATCTTTACAGCTGCCTCTTATCCTTTAAATCTTATCCTTGTGGCAGCATACTCTCACAAATGCCCATGCAAAAGTCACAAAAACACATTCATTCACAAGCTTGCTACCCTAACATGAAAGATGAAAGTTGCAAAAATGAATCTAATGGAAACATCTTAACCAGATGGCCGCAATCTAGTATTATTCCCATCCTTCTAACAATTTATATTACACAGAACGAAAACCAGATTTTGTAAATTCATGGTTGCCCCAATTCCAGTTCTGTGAGGGTTATAGCACATATGAAAACATTGTGGGGTTAAATAAGCATTCCAGTTTTCAATGGTACCCATAAATTCCTTAAATTGGTCTTACTTTCTGATTCCAACGTTTTAACATTAAAAAACTTTTTGTCGCCACAACCGAATTAGACTCCGGGAGAAAAAAGTGGAAAATAACTGATGATGAGCCTGCCAAGTGCCAATACCGTTAAAATTATGTGGCGGCAGGGAAAAAAAAATTGGCCACTCTGTTGAGGTTAGTTTGTCCACTTCCTGGTCAATCTTCCTGACGTCAAGAGTGACGTTGAAGCCTAAACAATGCACAACGAGTCGAAAAGCTTCCAACTGATGAATATGACTCACCGATTACTCCTAGAATAAGGACGTACGTGCAAGTTTACGATGCAAGATATCCTAGGCAATGGTAACTCCCTCTAATGGTGACTACTGAGCAGGAGAATGAGAAATTAAGAAGATAATTGAAAAACTAAGAGCACCTACCAATAGCGGACGCTCTTGCACCTAGAGCATTTCTTCGTCCCCCGCCTATCGCAGACGAAACACTTATCCTCCCCATCAGACATCTTGTCACGGCCCTCGAACCCTCCAATGTCCGATTCAAATCTCGCGTCCACAACAAAGTACCGGGAAGCCGCGCTCCTGATGACGAAAAGCAACCCGGACACGAGCGCAAGCGCGGTGATCGCGAACTGCAGAAGAGCCGGGAGATCCAGGGGCGGGAGCCCCGAGCCGCCGAGCATCTAAGTCCTCGCGTCCCGCACTCCCGCGGCTCTCATCGACCGATCGAACTCTCCGCCCCTCGAGAAAACCCTACGCGGAGAGGCCCCCCGCCCCTCCCCCCCTCCCCCCCTCCCCCTCCTCGTTCTCCCTCCGCGATTCTTGCTAACAATATTACGGCGTTGCTAGAGAGAGAGGAGAGAGAGAGAATGACAGACAGACAGACGGAGGGAGGGAGGGAAACAACTCCGTTCTCTTTATGGAGTGAGCAATCGGGCGCCCTCCTCCGTCTACGCCTTCCCCTTTCCCCGTGGAGAAGCGGGAAAGGGCGGACGCGGTGATCGTAACCCCGGATAACCGCCCACCTCCTCCCCTTCTGCAGCTGGCGTGACGACGAAACGATCCCTGGGGGGTACGGATTCTGTGCTATCGGTTCCTCCTGGGCGGGGGAACCGGATAAATAAACGACACGTTGGGTGCACTCGCTATCGGAGAGAGAAAGAGTAGTTATTATTCGTCAACGGTAACGGTTATTTTGGGTATCGGTACAGTAGGGCCACCTTCCCTCGCTTCGCGCCTACGCACCCATGAAGCGTCTTCCCCCATTCGTCAACATACCATAAATGACGGCGTTGACTGTGAGAACTTGGGCTCTATCAAATTGAGACATCTTCTCGTAAAAGTTTCCTATATCCGACCTCCGGAGATACTTCCCTCTTGAACCACTGTTCCGACCAGACCAGATGCCGCCCACCCAACGCTCGACTGGAATTGTCCTCGTTAGAGAGAGAGAGAGAGAGAGAGAGGTAGTTTTTCCTCGCAAGAAATTTGCCTTAGTTTGCCAAGCGTTGACTTACGCGCAGTTAATCATTTAAGTACTCGGATTCATAAAATCAGACATCCATGAGAAAAAAACCATTTTACGTCCAATATGATTATTGGGGACTAATTTTTAATGCACATACATCAATATTAAGCATGTAAATTGTCTTTTCTTTCGTTAAAAATAATAATTTTGGATTATTATTATTATTATTATTTTGCTAATAATGGAAACGTCATATCGCAGCACCTGAAATAGAATGGCCATTGCTGCGCGGCAGACATGATTGACGCCAACAACTAGAGAGATTGAAACTATTATTAACAAAAATGCGGACGTGAATAGATTAATCAAATATTTAATTATTTTTAATCAAAAATTTTGGGTCGTTGTGTGAGAGACCATTTCATCACCTACATATCGATTGGACCCGGCCCCACGGCTTCTACGACCAAGCTTGAAAAAGGCCCACCTAGGGCCCATTTACATTGGGCTTTTTATCGAAGGCTCAATGTATTGGGCTTTACTGTGGAGGTTTTTTCTTGCCTATCCCATCAACACAACACCCCATATTGAAAGCGTCCTTTTTATTGAAAAAAAAATCATATATATTTAGTAACTATATAATATATATATTTTCAAATGCTAACTAGCTAACTTCTAACGCGTAGACCAAAGTTTCAATTCGTAATTAGGGACTTAAGTATCGCGGATTATAACGTTTATTATCAATAATTCAAAAGGAGGCATCACATTTATTATTATTATTATTTTATCCTGATGTCGGCCTCTTAACTGTGTTAGTTGGGCCGCCATTTAAATGACGCCGCTAATAATAATTTAAATATATATATTTTAAAATATGAACTATACCCGAGAAGGCACTCGTCGTGACCCGGGCCAATATCGAGCTACGTGGAAACCAGCGGCGTTGGCTCAGCGGGGGCCAAAGGCGGTCCGTAGAGAATCCGTTTACTCTTCCCTCTCTTCTAGATGGGCCTGTCGATCTGGGAGAGAAGCGAGTCGCGCATAACTGCGCCCCACCGACACAGCGTCTTCAAGATCGGGTCGGTGGACGTTGCTGGGACAGTTAACGGGGGGCGGCAAGCAACCGACAACCCAGCCCCGCATAACGACAAGAAAAGAGGGTGCACACGTGGAAAGTATTTTTTTTAACCTGGAAAATAAATAAATAAGTAGGCACATACTGATAGAAAGTTGGGGTCAATGCGGTTCGAAGGCGGGCCAATGGATCCCGCTCCATATTTCCCTCCCGGCAGGGCCTTAAAATTATGAAATCGGGGGGAAAAAAGATCATACTCGGTCACGTCCGCCGCCAGATCTGGCTGCCTGCTGCGCCTTGGTCTTAGAAGGTCTGCGGCATGGGCTGACCTGACTCGTTGACCATGAGAAATTTTATCTTCTATTACATAATGGAATCCAACGCGCCGCCTCGGTTGTCGGAACTGCCATAGATCGGTGATACGTGTCACATAGACACTCGATGACGGCAAGCACCGATCAGACCTGCCCAGTCATCTGGTCCTCTCGCTCTGAATGCGCTGGCAAGGCGATATTCGCCGAATAACTTATGGTCAACTCTATGTGAGAACAAATGGATTTCACCGTTAATAAATTGTTATTTCTAAGAGAACCCAGTCCGCGTAGGTGAAAAAGAACCATTTTTTTTGTAAAAGAACAATTAATTTGTTATTGTCTACCACAAAGCTCTGCTTGAACAGATTGGCGCCCGGCCAGGGGAAGGGGGAGAGAGAGAATCGAAGCTTTCCCCCGGGACACTTCCCCGTCTCCTTCCGGTGGAAGTGATCCTTGGCTCCTCTTCTTCCGTTGCGTTCTTCTGGGTCGGTAGGTGTGTTGTTTTCTGGTTCCGTACCGTTCTTCTGATCCTTCCCTTCTCCCCTTACCTGCGTTCTGGGTAAGGGGAAGAACGTAGGGGAACGGAAGGAGGGAAAAGGGGGGTGTTGTGTGTGGGGAGGCAGGAAGGTGTCAACGGGAGGAATGTCTAGCGCCGCGGTGGGCGATCGGGAGGGGAGACAGGGCGGGGAGTCGCCGGAGGGGGACAAGGCGACGACGACGATTGCGGCGAGGTCTTCCATCGTGGACTCGCTCCGTGGCTGTGGAATCTCGGGCATCAGGATCGACAAGGAGGAACTCAGGCGCAAGATCTTGATGCCCGAGTACCTTCGCGTGGCCATGTCAGAGGCCATCCGGGCCAAGGACCCTGATGCTGGCGTCGAGGCGTGGAGGGGTGGCGACCGGCAGGAAGATCATGCACCGGAGGCGCCCATGGTGGTGTTCGTGAACTCCAGGAGCGGCGGAAGGCTTGGGCACGTGCTCAAGGCGAGGCTTCAGGAGTTGATGGGGGAGGAGCAGGTCATTCCACTTTCCAGTGCCCTTCCACGGCTTTTTGAGTTGCGTTGTCTTTCTCAGTTTTCTCTATCTCGTAGGAGCGGCCCCCCCCTCCCCAGTGCCCTTCCACGGCTTTTTGAGTTGGGAGCGCCCCCCCCCCCCTCCTCCCCCCTCCCCCCCTCCAACCCCCCGGAATCGAATGCCGAGATGGAATTGCATGTTCGCATCATCCTCAACGTGCCGCCTTCAGAAGGGTGCTTCATTGGCGGGGTTTAGCTCATATAGCCCGGACCCAGTTCGTCGTTGCCGGAGGAAGGCGGCCTTCGGATCGATTCTTTCGAAGAACTCATCAGATCACTCGACGTTTTCTTCTTTGCTGCTTCCATATCTCGCCGTTAATTCCTCAATCTTATTATTTTTCGAGTGTAAAATCGTCCAGATTTCGCTGTTCCGCGTGCAATGCAGGTTTTCGACCTCTCACTCGTGAAGCCTTCTGGCTTTGTTCAACACGGATTGGCTTGCCTGGAGAGGCTGGCCGATCTCGGGGACAATTGCGCAAAGGTGACGCGTGAGAAGCTAAAGATAATGGTACGCCATCATTCCAGACCCATCACGCTGATGCTCTTTTTCTCAGATTAATGTGCCTGCTAGACTTGTTGTTCTCCCTCTTGGATGCGGCAAGACCAAACCCAGCGTCTTCTCATCTATCGAAGACAAGGCCCCACCTGGTCCGGATGGATTCCTAGATCCGAGGATAACTTTTATGATTTCCATACCCGGATCGTAAATTTCCTCGATCAAATTCACCTCGTTTACATTGATCACTGGCTGCAGCGAGGTTCCCTCGTCTTCTGCAGTGGCTGCTTCTTTTCCCACAACGTTAAAATTACTACAAGCCTCATGCCAGCTGCTTGCATCGTGTAACCCTGTGCTTTGATAAGTTGCGGGTTTTCTTCTCAGGTTGCTGGAGGTGATGGGACTGTGGGTTGGGTCTTGGGAAGTCTATCAGAGCTTCATGCCCAGAGCAGGAAGCCAGTTCCTCCGACTGGAATCATTCCACTTGGAACTGGCAACGATCTTTCAAGGAGCTTTGGCTGGGTGAGAATCTGTTTGGAGCGCACATCAACGACGTGAAACGTCATATACATGCCTATTTACATCTCTCTGTCGAATTGAACTTCACAGGGTGGTTCAGTCCCTTTTGGATGGAAGTCAGCCGTTAAAAGGTCTCTTCAAAGGGCCATCACTGGGTCAATCTGTCGTCTTGATAGGTGATTGCTTCCTCCTTGTTCATATCAGCTATGGATTCGGTCTTTCTGCCGAGTACTTCCCATCCTGATTAGTTTCACCTCCATAATATGGTATCTTTGTAGATGTCACTGTGCATTTGTTAGCTGTAGTTCCACTCGGAGAGAAAGTTGAAAAGTTGGCAAGAAAATCTAGTAATGGTAGCAGACTTCGGCTTCTCAAATCTTGGCATTCAAAGACAAGAATCATCAATGTGTGTATTGTTGATGGATGGATTAAAATTCCGTTATCTGACATGCGAGTTTGGCACAGCAAGGATGTCCAGGATAAGCGCACGACCACTGTTTCACATGTGTGCTCGTACCTGTAGGATGAGAAAAAAATGTAGACTTTGTAATTTTTTTTTGTTAGAAATGCCTTTATAAATGGGAAAAAAACTTGAAAAAAATTAGAGGGTTATCGGGATAATTTGCCTTTAGCCATGTGATTTCGAGTAGAATGTTCGTGTGATTTTACAGTGAAATCGCTGTTAGGGAAATTCTACATTTTAGGCCGACCATTTTCTCGTTCTAATTTTAGTATCCACTTTCTAACTAAATGATATGGTTCTGAAACTTATAATCTTTAGCACCTACGGATGAATGTTGGAAACCATTGAAGATTTGTGGTAGAAAGGAGAGGGTATGTGAGAAAAACTGACATGTATTCTTGCTGACCTAGTAGTTGACTAACACAGACACCCGGGGGAGGGTTCCAGAGGTATGAGTATCATCAAAAAGAATGATGCCGTACCTGTAACTTTGTACGGTTTTTGATAATGAGGCACTTGGACAGTTATTGGGAATCTATCAGGGGTTACTCACTGGTTACTACAAGCACGGCTTTACCCAGGCCCATGGGTTTGGAACTTGGGACTTCACCTCCCATTACAATCTCCCCCGGCTAATTGTGCTCAGTCCAACTGATGCAAGGGTTATACTTTAGTGGATTTCCTTGTGGGTGTTCTGGATTGATGGAAGGGTGTTTTTTCTTAGGTGGAGTATATATTTTCGAACACTTGGATGCCATTCAAAGGATTCAGTTCGAATGTTACTTGCCAGATTCATGATTACCCTGAACCTACCTATAGTTTGATGGGTTAAAAAATCATTAATGTGGTGGAGGTCTAAGGTGAGCGATTCGTAGGGCAAGATTTCCAGCTTGATGTAGTTATACATGGTGGGGTGCTGGAAGAGGGAAGAGGCATTGGGCAATAAGCAATCTTGTGAAGTGTTGGGTGGATATGAATGTTCTTTTTGTCTTAAAAATTATTTGAAGGAAGTAATCGCACCACGTCTATACAAAAAAATCAGATGTCCTGGTTATAGGGCACCTGCTACTGGGCTATTACTAAGAATGTCATATTGTCTGTGTACAGCTGGAAAATCGAGGTCACAATGCCTGCAGGAGAAGAAAAAATGCAGCTGCCACATTCTCTTCAATACAGTGAAGAATCTACCTTCAGTCTGGTAATTTACTCATTTCGTCTTATTTCTTTCTGTCATTGTGGAACTTATTTTTAGATAAGGGCAATAGAAGCAAACGTATTCTAGTTTCACCTAAGCATGCCTATTGTAGCATCCAATTTACCATAGTAGATAATAGATTCAGTTTCTTGTGATTTATAATGTTGATGGGTCAATTGCTTTTGCATTCTACTGGTAAATCCTGCAAATTCATCAGGATGCAGTTCACTTAGATGTCATCCTCCTATGATGATGTGGATACTTTGCCAATGTTCCGAGCAGTGGAAAGAATAAAGGACCTGCCTTATAACCCGCCCTGTATAAACTTATCTCTTATTATTGAGTCATTCGGTTAAGTTACTTTGAATATGCATAGGAAATTCCCCACCATGTTATTTTCTCAGAATGCTTTTGAAAATACTAAATAGCCTTTGTAATTTGTCCCAGACGTAGCATGTTGGTCCAGCCTTTGTATACCATAAAGGACATGGAGGCTCGTTTCTTTAGATACCATAAAGTGCATTCTAGAGAGTTAGAAACAACATTTTTTCCATTTCAAAGTTTCAAGTATAGTTGATTTAAGTGTAACAGGTCTCTGTTAATGGAAGGGCGTATATTAATGAGAGTTGGATGGTTTCTTTGGAGCTAAGAGGCTAGTTGAATGAGACAGGGATGCCTCCATTTGATTAGTTTTTAGGAAGGTGAATCTAGTAAAAAAATATGACCGCACATTATATGGCTGAAAATACTTTGCGAGCTGCGCATTGACAGAGTGGAAATCAAGTAAAAATATTGGTATTTTGTCGTATTTTTCCGCATGAGATGATAATCACAACGTAGGCATACAAGGAATCAATTGAAACACATTCACTGTTATCATTTTTGTTCCTGTTTCTTTCTGAATGTTTGTGCCAAACGCTTCGAAATTTCTGATTTGTCTTATCCAAGTGAACCAGGTCACAGTGGAAGAAAAAGTTTGGAGAAAAACAACTCTTAAGATTTGCATAAACAGTGAATTCTATAAAAAAGGGTCCTCTATTATCCTGTTTTAAGGGGTAATAATTTTTTGTATAATTTATAGCAAGTCTCTTGCTTTGCAAACTTTTCTAGATAGTTATTGTACACATCAACAATGTAAGTTTTTCAATGGAAGCTCTGTAGTGAGTCCCTGAGGCATCAAGATTCTAAATGATGAGATTACTAATATCTTGAAAGGCTAAGTTTCCATACCCTTGGAAAATTATTGATAATTCTAAATGTATGTATGTATATATCTTCTAGCTATTTGAGCTAATTATCTTTAGGGATAATGCCATAGATTTTTCATTTTTTCTGTTGTTTATTAATGATTCAAATATGATTGCCCATTGGTTGGAAGTACTAAATGCAGTGATGCCTTTGTAGGAGGAAAATTTTGACGGCGAATTGCCTGATAAAGTCGCTAGCATTGATGGAGTGTTATATAACTACTTCAGCATAGGTACGCCATTCAGACAGTTCTGTTATTATTTCATTGCGCTTATGTTTCTATTATTTCTAATCCATCATGTATCGATGTCATTATGGTGTTTACACTCAAAAACTACTTAAACTTTGACAAATTTTTTGGAGGAGCGAAATTGTTGCAGATGGATTTGTGAATATGTCATTTCTCCTTGGGACAAACTTACAAATCATATGTATTTAGCTCAATATTTTAATGTGTTTTTTCACTAGATTAATTTCTGATTCATTGACGTCTCTTACTCTCCAATAATTATTTACTTTCTTCAAAACTTTTTTGTAGATAAGTAGTTCTTAGATGTTGTCCTTATGCCAGCCTTAATACGATGCAGCTGACGATCCTTAGATTGTCTTGGTTGTCCTTGTTACCTCCAAATTATTGGGACGTTTTGTCGGTCTGGTTCAGAAGAAGAGAATGAGGGCGAAAACGACTGCCTAGGATGGTTTTCCATCTTCACATAGCTGCAGCCATCATCTTGTCAGCTTGATTATTGATTCGTAAATTGGCTTCACTTGAAAAGATGTTTCCTAACTGCTCAGTCTGATTTACTGTTTTATTCCTGTTGAGATTTTTTTTCCTATGGAACTGTATCTGTCCCAACTTGACGACCATCAAATGGCAGATACCCAAGACTAATGTTTTCTGGCTTAACTGATAATGAGTACGCCCTGTGGAACACTTTTTTTTTTTCTCTCTTTTATTCATAATTATGTGCATATTCCATTCCATTGATTTCTTGATGTTGTTTTCTGTTGGAAGTGATCTTGATTTTCATCGTTAGTTTCTGTAATATTCTGTTCATAATGCTTTCTCACGTCTACAAGTATTATTCTTCTTATCTGAGTATTAAAACCGTTGGTGCACTAATAGTTTTTAATTTTTTCTGTGTTATATCGGAAAATGACTACTTACAGATCACATCGTCTCTGGGTCTGTAAATATTTAATTATCAACCACGTTTGGAGGCGCATATTCCTTTTTTATTTCTGACAGGAATCCCAGAATAATGGCTTGAGATCGAGGAAAATAGAGAGAACGCACAAGAATCTGAGGAAGAACAGACTTAAATAGAAAAGGGGAAAAGAAGTAGGGGAGGTTTCCGAAGGAACCCTAGAACCACTTCCAAAAAGTGCCCCACAATGAGGGTCCCCCTTGGCCCACCTAGGACCTTACCTTCCCTCTCCGGGCAGCGGGCCTGGTAATGGGCCCGGCAGCTTCTGCCCTAACAATTTCTTAGTATTAAATTATCCTATCCATAGGACCCAAATTTGATTACTTTAGATTATTGATGCCCATTAGTTGCTAATTCCTATCTCTGGTTCCATTGGCACAGGAATGGATGCTCAGATTGCTTACGGGTTCCATCACTTGCGTAATGAAAAGCCATACTTGGCTCAGGGTCCTCTTTCAAACAAGGTATTTCTGCCCTCTCGAGCATCTGAAGCCTATTCCTGCGTTTATGAAGGACAATGGCTTGGTTCACTGCTTACTTTGTCTGAGATTGGCATTTGATACTCATCCTCCATCGTCTTGGTTTTCTTCTGAGAAGGCTGTTTTATACCTCTCAAAGCCCTAAGCACTTTGTTTTCTTACACTGGATTTATCTGCTGGCAATACAGTTGATCTACTCTGCATACACCTGCACACAGGGGTGGTTCCTGACACCTTGCATTAACAATCCGAGCTTGAGGTAAAGAGCATCTTCTCGTAGATTTTTCTCTTCATCCCACTTTATATTTTTGCCTGAAGATATTTCTAGGCCAAAGACAGATTGTTCGGGTGATTATCTGACGGGGGTTTTTGGTTGTAGGTGAAAAAAATATATAACTCTGAATATGACCAAAAGATTTTGAAACTGGTTAAAAGAGTTAGGAAGTGGGCCTGTGCATTTAGATTGACGGCTCTGACCGTAAATTGTCAGAGCAACTGCTCAATCGGGGTTTAGATATAATAATTTTTTCGTTATTTATTGGTTTAAAGACTGTGCAATGATTTTCAGCGTCGTCAACTCTGACTGACATTTATCTTGAGCATCGTCAATTCAGGGGCTTGAGGAATATTTTACGTCTTTTCATAAAAAGGGTCAACTGCTCAGACTGGGAGGAGATTCGGATTCCTTCAAGGTACACGCATAAACCCTATTCATTCCCTTAACTAGCCTCTTAACCTATCAACAGAACTCTTCAGTTGGCGGGCTAATGTTTCTTTCCCCTGGAAGGCATCCATCGCACATCTTTTCTCAGAAATTCTGCAATGTGTTTTCTGCAGTGTTAGGGCGATAGTGGCCTTGAATCTTCACAACTATGCGAGTGGGAGAAATCCCTGGGGCCATCCAAAGCCTGATTACTTGGAAAAGGTTCCTTTTTTCTTTCTTGATTTTTCACAGAGGAGCCATTGAACTATCGTGCAGAAATCCCAAGCCCAGTATTTCGCGAAGGGTATCAAAGCTCTCATCTTTCTGTCTTCCCCTCTCACCCAGAAAGGATTCGTTGAAGCCCATGTCGACGACGGCCTGATCGAGATCTTTGGCCTGAAGCAAGGGTGGCATGCCTCGTTCGTCATGGTCGATCTCATCTCAGCGAAGCACATTGCTCAGGTAACATACCCCACCATTCTTGCTATCGTACGAGGAAATTCTTGTCACGCGGGAGTTCATCGTCGACAACTGTTTTCCCCAGGCCGCTGCAGTCAGGCTGGAGATCAGAGGCGGACAGTGGAAGGAGGCCTTCATGCAGATGGACGGAGAACCATGGAAACAGCCCCTGAGCGAGGAGCATTCAACGTTTGTGGAGATAAAGAGGGTGCCCCACCACTCGCTGATGCTAAATGGGGATTGAGGCAGCTGATTGGTTATAGGATGCGCTACTGAAGGTTGGCCTTTTAGAGCCTCTAATGATTCCATGACTGCATCTGGGTCTGCAAACAGGGAGATGGGTTCCCGTCTAGAACTAATCTTTAACACAGAAAATTGAAATACTTCCTTTATCCATCCGCGGTGCAGATTACAGTAGGAGCTTTAGTGGCCTGATTGTGATCACCATTTTCCCAGGATCCCCAGCTACAACTTGAAAAAGAGTTCATTTTGTGTCAATTCTGAAATGACTCCGTTGACCCGAAACGATCATGGTAACAAATGACGAGGAAAGTGAGATTCTAAAGTCAACTCTTGGCGGGTTCTGCACGATTAAGCCACTGGGTTCTCATAATCTCCTCTTTTTTTTGGAAGGGCCTTGAACAAATCCTGAATGGTCGTCAGAGACTAGTTTCATCTAGGAGGGGATGCATGAACCGTAATGATATGGTCAACTGCTGCCAGAGGTGCACTTCTTTCATCTCGGACTATCCGTTCTGATCTCAGCTTCCACAGTCTCGTTAAAATGAAGGTAGGATAAGAGAAATTGGCCGTTACCATAAGAAAATAGGGTCAAAGAAGTTTTGCGCGGGTAGAATTTGGCCTGGCCAGCGCGTTCTATTGACTGCTTACGATCTGGCAGTCAACTCTCGTCGCAGGGAAACCGGTTGTCTCGGGCGGTGGTGGAGCCGACGGAGAAGGTTCCTCGGCGTCAGACCAGAGTCACCGGGAGTCACCCCATTTCTTCTCTCTCCACCGCACCCACCGCTGCCCATCTTTGGGTCGTTCCTCCGCGAGGACGACGACCACGGTCGACGGGGAGCCGATCGTAAAAATAGCGTCGGCCGTCGTTGCAGTAAAGAACTTCCTCCCGGCAGCGGCCTCGCTTCTCTTTCCTCCCCCTTCGTCTATATCCTCCCCCCTCCCCCACTGTCCACTCTCCTCCCCGACGGCGCCGCCGCCGCCATCAGAATGCTGCTCCTCCCCTCGATCGTTATGTTCCGGTAGTTGCTGTTGATCGTCAGAGTTGCTACGTTCCACTGGTGTGGTCGGGTAGGTGACCTCGCAGCGATGGCGGTCGGCGGACGTGTCCGTCTGGATGAGAGCCCGGGATTCAACTCGTCGGTGCCACCCAACGGCACTGTGTGCTTCTCTCCGACGTCAGTCTCCTACGGCGGGATATGGCATGGAGGGAACCCAATGGATTTCTTTCTGCCTCTGTTCATCATGCAGGTGGCTATCGTCGTCCTCACTACCAGGGGAATGTACCTCCTCCTCAAGCCCTTTCGACAGCCGCGGGTCGTCGCCGAGATCATCGTGAGTTTTCTTCCCAGTCTCTCTCGCCCATGATTCCCGGATGCGTCCTGATCTGCTCTGGTTTTGTGGGTCAGGGGGGCGTGCTCTTGGGGCCGTCGGTGATGGGGCAGATTCCCGGATTCGCCGACAATCTGTTCCCGTTGAGGGGGACGACTGTTCTGGAGACGATGGCCCACCTCGGCCTTCTGTACTTCCTCTTCTTGGTGGGGTTGGAGATGAATGTGGGCATGATCAAGCGCACGGGGAGAAAAGCCCTGGTGTTGGCCCTCACCGGCATGTTCCTCCCCTTCGTCATCGCTACTATCGCCTCCTACTTCCTCTCAGAGCATATGTCGTTCAAAATGGACAAGCTGCCCTTCCTGATCTTCCTCAGCGTTACCCTCTCCATGACCGCCTTCCCCGTCCTGGCCCGCATCCTCGCCGAGCTCAAGCTGCTCAACACCGAGATCGGGAGGATCGCCATGTCTTCCGCTCTGATCAACTATTTGATCGGGTGGATGCTGCTCGAGCTGGCCGTCGGCCTCTCAGGCCCCACAGATTTCCACTCTTTGACGTCCATCTGGGTTCTGTTCTTCCGCGTCGGTTTCGTGCTTCTCTGTTTCTTCGTCATCAAGCCGGGGATTCAGTGGATCGCCCGGCAAACCCCCGAAGGGATGCAGGTGGGGGACCTCCACATCGGCATCATAGTGACCGGCGTGATGGCCTGCGGGTTGGTGACTGACGCGTTGGGCATCGGCTCCATCTTCGGGGCCTTCGTCTTCGGACTGGTGATCCCCAACGGGAAGCTGGGCGTCGCCGTGATCGAGAGGCTGGAGGACTTCGTCTCCGGCCTGCTGTTGCCCCTCTTCTTCGCCATTAGCGGCCTTCGGACGAACATTTTCGCCGTACAGGACGTCGACACGGCTGTGAACCTCCTCATTGTCATCGCGGTGGCCAGCGTCGTCAAGCTGGGCGTCATTCTGATAGTCTCCTCCTTCTACGGGATGCCCTCCAGAGATGGCCTCTCCCTCGGGTTTCTCATGAACTGCAAGGGCATTATTGAGATGATCGTCCTCAACGCTGGCCATGACAAGGAGCTGCTCGGCGAGGATTCCTTCGCGCTGATGGTCATCTCATCGGTGATCATGACTGCCGTCGTCGTCCCTCTGGTGACCATGGTGTCCCGGCCAGGTCAGCGTTCCCAGTTCTACGAGCGCCGGATGATCCAGCAGTCCGGGCCCGACTCTGAGCTCCGTATTCTGGCCTGCGTCCACACCAGCCGCAACGTGCCCGGCATCATCAGCCTCCTAGATTTCTCCCGCCCTACGAAAAAGGCTCCGCTCTTCGTCTACGCTCTCCACCTTCTCGAGCTCACCGGCCGGGAATCCGCCATGCTGATAGTCAACACCGCAGGCCAGGACCCGGGAGAGCACGGCGCCAAGAGTGCCAACCATATGCAGGCCCAGTCGGCTCGGATTATCGGTGCCTTCAAGAGCTACGAGCAGCAGGCCGGCAACGTCACCGTGCAGCCCTTCACCGCCATCTCTCCCTACTCCACCATGCACGAGGACATCTGTAAGATCGCGGAGGACAAACGGGTCACCCTCATCATCCTCCCTTTCCACAAGCAGCAGACAGTGGACGGCCGGATGGAATCCCCCAACCGTGGCGTTCGTGCAGTGAACCAGCACGTCCTCGTCCATGCCTCTTGCTCGGTGGGGATCTTCGTCGACCGAGGCCTCGGAGGGTCCTCGAGGAGCATGTCGGGACAGGGCGTTGCCAACCGCGTCGCTGTCCTCTTCTTCGGCGGGCCCGACTGCCGGGAGGCCCTGGCATACGCGCGGAACATAGCGGAGCACCCGGAGACTGTCCTCACGGTGCACCGCTTTCTGCCCGCTGCCGTTTCCTCGACCTTCGAGGACGCCATAGCGGTTTCTGTGGACGACGACAGGGAGCGCCGGCTGGACGACGAGTACGTCGAGGAGTTCCGGCAGAAGACCGCCGGGAACCGGCGCATCAGCTATCTTGCGGTGATGGCCAGCAACGGGGAAGAGACGGTGGCGACCATCCGATCCATGGGCGGCAGTTACGATCTGTGCATCGTGGGCAGCGGGCATGGGGTCGGGGCGCCGCTGACCTCCGGGATGATGGACTGGAGCGAATGCCCGGAGCTTGGGCCGATCGGGGACCTGATGGCGTCGTCCGATTTCTCGGCGACTGTGTCCGTCTTGGTAGTGCAACAATACGTCGGCGCCTCGGGCGCCGGCGACGGAGGTGGATCGACGGAGAGCTCGAGAGACGGCGGGCGCTGGGCAAGGTGCGCCATTTCCGTGCCGTGAGTTGCTCTACTCCACATCGGCTTACGGCAGCCGTGGGGCAGCGCCGGACAAATTTTTCTGGTACCCACGACGTCGGAGGGTCTCCAGTTTCTCTTCCTTCAAATCTCGCTCCCACTCTCGAGTAAAAGCTTGGAACCCATCAATCACTATGGAACGCTATCTTATTATTTTTTTTTTTGAAGAAGATTCTCGATATTTGAATCACAAGAGCCAGGCCATGGTGCTGGCCCTCCCGAATCTGAGGATGCTGCGATGGTCGGAACTCGCGGTGCCTGTCGAGGTCTCGGCTGTAGCCCTCTTAGCTTCTATGCAGAAACATGATACGGGGCTGGACAGTAAAACAGTTGGGCTCTGCAACCAGATGGTCAAGGACTTGCTTAGGACACGACCATGTGGCACTGTTAGAAACTCGCCGGAGAGATGACGGCAGTTAAGACGTCGCCGGCGAGATCACCTTCTGAGTCACAGGAAAAATCCAGCAGGAGGAACAAGGAAGACTATCTCGCTCATTGAAAACCTCTTACAGCCCTCTTTAAATAAGGGAGCAACAAAAGGAGAAAAGGAATAACCGTAAGCAATAAGCAACCTGTTACAGCTCTAGGCGGTGTGCCTCGAGACGTGTAAGGCTTATGCCGTTACGCGAAACGACGTGGAAGACATGCAAGGCTCCCCGTTCATGACAATCTCCTCCTGAGCCTTGCTATACTTACCACGAACATCAACGAGCCCAATCTTGGCGCGAAACTCATGGAACTTGACTTTTCCGAGTGGCTTCGTCAGAACGTCTCCTAACTGTTCTTCACTCCTGATGAACTCCACGTTGATCTGACCCTTTTCTGCAGATTCTCGGACAAGATGATACTTCACTTCAATGTGTTTGCTATGTCCATGGAGAACTGAGTTCTTGATCAACGCTATGGCAGACTTGTTGTCCACCTTCAGCATTGGCACGCTTGGTGCTGAGCCATGCACCTCTGCTAACACCCGAGCGAGCCACACACCCTGGCAGGCAGCATTGGCGGCCGCAATGTACTCTGCCTCGCAGCTAGATTGAGCCACCACCTTCTGTTTCATTGACTGCCAAGTAAGTGGGCTGTTGGCCAAGAAGAAAATAATTCCAGTCGTGCTCTTCCGAGCATCAACATCACCAGCGAAGTCACTATTGCTGAACCCTGTCAGCTGGACTTGCTTCTCCTTTTTCCTTTCATACATGAGACCCCAACTCTTGGTTCCCGCCACATAGCGGAGAATTTGCTTCATAGCAGCCAAGTGATCCTTTCGTGGCTCCTCTAGAAAACGACTCACATAACCAACCGCAAATGCCAAATCTGGACGAGTATTGACTAAGTACCTGAGACTCCCCACGATGCTTCTGTATGCTGTCGCATCCACCAGCGGCTCCGTGCTCATCTTGCTTAGTTTCAGACGTGTTGTCATTGGTACTTGACAAGGATTGCACCCTGCCATCCCGCTCCTCTCCAGAATCTTGGCGGCATAGGCTCCTTGGCTGATCAAGGTGCCCCTCGCACTCTGCCTGACTTCAATGCCAAGATAGTAGCGAAGCAGGTCGAGGTCGCTCATCTTGAATGCGTCAGCCATCTCTTTTTTGAAATGCTTGATGTCGTCGCAGCTGGCGCCGATGATCACCAGGTCATCGACGTACACCCCGACCACTAGCTGCGCCTCCCCATTCCACCTGGTGTAGATGGCATGTTCCGAGGGACTCCTGAATCTGAACGACAGCAACGTTTCGTCCAACTTCGGGTTCCAGGCCCTAGGCGCCTGATGTAAGCCGTAGAGTGCCTTCTTCAGCTTAAATACCTTGTGCTCGTTGCCCGTGCTGATGAAACCGGCTGGCTGCTCCACGTACACCTCTTCCTTGAGATCGCCATTCAAGAACGCCGACTTGACATCCATGTGGTACACCTCTCACCCCTCGTGCGCCGCGAGAGCAATGAGAAGGCGCACCGTGTCCAGCCGCGCCACAGGTGCGAACACCTCGTCGTAGTCGATCCCTTGGCGTTGCGCATAGCCCTTCACCATCAGGCGCGCCTTGTACTTCGCCACGGCTCCGTTTTCATCCCGCTTCACCTTGTACACCCACTTCAACCCGATCGCCCGGCGACCATGTGGGAGGTCTACCAGGGACCAGGTGCTGTTTTCCTCGATCGACGCCATCTCCTCCTCCATAGCCTTCCTCCAGCTCGGGTGGCCCTCTGCTTCAACAAAAGAGACCGGCTCATCAGAACTTACAGCGTGCAGCTCCTTTGCAATTAACGCCCGCGACGCGAGACCACGTGGCGAGGCCAGCCCAACGATGTTGTCGATCTTGCGGAACCGGAGTGGCGCATCATCGTGATTAGCGTCCAGGTGGTCAATGTGGACACTCGGTGGAGAGGCGAACTCCACCTCCTCTCCTCCATCTTCAATCGGCGCTGCTCCCCCACTGTAGTGCACAGACGGTGGCGACATCGGCTCCGGTCCCGGCGTATCATCATCAAGTACCTCGATGGCGCCATCGAGCTCTGGAGGTACCTGGTTCTCGACGGCATACTCCAATGTGAACATATCGTCGTGGCTGCCCGCATCCCCTTGCTCCGCGCCGCTGCCCCAGTCCCACTGAGCATTCTCGTCGAACACCACGTCCCGTGTCACATGGACACGCCTCGCGGTGGGATCGTAGGCTCGGTAGGCCTTTGATGCGTACTCGTAGCCGATGAAGATCATCTTGCGGCCGCGGTCCTCCAGCTTCTTGGGATGCGGTGTCGTGTTCAGGACGTAGGCGATGCATCCGAACACCTTCAGATGGTGCACCGCCGGCTTCTTCCCGTGCCATACCTCGAAAGGCGTCATGCCGTCCACGCTCTTCGTGGGACACCGGTTCAGGATGTATACAGCAGTTGCCACTGCCTCACCCCAAAACCAGCCCGGCAGCCCCTTTGCCTTGAGCATGCTCCTCGCGGTTGCTACCACCGTGCCGTTCCTGCGCTCGACGATGCCATTCTGCTGCGGTTATGGCGTCGTGTGTTCACGATGAATACCTTCTCCCGCGCAGTACTCCGCGAACTCATGTGAGGTGAATTCGCCGCCCTGATCAGTACGGAGCGCTCCCAGCTTCAGTCCTGACTCGCCTTCTGCCCGAGCCTTGATCTCCTTGATGGCCACCGCAGCACGGTCCTTTGAAGGCAGCATGGCCACCCACATGTACCGGCTTCGATCATCCACGAGCAGTAGGAAATACTTGCTGCCGTTTGGCGTTTCCGGCGCAATCGGACCACAGAGGTCGCTGTGCACCAGCTCCAGAACACGCCGCGCCCGGTACTCTCCCTGCTGGGGGAACGGCGACCGCTTTTGCTTGCCAGCGAGACACGCCTCACACAGCTGGTCCACCGGACCAACCGCCGGCAACCCGCGCACCAGATCCTCCCGAGCCATCTTCCGCAGCGCGGTCATGTTGACATGGCCGAGGCGCGCGTGCCATTTCCAAGCTTCTTCGACTGCTCGCGCCTCCAGGCACACCTGCCGAACCAGCTTGGCGTGGAGAATGTACAGCCTGTTCTCTCCGCGCATGACCTTTGTTAGGAGCCGTCCGCCTGGCTCATGGATCTTCATCGCCCCCTTCTCGATGTCAATATGGTACCCAGCCTCATCGAGTTGGCCGACGCTGACGATGTTCGTCGTCCGTCGGGGAATGTAATACACCCCCGCGAAGGACCGGTGCTCGCCGTTCTTGCACAGGAACACGATTGCCCCCCGGCCTTCGATCCGCGCCACCGAGTCGTCGCCGAACCGCACCGTCCCAAGTACCTTCGTGTCCAGCTCGGTGAAAGCTGTACGGGAACCCGACATGTGGTTCGTGGCGCCCGTGTCCACGACCCACGCCTCCTCATCACGCAGCTCCTCCTCTTCAAGGTGGGCGAACACCTTCTCTTCCCGCAGGTGGATCTGGGTCTGGGCGCCTGGCTTCCGCTCTTCTTTGGCGGCCCCTCCATTGACGGGGACCCTTTTTGCTCCCGGCGGCGGTGGGCTTGCACACCGGAGCCGATCCTCTGCCTGCGGAGTCGCAGCAAAACGTGGTGGAGTGGAGGTTGGTGGCGGCGCCGTCGATCTGGCCGTCGTTGACTTCACGAGAAGGAGCGAGGCCTCCTCCTCATTCTGGACGACGTGGGCCTGCTCTTTCTTGGGCTTGGAGCGGCACTCGCGGGCCCAGTGGCCCAGCTTCCCGCATCTCTTGCACTCATCACCTCTGGGCCGGCCTGAGTTGCCCGTCAGGCCACCTGATGACGAGCCCTTGTCGCTGCCATGGCCGCGCCCGCACCCGCGCCCATGTCTGACACGGTGCGTCACGCTGCTGCTACCTCCACCACCAGTTTTCTCATTATCACGCTTCCTCCGCCGTGCATCCCACTCTTCCTCAGTCAGGTGCAGCTTGCCGTCGTGGTGCATAGCCGACGGCAGTTCCTCGAAGGCATCCTCCCCCGCCTTGAGCCGACCCGTCAAATCCGCGACAGTGAGCGTCGACACGTCGAGCAGCATCGTGATCGCGACCACGATCTGCCTGAAATGCTGGGGAACACTGCGGATTATCTTCTCCACTACCTGCGTCTCTTCGACCTTGTCGCCGAGGGTGTTGAGAGTCGATGCCATGCTGTTGAGACGCAGCGCGTAGTCCTCAACAGACTCTCCCTCCTTGAACGTCGCCGAGTCGAACTGCCGCCGCAAGTTCTGAGCCGACGCTTTCTTTACGCGGTCATCGCCGATCCGCATGGTGGCGATAGCCTCCCAGGCCTCCTTGGCCGTCTCCTTGTTCGCGATCACCGGCCACATTTCCGGCGGCACGGCGCTGCAGAGCGCGTCAAGCGCCTGCATGTCTTCGTGGGGTTCGACGCCCCCTTTCTCAATGGCGATCCAGAGCAACCGGGCTCTGAGCTTGACCTTCATGAGCAGTGCCCAGTCGGAGTAGTTGGTCTTGGTGAGCATTGGGAACCCGGTCCCGGCGCTCACCTCACGAATCACCCTCTGGACCACTCCGTCCTTTCCTCCTGCCATAGCGCGTCTCGATTGCGCGTTCTCGATTCCAACGGCTGTACCTTGCCGCAATCGAGTCCCGGCCCGCAACCTGGGAGCTCTGATACCACTTGTTAGAAACTCGCCGGAGAGACGACGGCAGTTAAGACGTCGCCGGTGAGATCACCTTCTGAGTCACAGGAAAAATCCAGCAGGAGGAACAAGGAAGACTATCTCGCTCATTGAAAACCTCTTACAGCCCTCTTTAAATAAGGGAGCAACAAAAGGAGAAAAGGAATAACCGTAAGCAATAAGCAACCTGTTACAGCTCTAGGCGGTGTGCCTCGAGACGTGTAAGGCTTATGCCGTTACGCGAAACGACGTGGAAGACATGCAAGGCTCCCCGTTCACGACAGGCACACTTTGCGCCGAGCGGGCGGACTCGCCGAAGTAGAAGTTAACGAGCTGACAAAAACCCTAAATATTTTGGTGTAGCAATGATTCAGAAGACTGCGATACGACATCGTATTAATCGCTGACTGATGAACACTGAATCGAGTGGAGAAACAGTCGCAAGACTAAGCGCGTGTGTTTACGCGAAAAACCCTAACATTGGCTAAATCTGCAGGAGAAGAACGCAGTATCGCTAAAACGCGAAAAGGATCTCGATTGCACCAGGAATCTCCCTCTTCTCTGCACGGAGAAGCTCCGACCGCCGGTGCAGGTCACTTTTGCCTCCCTTCACCAAAGCCCTGGTGCAATAATCTCTTCTAGCAACGCAGGCCCCATGTTGACGCCATGGATTCAGGTAACAGCGCTCGGTTCGCTCTAATCACCCGGTTACTATTTGTAAACAAGTTTTCTTTGACCGGGCAGTTTGATAAGCATGTACTCTCAATGATGGGAAATAATTCATTCAGGAAACGTCAATAGTTTTTTATGAACAAATGAATGTTTAGCTTATCGAAATGTTTTCTTGGAATTATTGAGGTTGGATTAAGTTTTCCGTGATTTAACTAATGAAAACCTGTCTCAAGGAGTTCGACAGCGAATCCTGTCTTAGAAGCATCGACTGGTTGACTTTCTGTGGCACTTGTGAGGCAAGCGCGAAGCTTCTGGCCAAAAATCGTGAGATCTCTCAGTAAGATCCTTCGAAGAGGAAGAGCGTTTCTGCGGAACATAAAATATTCCAGGAAACTAAATGATCAATCCAAACTTTTAGGGATACCTCCTCGCAGCGGGAATTCCTCCGGAGACTTTCATTTACGGTGATGCTTCTGCTATGAATCCCAGAAGACGAGTGCCTGCGGAGGCGGCCAGACGGCGCAGTCATCGAAGTACCGGGCGTGGAGAGTGGTAGGGGGCCGCGCAGAAGACGTGGATGTCGGTGAACTGCGTCGGTGAACTGCCATTCTGGGCCAAGACGAGGGAGACGGAGCGAAGACTGAAGATTAATGGGGTAAGCTTCTCCGTCTCCCACGCGTCCACAAGGAAAGAAAACCAGGAGGAAGAGGAGAAGAAGAAGAGGGAGTTCGACCAAATAAATGAGGAATAACTTAATGGAAATTCTATGAGCAACACAAATAAACTGAACTTCAGCTCTTGACGGCCATGAACATCGATTCCATGCAAGTGGAAGGAGGAATGCTCGATTTATAAAGGGCGGAAGACGATTCTATGTAAAATTTAAGCAAATAGGACTAATTTTTGTCTTATTTTTATACGGTATAAGCATTTTTTGCGATTTTAGAGTATTTTTAATCGTTTTCGTCCCAAGTTTCTTGGTAATTTGGGAGGAGGTGGCATTACCGACCGGTATTGAGATAGATAGGATTGAAGTAGGCGTTAGGTTTGGCGCGACAATAGGACGACTAAGAGGTGAATCCGCAGAGACGTCAACGTGACGCAGAAGATCTCAACTCGGCGAGCGGTTTGGTTAATCAATGTCTTCGATCTTAGTAAAAAGAGATATTGTCAAAAATGTAACAAATTATCTTTACGCAGTCACACCATCGAATTGTGGGCTTTATTACAGGTTCAATGGTTTTACATAATTTTTAAATAAATAACTTTCAAGATTAGTCGTTTCACGAGGAATCATTAATTATTGATTTTAAAAAAAATCCATTTTAAAAAGGAGAAAAAAAACGTCAAATTTGGCGTCGGCATTTCGGAGAGAGAGAGAGAGAGAGAGAGAGAGAGAGAGAGAGAGAGAGAGAGAGAGAGAGAGAGAGCAACATACTCGGAAGGTGAATCAATAAAATATTTTGATTATATTTCGAATATCTTGAATGTGTAATTCCCTGCTCTGCATGGACACTGATCGATTACATTGGTCGATCTCGTCTGGTTTTTAGTCAATAGTTACATCATGATCTTACCTTTATTCTCTTCTTACCGTAGGATGGCAAAGCATAATATCGCTGCCTACTCCCATCTGGGCACCTTCCGGGGTTGCGGCCTCCGGCGGGGGGTCGGTTGTTCCCAGCTCTGATGAGGTGGAGGGCCTCCCTTCCTCCGGCGGAGCCTCGGCAATGGAAGAGTGGACGGAGATGCTCAAGGGGCTCTGAGACCCGCCTGTCAATGCGGACGTCTCCGTGGCGGCGCGATGGCTCTCGCAGTCGCACCCCTTCTTAGTTCCATTCTCCCCTCTGAAAGCATGAGAGCTGAGGTCTTTCTGGTCGAAATATTTCCCCCAGGCCACCATTTTGTTCCAGATGGAGCCCCTCGAAGCCGCAGGCTTCAGTTCGCCCCAGTTTTTATACACGAAGGTGGCGGAGAATATTAGGAGACATAGGATGGAGACGGCACCGGTGATGAGGAAGAGGCCCGAGAAGCTGCTGAAGGAGAGCCTGCTGGAGTTAATCGCGTCAGCTTTGTCTTTACAGTTAGACTTCTTCTCCAGGTTCTTCGACTCTATATCCCGCAGCTTGTCTCCCTCTGTTATGTTTAAGATCGCCCTCGAAATGTCGGGCACCAGAGGAGACCCTCTGGCGAACGCCTGTTGATGTGGAACGAAGGTAAATTGAGGATTGGCATCAGACTATGAAGACGGGGAAGAAGTGAAGGGAACGGAGAAGCAGTCAGTACTCACAAATCCGAATCCATCGGTCTTGTAGATTGGCCCGATCGTCATGTAGTCGGAGCAGTGCTCCGCCAAGAAGATTCTAATGTAAGGGATCTCGTCGAATATAGCTGACACCCCTCCGTTATGGCTACCTTTGGAAAGGGCGTCGGCGTACTGGGATACGTTTCCGTATGGCTTCAGCTTGGACTCGTCGAAGTTCTCCCGTAGCAAGAGTCCCTTCAGGAAGGAGCCGTCCTGGTACCCGATGAAGTCTCCGTTCTTCCGGAGCTCGTTGACGCTAGCTAACGTCGGTTGGAGCTGTTGCACCGTGAGCATAGACGTCAGGCTGGCCGTGTAACTGGATGTTAGAATGAGGACGACGAAGACCCATACGGTCACGACGAAGCGGGAGAGGTTACTCTCCACTCTTTCCCCTGTTTCAATCCAAGAGACCAAGAGATCACAAGACCACGTTAGGCGCATCGCGAAAACGTTGCAACGAAAACAAAAGGATCCAGGGGCCTCAGACGGAACTGTGAGCGTAGACCATGGTGGAGAAGGCGAAGTAGAAGATGGTCCCCATCTGCTGAGCGGGGGGGCCTCTGAAGTCATTGTTTATCCTGTGCTCGATCACCCACACCACGAACCCCGTGAAGAAGAAAAAAGACATGCTCCCCAGCCACAGGTCCGTCGTCAGCGGCTTCAAGAATACCCAGGGGTTCCTGTTATTGTTCTTCTTGATGGGGACGATCATCCACACCCCCGACTCCGTGTAGGGCAGCGTGAAGTCTGCGTACTGCGATCTGTTCGCCACGATCGTCAAGTCCCCGACGACAGCATCGACTTCCTGTTCCAAGGCCATGGTGGGTCAGTCTATCAATCCAATGGTGGTGTTTTGACTGACGGATTGGTGCTGTGACATAGCTTCACATTAATCATATGGTATTCAACTCTAGTTAGGCTCCTTACCTCTCTGTAGATAAGCTCCACAAGCTCATCATAATCTCCGTTTTCTCCTTGAGCGTCCTTGGGCGTATAAACGTAAGTATCGGAGCGGTTCAGCCACCTCATCACAGCGTCGAACACGTCGATACTGAAGCCCGTCACGTTGTTTCCGTCGACGCTGACGAACTCCTTGAACCCCGCCTTGGTCGGGACGGCGATCCGCAGTTTCTTTCCCCAAGTCGGGATCTGCCATCCCTTCGGGGGAAGTCTGGAACCACCCGGCCAGACCACGTCAGACAGAGCCGTTCCCAAGTCCGAAATCGAGGTGTTGGTTGTCGAGTTCAGCTGGACTCCGTGGGTTGGTGTCCAGAAGCCGACTTCCCTTGCCTTGCCTCCGACGACGTTGACCAATTGAAATATCGAGGACTGTAGCTGCCCTTCCACCAGCCGGAATTCACCGCTCAGCTTCCTAAATCTTGTCTTCAACAGTGCGTCCAGAAGACGAGGGCCCGTCAGAGAGACCCCCAGGGAGGTCAGGTCGGTTATTTGGCTTCCCCCAGCGACCGGTTTTCGGAAGCTGGAGTATTCTGTGAGCCCCTCCTTCTCCACAGCCAACGCCATCGCCCAGGCCGTGTCATACGCCCACAGAGCGTAAATGCTGATCTCGGAGACGTTGGCAGCCTTGGGGTTCTCGCGTTTGAACCTCATCTTCCACCTCGCGGTGAAGTTGCGGAGCTCCTCCGTCTCTAGCACATACGGCTTCAAACCGATCACCCCCTTCATGGCCTCTACAACCGAGGGATCCATGGTTCCTACCAAGTCCGTCATCACGTCTGTGGTGATCCACACGTACCCCTTGGCCATCATCCCCAGCTCCTTCGCCTTCAAGAAGAGGCGAGAGCCGAGTTCCGGCAGCATGTGCACTACAAAAACCCTGGTCCGCGAGCAATTCAGACGTTTTAATTCTTCGACGATGTGGTTGTCGCGAGCCGAAGGGGGGATCGCGCTACGTTTTGTCACCCGGGTGTCGACGCCTAGAAGAGCGTCGACGAGGTAAGGGAGGAAGCTGGTGCCGTACTCGGTATCCTCGTAGATGGGGACGACTTCCCTCCACCCGAAGGCCTTCGCGATGGAGGCGATGGCGTTCACATGGCAGGAGCTGTTGAGCGTCGTCCGGACGAAGTACGGCGAACGGGACGGCGACAGAGAAGGGCTTGACGCCGAGAAGGAGACGATGGGGACGCGGGTCTTATTGCCGAGGTCGAGGACGAAAGCTGTTTGCACCGACGTAAGCGGCCCTATGATCGCGTGCACTCGTGTGTTCTTTATCAGGTCCAGGGCTGCATCACAGAGAGGTCGAGCTCCGTTAACTGTGAATCCAATCGGGGAGAAGGCGGTTGATGCCGACCTACAAGGTGTGAGAGGGCTGCCATGGACTGTCCATGGAACTTCAGACTGACGAGGGGCGAGGGGGAGATGGAGATGGGGGAGAGTTGGGGAAAGAGAGGGGATACGGACCAAGTCAGAATGAATCAGGCCCTGTCGACGATCGGACTTAATTGGTCTACTGACATCGGTGACAGATGTGGTCCATGTGCCAGACCCACCATTCTAGCTGCTAGCTAGTCCAGTCAACAACATTAAATATACAGAGGCTACGCGTCCCGCCCCAGTCAATCCTTTCTTGCCTTATGGATGTCTGAATCGGTCAAACTCGTCAGGAAACCAATCGTGTGCTTTTACGATCCGAGGGGCCGGAGAATAAGCATCTGAGTCGTCAGAATGGAGGGGGTTGCTTTGAAAGAAACCAGAGAGGGATTGGAAGGAACGGACTGCATGGAACTCCTGCCGGATTCCGATCGAACACTGGATGAACAGTGGGAGGATTCTAAGAAGAATTGTGCCGTGGCCTTGGCTTTGTTTCTTCCCAATATCCCCTATTGACGATCTTTCTCTCACACAGAGCAGAGGTTCGATTACCACGCGGGAGACGACCATCAGGAGGGTTGTGGGAGAAGAAGGGCAGAATACAGAATAAGCAGTTTCATAAACCCAAGAAGAATGATGGAGATTCGGGCTAGTCAAGGAGTAAGTTCTCGGCATACCGGCAGACGCAGCGCCGACGACGTCGTCGTGGGAATTCCTGGTGTGGAGAACCAGCCTCGTCCTGAAACTGCTGCGAGAGCTGTAGAAGTCTTCCACCGCCATTGCCAGGCTCACGTTGCACATCCTGGCCACCAGAGACTCCTTGTCTAGGTTGAGAATTACCCCAACATGGACCGGCGTCGGGGCCGTTCTCTGCGCCAACGCGACTCGGCGGTTCGTGAAGGAGCAGAAGCAAAGACAGAAAGCGGAGAAGAGGAGAAGACGAGCGGCGTTGCTCATCTCCATCTAGCAGGGCATCGTCGTCTGGAAGATGTTTACTAGAAAAGCTGAGAGAGCTGGGGAAGGGGGAAGGTTTGGTGAAGAGTTCAGAAAACGAGGAGGTCGAGCGGGGGACCCTATGCCGGACGTTATGGGAGGAGAGGCGGCCTCGGGGGGCCGATCTTCTTAGATATAGCCGCAAAGGTTATTATCTTTGTTAAAAGAAATCTACGGGTTCTTATCAGCGCGGGGCGCTGATGGGCCCCGTGAGCCCGAAGCCCAACCGAATATAATTCGGGCCGACCTGCACGCAGACAGCGATCCGGCCCGAAAAACTGTAAAGCCCACATCTCTTCTCTGTTTTCTTGTTCTTTTTCCGTTTCCCCTTTAACTGAACCAAATGGTAAAAATATCAAACATTGGGCCGAAAAGGGGTGAAATATGCCACTTTCTGTCGGGCCCGGGCTGGGCGTCAAAACTGATTTCGGTTTCAGGTCCATTAACAACCCTTCCTATAGTTGACTGTCTGAAGAAAGTCTCTGCGAGGACTCGCATCCAGTCTTTGACATCCACCGGGGCTCGTGCGTTGGACTGGAGATTTGTCTCCTGACTTGGCGTGTCCGAGCTCAAGACAATTTCCTTTCGTAGGAAGCTTAAGGCTTCTGGTACCTTGAAGAAGTTGCGTTGAAATGTTCTGACAACGTCAAAAGACGTGAATAATGGGGTGAATTCCTTAACGTCACGAATTTCGTGGGCACAGCGATACTGTGAAAATATGTAGATCAGATGCAATTCTTGAAGGGAATTGCTCGAGCTTGACTGTAGGAATAATGACGGAGAACAGCCAAAAAATGGGCATCGCCTCTCCGGGAGAGCGTTGAATTCAACCGGGATTCCATCAGCAGATCATGTGGGCACGGGGGTCACGCAAGATCGAGGTCAGTGCACATGGTCAACGGTTTCGTTTCTTCTCATAAAATAAGACGGGCGGAGTCACGCTCTCAGGTTCTGACGTGCTTCGATTCATTTGCCCGAGGGGGGAGGAATGACCCAGCAGCTACGCGGAATCTTCCCGCAACGCTGCTGGGCTCGCTTGTTTGTTTCTTCGACCTAACCCAGTGGCGGTCCCCTGCGATAAATTTTCCAGAATCCTTCGGCCCAGATGGGAGAAGCACGGCTTGATGATCGTCTGGAATCGGGAGACTAGTCCAGCAATTTACTGCCGGAAGGGGGGTGAGATCGGTCGATGTCAGTCCAGACGGAAACAGATTCTTCGTTCTCTATTCTCATAAGTCATTTTGTTTTGTCGTCCTTGCAGGGAGTATACTACCATGATTATATCCAGATGTAAACTTAACGCGTGATCTGTTTTAAGAATGAAAATGGGTTTCTTAAATAATCGTACGCTTATCCGATACATTACGTCAAATAAGTTATTAACTTGGGATAAGGGAAATCATGAAATGAGATCAACTCCGTGTAAAGATTGACGAATTTAGAATGACGAATTTATAGTGTAGTAACAGTATATCCTGATAAAATCGATGAATTTAGCAAAAAGTAGTCGTCTGTCAAAAAACGGCCGATCGAGATATCTGAATGATATCTAATAATCTGAGAGCCTTTGTGTTGTAAATATTAGATAAAGAACCTACGCTCAAACATTCAGAAACTTGAAGAGTAGGTGCCATTTGTTGTTTCAATAAAAAAAAGAGCCATAAATAAAAGTTTCACATATGACGATATTATACAGATTTAAGTAAGTGAACGGGCGCCGATAGCCAATATTTAAGGTTTTGTTTTCTACTGTCGAGTTGAAAGTTAGCATTCTACAAGCAGAGTAACCGTCATATCGACGTCCTCGTCGTAGCTGGAGTGAGGAAAGGTGAGAATCACAGTAGCTGAGACTGCGGATCACCCATCCCCTCTTGATGATGTTGAAAGCTATTTACAGCAACTCCGGTGCCGGATCCTCCGTGAGACTTGTCTACACCTAATCTGAAAGCGACTTCTCGCCGGCCAAATCCCTCTTGTCTATTCCTCTGTGACATGAGGAGGGGGAGGGGAGTTGCTGGGCGGATGGAGAGGGCAACTTGCACATGATGCCTTGTACTCTCCTCCGGAGGTCAAAGGAAAAGTCAGAAGGCTCTTCTGAAGAATATTCCCTTTCTTCCGCACCCCTTTCCGGTTCTTGGCGGATGGAATCTTCGAGGAAGGGAGACGCCGTCCTTCTCCGAAAGTTTGATAGACGCCCCTCTCCCCAATTTTCCACACTCCCACGTGCCGATCGTAACACTTCCAAAGACGGATGGCGGTAGGACTCATCAAACGGAGGCCCTCCCTCAAAGCTTTCACGTCAACTCGTGCCACCATGGGAGGCTGCTCACATTAAGCACCGCACACAACCTGTCCTTCTCGATTTTGAGGGCGACAGGGGCGGTGGAAAGACGTGAACTAACCGATAGTCCACCGCCCCAAGACTCCTTTGGATAGTCGTCGAGTGAGTTAATGCCTCAAGAACAAACCCATCAGCGTCGATATCATCGCTCCACGAACATTTCAAGCGCACGAAATCAACCGGTGAATTCGGTTGAAAGTCGGCGGATTGCGCCAGAGAGGAAACTATCCAGAAAGTCCTCAGAACTCTCGCCTGTCCTCTCCCCCAAGACCGGGACTTCATGTCTCGCTTATTGCAGAGTTGCTACTACTCCACAGTCAACATCGATCCCCAGAGATGATCTAGTTTCACGCGGGAGTCAACCTAACCAGCCGCTGCATTTCGATGTAGAATGCATGCTTTGATCAGCAGAAAGTCTTCTACTGACTAACTGGCTTGCCACCCATTCAACGGAACGACTGGGCTAAAACAGTCCAAAAAAATGGTAATGTATCGCCAACGTATCGCTAGTCAATGGATGTTCAAGCGAACATTCTAGATAGGTTCACAATTCGCAGAGTGTGTCCCGAAGAAGAAAGGTCCTTCTCAAGTTTGAATTTGTCCATCTGGAGTCTGGGTTCTTCCACTTTTTTATTTTATTTTATTCTACACTCGACTTCGATTGCTCCACTCTATCCTTCAGATCGGAATAGAACGTCCCTCCTGGCATCGTACATGTTTTTGAATAGATAAAATGGAACAAATATTATAATTTTATTTATTATCTAAGAAAACTGAAGATGCATCATTGACTCTATTTACTGTGATGAATTCAGTGGTTCTAGCATGATCTTGTGGAACAATTCTCGGAATGTTCAACTGGTTTTAAGTCCGCGGATCTGCGAGCTCTGATGAGGGGGGAATATGGGTTAGACAACCGTTGTTTGGATGAATAGTTCCATCAAATTACACAGTGAGACTGTTTCATGAACGCTGACTATGATATGGAGTGCCAACGCATGAACTTGAAACCAAATCTGGCGACAAATTTCCCTGGATGTACGAGTTGTTCGACATGCAGAAGGGACTCTCAGACCCACTTCTGTAAGGCTCCGTTCGTTCCGCTTTTGATACTGAACAGCTTCTGGGAGAAGCTGTGGGGGGGAGATCCTCCCGGTCGAAGTGTTCGAAGATGGCGAAGATCTTCTGCCGCAGGGACATCCCCGACACCTCCCGGCTGAGTGGTTCCCAGTTCTTGCGGAGGAAAGAAACGATGAAGACGAGGAAAGAGGTGGTGGAAGCGAGGCCGGTGATGAAGAAGAGCCCCCAGAAGCTTTTGAAGTCGAGGATGTTCAAGGATATATCGCTCTCTTTCTCCGCGCAGCTGCTGTATTCCCGGAACCACCTGTTCTCGATCTCCAGTATCTTGTTGCTTCCCGTCATGTTCAAGATTGATCGAGATAAATCGATGGCGAGAGGGGAACCCTTCGGGAATGCCTTCACAGTGAAGTTTACAAAAACCAGTGCACCTTAGAACCGCTTGAAGATGAGAGAGAGAGAGAGAGAGAGAGAGAGAGAGAGATACTTACATAACCAAATCCTTCGGTATTGTGTATCAGGTCCGTAATGGTGTAGCTGGAACATTGGTCCTTGATGAAGACTCGGAGATATGGGATCTCATCAACAATTGCAGAGACGCCTCCGTTTTTGCTTCCTTTGGCTAACGCCATCTTGTATTCTTCAGGGGTTAGATAGCCCTTCATCTGGGTTTCATGAAATCCCAAGTCCTTGAGCACTTTTTCCACGAAGGATCCCTTCGGGTAGCCCACGGATTCTCCGTTCCTCCTGAGGTCGTTGATGTCGCTGTACTTTGGCTGGAGCCTTCGGACAGTGAACATCGACGCCAAGCTGGCAGTGTAACTGGAGGTCAGGACGAGCACCACGAACAGCCAGACTATCACCACAACTCTCGACAGATTGCTCACCACCTTCTCCTCTGCAATGGTGCTCGTCATTAACGAGAGAACTCTATTTGATATTTAGCTCAGGAAGATTCATGACTGTCCATGGCAATAGGCGATAGATAAAGGGAGATGGGAGAGATATACTAACTGTGGGCGAAGACGAGAGTGGAGAAGGAGAAGTAGAAGACGGAACCGATCTGACTGGCGCGCGGCCCTCTAAACCCGTTGTTTACTCTGTGCTCCAGCACCCAGACGATGGCCCCCGTGAAGACGAAGAAAGCCCCCGCCGCCAGCCAGAGCTCCAGCACCATCGGCTTGAGGAAGATCCAGCCATTCTCTCCCCGCTGGTCCTTCGCTGGCACCGCCATCGCGACGCCGCGTCCGGTGTAGGGGAGTGTGAAATCCACTGACAATGATCTGTCGTACGTTATGGTGATGTCCCCAACGACGGCATCGAATTTCTGTCGCATAATCTACCGGTCAGCCCTTCTGAATGAGGATGATCAGAATGAAAAAGGGTCGGCAGTAGCTTCCCGACCTGAAGGGCGATCTGTTTGACCAGACTGTCGTAGCTTCCTTCGTAGGCCACGTACTCCAAGGGGATGGCATACGGGAGTTTCTTCACGGCCTCCTCGAACACCTCTATCACGAACCCGCTTGCGATAGTCATGTTGGTCGATAGTTGGTAGTCCGTCTTCATTATCAAGTCGAACCCGGATTCCTTGGGGATGCCTACCCTTATCTTCTCCTCGCCAACGGGTTCTACCCAACCCTTGGGGACGACAGTGGACTCCCCAGGCCAGATGATTAACCCGAGGTTCTCTCTCGAAGTGGACCTCTCTCTCTGGTCACTCCAATCCAAATGCCTTGACAACCCCCTTGGTGGCGTCCAGAACCCTACCTCACGTTGACTTGTGCCGATCAAGTTGACTACCTCGTACGCTGATGTGCGCAGTTCCCCGTTGATTAGACGAAAATTTCCGCTCAGTCCATCGAATGTCGTATTTAAGAGGGAGTCGAGAATCTCTGGGCCGGCTTCGGAGGTCCCCAGAAGCGCCATGTCGCTGGAGGTGTCGGCGATATCCGTCACGGCGTAACGGGCGGACACCACCCCTAGAGTCTCCGCCACCTTCGCCAGTGCCCAGATCGTGTCGTAGGCGCGAAGCCCAATGGTGGATGGCTCGGATAAGAGGCTGTCTGGATTTTCAAGCAGGAATTTCTTTCTCCATCTTCTCTTGAAGTCCCCTAAGACCTTCGATTCGGCAATATAAGGCTTTACGGCGATTACCCCCTGCATTGAGTGGACAACAGCAGCGTCCACAGAATCCAACAGCTCGGCCAGGCCTTCGGTTATGATCCAAGCGTACCCCGCGCTCATCATTTCCGCCTCCATTGCCAGAGGAAAGAATCGAGAGGCAAGAGACGAACCCATGTGTACCACGAACACCCTGGTCTGCATCGTTTTGAGCTTGTAGAGGTCCTTGAGGATCCCTTCCTTTGAGGCCGTCGGGGAGACAACTAACCTGTAAGGGACTCGGGCTTTGACATCTTTTAGGGCGTCGAATAGACTGGGCATCGGACCAGACCCGATATTCGTGTCTTCGTACACGACGACAACCCTTTTCCAGCCGAAAGCTCCGACGACGGCAGCAATGGGCTCCGCCTGATCTGCATCGTTAGGAGCCGCCCGGACAAAGTAAGACTTTTCCTTAGGAGAGACGGAGGGGCTTGTGGCAGAGAAGGAGATGACCGGGACGCGGGATCGGGTGCCGAGGTCCGCAAGGAACATGGCCTCGACGCTGGTCTGCGGCCCCACTATCGCTTGAACTTTCTCATTCATCATCAGGTCAACGGCTGCAGTTCGACGAGAACGACAGAATTGAATATACCGATCAGAAATAGCCGAAAATTTCACGGAAATCCCTAGACCCTGTAGACAAGGTCAACAGTCTCCGATAGAAAGTCCACATTGGGTTCTTGCCAGAAATTTCGTGGCAACTTCCAGAAGAAAGCGAAACAGAAGAACGGAAAACTGATATTATATCGATAATATATTATGGTATTAAAAAACAAACTATTTATTGTCCATTTATAATGGTTCAGTTTATTATGCTAACGACTCCTACTTCTTGTGCCTTAACTATCGCTTACGGATATGCTTAACACAGGCGTCTTCTATTTCCTTTTTGCTAAGTCACAAATGTTCACATGAAATTACTCATAGTTTTTGGAGCTAAGGTTCAAACACATGCGCTAGAGGAAGGGTGTTGGAAAGAAGGGATGGGGTGATCACCAGCGGAGGCGGCATGGACGACGTCGCCGGTGGAGTCCCTAGGGTGGAGACGGAGCCTCGTGGTGGAGTTGGGGTACGCCGCGTAAAAGTCGGACAGCGCCATGTTTATGCAGGTGAGGGTCGTCTTCCCCACCGCGCTAGGAAGGTCGAGGACCACCCCAACGTCGAAGCCACCGTGCTTTGCCACCACGCCAGAGGGAAGTAATAGCAAGAGGGCACAGGTGATCACGGAGAAGAGGGATGACTGAAGAATAAACTCGAGCCTGCTCCCCATGGCGGCAGAGGAACAGGAACGGGCTCTGACGAAGGATGGACGAAAGGCAGAGGTTGCCGTCTATGATATATAAACCCCTCCCATTGAAAAGTCAAACATACTGCTAAGCCTCGCCGTGGAGAACGCGCAAGACTCCTGGCACCTCTGTCTCCAACGAACGGGAATTGAAAACGAAATCGCTGTCTGATTCACTATGGAGTTCATCTCCATGATCAGCGGGTCTTCACGTGACGCCCGATTCAGTGAATAATTGAGTCATCAGATTTTACCTCCTTATTTGGACCTTTGGATCCTCCGCAAGAGGGGACGTTAGAATATAAAATAAATAAGTTGACCAGTGATCTGTTCCTTTGATGACTTGTCCCGCGCGGCAGCGTGAGAGGTTTCCCTTCCCCTTATAGCCACTCACTGTCTGTATATATATATATATATATACACACACAAATAGGTGGATATCTTCTTCTGGTTGGTAAGGCCTTACAGGAAGCTGGGTGGGGCCAATGTGGACCTGCTCGTTTGAACTAGTCATGGGTCATGACATTGGGGATGAATTCGTTGAGTTGGTCGAATGTGTACAGCCGGGCCGCATTAATGGATCTAAATTTGGACTGAAGTTGTGTTCTCAGAGGCCCATTTACAGCTAGGCATGCCACTCTTTCATCCAATTGGGTTTCCAGTACGTGGCCGAAAAAATATGTTGACCTAAGGTTGACTTTTCAAAGATAGGGGCTAGACAGGTGTCCTTCAAGAGGGCGTGGGTGATCATCGCCCTGTGGAGGAGACTCACTCAAGCTTCCCCTTCCTCCCTCCGTCGCATCTCCACCGTCTGGAGCACGTTTCCACTTATCTCTTCCCTCCTTCACGGAAACTGGTGCTGCTTTGGTGCAGCTCGACCTAGGAAGAGTAACAGTATCCTTCCCATCTGCCGTACATTTGTTCCACTGCCGATGCTCATGTTTATCATTGAGGAATCCAAGAGAGAGAGAAAGATGCCTGGGATGTGGTGACGTGGTGATGTGCGGCATATCAGATGCCTTGCCCCTCAGAGACTACAAACCGTGTCCTCCATCGAGATACGGAGAAACGACGCACTAGTTCCAGCGAGGCCCTGGCTCGGGAAGACAGATCCCGTCAGCGAGAGGCGGGTATCAGTCACCAGCGGGCAGTGGAACCTCAGATTTCTGACGAAACCAGGGGACGAGTTACCGTTCATTTCTCCATGCTCCCTTTAGAGCCTGTTCACTCAACTACACTTGTCCCGGTTCTGAGAGCCGCAGCTTATTCGACTCCCTTGTCCACGTGCTTTCCGTTGAGAGAGAGAGAGAGAGAGAGTTGGTGAGAAGGACTTCGTTCATCTATATCATAGACGTGAAGAAACTGGTACGTCGAAATACGAAATAAAGAATGGTGTTGCCCTAATCCGGATTACGCCTACTCTGACAATTTAATATTTGGTTTGCACCAATAAAATATCAATTTTTTCAATTTCGAATATAAATTTGCGTGCCTATATTTTTTTTTCCTTTGGGATTTAATGGAGATCGATATTTAATGGGGATTTAAATAGTGCAGACATAGAAATCTAGAAAAAAAGGATTAATTATTAGATAAAATATTTACACGATGACGACCTACTTAATAGATTTCAATGTCTGCACTGGTTTTCAACTTGACTATCGAAGGCGACGGTCAAGACTGCCCTCTCTCTCTCTCTCTCTGTGTCTCTGTGTAGCCGCCCACGAACAGTTACCGGAGCCCTGACAAGGAGTCATACGCTTATATTTGTGTAGGGAGATTCCGGCATGATCTCACACGCCGTCAGCCCTGCCAAGGACAAATTTGAATTTATTATTTAGATGCTCGCCATTGAAGAGACGAAACGTGTTCGGCGTGGCCCCATTTCTCCAACACACCCACTGATACGAAGCCAAGGGGATAAGCCCGGGGGGGAGCAGCCCCCCCCTCTTAATGTAATGCTGCACACCATGTAGACCCCCACCCTCGAGTAAACTACTGAAGACGTGGGGGTATACATTCCAGGTGCTGACAAAAATAAAGGAGAGAAGGGAGAAGGACGAGTAGTGTAGTCGGTGGCATGGTGAGACCTTTTTCATGGAAAGGACACGCTGCACCGAATTTGAGGAGTATCCATTCAGTGGTAAGTTGCTTGATGATCTTTGTATCTTGTTCTAGAAAGTCGAGGGCATATTGGTGTGTATCCCAATTTATCTCGAACTCTAAGCTCAGGACTAGAAAGAAAGACAAGTTTTTTTTATAGAGGTTGGCTTGAAAGCTCTTCCTCTCTCTCTCTCTCTCTCTCTCTCTCTCTCGGCTCGCGCCAAGCCTGTGACGCATATGAAGTCGTAAGTCATTGAAAAACATTGCCAAGCTTCGCGAGACCCGATGAGAGCCCAGCGGGTTGGCGCCCCCCCTAATCCCATCAAGACGATTATTGACATTGAGGATTAGAAGGGAGACCTTTGTCTAACACGGGATAGACCTTTACCAAAGATGATATTGGAAGATATATAATCTCCATGGTAAGCCATCCGTCGGGAGACGAAAATAAACCGAATAGGATCGATAGGGACGTATAAAACGCAACATCAAGGCTCTTGCAACGAGTGAACACGACCCGAATACCAATCGCGGCTCCGTCGCCCATGGTCAACGGGTCTGATCGGGTCATCCATTCCTTCAAGAAGTACTGATAATTCCATTGAATTGGTCGCATCAAACCTAGAATCGACCCCTTCGATTCCAATCGTAGTCTAGATCGGCCGATCTCACGTACCATTTCCTCAACCCTAGAATCAAACCCTTCACATGGTCTTCCAGCAACCTTGCTCCCCCTCATCCTACCTCAAACGATCCAATCCCTGGGAACTGGGATAAGCCACATCCCCCATCAAATCCAAAGTCTGTAGGCCCGGGTTAAGAGGGCTACCGGAGATTGTGGGCGGGACACTAGCTTAATTAACAAGATGATTCTTCCGTGTTTGGCCGGATTACGCTTGATGGGGATCATTTGGGAATGCTGCGATGATAATGTATGCCACTTAAAATGGAATCGGGTCGACGTGGAGGAGCTTCGGGCCACAGCGACGGGCTCTTTCAGGGAAAGCTGGTGAGCTTTCTCATGAGCTACTCACTGGCTTTGATTCCGCTGTTTCTGACTCACTTCCGTTCAAACTATTGGGTTCACCCGGCCTAGTTAATCATAGAGACGGTGAGAAGATTCGTATGCTTCGTTATCTATCGTTTGCTCTTTGTGGGCATGACTCCCTTTCATCAAGAGTTTTCCTTTTTTATTTTAACAGGAAATGTGGGGACGACCCACATTAACTATGTCTCCGAAATATCGAGCTCCCTTCCACTTATCATGTAATTGTCTTACACTAATCCACCTCCCTCTCTCTCTCTCTCTCTCTCTCTCTCTCTCTCTCTCTCTCTCTCTCTCGCTCGCTCGCTCAGGCGCATAAGTTGGGAAGAAACTTTTCTGGGCTTTTCTCAAGTTCGGGCCGCCCAGGCATACCGTAGTCCGGCCCGTGGAGTTGTTGAAGGCTGCTTGTTGGTGAAACGTGGGGATTAAATGGCATTCCTTTCATACGTGGCGCCGCACCTTCGAGGGTCCTGTGTGTGAACCCTATGTGGAATGTGGGCCCGTTTAGGGAAATTCGGCTTCGAGTGGCAGGCAAGCATGTAGTGGCCCGGGCCCAGCTCGGCCGAATGTTCCCTTGTGGGTCCACTTTCTGTAGGAACACCTGAAGCCCACCTTCGTGACGTCATTTCTTGCGGTGAGCTGCCTTGTCGTCGGGCCGATGACCGTTACGCGCCGCTCCTGGCCCGCAGCGGATTCCGGCGAACCGCAGCGGAGCCTCCACCGCACCGCCGTAGGGGACGTGGGAATCCAGCCGCGAGGCGGTGGCTCGAATCGGGGAGGCAGATGCATCCCCTGTACGGGGAAATGGCCTCACTGGGTGGTACGACTACACTTGTACCGACGTCCTCTCTGTCGAATCCTTGAATACCTCACGGACGCCTATCTCCGCCCGCCGCCGGCCCCCTCCTTCTCTTCCTTCCTTCCACGAAGGTTCCATCCCCGAATCATTGGGGGTTTCTGTGTCGGATCAATCTCCTCTCCCAGCGCCGTGAGTACCGGGGGATAACAAAGCGTGCTTGCCTGGGGGGGATCGGGTAAGTCTCTGTTCATCGCAAGTTCCCTTCAAACGACGACCTCCGAGATGAGGAGGTAAAGCTTCTCGCCCATGGCGTACTGCCGGGGGGGAAGCGAGCTGAGGTTACCTCTTCTGTTAAGGTTCAGTTCGACGGATATGGCTATCTTCTTTTCTGCTTTTGACACGATGGAAAGGTTCCGTTGAGTGACGACGCCGCATACCCGCCGCCCCTACCCCCCTTTAAAAGCCGCCAAGCCCGCGCGCCTCCTTCCCACGTCCCACGCTACTCGCCTTAGTACCTTTTGCCGCTTGCCTCTCGTCGGAGATGAGAGCTAGCAGCTTCCTCGCCACGGCCGGCGGGCCGGCGACCATGGCAGTTCACCAGCAGTTGCCGCCGCGCACGGGGTGGCACTCCCCTGTGCCTTACCTTTTCGGAGGCCTGGCAGCCATGCTGGGCCTCATAGCCTTCGCGCTGCTTATTCTGGCCTGCTCCTACTGGAAGCTCTCCGGGTATCTGGATAGCGGCAGCAACGAGCCAGAGCGCGGGGGCGACCTCGAGAGTGGGGACGGCAAGCCCCGAGACTCCGGCGTCGCCAAGACCTCGCCGCACCAGCTTGAGCAGAGGATTGTGGTCATCATGGCCGGAGAAGAGAAACCCACCTTCCTGGCCAACCCCATGTCCAGTTGGGCTCCCACCTGCGGTGACTACTCCAAGAGCCAGAGCAGTGGGGACCAAATGCCCGACGAGAAGAAAACGTTGACGGACGGCAGCGGAGAAGCCGGACCGGAGGCCGCCCACAACCACCAACGACGGCAGGAGGAGACCCGCGAAGACCAACGACGGACCCAGCAGCTCCATAACGTGGACTAAGGAACCAGAGAGGACGCGACGTCCTCCCCCTTTTTCCTTCTCATCCCTTCGTATCCCTCACGGGGCTTCTGCCACAGGGTTTTGGCACCCCCGGCGACGTCCTCCATGGTGCGTAGGCAGAAGGGGTTTCATTTTTATTCCTCCTTTCAGATTTTCGGATGGTGGACTAGCTTGCGGGAAATGTAAATGGCTTGGTGAGGATGAAATCAAAGGTCGAGATCGTTGCTGTTCCTTCTTCGTTCCTCCTCTGTCCGCAAGCTCACGACCCTCACAGAAGAAGGAAGGGGGAAGATCCACATCTCCTTTCTCCCATTTTCCCTCGCGTCTTCAGTCCTTCCTCACCTGATGAACTAGGGAGAACAGGGGAGTCCCCGGTGCTCCTGCTCTCCAATTCAAACCAACCGCTCCCCCTACCCCCCCCGATCCTCCCACGGCGGCGGCTCGCCGCCAGGGAAGGAGAAGCGCCGTCGGCGGAACACGTGGTGGGTGAACAACGGTATGTGGACATCGGGAGGTCAAGTTCCTTGAGGATGCGGCGAGCCGAAGTCGCCTTCATTAACTCCGAGTAGCGCCGCTCCATACTTGTCGACGCCGCCTCGTTGCGCGGCGGCGCCGCCTTACCATCCCCCTCCTTATCTCCGTGCAGCCTGCCAACCGACGGCGGCGTGTCCGAGGCCACCCCACCCTCCTTTCGTTACCGTTTAGGAGAGATCCTGCGGCTCTTTCCTCTTTCCGACGTGTCTGAACAGTCAGTCACGCTACCTGCTAAATTGTCAGCCGAGGGAGTCGGATTTCGCCCTCTCCCTCTCTGTCTCAGTCTCTCTCTCTCTACACCTCTCTCACTTTCTATACGGCCTGCATGAGGCTTCCGCGTGTCCAGCTAAGAGCTCATTGTCCCAGCCTTTCTCAGAGATTAGACCCCGTATCTTGGGCCAGCAAAAAGACTATCAGACGCGGATCAGACTTGACGAGACGTTGACCCAGTACAACCCAGTATATTTGGAAGAATGCGTCTTTTACGATTTAAATGAACAGTATATTTTGTGTCAATCAAGCATGTGATCGGAATACTCAACGTAATATCGCAACTTTATTTCATATAATTAGTTATCCCCTTATGCATCCTTGTAATATATACGAAACAATGCATGAACTTTAATAGTTCCGAAATAAATGATCAGAATTCGAATTAATTGCCATTCTGAGGATCCCCCTCGGCGATTCGGCCTCATCGGCTTCTCTAAGCTACTAAGATGAGGGCCTGTAGGGTATGTGGGTCAACGATCACTGAGCAAATGACATCGTCCATTTGTCACAAAAGTCAGCTTTCCTGGTGCATTTCCGAAGAGGCTGATGCCTCGAACAGGTCGCTCTCGGTGCTAGCCGTAGGTGGGCTCTTGCGACGAACTCAATGATGACGCAGATCCCTTCACTCAGAGGAGGACGCGCGAGGCTGAGACGCCGGGATCCGACAAGCCTGGACGACGGCTCGTCCCGCGCGCCGTGGCGGCCAGCGGAGTGGGATCTTCTTTCTTCCGGCGGGGGAGATTGGAGAAGTTACCAACACGGCAGGTTCTCCGTTGGTAGTGACCGCCGCCGACGACCTCATCGGTGCGGGCGGCGGCGCCACCGGGTCAACGTCGTGACAAAGTTCCTGCATTATTGAATGTTCCCAGTCCCTGCTTCCGGAGCCCTCCGCCGCCGTGGGCTCCAGACGGCGGGCGTCTTCTTCGCCGAGTCCAACGCCGAGCGCACGTAAACCGCAGATGGGCGTGTGGCCCGCCCGAAAAGAATCGCGCACAGGTGGGCTTGACATTAATACAAGCACTCGAGCTTCGTCCTCGCGTTTGCCGGACAAGGACGTGAATTCACCTGGAACCCCTCGTGGCGGGGGACCGGCGTCTGAGCACGACCGGCGGAGGTGCGCGGAGGTGCGCGGAGGTGCGCGGAGGTTGAGGGATACCCCTCCTGATTGGGACTAATTGTGTCGACGGAGAAGGAGATATACCGGAAACGAGTGCACAGAAAAGGGGTGAATACAGAGAACCAGGGGGGAGGGGGGAGATGGTGGCGGACAGAGCTGCCCGCAGAACGGACGGATCCGAACCAAATTATTAAGACGGAGACGTGTCTTCGATCGGGATTCGTCTCAAATTCCTCGAGGCGAGAAGGAGACTTTTGACTAGTGGGACTGCTGCGGCCTTCTTATTATCTAGTCTAGCTCAAGTTCTTTCTTCCCTCCCCCACCTCGGTCTTTCATTGCTTCAGTGAGAGCAGTTAGAGAGCTCATGTGAGATCAGCTTGACGCTGACGTCGCCTCTGGTCGGTTATGGATGCTTGGACTGTCATCACTATCTTCTACGTCTCCCTGTTGGGAGTCTTGGGTCGTGCAGCCACCTTTGTTATGGTGGCTGAAGAGGAGGAGACGGATCGGCGGGGGGCTGCAGAGGGTGAGAAAGGGGAAAACGGAAATCGTATCTCTACCACATGAAATGGTGGCTTTTGTGGTCAAGTTATTTCTCATCACGTGTTCACTCGTGTGGAGAATCTTAAGACTCTCCAATAAAATGAGCTGTAATATCTGCCAGTTGATATGAGTGTTAGCAAACAGATAGAGATTGTAACTTTGCTATGATACTATGTTAACAAAGATAGAGATATAACAAGGTGGCGATAAGAGAGGGAGAAGGGAGGAAAGTTCACTCAGCACCAATCGTCATTATATAATGTTACAAGGACTAGATAGAACTAGCCTATGAACATTTCAAAGACCAAGATATGACAAGCCCATTAACTAAGTTATGGCGATCCCATAAACAAAATAGAACTGTTGAAAAAAACATTTTGATGCAGAAGTCCTACATTAATTACTATTACCATACAATTCCAAAAGTACTCATTGCTGATACTTAGTATTCAATTTTAGCAAATGATCTAATGATTATTGATTTCTTCTTTGTCATCCACAAAATGATTGAATTGCCAAAAAAAGATGTAAAATTCTATGACACATGTGAGAATTAGAGCAAGTGGCCTAATTACTATTGAGGAATATTTTGAATTTGTAAAGATGTTGAATCAATATCAAAGAATTGATTTAAGATGTCAAAGTAAATGATGTATTACTTGCAAGTGAGTATGTTGAGGTTAAGCAAGAAACTAACTCAACTCATATACAATAAATATGATATTTGAATGAGAAAGTGTTAATTACGAGAGTTTATCAATCAATTGCTATCATTGTGATGCGTTTTCAAGTAATTTGTCACATGTGACATTGAGTTGTAGATGGGGGTCCACATAAATAACATGGGTTTAAATCTAAGAAAGTTAGTATCTTTAGGTAATTACAAGGTATTATGACATCTAAACAAAATATTGTTTATTTTAGCTTGTGTAATTTTGAAATCTAAAAAATATTTTTAAGTACCAGAATATTGAAGTTTGAACTGAGGATGTAACAAATCTTTCAAGCAATTGATAGTTGAGGTTGAAAGTTCAACTAAACATCATTGAAAGAAATGATTAGTGACACAAAAGAAGAATCTTATCCTTTCATAAATAATGTACAACTTAATTTTGAATGAGTAAATTCAATGTGAATGTGAGGTAGATAATTTATAATGTCATATCTAGGTGCTTGTCAAAGTTGGCAAATTGATTTGTCTAATTTTACAGATGACTTAATTTTGATGTATAGGAAGCTATCCCTTACTTCATTATTCAAATTATATAAAATATATAGACTTCTTCAAATACTTCCAATTAAAAAAATTATTATTGATACCTAATGAAAGAAGATGTCGATTGTTGTTGACTACATGTACTAACATGAGTTTCATAGTTATAGACTTAACAATATGATAATATAGTTCAAGAAAGTTAATGTCTTCTTGTTGAATACATCATTTGAGAACTAATCACGTTTTGAAATGGACAATAAAATTATCAAAATGATATTTAGTTGTTTTAAATCTATCTTACATCAAATGACATATTTTTATTTAAAATAAATAACAGAAAATATGTTACTTGATTCTATAGCATTTAACTCATTCTTCATTGTCTCTTGTCATTAAGGTAATGTAATAGCTTGATGGTAAAATTAAGGTTTATTGTAGGTTTAAATAGTCATAAAAAAATATTTATCAAATAAAGATAGGTAATTGCATAAAAGAAAATTAGATACATGATATAGTCATTTGGTTTTATTAATTGGGGTAGTATTCTTGAAGATAAGATGGTATTTTGTGAATGAGGGTACATTTTCATGTCAACAAAAGTAAGATACTATATTAAAGGTACTAGCATGTTGAGAATTATTTTGTGGTGTGAGATGCATGATTAGATTTGAAAATCGATATGATAAATTGTCATCAGCTATTAGTGACACCTTGTAAAATGAATATATATGTTATCTTTTGACATCATAAGCATGTAACCTTTTATGGTAGGTGGATACCTAACGAAAATACAAGGTCTAGGACATGGAGGAAATTTATTACAATATGGTAATAATATTGAGGCAACAACTAACTATTGGATACTCTAAAATGTGAATAATCAACCAATCTTTGATACAATAATTAATGCATAGTTTTGTTGTTGATAAGTAGAGAGGAGAACTTATTGATGAGATATATATTAGTCCAAAATTATGTTGATATTTGTGATTAAGAAAATAAAGTTTCATTTGCATTCAATAAATAAGTTTTGTTGAACTCCATTCGTACTAGTGTAGAGCATTATGTTCATGAAAAATCACAAGTTTTAATTACTTCATTATCAAACTAGATTTTTTTGATCTTGCAACTAAATTGAGTGGAAATCATCTTAAAAGGTTTTTAAATACTTATTTTGACATCTAACTTGTTATTCATTGAAAAGATTTATGTGAAACAAGTTGAATCGTCAACAATGGTGAGAAAATATTTAGGTGATTAACAACATGATGTAACTCCCATATACTACAATGTATGAAAATATATAAATGTTCAAAA